AGATTAGCGAGAAGGATAATTAAATAAAAAAGAATAGGCTATAAACAAATTAAGCGATGAAGAAGTAATAGCATAATTAAAGGCAAAAGGATTAGGAGTATATGGGACAAAATAAGAGAAATTGGATAGATTAAAGAAAGCTAATGGTATATTTATAAATGTATAGAAAGGGATTGAAATTAATAATAAGCAAGAACAAGTACTTTAATAATAACAATAAGCATAATAAATAGTTGCTTAATAATAAGCATAGTAGCAAAAAGGATCAGTTGTTGACAATATAAAAAAGATGGAATAACAAAGAGAGGAACGTCGTAAAAATATGTAAGAAATGAAAAGAGAGAAAGCAGAGAGAGAAGAATAGAATTAAATATTGGGTAAAAATGTTGATGTAGAATTTGAAATTATGATTGATAAAACAAGACTCAAAGGAGGATTAATACAAGAACATTAGACAACATAAAATATCAAATTATGCGTGTGTGTTAGGAAGAGACCAATCTTTAAAAAGGAAGAAGTTGGAGGTGAAATAGATGCTATCAGTTGTGCAAATCCAATGATAAGAGTCCATGAACCTAAATTAAAAGTAGATGGCATTACTAAATATGTAGAAAATCATGATTTCTAATTTGATAATACTTTTAGTGAGGTAGAATAGGGCAAGGACATTTATGATGTAAGTCTGGCTCCATTGATGGATTTATTGGTAAATTAAGGAGTTGTAACCTGTTTTGCTTATGGACAAACAGGTTCTGGTAAGACATACACAATGAAAAGCATATAAGAATTATTAGCCACTGATTTATATAAGTTAATTAGTACTACTCCTTCTTATAAGATATTTGTATCATTCTTTGAGATTTATGGTGGAAAATGCTATGATTTATTGAATGCCAAGGCACCATTATAAATAATGGAAGATAAGAATAATAACATATAAATATAAGGTTTAGTTGAAAAGCCAAGTGAATCAGAACAGGAACTATTCTAATTGATGGAATTGGCTAATTCAGTCAGAACAACTCATGCAACTGTAGCAAATGATACATCATCGAGGTCTCATTCAATCTGTTAAATTGCTATAAGATAAGGGTATTCAGACATTGGAAAATTGATCTTGGTTGATTTAGCAGGTTCAGAAAGAGCATAAGATACCTAATCTAACAATAGATAAAGGAGATTGGAAGGGGCTGAAATTAATAAAAGTTTATTGGCATTGAAAGAATGCATAAGGGCTATGGATTCAGGATAAGGACATGTACCATTCAGAGCATCTAAGCTTACTTTGGTTTTGAGAGATTCATTCACTGCCAAATCTAACAAGTCAAGAATCATTATGATTGCTTGCATTAGTCCTGGAAGTTCCTCTGCTGATCATTCATTGAATACTTTGAGATATGCTGATAGATTAAAAGATAAATCAAATTAAGCCAAGGTGTAATTAGAGGAAAGAGAAGTTACAAATGAAGAATTATTGTACAGATAACAATAAGGGTAGGATAGATAATCGGATAAGAATTTAGATAATAACAATAAATAATTGGATAAATAGAATCCTCCTTTACAATTACCAAAAATCAATGATCCAAGAAATTAAAATAATTAGAATGCAGCTAATCTTAAAAAGAATTAATCATAATTACCAGACAAAGAAAAACCAAAATCTTAACCTGTACCTCCAAAATAATAGAAAAGAGCCAGTTCAATCCAAGAAGACTCAGATGATGATGTAGCAGCTGAAGAATTAGTTAATAAAAAGAATGGATAAGTCAAAGAAGATGTCAGATGTATGAAAGAAACGATGATGAAGAACGAATAAAATAACGCTAATGGAAATGGAAATGAATTCTTTGATTTTCATGAAAAAGTTAACACCATCTTGGAAGAATAGGATGAGATTCTCAATATTCATATGGCTGCTATAAAAGTAAATTTATCTATTTAAAATTTTTAGGAAGATGCTAAATTATTACAATAAGAAAGTGAATTAATTTAGTCAATTTAAGGAGTTGGAATAGTAGATTATGATGTAGATACTTATGTTGGCAATCTAGATGCTTTCATTAAAAAAAAACTAAAAATTTACAATTTGTTGAATAAAAAGCTTTTAGTTTTTAAGTAATATAATTAATAGTATATTTTAGAACACATCTGAAAGAAGAAGAAGAGATCAGTTCTAAGATGAAGAATACCTTCTATTATTGAAATATGTAAAGTATTTCTATCATTATATCTATCTCTAATTATTTAAAAATAAAATTAATATCTTATCCTAAATATTATACATGTCTCGAATGTAAGTTATAATTTATTATTTTTTCAGTAATTATTCATAAAAATATGAAGAATTTATCATGTATTATTAATAGATCAAATATTATCATAATATCCTATTCTAATTAATTGTAAAACTGCCTCATTATATTACTTTATATCTTATTCTAATTTTAATTACTTGATTTAGTAATACAAATCATAAATAAAATAAAATGGAAAAGCCATTCTGATCATGTTAGGGTTAATTAAAGTCTTAATTTTGGTAAATATTCTTATTATTTAACATTCTAATATCTATGTTGTTATTGTATCCTTTACTTTTGTACAATTTGTTTTTAGTTTACATATGTTGGATTTTAGTTGTTAAAAATATTACTAGATTTCAATCTAGCCTGGGATACATATTGAGCATAAATAATGAAATTTAAATATTTAGGATAATTCTTTATCTAAATATTATATATTTTTTGCCATATCCAATTTTTCACAAATGTCCAAAAAAAATTATTCACAATTTATTTGTTATTTGTGAAACATCTATAAGCTGCCTTAGATATATTAAAGTAATTTCTCAATTTCATCTAATGATCTTGATTTATATAAAATGTTATAAACAATTGCATCTGATATCAATTCATCAATAATAATATTAAGGTTGTTTAATTATTTTAAAACAATCTCAAAACTTTCTTTCATAGATGGTGTTAAAGATAATTATAAATTAAGTTGTTCATGTTGTTCCTTCTATTAATAAATTAGTAATTAACATTAACTTAAAATTTATTCTCTTAAATCATAAATGCTTGAACTTCTGATTTTAAATTCAATTTCAGAATTATTATTTTCTAGATCTTGAATTTGTTCTTCGATTTTCTCTTTTTAATTTCTCTTATCATTAATAAGTATTTCGTCTTGCTCTGCGCTTTGCTTTAATTATTAAATTTCATTAAATAGTTTTGCTTTTGTCTCTTACAACTAAATCAAATTACTTGTGAAATAACTCTCTGCTTTTAATGTTAAAATATATTAATTGCTATCAATTTTATTTTTTAAAATCCTTAAAAATTCTTTCTCTTTTATATTATTGCAATTATTCATAGTCTCTGTCTCCCATCTTTTTTTTATATCTGTCATCATACCTTAACTAACCTTTGTAAATACAGGTATAAGAATTTACTCTAAATTTTATGTACTTATTTATTAATTAAAAAAATTATTTGTAAGTTCTATTAATTCCAATAAATCCTTTTTTGATTTATTAAGTTGTTCTCCATCTATCAAGAATAGAATAACAAATTATTTTGATTTTTTTAATCTTAAAAAGATGTTGATTTGATTAATCAATCTTCTTTCTTCACATGTATCTCCTAATCCAGGAGTATCAATAAATATCCAATCAGAATCATTAATTCTTATCCCTAAGTCGATTGTTTAGCAAGTTTAACTATTGTTTGTGTGAGAAATTAATATACTTTTATCAACATCAATTACATCGAAACTTTAACTTTCTGAACTTGTTTTTACTAGTTTCATATTATCTGGATTGCTTATAATATTCATAAGAGTGCTCTTTCCTACTTTAGTTAACCCTAGCAAAACAACGTACTAACTATTGTCTGTACTTTAAAAATTGCTTGAGTTATGAAAAAGATTACTGAAAAAGAAGAGCCTTTAAGGTATGTAAGACTCATAATGATCAAACCAAAATTTCAGTTATATTTAAAATTATTAAATTGTTTACTTTACATAATCAGATATCTAATATTCTTTGAAATATTCCAAAATGTTATTATATTCTGATTAAAAATCAAATTAGAAATTAAGAATATTGTTTTATTATTCCGATAGATATTTTTTAATTTTCCAAGAAATATTTGGAATATCTTACATATTTTGTAAATCTTCTTTAATGCATTATGAAGACTCTCTAACAATATTTAAGATATTGCAAATTAATATATATAATTACGATTTTTCTATTTCATGAGATATTTTTTCCATAATTATGTAGATTAATTATTTTAAATCATTCTAATATTTCTTTATATTAGGATCGTTATTTTATTCCTTATTAAGGTTTGTTGGCAACTCTAATAAAGATTTAAGTTAGAATTTTAATAGGGAAATTATTTTATTGAGTTCATAAAACACAATTAATATCTTATTTTAAATGTATTAATTGCAAGAGTATCCAATAGACTTAAAATATATATCCTTCTACATTACTGTAATTCTATTAGTGCTAATTTAGTTAAAATAATTAACAGTTATTTCGGAAACGTCCATTTGTATCAATTCATTTTGGAATTCTTATTGATTAAGAATATATATTTATCCGAACTTTTCATATTAAATAATTTCTAAATCACCATTTGTATTTTCTTTATTACTTTAGACACAAAATATCATAATATCCTCATTAGCTTCTTCGAAAAATCCTTCAAATAATTAATATATTCGATGTTTCATTTTTTTTTCTAATTCATCTACATTTTACTCTTTATTAAATTAAACTACAAATGTCAATCTTTTAAATTTATTTTTTTCCAAAAACCATTTCACAAAGAGTTTTATTTTTGATAATTAACCATAATTTATTACTTCAAGTTGATCATCAACTTTGATAATGTTCTAAAAGTATGCTATAATTTACTAATCATTATCTTTCTTTAAAAATCCATCATTCCAGCTCTTAATTATATTTGGATTTATCGCTTGTTAAGATTAATGGTAAAAAAATTTGTCGTTTGTAAAGTTAAAATAAAACAAGCATTAATCCATTATATTTTAAAACTCTTGATTATTGTTGAGTTGGAATTATTTAATATCCTCCAATTCTTGGAATATTGTTTTTATAGATGTATATTCTTTGTTTTCTAAGTCTTGAAATCCTGTTTAAGTAGAGTTTTCTTCCTATATCATTCCAATTTAAGATAATTCTATCATTTTTATAATAAAAATGCAATAATATTTATATTATTATTTTAATTTTAAAATAGAAAAATGGAAGAATTATAGGTTATAAAAATAATTATTGTTGTTGGTGAACCATAAACAGTAAAACCCTCATTATTCTAATAATATGGCTTTAATGAGTTGACTCATAATCATCAAACAACAATAGGGTATGATTTTGCTTAAAAGATGTTAACGAAAAATGGCGTCAATTTGAAACTTTAGATTTGGGATGTAGCTGATTTTAAATATAATTATAGCACTCACATAGAATATTTTAATTGTAAGGTTATTAATTACCTTAAAAATTTTCCTTATTTCTTTATTATAAATATAACATATCTATCTTTAATCCTTGTGATTTCTCCATTTGTAAATTTATAATTGATTGAAGTTAGAATTTGGTTTAGACTTTTAATTCTAATGATGTAAAATGTCTTGTATTAAGTACTAGTTTCGATAATGAACGACTTTTGATTTAACCTCGAACGATAGCAAGCAAAAGTAGAGCACTTAAAAATTTAATGTCAAAATTTGATTTCCATGAATGTGATGATACATTATTTAACCTTTAAGTCAGATATCCACCGCATTTTCTCATTACATATAACTGTATTCCCTATAAACCATAATAAATCATTATTAGATCTTAGTTAAGTCAACCAATGTTAGTTATTTTTGGTATATTTTATTTGAAGTTTATCTAAATGAATATTATTAATTTGGATAAAATTTATAAATGTGTTACAACTATATTAATAGTTTCTTAGATGTTCTACAAACATAAAGTTGAAGTTTTGAACGCAAATAAATAAAGAAATTTTTTGATAATTAGGTGATTTTAGGTTCTTCTACTTCTCTATATATTTTTAAAGTTCCAATCACTAAGGCTCTGATTTTATTATTTTATATGCAATTGCATTTTCATTCCCTCTTTTTTCCAAAATAAATTATAAATTTGAAGCGAGTAACATACAAAGAAATATCAATTGATTCAGAATGTACTCTTTTTCCTTTAAATATAAAATGATATTAATAAAATTAAATTCATGACACAAGTGCATCTTCACCAGCCATTGGTTCTAATGGGATATCTTCCACTTTTACAGGTACTTCATTCATTATGGTGTAGTTCTTCAATTTCTGATGTAGTATTCTTCTACACAACAACAAAACGGCGAGTAACAGTATTATTAGACCACTAGTAAATGTATAATTTTAATTAGTTATACCCTAAAACACTACCAAGAGCAATGACTAAATTTTCATCTTCTTCAAAAAAGAGAATTTCCTTGCCAGAAACTGTAAAATTATGATAGATGACACATTATGAAAATGGAGAGTAATCGTTGTCGGATTCTTTGGTGCTACATTAAGTGGAGTTCATAGTTAAGGAATAATGCTAATATTGAGATGATTAAATTACTGTGACATCAGTTGATTGGGGTCTGCATTGTAACCAAGGAAAAACACTCTTGATGGCAAAGATATTGATATCATTATCAGATATGCCAACCATGAATGCTTATTTGTAATAGATGGTAGCTTTTTAGAATGGTTCAAAATCTAATGCATTTTGATTGTATAATTTCTAAGTCTTAACTCTGAATTCCTCTACGTTTTCTAAATCAAAATCTTCAAAGTATAATGGAACATCAATTTTATTCATATGTTTGTTGTAGATTGAATGGTAGATTACTCTATGAATTTCTTACCCAATCAGAATGGCGTATTGTTCCCCCATATAAACATCGAAGATATCCATGTCTTTGGAATAGATTCTATTGAAGTAATAATCATTGCTTTGTAGGAAGACTTCGATGGCATAGGGATCGCCAGAATCAGTGTTGGCAACTAGAATGAAAGTCTTTTTATAGAAATCAAAGGAAACAACGTTTTTTAGATAGATGATGATACCAGTATCCTCATATTGACTGACTGAAAATATTTCATAAATTAACAATCCCACATCAGCATTTAACAAATAGAGTTGAGTGCTTTCTTCATTTGTCAAGACTTCCAAAAAGTTACCATTCAGATTCAAACTTGTGAGATATTCGAAATTGTTTTTATTATCAAACAGATACACATCAACACCATCTCTACCATAAGCGGCATAGAGTGTCTGCAACTTTTCACAATAATGGATATGTTGGGGTGTTTATTTTTTATTCAAATTCAATTGAGTAAATTAATCGGTTAGGGTATTCACTATGAATGCATCTTACAATGTGAAGATTATGCAACTATTTGTATTGCACACTATCTAATGTGAATCACTCGTTGGTTTAATTGATGGTATCTATATGATTTTTACTCTTTTGAAATTTTTTATATTATCTCCATCAAAATCAATGTCCATTACGATCAAATGATTATCACTTCTGGTTGCAAAGACTTAGTTAGTCTCAATGTAAAGAGCTGTAAAGAATGCATTGGTAGAATTCGATTCGAATGTTTCCATGAAGAGGTCTTGATACACTAATCTTCTTGCGTATGGATAGCAATCAGGCAATGTAAATGGATCAAGTGTTGTATTGGGCATCATTTCAATGGATTGGCCATCTATGATTTAATTGAGCTTCATATCGTAAACCCCAGGATAACTAGATGATAGATTAAGACACACTGCTCACCTGTTGTATTGCAATAACAATGTCTGTCCAACATTGGGACTGTATTCTGTGTGCAATATTTGCTCATTTATTTTAGTTAATGTAGGTTGTGTGATCCTTTGAAGTTTGGCTATTGCAAGCAAATAAAAAATAAACATTAATTCAAAATCGAAACAAAAAAAATCATTATTGCAAAAATCTATTCATTGGATTTCACTGTTCTTTATTAATTTGTTGAAACATTTTCTATTTTGATTTTTGATTCTTAATCTTCTGGATCACACCCATGATGCTTCCGATTTTAAGCGGATGAATTTTCAATGGTTCATCAGGAATAATCAATTTTTCCTTTCTTAACATCATTTCCAACTTTGAGGTTATGATGTTGGAATTCTTCTTTTTTACCAATTTGATTGCTGGAGTTGAGATCTTCCTATTGCTTTCAATAGATTATTATGATACACATCTTAATTTTGAGATTTTACTCATAAATTCATCAATAGCTTGTTTACTGCAATTGCTATCCTTCAGCCTCTAACGAATTCCCGTTATTATGGTTTGGTTTTTGTCTGTTATGTTCTTACGCAATGATTCGTTTAATTGTTCCATAGTACTCGCTTCAATTGAAGCCTGTTGTTTAGAATACAAATCAGCCACACTTTGATTGTTGGAAATTGTAAACTCTATCCATAATGCACAACTTTACTCTTGTGTATGATTCTTTCCGGACTTTGAGAAATGAAAGTGTTTAGATCCTTAGGTGGCGATTGCTGCTATATCAATGTCCTCTCTGTTATTGATTTAATCTAATGATGATTCAATTTTATTATTCTCGATTTCCTCTCATCCCTCTCTTGAGTTTTCTCCCTGTATGATATTATACGAGGTTAACTGTTGCTAACAATTTTCTTCTGCATCCTTTGATCCAATATTGCTATTATCTCATCTATGTTTCCTGGCTCCGTGCAATCAATCGATTTATCCTTTAAATTCATTTTCGCTATTTCTTACTGCAATTTTTTTATGTTCATTACAATCGAATGTAAGTATGAAAAATAATCTTACTAACTATTATTTGCAGTCATATACTCCAAGTAGCTAATCTTCTATAATGCCCCTTAACTCAATCCCAATTTACTCATCACACTTTAAGTTGCCTAACAATCAAAATCAATCTTTTGTTCTAAAATTTGTTTCATCTCTTATATTGACATTTTATGCATTTCTTTAATATAATATATATATAACTTATGTAAGATGATTTTCGATATAATTTAGATATATATGGCGATAATGATACCTAGAATAGATATTAGTGCGTATTTTAAATATATAATATGACATTACTACGTTGTAAGTCTAAGAATTTTAAATATTACAAAAATAATCACAATATCTACCTATTTTGTAAATAACCAAAAGTCATTTAATGTATTTAATGTGAGCATTCATCCTTACTGCTTGTAAATGCTGGACTATCTTACACTTAATGATAAGTATTTAGATGTTGATAATATTACTCTAAAAGGAAAAGGTACTCCACTATCACAAGTAATTGTCTAATCCAAAAGAGAATTTACTATCTATCCTAATAGAGGATCTAAATGAATCAATTTTTTCTTTTCTAATCAGCTAATAGTAATGGATAAGCAAGAAATGATTAATTTATCGTTCTTGGTAATCATTAATTTTATTAATTATGGGTGATAATAATTCCAATAATTCTGATGGCATGCAATTATTGAAGACTCTTCTCACTGCAGACGTGCCATCCGAAGGATCTGTGATGTAATCTATTAGAAATGTATAAATGTATCTAATCATAGAAAGTCAATTCATTGCTCAATAACAAATAATAGATATCCATTTTATAAGAATTACAATAGGCGTATGAGTAATAATCTATCATGTTAGAAATCTTGATAACGAATTCAAAGAGATGACTGACAATACACTTATGGGACTCAATGCCATATATTTTTCATCTGTTGTCCTCACATAATTTATGTTCACTCGAAAAGTCAGCAAAGTTGTTTTCCTTCTAAGTTGTGCTTATTTCAACTTTTATTTAATCCAACCCATTGAGATTGAATACAAACTACGCAAATTGGCTTTGTAAAACACTCTTGCTGGGTAGGAAGTCAGGAATCTTTATAGATTCTATTTCCAAGATCACGAATTTATAAAGGAAATGACAGAAAAGTGCAAATTGTATACACAAGCTGATGAGATAAAAAAATAAATTTATTCCAGAAAATTGTGATGTTGACTGCTCTCTTGTCATTATAATATAACTAAATCATCCGATCAAATCAATTAATCAACTTTTTCTATTAATTTATAATTCATTAAAAATCTCTTCATAACCTATAAGTGATATGATTCTATCAAATTATTATTTTAATTGTATATATAATTAAATGTCTACCGATTAGTTCCTGAGGAGTGATCAAAGGCTTGTACGTGTACAGATATAAGATCAAAGGCTTGTACCTGTTCGGGTCTAAGCGCAGATACAGGTTTAGTACGAATATCAAGAATAAGATATTGAATACACAGGTATATAAATTATCAATTATTTTAGGCAGGAAATTGAATTATGAATTGAAGAAGGGTCCGATTGAATATAGATAACTCAAAAATCGCAGATATCTCGTTGCTTTTGTGGCGATGTGGGCCGCGATATTAGCTTTTTCAATATCGTCCATTGGGAAAGGAAATCTATAGGACATGTTTAAGCCATATGATAGTGTAAAATGAAAATCAATAATTTAGTAAAATAGATAATGTGGAAATGGTGATCTCATTAACTACCCTTTTATATATATGATAAATGAAGTAGATTACTATTGTGTTTATACTTGTCCCACAAAAGATGATCTTGGCAAACCACTTCCTTGCTTCCAATGTCCTTCAATAAAAACACCTTATCCCTCCAGAAAATATCGCACCATGTGTCAACCGACATAGGATGCAGATCCTTAATACAAAAAGCTGGCTTAGGGAGAATATATCTTTGACATGTTTAAAGATTATTCTATAGACATCAGAGAAGGACTGCCAATAATTTTGGGTTCAATCGGATTGAGTTTTTTTTTTTCTTTTTCCATATTACTTTTGATGAGATCTTCACCAGGATTCGTAGTTTGGGGAATAATTTTTATCATTTTCCTGCTCTTTGAAACGGTAGGAGGGGTTTCATTATCATTATATTACGGCTATAGAGTTGCCTATATACCTATATATGAAGACGGTAACCCTATAACTCTATTAATTGAGGGTTATGGGAGTTGTTGTGTTGGGGTGATTGTAGTAATTGTAGCCCTCTGTTTGACTAAAAAGATCAGATTAGCTATTTGCATAATGAAAGCAGCTGCCACTTTTGTATCTTAGGAATTTCCAATAGCTTTAGTTCCACTACTTATGTCAACCTTGGTACTTGGAATGATCGCATACTGGGCAATATTCTCAACTCTGATCTATGCAGCTAACACCGAGGCAAAGAAGGAAATAGATGATCCTTATGTTTAATTTGAAACAGATAAAAAATCCGAAACTAAATTACTTATCCTTGAAGTAGGGATAATGTGGACTGTATGTTATTTAACTGCACTTACTAATTTTGTTGTCGGCACTTCTTGTTGCTATTGGTATTACAGCCATTAGGGTAATTCAAGGAAAGGTAGTATTTAGAAAGGTTTTCGTAATGGATTATCGTATAATTTTGGTAGTCTTTTATATGGCGCAGCAATTTTTCCTCTTATTTGGGCAATTAAAAAAGCATTATCATAATACGTTGTAATATAAGTGTGTAATAATATAGAAACTTTATAAATCTATAGCGGTCCTTGCTTAGTATAACATGTGTTACTGGCTTTAATTTTTATACTGCAAATGCTACGTCAAATTTTTCGATAAAGTAATTAAATTCTTGGATAAAAATGTATATATAATAATGGCATTAACCGGAGACGACTTTTGTACTTCTGCACGTGATGCCTTCTATCTTATTTATCGAAATCAAGGTCGTGTGGCTTTCACACAAGGAGGTAAGAACTCTATTAATTCTAATATTAGTGGGTGCGATTTTTCAAATTTTGAGTGTTCTCTTTATCGTGTTAGCTTCCACCTCAATTTGTTTCTTTATCATGCTTAGTGAATATTTTACTTTTAAGGATTCCAATTTCATCTTAGTTGTAATTCTAATAATCAATTATTATAGCTCATTTAAGTTATTTCCTATTTTATTGCTCAAAATTTCATGTTGTTATATGGGTATGGAGTTGATACTATATTGTTCTGTTTGATTGTTGATATCGAATAGAATATAAACGAAGGAGGTGCCAAATCAATACCACCAGTCCTTAAAAAATATGCCTCAGAATTATTTTGAATTTGATAAACCATATATAAATATATCTACAGTACTCGTTATTCCTCCTTAAATATTTTTTATAATTCTCCTATTTCGGTTGATTTTAATGAATTCCAATAATAAATTATCACTATCATAATACATCAAAATTTATTTAAAAAATACTCTACTTATTTGATTAATGCTGTTCTTTTTATAATTCATTAAAGGGTTTACAAAAATAATAACAAAAAATAAATCATTCTTTTTCCTTCTATTCGATCTTCTCACTTAGTTCTAGTATGACATTGTCTCTTAGTTCAATTTCATCTTACAAATTACTGAATTATGCTTCAATTGCAGCTATTCTTTCTCTCAGCTAAAAATAATCCTTCTAATAATTGTACAATGTCATTTTCATCAAAACAATGCTTCAAGATCAACTTGTGCAATTTTAGCTATTGTATAAGTGTCTGCTTGTCCATGTTCTCAAATTACAACTCATCTAAAGAACCTTTCACATTGTTAATTTCTGTATTTGTAGGTGGAACTTACTTTTCTGTATTTCCAATCTTTTCAACTTTCTCCCCGAGTGCGGCAGCCTATTTCTCCCCTTTATTCACTTAACTAACATTAGAGAATGGAATTCTTGCAGTAGCCATTTTAATTATATTAATAATAATTATTAAATTTAAACCCGCGCTTTCAATTCATTAATGTCCCGCTCATTAAAAACATATTCTTGATTATTTTAATATTTATCTGAGTAAGTTGCCAATATTCTTAATATAAGAAACAAATAAAGCAAAATATCATTATTTAGGAAGTGAGTCAATCTCTTCTTGTAGAATGTTTTAGACACATTTTGGATATTCGTAATTCTTATACCCACGAAATAATGGAGTATATTCTTTCTAGATAAAATTAATTAATTATATTTTACTAAATATGCCAGGATATTTTTGGCCATTTAATCCTTCTTAACAGTAAACGATGGAATTATCAAATCTGGTATTGTTGGAACATTCTCTCGATTGAATACTCTTAATTTGTGTTCCTCAGGATCCATTCTTCCATTCCCCTTTGTAATCTTATTTTTTGATGTAATATTTAAAATAGGAGGCTTCTTTTTGAATTTCTCTTAATAAATTATATGATATTACTGCAAATAGTACTGGGTTTTATCTCTTCTCGTACATCCTTTAAAGTGTGTGATCGTATATCTATTCTCTCTTCTTCACGGCCTCAGAATACGAAGTCTTCTCACTCACTGCTAATCGTTATAGTTCCTGAGCTCTTGGTTCCTCAGACAACAGTTCTTCATCATCTTACTCCTACTAAGAAAGTTCCTCCTCCTTTTAATCCACGATCTGAGGATTTGTCATAAAATCTAATGCTCTTTTCTGATCCTCCTCATTTTCATATAATTTCTATTATTCTTATTTTTCACGTTGCAATTTCTCGTGTCTCTCCCTCTCCATCACTCTGCGATAAGCCAGAATTTTCTTGTCTATCTATTTGATTGCCTCAGGTATGGGAATAGGCTTTGGAACATACTAAGTAGTGTTAAGTGTTAATTACTGGCTAAGCATACTGAATAGAGGGTTGAGGAATAACAATCATCTCCTAGGTTGCTTTTGGTTTTCGACTTTCTTAATTATGAAATGGAATTACAAAAACCGTTATGCATTTCTCATTTGAGGGGGATGTTCACTCTCTTCCTTGTCATTTAGAAACCTAGCTTTTTAATTCTAAGATTTAGCTTTGTTTTCTAAATTCTGTTTTTGTGAAATGAACTTTTAAGACATCACTTAATTATTTTAATATAATACTACAATTTAATAGATAGTCAATGTTTTTGAGAACAATTATGAAAATTCAGATTGTTCATCATCCCAATCTATAAGTCCGAATTCAACTCATCTAAAATTTGTTAATATTGACTGATCGACTATTCCAAATCAGAAATATAAGTTTATTTCTACGCAATATAATACTTCACATCATCCAACATCTATTCATAATAAATTTTCTAATATTAATTGTGTTTTAATTGCCTCCCCGTTTATTACAACTTGGGTGCTGTTACCTCTATTTTCTTAATTAATTGAGCTCTCTCCTTTTACTTACTCTTCATTTTCCTCTTCTCCCTTTCTATTTCATCCAATTCATTTAAAGCAATCTCATCCTGCTCTCTGAACTCAATGAATTGTTGTTTCTAAGTAAAGGGGGCCTTCTAGAATGCCTTTGAGTCGACTTCGTAATCGATTAGGGATATCTAATATTTATCCTTTTATAGTTCAACGCATTTTTAATATTCCTCTTCCTAGCATTTGCTCAGTTTCTCCTGGATTTTATAAAAATTATTTGTTTATTTTTCCTCCAAATTTGAGTATTTTTCATATTGGCTTTTAACTCCATTGAATAGGATTCTTTTCTCTTTTAATTCTTTTTTTTCATTTTATAACTTAAGTTGTAGTTTCTTGATTTTGACATTGGTTTTGTCTATCTCTTACTTCAAGAAATCAATTTGTTTATTAGTCCCTTAAGACATATTTTATTATTTGTTTGTTAAAATAAATAATTTTTAAAGAATCAGTAATTATAGTTCCGTTTAAATTGAAACTTAAACACCCATATATAATCAGCATTTCTGTCTTATAAATAATATATTATTTCATAATAAAAATCAGAAACTCATATTAATGAGCACCATCCTGGTTTTTAATTTTAGACGTCTTCCTCCACTTTTTTGAATTGTTTTTATTGAATGATATCATTAATAAGGCCAGTAAACATTTAATTGACATTGGATCCATTCTTGGCTGAGGTCTCATAAAAGAGTGCTTTGAATTAAGCAGCCAACTACTTTCCTTCATCGTAGGCAATAACTCTTTCAGAAGCTAAATCAGTTTTATTTCCAACAATAACAATGGATGGAACATAATCTTGCATCTTAAATAACTATTAAAATAACAACAAAGTGTTTTTGATATCTTCAAAACTTTCTAAAGAGTTGATTGCATATGTGAATATCAACCCTTCCTTATCCTTCATCCATTGGGTTCTCAAGGATGTGTATGCTTCTTAACCACAGGTGTCCGATATCTTTGTGAATGGATATACAATTTACTTCGATTTGGCATTGTTACTCACCTACGATTACTCTTTTTGTGTATTTATCCAAAAGAGTGAGACTGTATTCTTCAAAAAATTCATTGTTAACCCATCGAGTGGTCAAATTGGATTTTCCAACAGAACCCATTCCCAACAATGAAATCCTGTATTAAACTAATTATTTTGATTCTGCTGAAGAATTTTAAAAATTAGAATTATAATTATTGAACTCCTCTCCCTATAATGATAATACATTTTGGGCATACGCTGGATATGAAATAATTCCCTCCCATTTAGATCCTGTCTATGTCCAAAATCTCCTTGCCTGATTGATCAAATATCCTAGACGCTCTTATTTCTAATAATGATGATGTCCAGAACCTAAAACTGCTGAGCACATCTGCATGAATTTCCTTCGGTCGGTTTCTTTCCTTAAATAATGCACCTTCATTGATTTACGTGGATTCCCATTATTATATATTTGTATTGTAACATTATTGGTATTTATCATATAAATTATTATATTTTCTTTATGATTATCATTATACCAAAATAAACTTATGTTGAACTAAACAAAGTGCTTTTATGACTTTGCCCTCTGCAGAATTGATATTAAATTAATATAATACGAATTTGAGAATATAAGAGTGAATTAGTTCATTGTTGTTTTTTTGTGCTAAAGTGGCTTAAGTAATTTTGGAGAATGGTTCTGGCAAAGGGTTTGACTCGGTTAAGACAACTCCTCAATTGTGCATCTGGTATTTATGCATGTTTCGATATGACGGTTAAATTGATACCGCCATATTAAGAATATATGATATCAGATGCCAACTTTATTGCCAACGCATTCTAAATTTACTTTGGCAGTTTGTTCACCAACTATCTAATTGTATTGAGCATTATTTGACAAGCCTTCGTGGCCTTATTGTCCATTTTGAGTTTCTTGCATAAGTTAGGTAGACTATTGTTCAGTTGGGTCTCAATCAAAGAAGACAAAAACTGAATCTTCGAGTTAGCCATTACAGGCTCAAGATTCAATTACTTCATTGCGATATGGATTACAGCCTAGGCATACTAGGATGAGTTGGGTATTTAAATCGAAGACAAAATTTAAACACATTGCTTCTCAATCTCCATGTTTAGATCCATTTTGCCAATTTAATGGCTAATTTCTTCATATAATGAAATTTATTTTGTGGGAGTTTATTCTCCTTCCGTAAATTTGGGAATGGGAGTCCATTTTGACATTCTTTTTGATTATTTATTAATTAAAATCAAAAATTCTAATTAATTCAAGAATGACACCGCAACTAAACATACAAATTTTAAAATACACCAATATCAAATATCTTCTATAATATAAGATAAATTAATCTTTACTTTTCTTAATTCATCCCATGAACACATCACCTTTGAAAAGGAACACCCTTTGGAGCATATAACATCTTTATTATCATTTTAATATAAATGTAAGCAATATATTCCACATTATCAAATATTTTAGTTGATTAAAAACCGTTTACAGCATAATTATAAAATCCTTTAAATGTGATTTTTAATCAAAAGGTATTAGGATGTAGAAATACAGCTTATTATTCATTTTAATCAGATAGAGTAACAAAAGGATGATGATAAATTTTAGCATAAAAAATAAATTTTTATATTTGAATAAATTAGCAGATATTATTACCTATTATTTTGTACAGCATTCGATTATACAGTTTAAATATGTTTAACAGAAATCATAATATATAAATCTGAATATAAAGTAAAGTGATATAATTTTTAAATGAATCAACTCATTCTTACTCAAAAAATATTTCTTTTTAATTGAACACACAGATAATCTTTGGATATATATACAATCTAAATAAGAAAAAGGTGTATTATATTTTAAATTTATAAGATTTCAAGAAATAACTGTTATGGTATAAATTATAAATGTTATATATATAATTATATTTCAATAAAACTAATTAGATATCTAGAAAAATTCTGAATGGAATAATTGACTTTTATATAATTAAGCAAACAAGAGTAATGAAATTGTTCAAATTTTTATATAAATCTTTTTTAAATTCTTATTAAAATAATCTCAATATTATGACACACAGAATCAAACCAAAAATATTTGATAAAATTTTTAATATAAATAGGAGGTGGAAAACATTTAAATAGAATTTCTTCCCAGGGGTCACTCGATGTTTGGGTCTTCTTCTGAAATTGGTTTCGTTCATTCTTTTTACGGTGAGGTTTTTGGTGGTTCAGTTAAAATAAGATTCTTAGGTCTAATTTTATTTGTCTTCATCTTCTAATTGCCATTTGGAAACAGTGAGTTGTATTTCTTGGGAGAATTCGATTTCCGTTGATTAATTTATGAATATTAAATTTATTGAGAATTGATAATCAAAATTAGTTATATAATTGTGTTCTTTCATACTTATAGAAATTGTGATTGTCTTTCAAATCGTCTCTTTCCATTCTCTCTTTGGATTCGCATATCTTGTATTTGTATGTGCACAAGTTGTGATTTTTCTTAAACTCTTTAAACTTGGATTAATCGAAATTGCATCTGTTTAAATTGCAGTAATATTTCAATTGTTTGCTAACCAAATACATTTATAAATAAATTTCTTAGGTCTAATTCATATCATGGGTGCTCATGAATTTAGACAATAAATCGATGGTTTGATTCTGATATGAAACAAGATCTTTGAGAATTAAATCAAAACAAAAACGAAGTCTCGAATTTCTCTGGCCTTCAATTATTCTTAATCCCAAACATTAGATATTTTAGATGACGAAACAATCTATAACGGGAATATCACAAAGTTGCTACATGCACACTCTTTTTAAATAGATGTAATAGACCTGTAGAATCTATTGGTAAGTTAGAGGTTCTCTGACTTCTTAAAAATAGATTTTCTTATCAGTCGCACTCTACCTGTAATTCTGTTCATCTTTGAAGTAATTTTACTCCAGAGACTGCTTAGGCGCGTTATCCCAACTAGGTGCCACGTTCACACTTTTAGAGATGGTCAAGTTCAATTCAGTGGGCAGTCTCTCCAATACAAAACTTGTGTTGAGTGTGTTGGTTATCATGCTTATATTGCAGTCGGCGAATACGTCCTTCGGGAGAGAACATTATTGAATCATATAATGAAATACACTTAGGAGTCGTAATATTTATTCAGGGGACAAAGAACCATCAAATGGTTTTGATAGTTCTTGGAAAACTTTCGAAAGGCCTATCAAAATACCATAGAAGCATACCAATTTTTAGTATCTATTCACTTATGTCAATCTCATCATTTTTATGATTCATCATGTGAATTAGAGTTTGTTTAATCATTTTTAATAAATAATTATATCAGGAAATAAATCTCCCTGTAATAGGATCTCTACTACCCATTCTATACTAAGGGATCTCGGAAGTGTTAAATGATTGATGTTTCTTCTCTGTAGTCGGATTCCAATAGTCAAAAGCAGATGCCTTTTTTATTCTTTCCTAATTTGCCTAATGGTCATACAGCCACAGCACATACCTCATGATTAGTAATGATATCGTATTTCTCTGGTTTCGGATGATACACCAATTGTCTTTAGGGGGGTTTGGGTTCTTGAGCAATCAGTTAGGCAGTCTTGTAATTTGGATGGTCATCGCCCATCACTATTTGAGTGGCCATCAAGGTAAGCTTGTCTCTAATAGGTTTGGCTCTGGGGGGATTCTGATAGTCCTTATAATTCTTGTATTCGGAGTTGAAGTGAGTATCCTTTTTGTAAGGCACATTAATGTGATCAATATGTATGGTTGATGGATGCATATTGGCGCACTAAATAACGATTACAACATCAGTACATTGTCCCTTTTCACTACATCTTTGTTGGGCTTATAGTCTACTTCATAAACGGTTTCATTTGATTATTGCCATGGTTTCCATCCGATGTTGTAGTGATGTTCTCTCTATTCCATGCCTATTGGAGGAGCGTACTTGCCTACTCCGACATTCAGGTTGTCTGAAATCCCCTTAAATACCCCTTTATACCCTTCAGTCTGAGGTCCTGGATCTCTTTGAATTTTACGAACGCTCATATTTTATTATATTAATCATAATATTTTCTCAAGTTTCCCAATTCTCAATCCCAATTGAATATCATAAGAAATACTTAGATTTCATGTGTGTAAATATTTTTGAGTTTACTGATTGCAATTTAGAGGGACGAATTACCAAACCTACAATAATAATTAGCTAATCCATAATTGATTGTAAAAATAAATATTTTTAAAAATCAATTTGTTATAAAATTAGATTACATTTATTGTTGCCCCAATTCCACCCTAACCTTCTCCATTATGGAGTCAATTATATCCTCATTGTTTTCGTCTTCCTATTGGAAGTACTTAATTTTTTCTTTGTTTTAAATGTCCTTCAATTTTTCCAATTATTTCTTATCCTTTAGTTTTTAGAGCTGTTTCTCTTTTTTATGTTTCTCATAAAGGAAATCACTAAAACTCTTTAAATCATCTCAACAAATACAATAATTGAATAGCTTTGATAAGGCGAAAAGGCTTGCACGACTTTCGGATTCAGCTTTAAAGGAACTCTTCGAAACTATTGATTATACGATCCAATTTGCTGTGCTCTTGGCAATGATATAATGTCCTTAACATTCGGTTCTATAATCATTCTTGCATGTATTCTTTTGGTCGAATTCATATTCGGATTAGTAGTTACGTGTAAGGAAGGAAGAGAAGGTTATGCTTTTTCGTGCATATTAATAAAATATTTAATTAATTAAATAATTCACTTAACCTTGTAAGAGTCCTTGTCCTTCTTCTTCTTTTCTTCGTCCTTATCCTCCAAAGGAATGACACATTTGATCAACCGATTGGATCCATTTGAATTGTCAGTCAAATAGAGGTTAGTTGGTTTAATGATGGAAAAGCACATTCCTGTTATTTCTGGACTTCCTGGAATCAGAATGTTTTCTAAAAGTTAGCCTTAAGGATTTAAAACGGATATCAAACCCACATCGTGTTCATTGCCTACTGAAAATTCATAACGAGCAACATAAAGGAAATCCGATTGAGAAATTACAAGTGCTGTGGGTCCAAACCTGCCTGAAAATTAATGATACACACTTTTATAATAGCATAAAAGTCATACCTAAATGCGTAGATCCCAGAATTTGTAAGCACAAACCTTATGATACGATTCTCACATGTCTCACTGACAAATAAGTTCTTCTCATCATGACTCAAAGCCAAACCACTTGGATGGGCTAAACATCTGTATGCTAAGGCAGTTGGCTTGATTTCTGGACCGTCTACGTCAACCATGAAAACTGAGCCAATTGGGTTTTCAACACTAGTTTCCCCAAAAGGACCTGAATCTGTAAAAAATATTGCATCTAGGATTTAAATCACATTCTCGATTACTTAAGGTGACATACGAGATGATAACTTAATTGGGACCCAAGAAAGGCATTCCTTCATATTCAGTGACAAAATCCTTGGCTCCTTCTTAGAGTTGATTAGTTGATGACAGTTAATTTAATTGCTTGTATGTAATTGCTTGATGTGCCATGTCAGCAATATAGATTACTGTATGATCTCGTTCTATTGTAATTGATGATGGTTGTCCTCCCATTCTGGTGTCAATTTTGAGTTCGTTATTCATTATTAAAATGTCTCCATTCTCAGATACCATATAGATGGATCCATTGACTTCATGTGGTGAGGAAAGAGGATTTGAAAAAGAGCAAATTTTTTCTGCAGTTACTTACATAAGCAAAATTAATTAATAGTTATTTATAAACCAAAATCAATTTTTATTCGCAATTCATGAATTTGAAAAAAATCAATAATTTCATCACTTATCATAAATGGAGTAATTTAGGTTTAGATAAAAATAGATTTTGTTGAAATCATAATACTAAAAATATAGACTATCCTAATTGACAAATTTTTACAACCATTAATAGGAGAATATCATTGGAATTCTCATTTACTTGCTAAAGAGAATTTCCTACAGTTCTAATATTCATCATTGATGTATTTTACAATTATCGATGTTCTGATTTATATATTGTTATCAGATTATAGGCAGTGTAAGAATCATTTAGAAACCTTTTGTTTGGTTTTAGAGATGTAGCTTTTTATTGGAGATTTGATCTAATGTATATAACTTTGAAGAAATAATAATAATTATTGTCTTAGATGAAGAATATTTCTAACTCCTTTAATAATGGTAAATGTAATGTTTGAACATCAAATGAAGATAAAAGAAAGTTCAAATACTGATATCGAATACCATTTTAAGAATTGCCTTGCTACTTTGATAGTTTAATTGTTTTTCTGATGAGTCAAATGCGAACGATTATTTGTAATGATTTCGGAAAGTGCATAAATAAGGTAGAAATATCAAGCAATTGGAGTTATGAGGCTTAATGAGGTTGTTTTGCTTTTGGGAGTATTGGAGATTAAACTATTAATTTGATATTGGTTTTATATAATTAAAAAATTAAATTAAAATGTGTTTTTCCACATGTTCTAGAATATTCAACATATATATTTTTAAGAAAAGTTAAAAGAAAATTAATATTATTTATTTTTCACACGTCACAAATTATGAAAACAATTATCCTCGTCGTACTTCTACTCGGAGCATGGGCATAGGAAAAGTCAAACAAAGTTGAATGCCCTGTCATTGGTATTGATTTGGGAACAACATATTCATGTGTTGGAATTTACAAAAATGGAAATGTCGAAATCATTCCAAACGAATAAGGAAACAGAATTACACCCTCAGTTGTAGCATTTACAGATGAAGAACGTCTCATCGGAGAAGCTGCCAAAAACTAAGCAGCCATCAACCCTACCAGAACACTCTACGATGTCAAGAGATTGATTGGAAGAAAGTAAGAATATTAATCTTATAGTATTTTAGATTCACAGATTCCACAGTCCAATATGATAAAAAGTTTATGCCATATGATATCGTTGATAAGGACACCAAACCATACATTAAAGTCACCAACATCAAGGGTCATCAATCCAAGATCTTTTCCCCTGAAGAAATTTCAGCTATGGTTTTGACCAAAATGAAGGAAATCTCAGAAACCTATTTGGGAAAGAAAGTTATTAATGCAGTTGTCACAGTGCCTGCCTATTTCAATGATGCTTAAAGACAAGCTACCAAAGATGCAGGAACCATCTCAGGTTTGAATGTTGTGAGAATTCTCAATGAACCAACAGCAGCAGCTATTGCCTATGGTCTTGATAAGAAGGATGGAGAAAAGAACATCTTGGTCTTCGATTTAGGAGGTGGTACTTTTGATGTTTCCATCTTAACTATTGATAATGGTGTCTTTGAAGTCGTTGCCACTTCAGGAGATACTCACTTGGGAGGTGAAGATTTTGATCAAAGAATCATTGATCATTTCATCAAGGTCATCAAGAAGAAGCACAATAAAGATATCAGTGCTGACAAGAGAGCCATCCAAAAATTAAAGAGAGAAGTCGAAAAATCAAAGAGAGCTCTCTCAGCAACCCATGAAACTAAAATCGAAATTGAAGATTTAGTCGATGGTTTGGACTTCAATGAAGTACTCACCAGAGCTAAGTTTGAAGAATTGAACAATGATCTCTTCAAGAAGACCACTGGTCCCATGTAAACTGCTTTGGAAGACTCTAAATTCAAAAAGACTGAAATCCACGAAATCGTTTTGGTTGGAGGATCAAGCAGAATTCCAAAGATTAGATAAATTGTTAAGGATTTCTTCAATGGAAAGGAAGCCAACACTGGTATCAATCCAGATGAAGCTGTTTGCTATGGTGCTGCCATCCAAGGAGGTATCATCTGTGGTGAAGAATCCAATGAAACTAAAGGTTTGATCGTTATCGATGCTACTCCTTTGAGTTTGGGTATTGAAACAGTTGGTGGAGTCATGACTAAAATCATTCCAAAGGGATCTTACATTCCAACCAAAAAGTCTCAAGTCTTCACTACTTATCAAGATCAATAATAAACAGTTACCATCTCAGTTTTTGAAGGAGAAAGACCACTTGTTAAAGACAATCACAAGTTAGGAACTTTCGATTTGACAGGTATCCCACCAGCTCCAAGAGGAACTCCTTAAATTGAAGTTACTTTCGAAATTGATGCTAATGGTATCCTCCAAGTTGCTGCCCAAGATAAGGGAACAGGAGTCAAGAATCAAATTGTTATCACCAACGATTCAGGAAGATTATCAAAGGAAGAAATCGACAAGATGTTGAGAGAAGCTGAAGAGTTTGCTGAATAAGATAAAACCGCTAAGGAAAGAATTGACGCCAAGAACTCTTTGGAAAGTTACATCTACTCAATGAAGAACCAAATTGAAGTATTATTCTATATCTATCATTTTAGGATCCAGAAAAGTTGGCTAACAAATTGTCTGATGATGATAAGGATACTATTAAGGATGCATTGAAGGACAGCTAAGATTGGTTAGATAAAAATCAAAATGGAGAAAAAGAAGACTATGAAGAAGAACTTAAAGAATTAGAAAAGTATATTATTAATATATTCTTTAGAATCTGCAATCCAATCATTAGTAAAGTTTACTAGTAATCTGGAAAATAACAATAAGCATCAGATGACGACTATGATTCCGATTTATGATTTATGTATATTTCTGTGTGTTTTGAATTAATTATTCAGTTAAACTAAAGCTTTCTAGTACAAATTATTAAATTTAAATGTAAATTAATGGAAAATTCTGTTTCCATATTAATAAATTAATTAATTCTACTTTATGAATGAAATATCAGATTACATAAAAGTGACAAGAAATTATTGATGTATATTGAGTATTAATAAACGTATTGTAGATAATTTTATTATTAATGGATCCAAGTATTGATTCATTTAATCTTATTATTATATTTCAATTAAATGAATAATTAGAAAAATGTCAATGTGAGATTATGTATTTATGATCACACTTTTGTTAAGCAAATGCAATTATAATCTCTTCCCCTGAGTTCCTGGTTTTTGATGTTCTCTGCCCTCAGTGATGCAGCTCTACTAATTTTATCGACTCCTCCGAACAATCTTTATTATGTATTTTAACCAGGATTGATAGCTTCTTTTATGCATCCATTTTGAATCCATTTCAAAGGTACTACACAGGGTATTAGCCTAACACTCTGGTATGATTGATTTGAGTTAGAGTATCATCATATTTTCTATTATCAAATTCGATATTAGGATTGGCACTTGCATATTTTTCCAATGCTTAAGTTATTTTAGTAATTATACATTAATATCTATTGATTGAATGGATCATTCTATTTTCTTATTTCTGCTTATATTTTTGATGCTCATCTTTGTACAATTCAGAATTTTCAATGGTAGGATTGTCAATTCCAATTATTCCTGATCTAATATTACAAATTCTTCTACTTGTAGGCTTGTCTGATTTTTCTGTAGGCCTTGTTAGCTTCACCAAATTCTTCTCGCCATTAATGAAATCTATATGATTGATCTAATTTACTTTTTTTGCTATTCTTATGTTTCTCTGAGTTCAGCCAGATACCCTGATGGCTTTTTGAGTGTGATTACTTAGGACAAGGCGAGATTTTGTTCTACATAGTTTTTTTCAGGGATTTCCAATCTCTTCCTTATAACTTCTTGTGAATGATTGACTGGATGATCAGAGACAATATGATTAATTTTGCTCATGTTCAAGTAATCAATATATTCTGGAATTATTCGAGGTTGTTGTCTACGAAAAAAGAAACTCTGATTCTAACCACTCCCAACAAAAACTGCTTGGTTGTCAAGATCTTAGGTTTATCTCATGCTTGAGTATTTGCTCTATTTGAGGAAGGTGTCTAGGTGTTTAGCATCCCAACTGCTTCCGGACAGTGAACTCTGATTCTCGTCAATCAAAGGCTAACTAATAACATTCAAGCAATGTGAAACTTCATTGATCTAGATAATCCAGGTTGAACACTGGGCATCATCTTCACTGTTTTAGTTTGGGCTTCGTGTTCCATTCTATAAAATTCGCGAAAATTGTTCCTTCCAACATCTTATATCTTCTCCTTCTATCTAAATAACATTTAATATCGTGATTTTATATTATACCTAACAAGTTACAATACTGCTGTATTATATTTTAGTTCACTCTCGCTTATATTCCTAATTAGCCAATCAAATTGCAGAATAGACACATTAAGTATTGAGTATTCAAGTTTATTTTCAAATTAATAAAAATGGCACCATCAAAATCACCAAAGGCAGACGCCGCAAAAAAGACAGTCAAGACAGTCAAGACCAAGAAGGGCTCAGATGACAAGAAGAAGGCAAGAAGACGATAAGAGACTTTCGCTCTCTATATCTACAAGGTCTTGAGATAAGTCCACCCAGAAATTGGTGTTTCAAGAAAAGCTATGAACATTATGAACTCATTCATCAACGATATCTTCGATAGAATTGCCCTTGAAGCTAGCAAATTGGTCAGATTTAACAAGAGAAGAACCCTCAGTTCAAGGGAAATCCAAACAGCAGTCAAGTTGCTCCTCCCAGGAGAATTGGCCAGACATGCCATCTCTGAAGGAACAAAGGCCGTCACCAAATACACAAGTGGTTGACTTATAAAATTTAATTCACATCAAATTAAAAATACCTCCATTTTCCCATTTTCACACAATTTATTCACACCCTATTCCCCTCCAAAACAAGAGTGTTTCTTTTCCAATCTCCCCATCTTAACACATGAGTTTTGAAGTACTAACAAAAATATCCAAATTTTAGAAATTCTCAGCAATACCCTTCCATACTATTTCGAATCAAATAATGAATTTCACATAAATAACAGATAAAATAAAGAAATTTATATTCCCTAAATATTATTAAAAATAATTTTCATAAAAATTATGGGATTATAATCAAGAATTGGAAGATTAGGTATATTCATTTTCTTTGTTGGATTTGCCATTCATTAATTACAGAACCCCAAAACAGCAATTACATAAACGCATGAAAAAACAAATCAGTTTCTTTAACTCATTGCATAATTAACAAAAAGCCCATCGATAGTAAACTTTATTAATTATTTTTAGTAATTTTCATTGGAATCAATACCTCTAGTTGTATTTAGCTGTGCTGTATTGAAATTTTTAGTAGGCCTTGGTGTACTACTTAAATGGAATTATGTAAAATTCATTGGATCCATCTATTTACTTTCAGCTATATTTGTTGTACATAATCCAATATTTTCATAATCATATAAAGATTCCATCATGTTTGTAGGAGCATTAGGAGCATTACAATTTGCTTGATTTATAAAAGTTAAAATAAATAGATTGTACAATTAAATTACATTTGAAAAACCTATCTTAATCTTATTGATACTCCTCTCTATATTTCAATTAAATTAGGAAGGATAATCTTATAATACAATAATAATATGCCAAATAGTTGTTTCATATAATTGATATGAATAGGTTTTACATAAAATTAAATTCTCAAATTCTTTGTCTAAATTTCTAAAATGAAAATCTTCAAAATATCTTTTTACAATCTATTTTTCTTCTTATCCTCTCCTTTATTTTATCAAATTTTTAAGTCAATATCTTATGGGAGTCCTACAGATGTTCAATAATCAATATTGCATTATAATATCAAAATTCTGACATATAAACTTTCAATATAAGACTCAAAATCATTGCTTTTAGTTTGATTACACAACTATTATAATAACCCATTCTAATTGTATGTGAATTATTGGAGAAAGTAATTTACAACATTGACAGAACTGGTCTAAAATAATGTTTCTAAACTATTAATAAATGATAACATTTAATTAATCTACTTTGTGGAGTAAAAAGTTGGATCTCTGAAGTACAAGTTTGAAACATATTTTATATTATTAGAATTAAATTTCTCCTTGAATAAATAATAATAATTTATGAAATTAGTGAAACCGCCTCTCTAGGTAAGAGAAAAATAATGGGACAATCGTTTTTATTTGGGAAAGCTGAGTGATCACGAAATTAAGAAATAGTTTATGATTAAGAAGAAATCAGTAAAAAGACCTACATCTACAAATAAAATTGTGGTCGATGAAAAATCATTAGCAATACGACTTTATGAATTATAATTATTGTGGGAATAATTCCGTATTCCTCAATTTCATAGGGCCTACTTTCTTCAATATAATGAAAAAGATCTTGAAGCTATTTTAAGAGAAACTGCTGAAATCAAGTTGAAGTAATCCATAGTACAAAAGCTAATGAGCTTGGTGAAAGGCAGGGAGAGATGTTTGAATTATTTGAAAACTGAAACATTTGAAGAACATAAATTCTCAGAACTTTTATTTCATCTCAGAATTTTAACAGTCAATGTTATTGAGCAATTTAAAAAATGGAGAGATTCCCTCAATAGATGTGTTCGCTGGAGAATAGACGAAGTAGATTATCTCGTTAAATTAAGAGGAGATATTGATTTTCTAAAAGAATTTTATTAAGATTACCAAAGAGACCCATTTTTGTTATGGCTCTACAAATTAGGAAAGAATGACCCAGTCCATTCAAATTACCATCAATTGCAGAAGGACATGATGAAAAGAATTCGTGATTGGTATTCATAAACAATTATATTTTCAGCGAAATTTTACTCATAGAGAATGATTACTTTGACATGTAAACCAACATTTTATCGAGAAAGGAAGCTCAATTGATAAATAAATATCTCAGAGAATCAACACTACAAATGGAAGACTAAAAAAGTTTGGAGTTAAAAATTTTGAGTCCAAATCATAAACAGACTAAGACAGTTTAAATTTAGGATAATCTGACTTTTGTTCCATAAGTTGTAAGAAATAAAGAGCAATTCACTAAATTGTTGAATTAAATAAAAAATGACGGCGACATTGAGTGCTCATTTCCAATAAGGGACAATTTATTTGAATTGATTGACTATTAGGATTCACAAATCCTAGCCTTTATGCAGCATTCAAAAATAAAAGGTATCTGCATTAGTTCGAATGAACAGTCTGAATAATATAGAAAAGTCATTATTGAATAAATTAAATTAGAAAATATGTAACTGTTTCCTCAATTCATCTAATAAATAAGTGATTATTTACCTGGAAATGAAATTACTATCAAACTGGTTCATTATATTTAAAATGAAAAATTGATTGATTGTGAATATTTAAAAGTTGCTCTAAAACAAGAAGGATTTAGATGGAAGCAGTAGACAAATGATAGTGAAAAAAATATCAGATATACAATTTATTATAAGAAGAAGGAATATCAGAAGTAATAGATGAATCAATTTACATTTAATTTCCATGTTCATAGCACAAAACTAAATTAATTGATGCAATTAGTGTATAATAATATCACTGACAGCACTGATGTAGCTTAAAAATTTAAACGTTATGTTGATTCAAGAAAAACTGAACATAATCCCCCTCAAATAAAATTGAAACCCAATATTTAAGATGATCGGGTGGTTTTATTAGATATAAAATTTAAATTACCATCCTTTAGAACAGAAGTGAGGAATGAGTATAAATATTACAGAATTGTATTTAAATTATTCATAATTAGATTTAAGATCCTGAAATAAGTAATATATATTTTACCGAAATCGATGGATAAATAATTTATGCTTTATCTTTATTGGACAATGATTATTATATCCTTATTTCTAAGGATCAAATCAATCATGAAACGATTTAAATATCTTAGTTTTAACCAACAGAATAGGATCTCTCAATACCAATGTTTTATTACAAAGATGAAATTGCTGATGTTTTTAATCATCATGTCAATTTGTAATTTGAGCACCTAATGGCAGTCAAAAGAAATGCGAATAAAGAAAAATAATCCATCGAAATAGCACCAGATTCCTTTTATTTCTCCATTTTGTACGATAGCCATATGATAAACTCCTTCAAAATTAAGCAACATCATTTAATTAAATTTAAGCCATTGAAGTCATCAGTCATGATCAGTGATGATATTAAGTTTGATAAATCTAAATTTGTTATACCCTGTTTGCCCTTAATCCTTAAAAACCTAGAACCTGAGCCTTTAAAAATCATGATCAAGAATCATGAATGCATTTGTGCTTTAGATAATTATGCAAATTTCAGAAAGTGGATTATTTATACGATTGTTGGTTGCCAAGAGAATTAATTGAAGGATGTGCTTGAATAGTTACTAACCTAGTTGACTCTAATTGATCCGAATATTCAAGAAGTTGGTATTGAGTAATTTTTATGAATAATTTTAGCTTTTATCATGAAATGGTGAATGGAGAATATACAGTTAATAAAAACATCTAGAAATAACTTACATCTCTTGGGTTCAAGTGGAAAATTCAAGTTAACGAAGCAAATGAACACACAAGATTTACTAAATATTCTTTAAAGTTACAGAGAGAAACATAGGTAGTTGATAACGTAGTGATTCAATATTTTTGTACTTAAGACTTTGCAGACGTCAATGTTTAGCCCCTAATTTAATAGTTTTCGATATTTTATCAAACTTTGACTCAATCTCAATTAGTTGTAAAGAGGGTATCATATTCATCTATAATTTATAGAACAATTTAATTCCCTTTTCAAAGTACTATAATAAGGACATTCCCCCTGAATTATAGGCTGATTAAATGCTAGAAACCAAAATTTCATAAATTTTATAGAATTGCAAGTATGGAACAAAAAACAAAGTTGATTACATCATTTTTAATGTAAATGTAATTATTAATATTAAGAGCTAAGTTATTACAAGCAATAAGCATCCAGAATTGGGAACTATCTACTTTATTTAACTCTTTGACATCGTCCTCTGTTTCTATCAATTGGAGAAGGAACTTAATACTGAACAAATAGCCAATTTGATTTAATAAGTATTTATTTCCTATATGATTAGTCTACAAGCGATGAGAATGAAAAATAAGAAAGCTTAGGTGTTGAGTTCATTCAATACAGCAAAGCAGGTAGCAATTACTCGATGGAGATCAACTTAAATACAGAGAAACGCATTACGATAGAGACTTAAGATTTTAAAACAATATCGAAACCTTACTTTATTGGTGTAATTGAGCCTAATTGGTACGAGAAACATAATTAGATGATTGCATCTATGATAATTTTATGAAATTTATTTTATAATGTTAATTGATAAAGAGACTTTTAAGAATTGTTGAATTATAATTTAAATGGTTTATTTAATTTCTTTTAAATCTAAATTGTTGATTTCTGATCATTATTTGATTATCTATAAATTTCATAGAAGTTTAAAATAAAATGATGGAACCATTAATTAAATTTAAGATACATTTATTAAAATAAGTAATTCAAGAATTGCTTAAAATTCTTGGCCCTACTAATAAATTTTAATAGTTTTGCAAAACGAGTTTAAGAATTTATGTTTATTAAATAAAATTTAATATTTTTATAATAACTAATAAATACATCCTTATCCAAACTTAAAAATACATACATAGATTATAAAATTTGATTATAATAATATTATTAAATCATACAAATATTATTGATTTTGCACTTCTAATTAAATAATAATATACATATAATGAAAGTATATTTATTCATTTATCAATAAAATTGAAAAATTTTCAATATAAATTCGATTAGTAATAAATTTGAAGATTTGGAAATATGACGACTTGGAATGAAGTATCTTGTGAATATAATTATGCAATTATATATAAATTAATTAAAAATCTTATGTTCTAATTGTATGAGAATGCTGAGAATTCAACCTACTCTTTTGAGTTCAAGTTGGATCTAACTTTGTTGAATGTGTTGCGAGCATTCACACACAAAGATCATGAATTTTAGGAGGGTATAGATTAATAAGAATTAAGGATATTTGGAGTCAATTTATGCACTATTATACTACTATCAGGGGAGACCAGAGAGTGAATTGTTTTCAGAATACTGCGCTTAGAAGGGAAATCACACAATAGAGTCTTTAATATTTTAGGGTATTGTGTGTGAAAATATATAAAGTACATTATTATATTGGGTCTCTGGCAAATTTAAATTAACTCGTGGGAGTGCTGAAGGTAGATGAGAACAAAGCTATACCATTATCAAGAAGCGATATTAATAAGAAAAATATCCTGTCTGTGCATTCAATCAGCGATAGAGTGGGTTCAATAAATAGTATAGTGTTGGTGAGCAAGTCTTAGACTGTGAAACCAGAGTATCTCGATTTAAGAGTGAAGATCTGTACCTATGAGAATAAAGAGGAAGGCGTATTTTCAATTGATTACAATGTGCTCTCATTGGCAATACAAGCCAAGGGTAAGTTGGATCCATTGGTAGGGAGTCATTTGGCAAATAAATTGAATAAGATGTTCAAGATCAATCTGATTTAAAGTGGAGTGATTCCTAGATTACCAATTGCTATTGCATCCATATTTGAAGAAAATTTGAAGAAGAATGGTACTATGGTTAAGATGGAGAGAAAGAATGTTAATGCAATAAAAAAGTGGATTGAATACACAGCCAAATAATATCCAGCAGGCAGTATCATAGTTTAGAGTACAACATATAATTCATGGCCTTATCCTGCTTTAATTTATAAGCGAGGTACAGGTAGCAACTGTAGATTTGTTCTTTACTTTGTAAGATATTCCTATGACTTTTATGGGAGAGGAAGAAGGATTCGCATTTCGAGAAAAAACAACTTTCAATTATGTGACAAAATATGAGAGTTCAGAAATCAAATTGTAAGATCCAACTTAATAAAAGACACCATAGAGATCACTCAAGAGAGCAAAATCTTATATTCAAGTAAATGAGGATTACGGATTTGGATACAATACATTAACACATCAAGTTTAATTATAGATTGCATAATCACCTACCAAATCCAGTAAGAGTGGCTAACCTGTAAGAGTACAAAGAGGTTCTATTTTGTCATAGATGGATATCTCTAATATTGCAACAGCTCGGGAGAATTTTAGAAGAGAAGTAGGACCATAATTTGGATTCGATTTATAACAGATTGGAAAACATTATGTTTACATTAGACAAATAAGGAAACAACATAAAGTGTTAAGAAATGGATAGATCGTATCATTGTCAGCTGAACATATGTATGGATGGCACACACATGTATTGGCATTTGGTAGATATTCTAAAGAGGAAATGGCATTTGGTTGCAATCAATTTTAATGATGGTGAAATTGATATGTTCATGAATCTTAGAAATTTATGATATTATTTTCCAAATTCATAAAGAGACTACAACTGGTGGATTGGGTGTTATGGTAGATGAATTAACATAGGAATTAGCTAAAATGAGTGAAGAAGTCATCTTGATCACTCAATATTATCATAGAAATAAGAAAGGGGAAACTGGGTATATACTTAGTGATGGATTCAAACACATCAGATACATAGAAATTTGGATGTAGGGTGAAAAGATAATTTTGGGAGTATTTGAAAGAGTATTCAATGGAGTAAGATTGTTTTGGTTGCACAATGAACTATACTTCCCATCTGCATATGCTGGTGAAGATGCCTGTTAGGTTATGAAGTAATTAACAGTTTATGCTAAAGGATGTTTAGAATTATTATGTTAAATCAAACTATTTCCATCATTAATTGGAACAAACGATTGGGTCTGTGGTTTAATCCCAGGATATTTTAGAGTAAGGAGATATGGAGAAGCCTTCGCTGGTACAAAATCATTTCACATTGTTCACAATTTAGATCCCTTGTATGAAGGAAGGCTATATCCTAAGCCTAATGAAGGAACATTAGATTACATCCATGATCTTCCTAATGATTTCTTAATCGACCCCTTTTGGCAGAATTTAGTTATCAATCCATCGAGATGTCCTTTGATCACTTGCGATAATTGGGGAACAGTCTCTTAATCTTATAAATATGAGTTGCTAGAATCTTCCCCATTAGCAAGTGTGTTGAGGAGACATCCTCTGCCTTTTGCTTTTCCTAATGGGATAAGGAGAGAATAAAGATTTAAGGTAATAATGGATAAAATTAGTAATGATCACTTGAAGGCCAAGGAACAATTGCAGAAGAAATATTTTGGTTGTTCCTAACTCGAAAATCACATTGTTGTCCTGAGCTTTGTTGGTAGAGTGACCAAATAAAAGGGAGTGCATCTCATATTGGAAGTGGCTGAAGAACTCATCTAAAGAAGTCAAGGTACTGTGTAGATATTGGTTGGTGGACCAGCAGCTGATATGAAAGAGGAGTACAGTGAGTATTGTGCTTAGAATATGATAAGATTGAAATCCATATATCCTCGAAACTTCTGGGCAGATCCATCAGCCTTCTTTATGGATGGTACATTAGTGAATGTGGGTTGTGACTTTGGATTAATGCCATCATTATTCGAACCTGGAGGTATAGTGCAACACGAGTTTTTCATAGGAAGTACTCCAGTCATTGCTTTAAGACTGGCGGGTTGAGGGACAATGTTCATGAATATGATTAGAAACAATAGAAAGGATCTGGATTCATCTTTGATTAATACAAGAGAGGGAACTTCCTCTATGCCATAGACAGAGCTCTCTAGTTATATAAGAATCAAGAGTAGTATACTCAGCTTAGGAAAATGCTTTTGATGCAGCTATTGATGTAGCTGATGTGAGCAGAGCTTGGGCTTAGGAATATTATAGGTTATTCGATAAGAACTTTATAGATAAGGAATTAGTTTAACAGATGGTAGGTTAAATTCAACAAGATTACAAGAAGTTGAAAGAGCAGGAGCTTTTTACAAAGGAGGAGGGAAGAGTAAGAAATATAATATGAATTTATAGGTATTTTCTAATTCGGATAAGACGCTTAAGAATTTCGAAAGGATTCTGGCTCATGCAAAGAGATCCAATTTGAGATTGCATAAATTTGTGTATCGATCCACTAGATTATTGCAACCAAGGTAGGTAGCAGTTTCTGGTTCATTTGATGAGAGGAAGGAGAAACACAAGCTGAAGTTCAACCATTTCTCGAAAGTTTGGAATTTTACTCTTAAATTACTTCCTGGGGAATATTAGTATGAGAATTGATTATATGCTTAGTTACAAATTCTATGTGGATGGAGAATGGATATGCACGGATGATGATCTAAAGGATAATGACATTTATGGAAATATAAATAATTTTGTTATTATCTAATGAGGGATGTGAAGAATAGATAATTATAATTATAGATATGAATTATGTATTTATATTTGATTCAGTTTCCAATCTATTTAGAGTTTATTTCAATGTTTAAATCACTGATCAAGTTCTGTTCATCTTCCAAAACCAGCAAATCTCCGTCATTGTCAATCATCCCGAATTACTTGGGCTTTCTAAATTGCTATGGAGGGGTATCCATAATGTCTTCGGAAGCTGATTCTCTGATTTGTCTCCTGGGAGGTATGATGTTTGAAATGTCGTCTGTTTCTTCCACTTTCAAATCTTCAAATGGTTACACATCCTCCACTTATGCAGACTCTTGAGATTAGTGTTTGTCTGTACTCACTTTATCTGATTATTCTTTTAAAAACTACATGAGTCTATTATTATTATTAGATTCTCGCACCTACTCTTGTGCTCCATTTGAAAATTCTATACAACTATCAAAAACATCCAATCTTTCTGTGCTGCATTTCGTTGAACACATCCTACTGGATCTTCTCATTAAATTTGTTTCTTGTTATCAATATGGAAAATTTACTCTCTCTTTTTTATCTTCTTTGTAAAAAGTTGTCATCCTGTCTTTTCAAGTCCTCCTCAATAACCTTCTAATTTTAATCAGAAGTCTATTGATATCCTGTTATCAAATGTTCTAAATTATTTTAACTGTAATCAATCTAATCTTAGATCTCCATTGCAATCTTCGCCTTAGTTTGTCGTTCCCTCTTCTTCTACTCCACACCAACTACTTACTTTCTATTATTATGGGATACTTACCTTGGCCTTTGCACTCTCTTAACTATTCTCAATACTTCTTGCTTCTTAAACAATCAAACTTTGAGTGTGGGAAGGCGCAAATGTACCCTGATCCTGATTTATTTTACGAATGGTCTTCAAAGCTCGTTAACATGCGAACAAAGATTGCAATTTCTCATTAAAATAATATCCCACCGGGTCCTACATTTAGCTGTTATTCCTTACTTGAATGCTGTCGTAATGCTCTATTAAAACAGCATATAAATCAACTAATTTTTGAATCACATCATATTTGTCTGAGCCCTATGAGTATCGATCTTCGAAGACAAGTAATTCTTAGAACAGATCATCTATTTAATATGGAATCGAGATGTACTCGTAATTGGCATTCTTGTTGTTTTAATTAAAATTAATTATTTATACTGTCAAATACAATTACTCCTACTCTTAACCTAACATTTGACTCATCATTATAGTTGAAAAAGTTATTCCCCAACCTTCAACAACCCATTTCTCACTTAAGTACATTAATTAGGCAACTGGATCCTTTATAACACCTTTCCTTCCTCCTATTCAACCAACTCATCAAGACTCAATAATGAGTTCTCCTTCGATATCTCAATTAGATCCTTAGTCGCCTTTACAAAATAATCGTTCACAAAACCACAATCTTGATTCTTACATTTTGTCAAATTTTGCATTGCCGACAGCAATCCACAATTATACAACGAAACATACACTTCCGAATACTTAAAGTACCCCGATTTAATTCTGGCCTTATGCTACTGCATTCTCCTATCTTTCAGATCATTCAATTGATAACAAAATCGCTGCATCTCAGTCTTGTACATCAACTTCACCACAACTTCTTTACTCGTTATAATCATCCGGTAAATTTGAACTGCATTCTAGAACTGCTCAACCAAATAATAAGTGTTCTCCCTGTATTTCGATATTCCAGTTATCTAATCTAATCTGATCTAGTAATCGATTTCCCACTTTTATCCTGATTTTATGTTCACCAAAATCACCTTCTGCTATTCGTCGAGAATGTAATTCGTATCAAGCAAAACTGTTTGTTTCGATATTGGGATAGGAATTTGAATTAATTTAAAAATTTCCTATTCCATCATAAAATTTATATTACTATTGTCAAAATCAATTCTAATTGTTTTAACATCAACTTGTTAATCATTCCTTATTTTATGCATCCTCCTTTTAGTAACCACTATAAAGATTTGATCTAAGAATCAATAATAATTATTTTTTTCAAATAAATAGAATATATTTATTAATTATATATCATTTATCATTTTATTTCAATTCTCTTTTTGCTGCTGCCGTGTATAGCAATGCCTTCAAGAAATTATTTTACAAATTTATCACTTTCGACCCCTGGTAGAGTATTTCTTAACTCTCCTCAGATAACTCGTAATTTACTGGGACACCAAAAATACTAGGATTCGTTTTTGGATTCCCATCAAAAAATTCATAAGAAGTATCATCAAGTGAATTGCTGATCTCAAACTACTCATTTAAAGTTTATTCATTCAATTCCTCATTTTAATTAATTTATTATAAGATTAGATTTAATTATTCTTATGATTAATCTTGTTATTATGCTTATTCTTATTATGATTATTTAGACAACTCTTATTATTATCCTGATGATTCTTTTTATTATTCTAACAATTGTTATTATTATTCTGATGATTCTTTTTATTATTATTCTGATGATTCTTTTTATTCTTATTATTAATTTAAATCTTAAGTAATCTCTATCTAAGTTTTCTCTGCTGCTTATTCTTAATCTTATTATTACTTTATAAAGGCCTATTAATCTGAGTTTTGTAAATCTTAATTTTCATTTTAAGTTATATCTTACATACTATTACTTGCATCAGTTTTCTTAGCATCAGTATTAATTACTTTATCACTTTGATATTGTTCTTCATTTTTATCAATAAACTTTCTTAAACACTTCTCAAAATTTGTCACAAATTCATCTGTTAAAAAGTAAAACTCATAATGAATTTATGAATGTTTATTTTCTTCTGCTTTCAGATATACTTTTGATTCAGGGATAGATTTCAACAATTTTTTATGGAAAAATATTCTATCAACTAAATTATTTGCTGGAGTATATAATCGTTATGCAAATAAAGGTCTGAATTCTATTTTTCCTTAATATTATTGTTTTAATTTTATAACATATTTTTCAATAGACTTATTAGTTTTCCCTAATTTTATCAATTTCTTCTCTTCTCCATTCCAAATTATTTTTGCTGTCGTTTCAACCACATAAAGTAACTACCACTTTTCATCTCGATATTTATAATTGTCAGAAACCGATTAATCAATATCTCTAATCTTATTCATTAATAATCGATCATTTTCTTTGATGACCTTCTCATCAGAAAATTCAGGGTTGTTTGACAGCTTAAATAGATACACTAATCGTAAATTCAGATCCTCTTCAATAGTCTCGAAATCATCAATTAGTTAATTAATCACATCATCCGAAGCTCCCTTTATTGGATTCTTCTAAGCCTGATTCAATATCTAAATAAAAATTGCAGTTGTTATGTAACCACTCTCCTAATATTCAATTCCAAAGTGTTTAAACGGAGTTTCCAATCTTAAATAGGATTACGAAAAATTAAGAAAATTGACTTGCTTAGACATTAGTTCGAATTACACTAAGCAGTCTACCTTATCTAATTTGTAGGTAATATAAATTGCCTACTTACTCTATTTTTCTTGAATCGAATGAATGCTCATTTAATTATTTATTTGATTATATATTTATCATTTAAATTTTAGTACTAACTTTTTATTTTATAGAATACAAATTTATCATAATTCAATTATCTAGATTTGAGATTTAAATATATTTTGTATATGATGGGTCCAATTAGGTTTAATCAGTATAGATCAAAAATTTCAAAGTTGTTTTATAATTTTATTAATTCTCTTAAAAAAATGATTCTGTTGAGATAATATTATATGGGCCAAGAATATTCAAAATGATTTAGTTTACAATACATTCTATTTCAAATGAATCCTAAGAATTTGGATTAATTTATTAATAAAATTAAGACTCCATGTTATCAATTTGGTTTTTGTGCTCAAAAATATAAGAAAATGATATAAGGTTTAAGTCTGGAATAAAATTTAATTTTTTTTCTACTTTTTAATTTATTTTCAATTAGATGACACTATGAGTTTCAGATATTTTTATAATCTTATTAAAACAATTAATTAATAGTTGAGTTAATAATCGAGCATTTAAATATAGTTTTTATTATTCGACACCACCTGGGCAATCTAATTCAAACTTTTTTGAATGCAATTAACAATAATGAATAAAGTAATTTGACAACGCCCTATTCAATTTATCAATTGTCAATTATTCAATTTACTATTTTAAAAAAGACATCTTTCCTTTTTACAAATATATTAGATGATTCTTTATGAAATTTAATGAAAATTGAATATTGCAATATTATTTTCTCAATGTTTCATTATCAATGTCTAAACTCTTATCAAGTTCATTTAATTTTAGATAATTATCTTCTAATGCTTTTCCAATTAATATAAGTGCTTCTTGAAATTTTAACTTTAAGGCTTTTATGTTACTTTCATATTTTTATATCTGCAGCCTGACTTGGTTTTTACGTATAATTAATATTAAAATAGACCTTTGATACTGAACTCTTGCAATTTCAATATTCAGTATCCCTTCATCCCCAATAGCTTATATGCATATATTATTTTGATCCTATCCTAATTTTTCGTTATTAATTAAATCATATAAATATTCTTCTAAATTTAATTGCTTATGAAACTGTTTATTCTAACCTATGCTATTGGAATTATCACACATATTTGTTCCAATCGTATAAGTTCTCAAAAACTCTTTAAATTAGTTCCCATTATGTTCCTTTTAAAATGATGATTCATAAGCTTTATTTACAAACTCAAGTTCAAAACTATTTATTTTCTTGTTGAAACTTACTGCAAATAATGGATCTTAAACAAATTCATAAATGATTGATCTAATAGTGATAAATTATTATACTATTAAGACTTGATTGTAATTTATTATGAGAATTCTTATCTTAATGTATATATTCAAATAAATGTGTCATTATTCCTTATATAAAGGTCATCAATATGCTAAATACTATATATGGTAGTTAATCGACCGAAAATTCAACAAATAGCCCCAAACTTATGCAAGCACTTGAGAATATGAATAAAGGTTTATGTTTAAAATCGCAGTATTAGATGAGCGTCTAAAATAAGAGAGAACATGAATATCCGTAATTATATAGGGGTCTAAATTACATTATTATTTACATATTATCTTTGACATAAGTGATTAAAGCTCCACCAGCTACATATGAAACAAACATTAAAGTTAATATATTCTTCAAATAGGGTTATAGTTATTTGCTAAAAAAGAGCAAGATTATCTAAGCAATCATGAGAATAGCAATAAGGATAACGATATAGATTTAGGCATCTTAAATAATGAATACCAGCATAGAAATAAATAACACAAAAAAGCCAAGTGCAAGTGAGGATCTGAAGAAATAGAGCCTTTAAACATTAAATTTTTCTTAATATTGAGATTCATGAGAAGGGTCATAAAAGCTTAAAGTCCATTTTCTGAATAAATTAAACATCTTAAAATAAATAACAAGAATCATGAAATTATTATATTTGAATTCATTTTAATAAAATTTAGAATATATGGGTTATAATAAAATTATACTTTATCTATTTAAAAAGATGTATAAATTATAATAGATGATAATGAAATCTCTATATAAATTTATTATTTCAATAAATTCACACATTTATTTGTATGCATTTAATTATTCCAATTGTAGCGAAATATTATCAACTTTAATAAGGATTGGAAGGTTGTGTCTGAAAATATTCAAGTTATACTAGAAAATTTTATATTTGAAATTTTATTCACAAATCAAAATCACTAATCAGTATGTATTAATGAGGTAATCATTAGTCCTATGTTAGAAAGAAGAGATCTTGGTCTTACTTGAGTTTCAAATCTAAATGGTTTTGGTTTGGAAAATACTATTAAATAAATCAAGTTATTAAAGCTATTGATAATTAGGGGATGAGACTATGATTGGATGAATTTATAGCAATGTATTAATTATTTCAAAATGAAATAATTATCAAAGTAAAAATTTGACTTTTATTTTATTATTATGATTTGAAGATTTTGGAAATGTATAGTAAAAGTTCTGTTGAACGATTAAGTAAATAATTTAACTTCTTATTTTATGGTTTAATTATTTTGTGAATTTGGAAATAAAATGCTGGAAGTTGTTTTTAAAAATAATAATTAAAAAATTATAATTAATCTCTAAAATTAATCCAAATTATTATTAAATTAGAATTTAGAAAATCTTCATTTATTGTACTTTCTTATATAATGCATAATTTATTGATGAATTTTGGCATGTTCTATGATTTAATTAATTTCAAAAATTAAATAAAACTTATATAATCATGAAATGTAACAATATTTCAAAGGAGGGATTTTTAATTGATTCTACAATCGTTTGATAATCAAATGTTTTTTAAATAGGGGATCTTTCAATTACGTAGGGTCCAAAATAGGCATCAAAACTTGCTTCTGCATAATAGTCATATAATTTATGTATCCTGCATAAATTAATAGTAGAATTGGATTTGCATCTTAATTGAGTCGGCCTTTGAATTTGACTAAGCAAAAAGTTTGTCACAATGGTGATGTTAGTATTGATGTTTAAAATAAGGTTGGTATTGATTGAAAAGACCTAACAGTTCATGTATTATGAATAAATGTTCTATCCAATAAAATAGCTAAGTTAAGGTGAGTAAAGTGTCATTTAGGCAAAGATAAAGCTGGAGCTCAAAAATATACATTTTGATGAATAGTCAACAAATGTATTTGAGGTGTACTCCAATTAGAATGTGTTATTTTCAATTTTTTTTAATTAATTAATGGTTGATATATAAAAGATAAAATTAGTGTATGAAATTATTCCAGTCATTTCGAATAAATTTTTGATATTTGAAACAGATTTGAATATATCTATGGTTATATTAGTCTTATTGTTAATAATGGATTTAATGGCTAGAGTATCATAAATTAAAAGCAATTGCTGGCTAAAATAGAAAGATTTAGAGTTGACTAAATCAAACAGCATTTAGTCGTATCCTTATGTTTCTTTGACCAATAAGTAGAGAATTCTTTGAAAAGTGGAGCTATGGTTATTGAGATAATATTACTTATCCAATGTTTGAGTTTGAAAATTGTCGATTAGGATTTGAAAATAGGATTGAGTCTAATTATAATAAGCTTCATCTATATAAGTTTAGCATTGATCTCCCGTATAATTATCTTTGCAAAGACAATACTATAAAGGTTGGTAGGATGATTGCACTTGTCCATTATTATTGCATTCTGAGTTTTAGAGGAAGTGCACATAATCGTATTGGGGGAGGAGTACTTTTAATTCTCCAGTGGACCATTCTAAGCAAGAATATCTCTATGTCCAATTCGTTAGATTATTATCAGATAGAACAGTGATATTGCAATCAATCGTAGATTAGTAGGCCCATTGTTGTCCAATCTGATGAAACCAATCAGTTTAGTAATATTGAATGGCATCTGAATCAATAACAATGATTGTTATAATGTATAATTTATCAGTCCAAGTTGGAGTTAATGAAATGTTTATAAAGGAGGTTTTCTATTCAGAGATTGTCGACAAAATAGGACCAAATCTCGTGGGATCTTTGATGAAGATCTTCCAGTCATAGGTGGCAGCTGTAGATAGAATAATTTAGGTTTGCTCTGGATTCACTAATTTTTATAAGGAAATAATTTGTTTAGGAATTAGATCTCCTTTTAAAAGCATAATTCGAATTTATAACAGTTGAGAGAATATCTAAATTTTATTTTTAGTCGCTATAACTCTAATGAAATAATCTGAATTGATCTAGAGTCTAGTCTAATTAATTTGAAATGTCGCTCCATTCATTACAAGTTTATTGCTATCATTTTAAATAGGCAGATCTATTAAATTATAGAATCTGCGAGGTTCTTAAAGAGTAAAATTAAACTCTTGTCGTTCTGCCAGCAAAATTTAATTACCCAATCTAACAGCCCAATCAGTATAAGCTCGCTTTTGGTATTGTTAAGTTAGACAGCCATTGACAGTCATGGCAGGATCTGAGTTGATGTACAATAATTCCCATTAGATATCCATTTCTTCCTCTAATACATCCTCAACGACAATGATTAAATCCTTCTTGCTTTCGTGATTGACACAAAACTCATTAATCACTTATCTAGTGGAATTCAAGATAATCAGATAGCAATCAAAGTGAAAGAGAAATAAAAGTAAGTACAAATTCATTTATATTAATAATTACATGAATTACACATCCATTGATTATAATTTAATACAACAATAAGACAATGATGTAAACTTCATTTGAACTTGATAAATAGATAGATCTGATATACATTTTTTGATCACAAAAAAAGTTAAACTCATGATTGATGTAATGTTTATTAGGGTTAAAGTTATGATTGCTGTTATTCCGGGCCCTAATTTAAAAATAACATCTCATTAAAGGCAAGGAGAAAGTCTTTCAAATCTTCTTGTTTTAAAATAGTTGTCTTTTCTGGCTATTTAGAATTGGTATTATTCATTTTATTGACATCAAATTCCCGCAATTCATTTTCAACATGTTCCAACCACACTTTGTATGCTTCTTCTTCATTCGTGATCTGTGCCATATTCAACTAAGGAGGCGGTGACATGTATGGTATGTATGAAAATTAGGAGGATGCTACTAAAAATGTACCCACCAAAATCACCCACGAGTGAAACACTAAGGGTGCATATGTTCGATAGGAATCCAAGATCAAAATTTTGAGAGTGTGGAAGGTGGCTTCTTCAAATTTCTTAGGGACACATTTCTTGCATATTACTTCAATGTAATCATTGGGTAATTTAATATCGAATTCATATTCAATTACCTTCAGGATTCTGCTTTCAGCTATGCAGAGTTTGTTTTACAATGATTACATTAAAGCCTCGTTTGCCATTCTTGTTTGTTCAATTGATTGCATGATCCTGTGAAAGCTGATTAATAATTTTCTCATTCTTGGATCACCGTCTTTGATTTTTTAAGCCAATAGGAGAGATGCAGCTGCAACAATCTAAGTTAAATATGGTATTGTTTACAAATCTGTCATATTGTAGATAACATTTGTGATGAAAGAAATAATTACATAAATGAATTGCTAAAGACACTGTTGAATAGGAGTTCAGTTCCAAATTGATGGCCAGATCAATAACGAATTAGGCATTTCCATTTAGTAATTTTCTTTAGACTTAAGCAGAGATTTCATATTCTGTGTTTATGTTTTGAAAAATGTCTTTCTTCTTAATTAATTTCATAATATAATTTTTATATTTATTAAAATCATATATTTTCAAGAATGTTGGATCGATAAGGAAGTCCTTTTTTGATTCGATCGAGTACTTAAAGGACCGGGACTTTTTTCAGCCAATTTAAATGTACTCTTTTCAATTACAATTTTCTTCGGTTTACTTATCCTCAATGTTCGTGTGGATTTTATTGATTGATTTTCTTCAGATGGTTCTGATTCCTATTTTAGTACAGTATCCTGTGGGGAATCTACTATCATTAACAAGTGTTCATGCACTTATTATTCATTAAATTATTTCAAATTTGTTAATAAGGGACTCATACGATCATCAGTTGATATGAGCATATCTACAGTCATAAAAGTAGAAACCTTTTAATCTTCCTTTTCTTTCCTAACTAATAAGTTATCGTTTATGCAAAGTATAGATGCAATAAAATAATCTTCCAAATTCGGTATCGAATTGTTACATATGGAAATAATCAATAAATAAAATTATTTAACTATTTTGGACTTTTTCTTATTTTATGAATCGATCAAATGATAATTTATAATTCTCGCAGCTTTAATCACACAAATAAGAGATACAATAACATAAAATCCATACACAAAGCAAAGACTATTGAGTCAAAGAGATTTAATTATTTGAATTACAAGATATATCAATATAAACCTAAATGATTATAACAGAATTATTTCCTAAATCAAACTTACAAGTGTTCTTTGTAACATTGTTAGTAAAATAAATAAAGCCAAAGAATTGAAATCTATTTATGACAATAATTAATGTTTGCTTTTCTAAAAGACAAAATGAAAATATCAAATTTGAGATAGAATGTAGAGATGAACTATTTGAACCATAATACCTGGATGATCATAACAATTTTTAATGGAAAAGAAGAGAGTTATTACATTAGAATTTTTTGATTTTTGAGGTTTAACTTGAATTTTAGTAATCGGATTTTATAAATATTAAGTGTTTTAATTTTACTAATTTTGGAGTAGATATGTATGTTGGGTTTAGTTGATATATCTTGATATTTTGAATATACAGTTTAAAAAATTGAGTTGAGATAAGGAAATCAAATAGGTAGGTAGTTTTTTTGAGATAAGAGGATATCTTTAAATTGGCAATTTATTTAAGAGTGTGGGAGAAGTTTAAAGATGTGTTGAGAAAGAGTTGCTTAAAATTGTGAATAATGAGTACTAGAAATTTATAATAATGTTAATTTTTAGAAGATTGTATAAATTCTCATCATGTAAATAAATGAAGATTAAATCATAGAATTTAAAGAATCCACTCTGACTGCAATTTCACCTCTTGATGGAAGATATGCCAGTCAAACAGCCCCAATTAAGGACTATTTTAGTGAGTATGCATTAATGAAGTAATATAATTGTTGTCATTCCAGGTATCGAATCAAAGTGGAAATTGAATGGTTAAAGTTTTTGCATTCCAAGAGTATGATAAAACAAGGGAATTCAGTTTTGAGTTTGACTGCTTTGGATTTGACTTATTTGGATTTGATTTATGATAAATTCGATGTAACCAAATCATTCAGAGTTAAATAAATAGAAAGTACAACCAATCATGATGTTAAATCAATCGAATATTATATCAAAGAAGAATTGGACAAGAGTATTTAACTGTTATGACATATTTAGATCCAATATTGCATTCAATGAAAGAGTATGTCCACTTTTGTTGTACTAGTGAGGACATCAACAACATTGCTTATAGTTTAATGATGACTGATGCTAAAAACAACCTATTAATGAAATCATTAGAAGGAGTCGTTAATAAATTAGTACAATTATCACACGATCATTATAATGTTCCCATGTTGAGTCGAACACATGGCTAAGTAGCATCTCCAACTACTGTTGGCAAGGAGTTTGCAAACTTTGCCTACAGAATCAGAAATCATTCAGAATTATTGAGAAATCTAAAATTTGAGGCGAAATTGAATGGTGCTGTTGGAAATTACAATGCTCATTTATTAGCATATCCAAATTATGACTGGCCAATTCTAAGCAAATAATTTATAGAGGAACTCAAACTAAAACACAATCCCTTCACTACTCAAATAGAACCTCACGATAGCGTAGCACTTTATTACTCATATCTCAATTTAATCAATAATATCTTAGTTGGATTATCAAGAGATGTTTGGAGTTATATCTCAATTAATTATTTCGAATAAAAAAGCATCAAATCTGAAGTTGGCTCATCCACTATGCCACACAAAGTCAACCCCATAGATTTCGAAAATTGTGAAGGCAACTTAGGCTTATCAAATTCCTTAGCCTAGCATTTTATGAATAAACTAGTTATCTCTAGATATCAAAGAGATCTATCTGATTCCACAGTAATGAGGAATCATGGAGTATGTTTAGGATATGCAGTGGTAGGATATCGAAGTTTGATAAAAGGACTTGATAAGATATCACCAAATTATGAAACCATTTTCAATGACTTGGAAAATGTATTTATCCATATTTATCAACATAGCATTGGGAAGTCTTAGCTGAGCCCATCTAATAGATAATGAGGTAATATGGGGTTCCAAATCCATATGAATAACTCAAGGAATTAACCAGAGGATAAAAAATAACAAAAGATTCTTTAAGAGAGTTCATTTCCAAGTTGTCATTGCCAGAGGATGTCAAAAAGAAGCTTTTGAGCTTAGAACCAAAGGATTATATTGGAAATGCTGATAAAATGGCTAGATTGATATGATTGGTTTTTTAAAATAATATATATGATGTATTTCAATGAAATTCCACAAGATATTTCATATTTCTAAGGAGTTTAGAGTATTTTGTGCTATACTTAACAAAATTTAATTTAATTGATTGAATTAGTAATAAACCCTGATTTATTTATAATATCATAAGAATATCTAGACAATTATCATTTGAATCTAACTAAATTTAGAATTTATTATTATAATTAATTTGATCGATGGATTAAAAAGATTTCAAGATCGAGACTTTAAGCGAATAATTCACAAAGAAATTTCAAGTGACTCTTACATTAAGGGAACCAATCAATCATGACTCCTATTTGTTCAGATTCGATTTCAAAAATCCAAAAGAGAGATTAGGAATGCAAGCTATCCAGCACATCAAAATCTCGTAAAATATCATTTTATATTGAGTGGCTTTAATATGAAAGGTGACGCAGTTGAAAGAGCTTACACACATGTGTTTGAATAAGATGGATATTTTTAGATACCTATCAAAATATATAGGCCAAATGTACATCCTCAATTTCCAAATGGAGGAGAATTGACTCCATGGCTAGAAAAATTAAATGTAGTATATGGGATTTATTGATAGCTAAATTCAGAATTGACGATTAAAAGGTGCTTAGGAAAACTATTTTATCATAATAATCAATTTATTGTTAGGCCAAAATTGAATAATACTTGGTCATAATTTGATACCGTGCTATTTATTTGCGGAGGGAGTGGTATCACTCCAGCATATTAATTAATCCAATCGATATGCAATAATCCAAATGATAACACTAAAATGGTCATTTTGTATGCGAATAAAACTGAATAAGATATCTGGTTATAAAAAGAATTAAATCAATTCTAATCTAAGCACAAGGATCAATTTACAGTCCATTTCACTGTAGACAAAGTAATTATATACAATACACTTTAAGTTTGATGAGAATTGGAAAGGTCTGAAAGGTCATGTGAATTTCGAAATGATGGCTTCAACATTTCCAAAACCAACTGAAACTACATTAGGTGTATTATGCGGACCTAAAACCATGAACAAGTTAGTCATATAACTCTATGAATAATTCGGAGTAAAGAAAGATAATATAGTAAAATTTTGAGTAGGATATAGTATTATAAACTTTTAACAGTTTTTTCTACATTTACTTCAACACTCTAATCATCACATATCTTATACCCTTTAGATTATATTACATTTTACAATTTCAATACTAAATTAAGTAAATCATAAAAATAAAGACATTGGAAATTTGAATATAAATATAATCATTTATTTGTTTAGCATTTAATGGCTTTTTCAATTCTGTCTTTCAGATTTAAATCAATTAGACTATTCACCTATTTGTTTTAGCATATCTATTTCAATCTTTGATTCAATCTAATCATCTCTTCTTCCTCTGAAATTCGTTTTCTAAATAAATTGGTCATTGATACTTATGTTAATCTATTTTCTCTTTGATCAACAGTTGTTATTGTTATTTATACTCAGCTATTCTTTGATGACTTTCGTGCTTTGCATCTTATTTTTTTATCTACACATCTATTTTGGACTTAAATTTTTCATTCATCTTAGCTTACTCTTTTTGTTTCTCCATTTCCTTAGTTTCTTGATTATATTTGACCTTCTAAAAATTGATTTCATTAATCTCATGCAGTCTTTTAACCTAGTCATCAATCATCTTTATTTATAAATATCGTATTTGATACTTTTTTCTTTCTCTCAGTTCTATCTTCAGTATTTGATCTAAAGGTTGGTTGTTTTATTTTTAATAAATTGCTAGTAGATTTTATTTTGGGAACATCTTTTATTTCCTTTTTGAAATGTGTTTGAGATTTTGATAGCCAATCTTCTTCATTCCAATTCAATCGTCTCATTTCTTCATCTTAAATAAAATAGGCTGGATCTTCTCCAATCTAATAAATTAGATTAAATGAGCTACTTCCAATAATTCCTAATGGGTTAATTGTGCCTTCAGTTTTTATTGCATTTCCAAAGGAGTTGGAATGTTGATATTCATTCTTTAGCAATGGTGTTTTTCTTCTTAAGTAAATTTCATAGGAGGATGAATAGGCAATAGTTATATGAAATTTTGATCTTCTAAATCAAATTCAGTCTTCCTAGTTTCAATTTCTGATTATAATCTCTCAATTTTTAAGAATTTGTGGCAATAATTCTAAAACTAACTGTTCAATATCTTTACGATCTTTGATCTCAATATACGTTTCTATAACCTTATAATGTGATTGAACTGTACTTTTCATTAATTGAAACCGAAGGAAATTTTGTATTAGACATATTTTTTTAATAATAAATTTAATAAATAGAATTCTTCATGTAAATAAGCATACATATTTTAATTTAAGTAAGTGCTTTTTGAAAACAATTTGTTTTTTGTCTGAAATGTTATTTTTTATGGTTAATTTTTAGATTCTTTAGAATTGGTATAAGCGAAGTCAAATATAGTAAGAAATTTATCATGGAAGGTATTCTCGCTGTTACCTTAAAACTAGATACTGGAATTTAATTGTCTTAACTTCATACATTAATGGTAAGATTATTTTGGCAAAACTGGATTGAACTGCAAATTTTGATATTTATATCTTAATAATTTAATGGTATTTCCCCCAATTGAATTATATTCCCTTAAATTTTATTTATATGCCGATATCTATTAGACATAATACAGTATTTAAATAGAATATCCTTCATTAAAATGGATAATTAAAGAATTACTTTGTTAATTTCAATACTATAATGTACACTAAATGTATTATCAAGTTATTAATTAATAATTAATTTCCCATCTAAATAAGTCTGAAGATATTCATTATATAAATATCTTCAAACTTATTTTCATATAAAAAGATATAACATTCTATTTTAACCACAATGATATCACTTTTATACTGTTATATTAATTGGAAATGATTATTAGAAACAAATTATAAGAAAAACTTAATTATTTAAACAAAATCTTTGCTTTTTAATCATTAATTTATTTACTTTTAAAATCTCTTCTTTACAAAAAGAAATGAATAAATTTATTCAAGATAAAAACTACCAATCATCATAACTTGAAGAAATTACATCATTAATATATAAAATAACAGACAGACAGTCCAAATTTGCAGACCTTCATAATTAAGTTGAGGAGAGCATCTAGAAAATTATAAATGTGAGTTAGAATTAATTTGAAAAAGTGATGAAAAAAAAACATAAAGAAGATCGACAACTTGCATAGGAACATGATGAAAGAATATCAATAATTCAATAGGAATACCTGATTTCTTAAAATAGCTTAATTTAATAGATATGTTAAAGGAAATCAGAATATTTATAGATTCTAGAATCTTTGTATTACGAATATTCACAGTTTATATCATTTTTTGATCATGATGAACAGGCTGAAAATAATAATTATATTTTGATCATCTATGAAATATTAACAGATAGTTAAGTATTTAATGACGATTAAAGATTGAACGATACTCTATTAACCGAGTATATAAGTCAAAATAAAGTGAATAAAATACAATCTCTTCATGCTTCTCTTAAATTGACAATTTCTTAATTACAAAAAATAGAAGAAAACTTTAAATTTTCAAAAAACAATAGCAAAAAAGAATAATATTTCCATTCTCTTAATTAAAGATTGAATTCATTCATTGAAAATCTAAAATATGGTTAAAGCAAGTTGGATATACTTTTACAAGAAATGCAAGAATGCAATGGAGCTCAAAAAGAATAAGATGCAAGAATTTAAGCTAATCTCAGTCTCATCAATTAAATATTGAAGAGCCACTAAGATAAAAAAATGGCTGAATATGATGATTTCAAAAAATCAAATGAAAATCTCATTAAAATCATCAATCGACTCTCAGAAATTAATTACAAACTTAAATTATAGCAAAAACAGAATTATGAAGATGTTTCATAATTGATGGAATTGTACTACATTCAAAGTGATAAAGCACCATCTCTCCAACCATTATAGAGAAAAAGCACAATTAAAATAATTAAACCCATATCTTATCAAAGATCAAGAATTTACTCAGAGGCAAAAAAGGAAGTTCATTTTGATTTATCATCTCGAACTTCAATAAAAGAGACGAATCTTGAATCACAAATTCTTTATCAATCTCCACTTATAATTCAACCTTCATTGATCACTTAACCTACAATATCCGATGTATCTCTCTTTACTTCTGGATAGAGTCTCAACAAATTGAAAACACAGAAACATTCTGATAGACAATGGACTTCAAAATATCCAATTAATGTGGATAAAAAGACTGCCATCCCAATTAAATGCCAATGTCCACCCTAATGTTCATGTCAAGCTTTATTAATTATTTAGGTTCATTCATGCAATAAACAACTTTATATCAACTCAATAGGTTAGCTTCTATGCTAATAATGTTTTTTCACTTAAAACATCTAGGATTATAATTTCTATTGTCCTCACACAAGAACAAAAAATAAATTCAAAAGTAGTAAGGATTTCTTAGAAGCCTTTTGGTAACACATAAAGACATTAACAATGAATCAATAGATTGTCGATTTTTGGAATAATTTATAATTAAGTTGCTAATAGATGTTTTAGATGAATCCTTTTTCTCATTCCGACAATCAAAATCAAATCAATTTTATTGGATTCTGTCCAGCTTAATGCAAATGCAATCACAACTAGAGTAGATAATAATATCACTTATGCTAAAACTAACTTTATATTTCATATGATGGACTTATTCATTGTAAAAAGTGTAATTTTTACGGGGATCCAAAATAACATTTTTACTATTGTCCAGAAACGACAACTTTCAATATTTACAGAAGTGGGGAAGAGTTTATATAGTCTTTGGATGTTATCTCTGATGCCAGAAGTTAACAATAGTTTCTTAGATAACTAAGATTAAACATTCCTTCTGTTTTGTGGGAATGAGAATATATGAAAGACTTGATTAAATGTAGAATCACAATTATTATTATATTAGTATTTAATTAGTTTTTAATATAATGTTTCTATAATAAAATTAATTCTTTAATGTAATCCATTATTTTTGAGTGCAGTTAATTTTAGTTAAATAGATTGACTTTCTAAATATTCACTTTTTATTATTAATTTTAGCCATGCATTTTGGATCCTCGAAATTTATGTCTTTATGTATGAGGTTCATGAATAACAAAATTTGGATCCTTGAATGGGATTAATTATGCTTCTTTTCACAAAGAATGTAGGAAAATAAATGTTAAATATTTTGGGATAAATAAATAATCATAATTCTGTTGTCATTTATCCTTTAGAAATTATTACAATGTTTGAGGATTGGAGCTTCCTTGAATTTGTTGAAAATTTTGTTTGACCTGTTGAATTTAATTATTTTAACCACTATTAACCATTTGGGGAGCCAAAAATTTGGTTACACAGGTGTTCTGATTTGGTTAATTCCGTTCTGACAATTATCCTTGTTATTTGACCCAATTATTATTATTTGGAAAATTTGGTGCCTTAGTAACAGTCTGTGAATGCCTATCTGTGTGTATAATTTATGGGTTAAATTTCGGTTGTTGATTTTATGTAGGAATGCATTAAGATTAAGATAAAGGACTCTAGTATGACAATTAATTCTAATCCTATTCTTGTTTGAATTAACAATTTGGTAATCCAACTTGCTACATAATTTTTTTTTCAATTTCGTCGTATAATTATTTCCATGTTTTTCTATTATTTGGATTATAAACAAGTAGATTATTCAAAATGTCTTCTAGAAATTTGTCAGTGTTTTCTAAACTAGGATTTGAATTATCTTTATTATTTTACATTTACTAGAAATTCTTAAACCACAATACAAACTCGTTTTTTTCTAAACACTAAACTAATTACCTTTTTAATCCTTCATTTAAACTCTATTTTATAATGATTTCCAAGAGTACTAAGCCAAACTTTAAATATATATCTTGATTACTGAAAAAGCATCAGCTGCATAACTATAATTCGAATCTGTAATTTCTGGTGCTTTATAACATCGAGTTCCTTGCTACCCATTTGTTTAAATTCTATCAATTTTAACCAACCCAAAGTCACAAATCTTAATAATAAGTTATATATTTTACTTTGTAAATCACTCTATTTTACCTCAAATCTAAATTTACTAATATATTTTCAGGTTTTAAATCTCTATGAATAATTTCTTAATCTTATAAAGCTATGTACCCATTAGAGATTTAAGAAATAAAGTCCAGGATTTCATTGAGATTTAATTTATTTGATTTTTTATTTATGTATTTTTAAAAATCCATTTCACAAAATTCTTAAATAACATAAATTTCAGTCTTATTTTACAACACTTTATAGACTCTTAATATATTCTAATGAAATATTGTAGACATTTTTTCATGGTTTGTAATTTACTTCTGTCTTTCTGTTTCATCTTTAATTTCAATTTTTTTAGCGCAACAATTCTAATTTGTATCATAATTATATGCGTAGTAAATTCCATCTGCACCAGGAACCTACTTATCATAAACAATGTAAGGTCCTTATTAAATTTTTATTTAATAGAGTTGACAAAATTTCGAGTTCATTTATAAAATGATTGATTTTCTATAAAGGTAATAAATTTATTTAATAATAATTTCAAAACTGATTTTTTTTCCTTTTTCAGAAATGCATTGTGCTAGCCACTTTAAAAAATTATAAATGTAAATTTATTTCTTTCTTAAGTTCATATAATCAATTCCACTATTTTTAACAATTATATTATATTCTTAGTTTATTTCCTAATCTCTGAATATTATAATAAAGTATTTCTAATCTTTGATATTTTATGTAATTAATACTCTCTACAACTATTCTTCCACACTTCTAAGTTTTAGCTCTTTAATATTTTTGTTCACTAGGATAGACTAATTTTATATGTTCAATGAAGAATTTATTTATTTATTATATTAAAATTTTAAATCCACTTGTTAAATAAGATTCTCCAATATAATATTTATTTTTCTTGCAATCTTTACAGCAAATTTCTATTAATTATGTAGTGATATTGGGCGTCTTCTGAATAATTTGTCATAATTAAATTTAAGTCTCTAAGATGGTAGAATTCTATAAGATTTCTCGTAAGATAAAAACATAGTGAGGTTGAGAATCAATATCTCATAATAAATTAATAATAAATTTGGAATAATTTATCTAATCTTATGGATAAATTCTTATTTTTGAATAACTAACAAAATTATTCTCTTACATAAGTTAACCAAAATATTTTGAAACTATTTTGCAAGGCTTCTTGTTATGTATAATATCTTCAATTCAATTCGTGTAGAATAAGCTTTTTTCAAGTTTATATTATTATATCATTAAAACCATAAATTAATACATCATAAACAAAATAGAAATAGTTCTTTTGATAATAATTTTATTTAATGTTCTAATATAATGATTGAAATAAATGCGATCACTATGACAATACTTTTTTAAGTAAAATATTCTTAATCTTAATAATATATTTTCTTTAATTAAATTTAATTTTTAGACTGAATTTAACATCTGAAATTTTCTATACCATTTTTATTATCTAAAGTAATTAAAACCTGTTTTTAGGTAAATCTCAGAATAATAGGTTTTCTACTTCAAAAAGTGTAAGGTTACCATAGATTTTTAGCCTTTAGAGCAGAAAAACCGACATTAATTATTTAAAAAGTATGATGAGTGTGATTTAATTTCATTAATTCTTATAATTTTTTTAACAAAGAGCAATCAATATGAAGGAACAAGCTTAAAGGCAAACTAGATTTTAATCCAAGGCTGAATCATGTGGAATATGCTATAATGCGATTGAGAATTAAGTAAAAGATGTTTGAAGGTTTAGGGAGTTCTGGATAGCTGCAATCACTCATTTTGTTCAGATTGCATTAAAAAATGGTCAAATGTATATAACCTTATTAATTTTAGATTGAAAACACATGTCCTCTATGCAAATAGAAATTCACCTAAATTGAATCCAAGTGGAAGAGAGTATATTTTGAAATTAATTCAGGTTCATTACAAAAGCCATAAGATATCAAAGCGAAAATGTAAATAAAACAAGTATTTGCCATAATATTGTAGGATTTATGTTAAAGATAAAAGTTAGTCACAAAAGGAAGATCAGTTTAATGTTTTACTTGAAATCCTCATAGAGTTCATTCTTGCTGATAGTATAATTATACTTAACTAATTAGTAAATGATTGAAGATGATTAAAACCTTTAAATTTTGTATATTATATATATCTTTATTTAACATCATACTGGATAATCATCATCAGCTTCAGGATCAATTATTTTGGCACTCTCTCCTTTCATAATGTGGTTGATGACACTTTAATTGTTGGCTATTTTTTCTTCATAAGATTTCTTAAAATCGGGGTAATGATATAATAGTATCTCCTCATATATCATATCTATTTGTATATTATTGAAATCTACCTTTAAGTTACTCATTTGTAAATTCATACATTTCAAATTCGAATTCCATATTGGAAACAGGAACTCTAGTGGGCTAAATCAGTTACTTTAACAGTGTACCTCATCACTTGGGTTGTGGAGCTCCTTCAAATAGGGGTGTTTAAGAGCTTCAGCTGCTGTGATTCTCTTTTTATAATCAATTTCTAAAAGCTTCTCTAATAAATCATATCCTTCGGGTGGTAATCCTTTCACCACTCTATCCCATGGTACTTTCTCTAAAGTTCCCAATTCTTAAATAAGTTCAACTAGTTTTTGTGATACAAATGTATCTTGAACTTACATTATTTTAGTCTTAGATGGTGTTCCAATGGTTTCAAATATCATTTTGATTTATTGCTTTGCTAGTGATATGAATCAAAAAGAGTTTACAATTCTAGCCTCTCCACAGTGTTTTTCCTCTAACAATTTCTGCAAAAATACATCCAACACTCCAAATATCAACTGCTTAAGTGTAGGTTTTAAGACCCAACAATAATTCAGGTGCTCTATAATACCTTGTTTCAACATAATCTGTCATGATATTAGGATTTTATTATTGTGTTTTTGTAGTCTATAGCAATGCTCTGGACAATCCAAAATCGCAGACCTTCAACATACAATCTTATTTATTTAACAATAGATTTGTTGGTTTCTAATTTTTAAGTCTCATTATTATACCAAATCTCGATGTAAAATATTTGCAGAATGCATATATTTAAGTGCTCTAAGAATCTGGTATAAAAAGAGTTTAAAATGATCCTAATTCAATTTGGCATGTTCTTTATCAATAACACGCTTCAAATCTGTGTCTAATAGTTCTGTAACACAATATCTACATTGATTTAAGATCTATATTCTTACATATCATAAAAATTCTTCCTGGATTTCGGAAGTTATATTGTAATAAGATTAACTATCTAAAATGTTTGTTTTGATGCTTACATTTTCATGTTTTAAATTTCTTAAGATTTTTAACTCTCGAAGAGTTCTTTTAGCATAAAATCGATGTTCGAAAGTTCTCTCTATTTTTTTGATTGCTACCATTTTTTATTCTGGTATTGTAGCCTTTGTATCTTCACAACCAATAACAATACCGTATGCCCCGCTTCCCACTGGAAAATTAATAATTAATTTACATTATTATGTTGGCTTGTATCTCTTCTCAATAATAAATTCTGATTCATCAACTTTGAAAACATTGGCAGAATATGCCTTCTATGCATATTGATCGTAATTATAATTTGAATCCATGAATTAATTTATTAATATAATAAAATATATCTCAATCTCATAACTCTAATTGGAAATCCAACCTAAATCTATCACTGCCATCACTTATTTCTTTCTTTTTACATTTACCATTTTCAATTACCTATTCTATAAATTTATTCTCTTAAATTCTAATAATTAATATATTTTAATTTTTATATGAGCTAATTAGCATCTAATTTCAATCCACCTTTTTTGATGAAATTGTAAATTAAAATTGTAAAATAGCATTTTGAAATTCAATTAATAAAATTTAGTTTCACTTACTTATAGTTTATTGTGTTTATTTCACCTATTTAGATTTCTATGTTTATCAAAATAATAGAATTTTACAACCATTTATTTTTATTTATTCAAAACAACCTGTAATCATTAAAGTTATGCTCAATATAGTTTCTAATTTCAATAATTCTATTGCATATTTGGCTATTCTTACCATTCTCACTTTTAAATCTGGTCAAGCAGAGAATTTTCTAAGAATCTTTCAAGCATTCTATTAATATTTATTGCTCTCAAAAATTATTTTATTTATTCACATCTTTATGTTTTAGTTATTAGAATATTTATTTTATTACGTTTTAATCAGCTTAACAATATCTACTACATTATTTAATTCTGCAATAATCTTTTATGATTACAATGACACCCCGCCTCATTTATTTTTTATTCTATTCAGTTTTTTACAATTGTGTGTTTTAATAAGATAAATGAGCACTTACAGATTTTCAGTCTGTAGAGGATTAATCATAGTATAAGTCTTTAAAATGAAAATTAATAAGAAAATTTATATTATAATAAATGCAAAGTAATTGTATTTTGAAGCCACTCTAATTGTAACCTTAGGTAAATGTAAATTTAATATTTTAGAAACCTCTTAAACCATTGGCTGGAATGCAATAAAATTTAAATGAGCATTTGAATAACATCTAGAACATAATCCCTTATCAATTTGTTGATAAAAACAGTCCACATATCACTATTTGTAAGTTAAATGAATGAATTTAAGCTGGATTGACTCCAAAGATAACAGAGTAATCTCTAAGGATAGTATGTGCAGAGTACGGAAATGTTGTGAGAATCTAATTACGAGCATACTATAAGGACGCTTAGGCTTAGATAGTAGCTAATGTTACATATGAAAATGCATAATCAGCATAGTATGCTTATATGGAGTTATAGAAGAAGGTGGAAAATGGATTTCATTTTCAACTTTAGTACACTTTTTAATTTAGTATAGCTATGGAGGTCCATGTTATCAAAACACATCTAAAATAGTGAAAATAAAGTTACCAAATCCATAGATAAGAGGGACAATTGATAAATTGGCTAGATAGGTAATTAAGGAAGGAGTGCAATTTGAGTAGACGATAAAGTAGAGAGAGATTAATAATAATAAATATGCATTTTTATTTTTGGTATGTGTTTAATGATTATGTTAGTAATCTGAAGAGAATGAGTATTATAAATGGAGGGTCTATTCATTTCAGAATGGAGATGATGAAAAATAGTGGAAGTAAGAGCCTTATTATTTCAATTTAAATGAATGCATTTACATTCCACCTTCAATAGAAGTAGAGGAGCCACCTTCATTTGCCAAGAAGGAATTGGAAAAAGCTTAAAGTAAATGTAATTTTATGATTACAGTCACAACCAAAAACAAGAAAATGCAATATTAAGTGTTAGAAGATTAGGATAGATTTACATTTAGTCAAATGTTGAGGGAATTGAATACACAGAAGTAATGAAATAAAGTTGACATTAGACACACTATAGGGAAGGCAATGGTTTTTTGTATTGACCATTAGGACTGTCCAGCAGATCTGATGTTGATTTTAGAGGAGTCTCTCTTAAATGATTCGACATGGTCAATGAAAGTATTTAGTATTTAATAATGTTAGCTTGCTCGTTTGTATTTGATTTCAGATATTTTGAATAACTGCAATCAGAATTTCAAGAGCTATATCTAGTGGTGTTTGCCTAAGATTTTTAGTAATTTGGATCAGTTGCTGCCTTATAAAGAGAAAGTAATGTGTTGTGTAAGATAAATAAAAGATTTTGAAATTGTTGTAATGTTGGAGAGAGTAGAATTTGTTTGACCAAAAGTACTTGAAGGGATTAGAGCTATCCTTTTTGATGAAAGAACAGTCAATCCAAATTGAGAGCATCTCCTCATAGCTTTATAAAGTCGATGGTTATTTTATTGAAGGAAAAACTCGCTCATGTTGATGATGAGACACTTGATCGTATCTGCCGAATCAAGGGACTGTGTTCTTAGGGTCCTCGTGATACCCTAATCCAACGTTTAGTTCAGCATAAGTTCTACAACCGAGCCAACCCCGATGTCTCACTTGAACAGGTGTCCAAATTTGTTCAAGTTTATCGCTACATTGTTGATAAGGTATTTATGATCTATACTATCATCTAATCAAAGGATCAATAAACTATAATTTCATCCTAGAAGTAATCATTTACCACATAAATTCAAATGCTGCAAGAGTTTCTCAAACTGATACAAAAGAGGTGAATATTATACAATTCTTAGATACAAGAACATCATAAGCAAAGAAGGAGAGGAAATAGACGCAGTTGACGAAAGAATCTATGAGTTCAATAAACATATTGAAATCTAAAGAGCTGAGCGAAATCTCTATTTAAATATAGATGGCAGAGATCTTACTGAAGAAGATATCAAAACGATTGAAGATAAAAAGGTTCAAGTTGTAACCAATTATGAACTGACCTATCTACAACCTAAACCTCCTTTGCCTCCAGTTCCAACCGATCCCATTGAAGTAACACTACCACTTATCTCTTAGATTGAAGTCTAATAATATAGAGATATTCTATTTTAAAGTGGCTTATATGATCCTTTTAAAATAGAGGAATTCGCTAAGTCAAAAAGAGCCTAATTGATCAAGGCTGATCTATTGAAAAAGGAGAGGGAGAAACAATTACTACTGAAATAACAATAAGAACAGAGAGAGAGGGAAAAGGAAAGACAATGGGAGAGAGAAAAAGAGAAAGAGAGAGAGAGGGAACGAGAAAAAGAAAAGGAGCGAGAAAGAGAAAGAGAGAGAGAAAAAGAAAGATAGAGACATCATAGTAATTTGGTTTAATTCTATAGCCTCCTAGATCGTGTTAATAAAAGAAGCAGTGCCAGTTCTGAATCAGATAAGAGGAATTAGAGGAAAAGATTTGATACAAAACATGATCAAAAGTATGATCAAAAATATGACTAAAAACATGATTCTAAACATTATAAGAGGAGATCCAGATCAAGAAGCAATTCAAGAAAAAAGAAGACTCAAAATAAAAAGAGATGAGTAAAATAAGTAAAGCATAAAAATATATTTATTCATCAAATTTATTAATGAATTCTGAATTTGTTTTAGAGTAACTCGCCTTAGGCAAACGAATCGATGGTCGAGATCCATTACAATAAAGAATGATCTAATGTCATTTTGGGCCGTAGAGTACAGGGGCTGTTGAATTGAGTCTGGGGGAAACTAGAGTATCAAAAATCATTAAATTTAATTAAGGTATTCGCAACAACTAGTGCCTCAATAACAACACCTAATCCAATAAGACCATCAGAAGGATTCCTTAAATTTCATTTGGATTTATAAGTGTTAAGAGATACTGGTTATATGCACAACCCAATTAAATTGGGCATGGAAATTGAAAAATACATTGAAAAAGTAATCAAGGGATCCAAGTATTAAATTTATTACATACAGAGCCCTTGATACTGAGTCATTATGTATATTGTCTGGCAAAAATGTGTGGTCAATAGATGTAAATGTAGCCTTAATTAATAATGATGGGAATCTCTTAGATGCCATGTATTTATGTTGCATTTTCTCACTTCAACATTTCCGAAGACCATAAGTAAGTGTCTCCCTTTAAGGAGTAAAAGTTGAAGTTGAGAAACGATTGGTGCCATTAAGTATCCACCACATCCCTTTGAGTCTCACTTATGCTATATTGGAATTGAATGAATAAACCATTCTCTTATAAGACCCATGTGTAAGACTTTGCATTAATTCTTAGTTGGAAGAGGAAGCTGTTCAGAATGGAAGAATCACATACAGTGTCAACATTTATAATGATATTTGTCATGTCCACAAACCTGGAGGATCACCCATCAATATTTCAATATTACAATAATTGACAACGGTGACCTTGATGAAATCAAAGCCATATACAGAAGAAATCAGAAGTCTCTTAATCAACAATAAAGGTTTCCCAATGGAGAAGACAGTCACATTGTTCAAGTTTGAATTGCCTAAATAGGCCAACGATGCCATTTAAGTTGAGTAATTAGAGTAATTGTATAATTAATGAATGATTAATAATTGTTATTTTGTTATTATATAATTAATGATTAATTAAAATCGAATTCCAAAGGGAGATCTTAAAAAAGTAGTGGATTCTCAATTTCATTATGAAAGAAGAAAATATATATTTTGGGCATTCAATACTTCATATTTGGGGATAGCTTTCTTTTAAATATATTCAGATGTAGTGATTGAAGGTGGAGAGAATCCTGCTTTATGTGTGGATACTGCCCTCCTGAATCATGATTTACAATGTCCAATAGGTTTATATAAAACTTTGGTGGCCTTGATTGTTGCTCATTTGATTTAGATGCTATCAGCAACTATAGGATATTTTGGAATCGATTAGAAGTCAAGAAAGATTAATAAATCGTATTCAAGTATGATGCTTATCATATTTATTAGTATTATTGATTGGTTCATACATTTATGACTTGATAACATCGTTTATACTGTGGTTTTCATATAATACTTGGGATGACACGCCTTTTAGAAATACAAAAAATGAATTCTTAATGTTATCCATATTCTTCCCAGCATTAATGGCAGTGGTTGGATATTTCTGCTTAAGTTAATTCAAAAAAGCTACCTTTGAAAATGCACGTAAATACTGATATATTTATACATATAGAAATGTAATAAGCAAAGGATGAATTATTAGAAAAGTATCCGTAAATCGCATCAGATGTAGTCAAATTGTTTTTATGATAAAAAAGATAACAAACAAAATTAATCAAAACTCTAATTTTCTGATATACTCGAAATTTTCCTTTAAAAATTCCTTTTAAAATTTTTCAGGCCACTTCAATTCTTTAGCCATGATCTAGAACACTTTCTCATACACATTAAAGATAGCATTCTAATCTAAGAAACCCAATCTTGTTCTCCTAAACAAAATGTCCTCAGGTTTTCTAGCTTGCTCATATCTAATCTGGTACAATATTTCTCCAACAGTATGGGGAAATTGTGGGTGCAAACTTTCCTTATTCTCTGGTTTTTCATGAACCAACTTTAAAACATCATATGCTCTGTCCCCATACGTTGTTAAGAAATAGGCTGCATAAGTTTAAGGTAAATTGAACATTTTCATCATATCTTAGATTTCCTTCTTATTATCAAATTATGTCCAATCACCAACCAATTTGGGTAGATTCTCTAACCTTTTTTAATTGTTTCCAATTAATCCTTGAACCTTATCTACTGCTTATTCACCCATCAATCTAAAGATAGTCCATTTACCACCCATAACTGATACTAAACCACTTTTTGATACTTCTATTTCATGAGTTCGTGAAACTTCTTTTGTACTGAGAGCATTGCTTTAATAAACTAAAGGTCTCACTCCACACCATTTGGATTTTACATCTTTAGCTACTTCACTTGCATCAATTGCAAATTCATCACAAAATGATTACAATAACCATCTATATTCCTCTTTGCTTACTGTAGGATCACTAATTGCATTATCTAATTTTCGTTCAGTTGTTCCCATTATTATATTTCCTAACCATGGTAGCAGATAGAGAACTCTGCCATCATTAGTTTTTGGTATCAAATATCCCCACTAATGAGATCCATATTTTTGGGGCATGGTTAAGTGACTACCTGCTACTGAGACTATCCTCTTGCTAACAGTTGGATCATCCATTAAACGTAAATTATCAGCCCAACCACCAGTTGCATTAACAACACATTTGCCTTTGATTTGAAATTGTTTCTATCCAATCTTGTCAAATGCTTGAACTCCTGTGATTTTATTTTATTCATTTTTTAATAAACCTTTAACTTCAACATAATTTGCCATGTTCTACCCTTATCAAATAACTCATAATAATACCTTTTAGACTTGATGTAACTAGTAATTCTTAAACCATTCTGGCATCATTGAATTACCCATCATAATAAATGACCCCATAATTACATTTTGCAAATTTAAAATGTTATTAAATTTCTTCTTTGCCAACTATTCTCGGAGGCTTAAAAGTATGTCCTCCTGTTTAGTAGTATAAGTAAACACAATGATAAATTAAAGACCCAAAATAATAGTAACCCAAATCAAATAAATTTGTACAAGGTATCAAAGTAGGGAAATCTTATGTTAAATAAGAACACATTGATAAAAAGTTGGATCTCTCTCTTAATGCCTCTGCAACCAGTTACAACTTTTCCAATCTGTTTTTTTCCGACAATTGGAATACTTGTTACATGTACCTTACACCTCCATGAACTAATTTTGTCGATTTGCTTGATGCACCACTTGCATAATCTTGCGACTCCAAAACTATTGATTTCAATCCTCTGTTAGCACAAGCAAGGGAAACACCTGCCCCAGTAGCTCCTCCCCCAACAATAATGACGTCGTATTCATTTAATAGTGCGTCAGCTAAATGTTCCTCTCTACTCTTCAATTTATAATGGATGTGCCTTGAATCTCCAGTACTTTATAATTAGACTTTTCGCTAGGTTAAAATTGAGGCTATTGCAACAAAGGCCACTCTATTCATAAATAATATTTTAATAAATAGATTTTTAACTTAATAAAAACTAAAAATAGTCCAATTCATTCTGAAAATTTAATTAATTTAATACTTAAGTATTCATCTATTATTTAAATTAATATATATAATCTTTATTTTATTAATCCTGCACTACTTTACTCTTCCAATAACTTTTTCTAGGATTAATTATCTTATAAAATGAATTCTCATTTTTTATCAATTTTGGTTTTATAATATTATTAAAAATGATGGTTTAAGACCAACTACTTTATAATTAACAAATTCTCCATTATAGATATAATCAAACAACTAATAATGAGGTTTCTAGCTTTTAAGCTATTATTTTCGAATGATGTATTTTTGGATTTGTATGAGAATTAATGATTTTGGTAAAAATATATAAACTAATTTGATTTATTGAATTTTAATTAATATTTAATGGAAAAAACAATTACCATTATATTCTTGATTCTTCTAGCTATTGATTTTTTGAAACCTCAATAGAAGGAGGAATAATGGTAGGAGAGTTAAGAATAAGTTGTAAATCCTCCTACAAGGAAACATGTTAATAATGGTAAAGTTGAAATTCTCATCTAATATTGCACAAGTTGATCTTACAAAGGGGCTTTTCAATAAATGCAATAGGCAATATTTAGTTAGTTTGACGAAAGAGTGGAAGTGATGGGAATGCCATATCCATTGGGATAAGGCAAAGAGATATTAGTGCAGCTTCTAACAATAATCCAATATGGATTTATTGCTGGTTTGATTTTCTTCGACAAATAAATTAGTGAGATGAGTAACTTTTGGAGAACTAATATAAGTCCAAGCAGATTAAAATATGGGTTTTTGGGTTATATTGCTCTTAATTTTGTTATTACCCAACTTTCATCATCAGGAGCATTTGAAATATTTGTAAATGATTAGTTAGTACATTCCAAAATCAGCAGTGGTTAGATGCCTACTATGGATACATTATTCAGAATTGTTAGGGAAAGACTATAATGAAAATGGTTTGAAGGATCGATTATATATGAGAATGAGAGATTTTAAGTAAAGAAAGTTAAAACTTAAGATTTTGATAAATATTGTTATATAATTGATTCTTTTGTTATTAATTTATTAGTGATGGTCATAATAATATTGCAAATTATAAAAATTACATTCATTTCTTGGTCCAGGCGTGATAGAAAGCTGAGGAGGAGGATAGGGTAAAAAAAACACAATAAAATATTGTCAGTAGTTTGGCTATGGACTTTGATATGATATAATGGTTTCTGACTGCCATAATTAATGTAAATAACAAATTAAGAAAGGCTGCTAGAATAACCATCAATTTGAAAGCATTTTACTCAATGTCAATTATACTAAACAAATTGAATTTGATGGGACCTTGATTCACAAAGTTCTGTTTCAAGAAGGCAACACTAAATCCAATCAAGTTTGTAAACATTTGACCAACTACAAATAGTTTTATCATTTTTACAATAAATTCCATTCAAAGCCATTATTGCTATAAATAGTGTTATTTCTTACCATAACCTTCTTCAGCCAAAGAAACCAAGGTGATGCAATCTGGTAGTACATTCCCCATAGCAATCAAACTAAATCCCAAGTATGTTTTATTTAATTCTGTTATTATGCCCCAAAATTGAAGAAAATCTATTAATAAACCAGATAAAAAGAATATCCACACCAATGAACCTAAAATACAATATAGCTAAAGGTAGAAGAAATATTTTGGAGGAGTTTTTTAAGATGGGATTGTAGTATTTAAGAAAATAGAAATTCCGAATCCAAACAATAATGCTAAAAAGTAAACCCACCAATGAGGGAAGCTAAAAACAACAGAAACAAAAAAAATGGATCCTGGAATTGGAAAAACTAAAGCAATAATCAACTGATATTTACTTATTGCTTGATTTTTATCAAACTAATCTTCCTTAGGTCCAGGCAATGTGTATTTGAATACTTACATCAAAGGGTAGATGATGATTGCCCTTATCTTCTCATATAATGACAGTCTTTCCCATTTCTACTTTTAAGTTTCAATATTGGCCATTGTCAACTGCACAGCAAATCTGAACTTTTTAGCTAGCATCTTCACTCTTGCATCTCCTGTTACATAATTTAATCTAATTAGTGGAGTTGCCCATTTAACTGGCTTAGCAGCTAATTCCTATTCAGATTTCTTGTCCCAAAGATATAGCAATTTCATATCATCGAATTTCTAAGCAATCTCTAAATCATATTTAGCTTCATGAACCGTCTGCATTCTCTCACCCAAACTATCTTTTCTACTTTTCAATATTTTGTCTCTTTCTTAATAATAGACCAAAGAAACTAGTAGCAAATATAAGACTGTTAATGAAATGCTAGAGAAGTAAGAGATTTAGCCAATAACTCCAAATACCATAATCACAAAAATAGAGATTATTTGAAATCCAACATTTCTCCAAAAATGCACAGGATCCATTTTGATTTAAGATTTCGATGTTTTTGTTATTAGATACACGCCTATGCTGCATAAAAACTAAAAATAAATTGAACAATCTATATTTTACAAATCCTGCTCCCATTGTGGCTCCAATATTATAATCAATCCCTCCTGGATAGGATGAAGCTACTAATGCAGTTAAAACGTCACCAGCCCCATTTCCAAATGCAAGTAATGTTACTCCTGCCATAATTTCTGAAACATCGAATTTCACTTTGACTGCTTCTAAAGATGGAATTAGAAACTCTTTTATAATCTCGCTTATTCCATTATAGACCAAATAACCAACAAATCCAGACACAATTAAAGTGGTCTAAAAGTTAATGTTCTATTTACCATAATTGAACCATTTAGCCAACAATAACTTAAAATGCTATAATTGAAGTAGAGGAAATCATGTTAGCAATACTGTTAGGCAATGTAACATTGTTAACTATGCTCTGTTGCTGAAAGGAAATCAGCTTTTTGACATGAAAGAACTTTCGGCTCATAAGGAGCTGCAGATAAATGTTCTAACATTAAAATTAATGGGCAATAATTGTACCTGTTGGAAACATGATTTACAAAATCAAATAGAACAAGATAAAAAATCTAAACCTAGATGGCAAAGCCTGGAGTTTTTGAAATCACAGGAGCATAAAATAGTTAAAATGCAGTCTTGGATTCGTGGATGGTAAGCTCGTTAACGAGTTTGGAAGATTCAATTGCAGAAATATAATGACAGTGTCAATGAATAGTTAAGAACGTAGCCTCACTTTTAACAGTAGATATTCCGTCAGCGTGATTAATGTAGGATCTAGACAGCTAGCTCCATTCGATTTTGGCATTGACGATATTAATGATTCTCTCGTTCATTAAAAAGTACTCAAAGCACCAATGAAATTAGAAAATGGGTCCACCTATTTTGGAGAATGGATCAACGATTTAAGACATGGCAAAGGAATTCTAATTTGCGATGTAATTCCATTTATTTAAGAAAGGATGGTTCAAAATATGAAGGTTATTTTTACTAAGGAAACGCCCATGGGAGAGGAAGATTAATACATTCAAATGGAGAAATCTATGAGGGCTAATGGGAGAATGATGAAGCTCATGGTTAAGGTACCTACATTCATGAAGATGGTGCAACTTATGTAGGATAGTGGGAGCATGACTTATAACATGGAAAAGGAAGTGAGAAGTGGCCAGATGGAAGGTGAGATTCATTTTTAACTGTAGTTTTTTTGAAGGAGCCTATAAACAAGGCAAAAAGGAAGGATTAGGAAAATTTGTATGGGCAGATGGAGCAATTTATGATGGAGAATTTAGAAGCAATAATATAGATGGGTATGGTAAATACACTTGGCCAGATGGGAAGTAATATTTAGGCTATTGGTAAAATAACAAAAAGTAATCAAAAATAATAACTAATTAGAAATGGTAAAGGTAAGTACATATGGCCTGATGGAAAAGTCTATGAGGGGGATTTCGTATTTGATCAAAAACACGGTTAAGGAACCTTGAGATTCCCAGATGGTAGAGTATATGAAGGAGAATGGTAGTAAGATAAACAGCATGGTCGGGCAATATTAAAATTACCTAATGGCAAAACTTCCTTTGGGGAATGGAAAAACGGAATTCGTATTAATTGACATACTATCAATCATTGGCTAAAATTATAATTCCAAAGTTTGTTTTTCTTCTCTATAAGATTTCTTTTCATTACATATTAATTCAGTTGAGTTAATTAAACTCCATGAATAAATTTAGTTATGCTGGTTCAACAATTTTCTTTCGTTTAATTGCGTTTCTTAAGTTAAAAGAGAGAATTAGTAACTGCTACTAAAGTAATTTGAAAATTGTTAATAAATTAACATTTGGTTTTATAATATATTTTTAGTTTTTTCATACTTTAACAGCTGGTTTCTTAATATAATTTAATAATTTATAAAGATCATATATCTTTAATTTACAAAGACATCAATCAAATAATACTTAAGATAGAATCAATCTTACAAGTTATACACTAAAATTTTTAGAAATTAAATTTAACCTTATCTTATCAAAGATTCTACAAATTCTAATTATTGAAATGTCAAAGCTATATTAAATGATAAGGATTAGAATGTAAATTAGTTAATAAAAATTGTTTTTAATCATGGAGTATTCAAAATTTATTAGATTTCATCTAAAATGGTTCTTATTGAGAATGCGATTAAACATTTGCTGTCTTTTGAATAGAACATTAAAATTGATTATTCTTTTCAAAATATATTGTATGATGAATAAGAATATTTAAAAATATACAGTTATCAATAATGAAAACGGATTAATATAAATATAATAATGAGAAAGCTTAGTCTTTTAATATTGGCACTCATCTATGTGAATGCCATTGATCCAACCATGGTGTAATTAGGAACAGCCAAACTTGATGAATTGAACTAAAGCAATTTGGGGAAAATGATCTTAGAGTTGGCATAAACTCATGCAGAAATGCGAGGACCATTAGGTAAGGTAAATTAAATTTAACAGGAGTCTAGATGATTTAGTGACTGCAATTGGGGATTTGGAAAATGAATTAACTGCTGAATTACAATAATTAGATGATGATTACACAAGATCAACTAATCAACATGCTGCTACACAAGAGAGTTTAGATATTCAAATAGGATAAACAGAAATTAATATCTTCAATTAAAAAGACTTTATTGATGCCATTCTTTTACCAAGCATTGATCAAACCAATTCCAAGATTGATAGATTGAATGGATACATAAATGATAATAGAGATAATTTATCAAAGGAAACAGTAAATAGATAAAAATAACATCAATAATTTTTAGATAGAGGTAATAATTTATGATTATTTAAAAGTAAGTGAGCATCAAAGTGCTATAAGTGCAGTTGACGAAGCAATTCAATTGATTAATGCTTTAATAAATGGAAATATATCATTTGCTGAAAAGGGAACCATAAACTAAGCAATAGAAAGAATCAATACTAAAACACAAAAGACTAATACAGTTCATCCAATTGTTTAAGCCCTTATGTCCTTAACTTAAAACTTTTCAGATCAAGAATAAGCTAAGAAAATCAGAGACTTATTGTCAGATACAAGGAATTAATTGGTAGCAAGCTTAAACTAAGAAACAGCTGATGAAAATTAAATTGAATAGACTTGGGTTGAAAGATAAAAAACTTTAAATACAGAATATCAAGAATTCAAAAGGTCTGTTTTGGAGGCTACTTATGTTTTAGCTACTTATTAGAGTAAGAAATTAAGTTATTTCAGGCAAATTAAAGTCAACAAGAGAAGCATTGGCTGAGAATGAGAATGATCTCTAAAGTTTTAAAGATTCATTATGTAAGTCATTTTGAGATAATTTTTATAGAATAAGATAAAGATGCTTAAGCGTAGGAAACTTAAATTTACAATGAATTAAAGAGCCAATACTAAATTTAATTGTAAACAACAAGAAATGCTAAGGAATTTGTAAACTCTGCTGAGTTCAGTAATGTTATAAGATAAAAATTAAACTAAGGCGGATTAATCTGATACATTTAATATAATTATCTAATATTAAACACAGATTTATATTATTACTTATTTATTATTATTGAAAGTTTTGAAGTTAAAAGTAATTAACTATCATTTATTTAATTTTTTGAGTAATTTAATCTTATAAGTAAATATATTCATTATGATTAAAGTTCTTAATTATAATAGATGCAACTGGTTAATAATTTGATTTCCATTAATCATCACAATTTCTATTTTCAAAAAGGATTTTTTATTAAGGTGAAGGTAATTTTTCATTAAACGAATAAATGATATATCTAATCGCCTGGAATTTAGAGTATTAATTTACATAAATGACCTCTAAAATACAAGATAAAGTTTACAAAAATATAATTCTATTTGTTTTAATTTTTTACAACAATACTCTTTATATACATTTCACAATAATATATAAATCCATTAATAGAATTTTTTGAACATGGATTTCTTGTTCTTTCTAATTTTCTTGAACCTTAATCCGTTTTGATAATGTATCTTTAGTCAATCTTAATTATTATTTAGTTTTTTAATCAATTCTTGGAGAACATATCAAATTTAATATCTTACTTATTTGTAATTTATTATCTTTTGATTCAAGAGTGATAGTTGAAATTTCGATCGCCAAAGGTTATTAAGATAACATATTTGCAATTCTTATTTAAAAGTAGAGAGAAATTGTTGTTCTTTAGTTTTTGAATTAATTTTAATTCTTTTTGATTATTTTACATTATCTATACGAAGTAAATATAATTAAATAAATTTTAAATTTATTAATTTGTGGATTTGGAACATCCCACGTATAAAAACTATTTTTTTAATGAATGCGAAAAATAATTTATAATATATTATGTTAAATTAAATAAAAGACAAACCACTTTCTTAGCTAATACTTGAACTATAATAAAAATACCAAGAGGACAATGAATAATCAGACATATTTTAATAGTTTTATTAGAAGAAATAGGAACAGGAGAGTTCAACAGATTCATCTCACTTTGTGCCTGCATTGCTTTCGGGGACTACTGGCTCTTAATCTTCAAATTCTCAAGAAAATAATAACAAAAATTAGGCATGCAAAAAAGGTATAAAAAAGGAAAAGAAATAGAAAAATACTGGAAAGGGAATCTAAGATAAGAAATAAGAATTACCTCAAACAAACGATAAAAAGACTGTATAAATGATCAAAAATAGAATATCAGCCTAAAATTCAAGAGATAGAAAGAAAGCTTATTTATAAAAATTGGAAGAAGACTTTGTCAATTAATCTGCTCAATTAAACGAAATGCATGAACAAGTCAATCAATTATAATAATAATTAGAGGAAGCTCATAGAGTAAATTAACAGTTACAACAATAATACTCTGTTTTGACTTGCTTGAATTGTGGTAGTAGAAGTTTTGGATTTGATGATGAAGATCCAATTTTTGTCTCAAAGAATAAAAGTCTTGGAAAATTAGGATTATCATTTTTGTTTATCGTTGCACTCATTGCATGCATATCTATTGATTTATATCCTTAAACACAAAATTTAAAGAGAATTGATTTTTAAGAAAACTAGAGTCGAAATTTAAATGCTAATGATAGTCATTTTCAGATCTTTGATCATGTTTCATAAAGTAGAATAAGAGGTATGACTGAAATTATGGAATATAATTCAGAATATAATTATAAGTTTTTTGATACCACATACAGAGCGATTTTACAAAGTGATGAAAGTTTAGTTAATGGATTGATTAATTTTAACAAAGAAAGGGTTAAAAATAATAATGGGAAAGCTTTGGCTCCTCTTAATTATCATAAACCATTAGTTGATTCTCTCTATTGTCCTACAATATATAAGTACTAAAATCAAACATAGGGGTAAGACCTAAATATTATTTTATTAGTATTTAAGTGCATTACCAAGATAAACAATGGCTTCATTTGATTATTCCAAAGAATAGAGTTAAAATCTTTATTTAAAATACTGATAATTCAATCGTTTTAAAGGAAAGCTTTACTGAATCCAAAAATGAACATAGACAAATATATTAAGAAATTTGGTGTTAAATAAAGAGCGTCAGTGATTTCTTTATTTGATTATATCTTTTTCTTTAGATTATATTATAGAATGTTATATATAATTAATGTGTTCAATAATTTAGAAAAATGAATGTATATAAAGTACTTTCAATCAAATTTAAACTAATAATAATTATTGTTTGAGTTCTGATATAAGAGCATCTATTTCAAATTCATGTTGATTAATTTCGAAAATAGCCATAGATATTGAAGTTTAAAATTTTTACAGTAACTTAAAATTGGAATTCAAAGCTTAGATTTGTGTTCTTATTCGTTTTTCTTACTAAATACTTTCTAATTTCTATTTTTGTTTTTTGCGTTCTTCTAATTTTTCAGACTTGATTTCTTCATAAATTAATGAATGACATTTTCCATAAAATAGATCAATCTTATTTTTGTCAACTTTTTCCTTCTTTTAAAATTTGGCAATGTTTCTAATAATATGAACCAACTTCTTTCTCATAATTCTATCGATGGATTCTTATTTACTCTTCAATATGAAAGACTTAATCATTTCTTCATCGTCGCAAACTTTAACAAAATTGCTCAAGAGTTTTTAGCCAAACTTTTTTGATTTTTATTTGCTCCAAGCACTATTAACAACTCTATTGTTTATTAAGCTTTGAATAATTCGATAATCAGGATCATCCACAGAAATATTTTAAATTTTTTTAGATTTCTAGACATAATACTTAACTTTAGAAATAGCCTAATAATTAATTATAAAAAGTTACTTTTACAAACCTTTCTCTAATAATTTCAAATCTAGCTTATTTTTAGCCTACAATTTATAACATTAGATCTTGTTAAACACTTTAGTATGGACGATTATCAAACTTTTATTTCAAATTATCCAATTGTTAAGCAATCGTATTTTTTCGGTTTAAATACTAATTCTCATTAATAGCATGTCCTCGTCTAATTTTGTTGAGTTTTTCTATTAAAATTAATAATATTTTTACAGCGCTTCAATTTGGCTTATTGAAATAGTATTATTTTTCTTCTCTTGTACATTTATTGCAATTCAAAAAATTAAGGTGATTCATTTTATAGTTATTCAGAAAAGAAATGAGCAGAACACATCAAAACAATGCTCTCCTGCAATGCCAAAGCACTCCAGCATCTTGGTGTATATTCAATTGATTCAATCTCACCAAAGCATGTTCCTTCCATTACGCTTATGATAGATTCTCCATGTGCATCACATAATCTCACATCTCCTTTGATAAGAAAATAGAAATCATTGGCACTTTATCCTATATGATATATAGTTTCAAATTGTTAATAGCAGGCTAAGGAACAATTGGGTAATATAGCTGCAGAGAAGTTAATGTCATTAGACATAAAAGGAATGGTTCTAAATATTTCTTTGTGGACAGCTGCCATCATATACAAAATTAATGGGTGTGGCAATTCAGAAAGTATCCTCTTAGCATCGTCAGCCCAGAAGGGATTGTACTGAATATTATATTTTGTAAATCTAAACAGGTCATCTTGCATCCATTCAGGCATGTTTACACTTATGTCTTCCAAATTAAATAGTTAATCGTCAAATTCTTAGTTGGGATTGGATTAAATCAAAATGAATGTGATGTTTCCGATAGTGAATGAATAATATCCAACTCCTATTAGCATCCAAATGTTTACAAGTAAGTATTCATCAGAATTATGGGCCTCGATATCCCCATAGCCTATTACTGTTATAGTTTGATACGCCCAAAAGAAGGCTTAGACCAATTGAGTGAATTGATCCTTCTCATTAAAGTTATAATAAGATAACCAGTTTGTATTCTCGTTGAATCTGCAAATCCACAACCACAAACAAGCAAATAAGTGATTGAGTACTATCATTTCCATAAATATCTTCATCAACTTCTTGAGTCTCAAATCCAGATTATATTCACTTCTGATTACTAATTCATCTTTAATTGCTCTCTACTGTTTCAAAAGATCAAGGGATTAATTGTATGCGACTCTTCTTTCAAATAGGAAAAATCGAAATAATCTAATTAGTTTTAATATTTTGAGTCCAGTTAAATTAAAATCAGGGAGTACTGAGATTAGGTCAAACATAAACCAACCACTTAAATAATGTTAAGCAATATCCTTAAAGTTGTAAATCAAATCAAGTTATTTATTGACGTGACAAATAAAAAAATTCATGATTAGATCCAACCAAAATATTATTTGTATTGCCAATGTTAGTTGACTGCCTACTCCCTCTATTATATTTTATATAATGTACTTCAAAGTCGAATGCAACTTGCAAGGGAAATAAAATTGCTGCAAAATCAGTGCATAAATTTATAATTAATCCCCATATAATATAAGGGATATCATCTGGAAATAGAGGTAATAGGCTTCTTCTTTTGTAGGCATAGCGTAAATTTTGAGTCCTCAACTGTTCAGCATAATTCCTTAGTTCTTCTATGAAGTGTTAGGCATTAATGATCTTCCTGATTAGCTTTTAAAATTATAGCTTCCTGTCTTGCCGCTGAGAATTAGTGGGGGAGATAGTAGCTGTTGTGGATAATTGTATGCTTACATATAAAACTGATTATCTTACAAATTTTTTACTGTTTTAGCTCTGTATTTTCTTATGTTATTATTTATGGGTTGTAGAAATCCACTATGAGTTTGTATCAGGCCAACTTAAGATCCCATTTCTGTAAATTGCCTCTGACTACTCCAGGTATGTAATGTCTCATTATCCTCCTTGTGTTTAAAGGGATGAATTTTCATTAATTTATGTTCTTGGAAAAATACTTTTTAATATTTAACTGCGTACTAATTAAAAATACTTAATTTCTAAGATTACAGATCACTTAATGAGGTGAAATGGAAAAGTCGAGGATGATATGACCATTTTTACACTTAGTTAAAATCAAATTAATTTAGTTGGGGAATTATAAAATATTTCAATCAGTTAAAGGGGTATATTGACTTGGCTTTATTTTCGATTTTCTAATAATGCTTTGTATGTGTTCAGATCTAATTGTTCTTCTGGGTTTTTGAAGTTTTTGGAGGATTTTATCTAAATTGAAGTGAGTAAAATAGTAGGTTGTAATAAAATATCTATCTAATTCAAAATCCACTCTCTAAATTTAATTAGGAGAATCGCTTGGTCTTAAGGAAATAACTTCGTCCAACTAGTTAACCATGTTACTACCAGTGACCTCAGATTTAGATAGAGATTTTGCAGGCATTTCAAGATCCATGTTTGAATACGAACTTGAATTATTTTTCCTTAGTTTTTAGACACTTTATTAAGTTTATTGAGTTTATTACACTTATTATTACTACTATTACGGGACTTGATCTTATGAGATACAAGTAATGTTGGTAAATCTATTATTAGATATTTGAGTCAATCTCTAAAGAGTTTTATGTCTATTATCTGCTTTCCTTCTGAATGAGTTTTAAGCTCTGAGAACCTTAGGTTCTGGTTCAGGAGTTGGATGAAATTTAACCTTCTTCTGTTCCATACTTTGCAGATGAGAGTATTTCGATGATTTAGGAGTTTTAGTTTTATTAAATTAGGAACTGGATTCATTACTACTGGAGGAATCACTGCTGAATTGTTCGAATCCTGTAAATCCTCTTAACATGGATTTATTAGACTTTTGACTTTTCAATGTTTTGATTATTCTTCCATTTTGATCATCCTCCATGTTGAAACCCAGCATATCTAGATATTAATCTGTTAAATCATCTATTGAAATGATGTTATCATTAACAATAATGGCCAAAGCGTGTTCTCTTATGATGTTCCTCTGAAACATTCTCTTCATCTCCACTCTATTATGGGAGGCCCTTATCATATCTTCTGACATCATAAACTTCTTTCTGATTCTATCTTAGTTAAAATGCACGAAAACTAAAGGACAACTAATTGAATTCAGAAGTATACTTCTTAAATTGATGTGTCCATTTGCAAATGCAACAAACCTCTCCATAATTTTACTTCTCCTCTGTAAACAACATTTGATCTCGAAGCATGCAGTAATTCTCTTCTTCTAAAGCATCTTCACGAACAACCCTAAGAAAATCCTCATAACTATATTTAGAATGAAATTAAACTTGATAAATGCAATCTAACAGAATTTGGTAGATCTAATAGAGTAATCATAACGTGCCTAAGTAATAAATTCTTTTTCACCCACAAATTTGCCTTCCTCAATAGTGGCAACAATAGTTTCTCTCAACTTCTAATCACCTTAAAATTACTCAAAATAAGAAATTACAAATCAAACTCAATTATCCACTTTAGATAAATATAAGTTTATTAGCTTAATCATTTTGTGTTGCTATAATCTCTTCAGGGGCTACCTTAAGTTCATGTACATATGAACACAATTTTTGAACACTTTTCAATGATAAGGTCTACTTGATTAATCTGGATTTCTTCAACATTTCACAATACATATCTATTGCAACCTACTCTTTTAACTTCTTATCTAGATTGACCATCATTTTTTCGCCCAATTCATTGTAATCTTGTTCCATCCTTAAAAAGTATTCGAAGTATTTCCTAACCTACAACATTAATTATTTGTTAATATTTTTCTTCTTAAGGAAGTTGTTTATGTGCATCATTTACTACTTGAATTACTGTTCTTTCTCAGTCAGTTATCTTAAAATATTTCCAATACTCGATATTGTGTATCCGAATAGACCACATATCACCATAGCCATTAAAATCACATAGATTCTCTCTAAATCGGTCTGAGGTACTATATCACCATAACCAATAGTTAAAGTAGTAATTGTACTGAAATAGAAAGCGTGTATGTATTTTGTGAGCCAACTTGCATCAGTGATATTCTTGGCTATCAACCATGAATTCTTCCCATTCTCCAATTGGTTTTCTCCTATCAAATTCCATAAGCATGCACAAAAATGAGACACAAAAAGTACCAAAAACATAGATTTGAAGAGTTCCAATATGGTTTGCACATTGATTGATGGGTTTGTGACTTCCTCAATTGCTTCAATCATCGATTTCACCTTCGTCACTCTCAATAACAAAATGTATTCTGTGTAAGGCACTGAATAAGATGACAAAATAAATGGAATTACAATCATCAAGTCCCACCATAATTGAAGACTTGCATAATGTTTTAGAATTTCCTACTTATCTCTATGAATTTAACCTTGGCTATAAAAAGCAGTAAAGAATGTCAGTATTATATCGATCACAAAGGTCCAAGAGGGCAAGGTCTCTAAAAATATACTACTCAGAAAGTCTTCTCTTTCAAAACCAAATCCCAACTTCATCGGAATGTAGAATATGTTGATGATAATTTGGGTTAATACAAAAATGTCCCAAATTATTTTAATATTTGAGTCGGGATCCAAAACAGGCAACTAATTCAAAATCCATTTCAAATTCTGCATTACTTATTCGACTTTATTCAATTTATGCAATAAATTATCTGCGTCGCTTGCTTAATCCTGAATCAAATCCACTATCTCATTTGTTAATGATTTGAACTTGACCTCCATCGAATGAGTTTTCATTTACTTTACAAATTTAGTGATATAAAACATTATTCTCAGCCCTCCATGGACCCACAAATTAGTTTTTTCCTTGATCTCTATTTGGAGCATGCTCTTACTATCCTCCTCCATATCAGGGTCGGGATCAGGACTCAAGATATCTCCTTTAAAAGCATTTTAGACAGGTTATTGTATTTCAATCTTTCTATTTGAACATACATTTGGCTCGAATGATGCATCCTCGCTATTGTTATCACAATGAGGCATGGTGAACCCTTAACGATACTTCAAAATTCCTTTGAATGTTTGACTCTTAATTACTAAATAGCTTACCTTCTTTATTTCTAAGTTCCCAAATCAGATTCAAAGAGTAATGACATTATTTTAATTTTACTTTAATTATATTGTTTTTCATATTTGTATGAATACTAATATTAGTTGGTAATAATAATGCTATTCATCTATTCAGCACTTAACAAAGAACGTATCCTCATATAATTTATTACAATTACAAGATTATCAATTAAAGATTTTATATATAAACTCTAAGATATTGAGCAACTACTTAATTAAAATTGTATGAGCTTCTGAAATGAGAGTACAAAAGGAGGAGTTGGAAAAAGAACATTTAAAAACACTGTTAATATTAAAACTATAGAATCAGTAGTTTAGATAAATAATTAAGGTTATTGTGTATCTGATGCATCTTTAATATATTTACTGTCTCAAAATTATTGATTTATAGATAATTCTTAATTTACCATATAAATAAACATCTTTTAAGCAATTTGAAATCTAATTAATGAAAAATTTAATCATTTTTAATTACTAATAGACTCTAGCCATCATTTTTACCCTTAAATTTGCTATTGCATTGCTTTGCAACTGAGTATATAATAATTAATTATCAGATTCTATATTTTTAACTATTTAGAGATTGAAATAGGAAAACGAACATAGGTGAGTTGGATGACAGAAATGTTAAATCGCTAAATATTGAAGAGTGATTTAGTTTTATGTATTTAATCATTCAAATTCAATATTTAATTAAATGGATAATTATTTCACAATCATAAGTTTACTTGGACTTAGAAATTAGAATCTACCTCCATTTAGGTGAGTATTAATTGTAAATACAATAGAGAAGCTCGTTTGAAGAGATACAGATCGATCAAGAAGATGGTTGAATTGATTGAGACAGCTGGATGGACTTAGCCAAAAGTGCCATTCAATGCCTTTTGCTTGAGTTCTCAAGATCGTAAGAATACTCATTTGAATATGTATTTTAGCCGAGTGGGAAGATGATATGACCTATCCCGTTATAGAGTATAATAAGTTTGGGTATTAGGCTATGGCTTTTGGAATGAATTTGGTAAATAATATTTTCAAGATGTATTATATAGTTCCTGTATGCATACAATTATAATGTGATAACACAAAACATCAGATTCAGAACTTTTAGATACTTATTCCCTGTTGTTTAGTGTTTTATATTTGGCAGAATATATTTCGAATACAAATCTGAATTAACAAAAGTCAATTTGTTCGATGAGTATGTTCAATTAAGAGCATAGGAGTTGGTGAAGGAGAACGAGTTTCTTTTGGAACACGAAGGTTAGTATGCATTCATGATTTGAATAGACATCAAGAGATTCGTGTGGTGGTATGAGGATTACAAGGAGACATTATGCAGAGTCCATAGACAAGCTAATGATCACGCAGCCACTGACTTCAAAGACTCTGAATTGATATTGCAAGACTTTATCCGCAGATACACAAATCCCAATTCAGCAAGACCACTCAATATTTAAGAGAAAGGAGTTTTATTCTGAAATTATTATTCCAAAATAAATAAATATTTTACACACAATAACATCGTATATGTTGGCAATTTAGATTTTCGTTTTGATAGTCTCAACACTCTTTGGGTTATTATTTTAATCGCAAATATGCCCTAACATAATATACGATTGCGTTAAATTGTTTATATTTAGCACCCTTTTGATAGAACACTATTGGATACTCATAGGTTTATTTCTATTTATTTGGTTAAGAGAATTAATAAAAAAGTTTGATCCTGAAAAAAAATTAGAACTACCTAATATGTAATAGCCATTATAATAAAACACCATGCAGAGTTCAAAAGCAAAGTTATCATCTTTATCCGTAGAAGTTATAGAATCTGCAGTTGAGGCAGTCCAGATCTACGATCATTTCACTGGGGAAAGCTAGTATGCTATCATATAGAAGGCTGATAAGAGTTAATTGGCATAGTTAGGAATTACTTTGAAGAATACAGTATTATTGGAAAAGGGCAGGGTGCTGGATTCAAACTAGACTTCCAAATTACTGTCTTAAATAGATAACCAGAAAAAAGGGAGTGATGCTCAATAAATCTCAATTAAATACGAAGATAATAGTGAATATTTAAGAAATTAAAACAGAGTTCAGAAATCAATTCCATTTAAAATTGGTGACTTTGACCAATAAATGGGGGAAATCATTTAAGTTGAGATCTTGTCTAATGAATAATTGGATAATTAATAACAGGGGTATTAGCCCTAAGAGCAAAATCATGTTTAGTAACAAATCGTTTTTGAGTATATTCTCTTAGTAATTTTATATGGTATTAATAAATATTATATATTAGCTGGTGGAATATCTTAAGTGAAAAACATCTACCTATAATTATTTGATTCATTATTATTTGGAGTAGTAATACATAGTGGAGTTAAAAGATAGCAACTTTTTACTTTAACTCATCTGTTTATTAATCTAAGCATCATATTGGGATGCTGCCTGATATATACTTTAGGGATTTACTTAAGGTTTCAAATTTTCATAATTGGGGGACTGGTTTTATCATTTTAGAAAGTGAATCCCAATTTGTAAATGGTAATAATTCCATTGACTACTTTGCTGAATATATTTATAATCTGATATAAATAATTCACCAAATATTAAATAATGTTGACATGGTTGTGATTAATTCTTAAATTTAGTTTTAGATTGAAGACATTATTAAATTTAATCTTGAACTAAATATATATATATAGGAAAATGTTATCAAATTAAATCTAGACCGTCTGAAGTACTACTGTTAAAAATATATTATGAAAATACCCATTCGCATTCGACTACTCTTTGTCAATCTTAGAGATGAGCTATTTAATCCTTTCTTCGTTTTCCTATTTATAATTCAATCTTACTTTTTAACCCCTCAATAAATCTTAACGATTTTTTTAAGTTTCTTATAATAAAAACATATTAACTGTATGCATTTCATCCTGTTGTATTTTCATTTATTCAATTTCTTGCTCTAAGTATTAAATCGTCTATTGCAAACTTTAACTAGTTTAGGTGTGCATTCGAATAGGCGATTGAAGGCCTTAGTTACACAATTTGAGACTTGGATATTCAGCCGAATGAGTTGCTTTTTGATAAGGAGTATGTTTTACAACTACACTCCGAGATTTGACTGAGATTCAGATCGGCTTTTTCTTTGGATTGTTGTTTTCCAAAGTTGAATAAGTTATTATACATTCCTTGGGTGTTTACATCAAGTTTTTCTACAATTTGTTAAGTTTAAGTAGCCATTTATTGTATTTTCTGTATAATCAATTTGGTTTCATTATATTCGAAATCATCATCTTTAACTAAAAACTCATGATTAATTTAGAAATAATTTCCACTCGATTTGGTTCTTCGATGCTTAGACATATAATAAAAAATTAAATAATTAAATTTTAATCACTTTGCCAATACTTTTTGATTCTCAAGATTACGATAAATATACATTAATATACTTGTTTTATATGTTGTACAGATAAAATACTCTCACAATCCTTTAATTTTATCTTCAATGAATTGCTTTTCAGCCTCGCTGACTTCAATTGCGAAATCTTTAACTGCCACAGATGAACACTTTCTTGACTTGATTTTCTTTGTCTTTGTCAAAAACTTTGAAATTCCGATCCATTCTCCCAACAAAGCACCCTTCTCGACTCTCCAAACTGGAATTTGGAATTGCTTAGCCAAAGCAACAACTAATTTTTTGTATGTCTCCTCTGAACAATCATCAGCCAACACAATAAACTTAGCCTATTCCAATATATATCAATAATCAACTTATTTGCTTTCAATTGCTTTGCAGACTTCATGTACACCCTTTGATAATTATCCTCTATGTAAAGAAGTTTAGACAACTCTTTTTAAGGTAGTGAGCTCTTCTGATAATTATTCAACCTCTGCCATAATGAAAAATATTTTAAATCTTTATTTTAAATTAAAAAACAAAAAGAAATATAAGTGAAATAATCCTACACAAAAATTATAATAAAGCTTTCATTGTTTTGAAAAATCTCATTGTAAAATGATCTAACAATTCTCCTATTTCTACTCAAAAGAACTTGAATCATGTTTCACCAATAAAAACTTCAAATCATCAGAATGTTTAATTTTTACAGTCTTTACTATTTTTGGTTCCTCCACATAATTCACCTTCAATCTAATTTTCAGTAATCTCCTCTACTCCTCCTTCTTCTATAGCATTTTCAACATCACCTCCTTTTTTGCTTACTCCTACCTCATCTTCTGGATTTCCTTCCTCTGTTACTCCATTGAGGCTTCAATGTTGTTCAATTGTCTCTGATAATGAGAGTAAAAATGTTCATAATCAGCTCTGACTCCATCAAAAACTGAAGCTCTGTTTCTATCGACCAACATCAATTTGACTTTCTTTTTATTTTTTTTGGTTCTATCTTAAATGAGGAGAGTTCTGTTAAAAGTAGAATAAACTAACTATTGATTAGATTAATAGACTCCAATTTTAGAATAGTTGTCGAGATTCCAATCTGAAAGTACAGTTGGTTGTTTGGGCCAGAGCACTTGCTTGTCCTTGATTGTTGAATATTGATCGTCCATAAATTCAATCAGTGTTTAGGAGATTAAGGGAGGAGTGAATTAATAGGCACACTCTGGATCCTGACATGAATCAAAAATCTTAGATCTATGATCCTTATTTTCTTAAGGTTCTTCTTCTTTGAGGGCTAGTCTTAGGTCTTTGAGTGTGTTGAATATTTCTTAGCAATTGTTAAACGTATTTGTAAATTCTTGCTCATCTTATTTAATTAGTTTTAATTTTAATAGTTCACGCTACTTAATTTAAGAAATAAGCTGGAGAGCAATCAGATTCTCATTGTAGATGATCTGTCTACCAACGTCAAATTCAGGAAGTTAGATATTGAGTCGTTTTAACCTTTTTTGTTTGTAGGATCTACGAGGACGAAATGCCATATTCATTCTGTAACTAGTGATGAATATAAAAATGATTTTTTTACTCATTCTCCTGAGCCCTCATGAACACTCGTAACAGAGGCCGTTGAAGACGATCAACCTTAGCATTATAATATTCTGGAGGGTAATTAATGGAATTCAGCAATTCATATTGGCAAACATAGTTCCGAGTGTTAGATAGGTTATTCCTGATGTCTAGTTATTGGATGGTGAGTGGATCTACTCCAGCTGCTTAATCTTCTTCGTCACAAGAATATTCGTTTTCGTCTGGATATGTAATATTTGTATGAATATAAGTAGGAGGAATTTTAAGGGTTAGTTGAGGTAAGCCTTCCACAGTCGTGAATTTAGGTATTTCTATCTGCTTGCACTCTCTTTCCTAACAAAAATTCTGAGATTTCTTACCTTCTGACTTTCTGCTTCCCAAACTTCACATTTCTAAAGTGGCACATTTGGATCGACCTGCCTCATTAAAATAAAGATTTAATATATGCAAATATTTTAACCAAAACTTTTTAAAATCAATTCACCTATCAACAAATGCTCAAAACTCCACTCAAAAACACAATATATTTAAAGGAATTCACAACTTCATTTGATAAATTTTTTTATTTTATTTATTTTATTAATTATCCAATCATCATTATTTTTTTCAAAACTATCATCATCATCCATGCTCCCTATCTCATTCGCCATCCCTAAATCCACCAATCTAATTTAACTTACGTTCTCCCCATCTCACGATTCCCTACTTCCTATTCTCAAAAGTTCTCACAATCATATCTAAGATTTTGATCGTTTGTCCTCTCAACTACCTTATCAAAAATAGCGAACCAAAGAAATATCATTAATATTATCTCAATAACAATATCCTCACTCAAACAACCACAAGAAAATGAAAATAAACCCATTATAATACAATATTATTTCTTTTTATATAATTTCTCATATTTTTATATTTCATAATTAACAATTATAATCACAACTTCATTTCACTGTTTTTCTATCTCCCCCCAATCTCCACAATTATTCCTAACAAACAACTCAAAAACTCATAGTTAGACATAATATTTAACTTTTCGCAATATATCATTTAATCAGTATAATGTCTAATCTAATTTATCTATTGGTATCTTAATAATTTTAGATTATTGCAAAAAGGTTTTTATTTATCCTTTCCTCTCCAAAAGGACTTCTTAGTATGTTAGACAAGGTGTATATGAAAATAATTGCAAGGGTGTTGTATAATTATAAGAGTTTTGATTTAGGGTATTAACCTGAGAATTAGGATTTTATTTGATAAATTAATGTCCCAATAGAGAAGAAGAGAATAGTTAGAAAAAATATCCCATTTTTAGAAGGAAGAACAGGATCGGAATAGGAGAGAAGAGTTGGAAAAGGAATTTTTGAAATGCTAAAAGAGAGGTTAAATGCACACAAATTCAATGATGAATTGGATAAACAAACATCAAAATAAAGCAGATCCGAAGGCCAAGGAAATGTATCGCTATCTACCTGAAGAAAGAGTATATTAATTTAAATGAACCATCAGCGTAAACACATTGAGTTAACCCTGTTGTTTGAGAAGTTTGACAATGATGGTTCCAAAGCACTAGACTTCATTGAAGTATTCAGGATGTTCACTAAGTAATTGTGAATGATCAATCTAGATATGGGATATTCATAACGAAAAAGGAGTTGCTTGACTTTTTTAAGGTGGTTGATCAAAATAAGGATTTCTCCTTAAATCTCTAAGAATTCAAGGCATGTTATTTGGACTCGGCAGCAAGAGACATTTTTGCCAAGATTATGAAACAATTAATAGAGAGAACCTAATTGACCGAAGAGGAAATCAATGCAGCCTTAAATCAAATGAATGAATTGAACAATCAGAATAGCAACAACCAAAATTAGAATCCCATTCCTGCCCTTCCCAAGTCCTTTCAGGGAGTGATCAGTCTACTCACTTATTTGAACACCAGAGATGAGATTAAAGATAAGTTGACCTCAAAATCAGTAAACATATATGAACAAATCAACAATCTAAAATAACTGATTGAATTGAGTAATAAAATTGATGTTGTTTAGAAGGTGGAGATTGAGAAAAAGATTAAGATCAAGAAATCTTCCGAGGATAGATTAAATAAATTTAAGAATTAGTTAAAGTAAATTAAAGATAGAGCTATTCAGACTGGATAAATGATGGCTGAAGAGGAATTGAGACAAAAAAACTCTGCATTCTTGATAACTGTTTTACCATAACGCAAATATAAATACAATTACAAAAGCGAAAATAAATTCAAAAGAATTATACCAAATAAATAAGAGGAGTTACACTTACCTCGCTACTCAGATTAAAAGGTAAATCAGTTTTATGAATATATGAATATTAATATACCCGATTAGTTGAAGAATATTAATAATAGAATATGGACAAAACTATTTGAAAATAATCAACAACTAGATATAATACTTTAGAAGAACAGAAAAAATCAATTAGAATCTCAAAGAACTGATAGATTAAAGCAGAAGATCAAATAAACCTTAGATAATCTACAAGCCAATTTTGAAACTGATTTCGATAGCGAAGCCAATAGAAAGCCCACTTTAGAATCTCCACAAGAAAAACAATCTACTCAATTTCCAAATTTCTTTACCTCAAGAAATTTAATGTCACAAACATCAGACGATTTTAGAACTGCCAAAAACATAGAGAATGCCTCCTGGATCCTCAAAGTTATCTTTTCATTGATGAAATAATGAGTAAAATTTATCATTTCGTTTCTATATTAAATTTAGAACTCTATATAGCGAGACCTCGCCTTAAGCTTACAGTATTCGTTATTGCTCTCTATATATAAATTTGAATTATTTTGGAACATTTGATATTTTGAAAATGAAGGAAATTCATCTTACTGCAGGTGGTAATTATTATGTATATGTATATATATATATATATATGTAATGTGGTCAGAGTCCAGCCATTCTGCTTTACTCTCCTACTTTCTTCATGTAATGCTCCTTATATTTATGCTTTCCTATCGAAGTTAAAAAGAAGTACGTACTATTGAAACTGGCCATATGCATGGTACGAGGGTCGTCTGGATGACTGTATCCAGCCATACATCTTTGTCTATTGTAATGAAAATCATGAGGAGCCCAACCGAATTCTGCAAATTGGTTACCGAATAATTCTTCTTAGACTGTTGAAGCTATGGCATCTTTCATTCTCAATCTCACGAATTCCTCATTCTTGACTGGGAAGAGGTTTCTATTCGTTATTAATAAGACTCTTACGTCCAATAGTAGGGAATCATGTATGAATAAGTGAAATGTGCTATGTAGACACCACAAATTAAATACACCCACATGGCAAAGGCACCCTATTGTGTTAGTTGATCAATTATACATCTGAATTTAAGGTATGCTCTTGCCAATCTCTGTATGCTTCATAAGTGGCCCAATGAAGGAATCCATGGGATGTGTCAACCTTAAAATCTCATGTGAAATCATTACCTTTGGGTAGATACCAATCATATTGGCCAAAGCAGGCCAATCGTAAAAGATATCAAATAATATTTGCTGTCTTCCATAATAAAATTTGTTTCCATATACTCTTCTTGCCATTCTTAAGGCATCCCATCTTTCCTCTCCAACCACTCTAGCAGCTATTTTGGTAAACCACCAGATGCCATTCTTATAATAACTTGTTTTGGCACTGAATATGCTCAAACTCATTTAAAAGATTTAATTTTAGCTATAATTGTGTATTATAAAATGATATTTATCTAGAAGGAACAAAAATAAGATATTTTCCTATAAAAATTCCTTTATAAAAAGATACTGATTTCACATATTCTTATCAAGCACCCCATATACTACCTGATTTTGTATCTTAAAGACAATAAAATAGTGTGTGTATCATTCTAAACAGTTAGATTCACAAAATATTCTGTAATTAATAAAAATCAATTTTCAACTAAAATTGTATTTTTAAGAGTTAACAATTTTACAAATTTTTTGTTGTCAATCAACTTCTTCTCCATAAGGTTATTTCTCCATCTAATGAGCTAAATTTATATTAGTATCATTAAATTGAGACTTTTTTCATCAATCACAAAATTAACCTTATTGAGTAGATTTTGACATAAAATTAGTACCATTTTGCTTGAAATCGATTGAACAGCTTATATGAAGGGTTTTTGAGTCGATTGCAAATAAGTAGACAATATCAATTGAACACCAGGTGTTGTAATTATAATATAAAAATATAAAAGATTTTAAAATTGTTAGATGACTTCTCAAATTAGGACTTAGACTAACTTCTTTTAAAAAATTTTTATAAAATTATGATTGGTGGCGTATATATATGATGAAATATGATTATTTCAAAGGACAGTTGTCATACGACTTGAATCTCCTATTCTCTTCAAATAATGCTCCTTGTATTTGTGTTTTCCTAAAATATTGTGAAAATATGTTACTATTGAAGGAAGCCATGTGCATGGTTCTTGGATCATCGGGATGGCCATATCCAGCCATGCATCTTTATCTATTATAGTGGAAATCATGGGGAGCCCAGGCAAATTCAGCATAGTTGTTAGCGAATAGTTCCTCCAAAACAGTGGTTGCCATGGCATCTTTCATTCTCAACCTCACAAACTCTTCGTTCTTGGCTGGGAACATGTTTCTAGAATTAAGATAAATCAACATACGTCCAATAATATGGAATCATGTAGGAGTAGAAACAGTGAGCAATATAGATACCACATAGCATATAGATCCAAATAGCAAAAGATCCCTAAGAGTTAGTATAAAAATATACATCTGAATTCAAAGTGTGTTCTTGCCAATCTCTGTATGCTTCGTAAGTGGCCCAATGCAAGAATCCATGCGAAGTATCAACCTTTATAATCAATTGATGATTGTACTTTAGGATAGATACCAATTAGGTTAGCCATGGCTGGCCAATCGTAAAAGATATCAAACAAAATTTATTATCTTCCATAATAGATTTTATTTCCGTAAACTCTCCTTGCCAATCTCATGGCATCCCATCGTTCTTCACCTATTATACGAGCTGGAATCTTAGTAAACCACCAAAGCCCATTTTTATAATAACTCGTCTTAACACTAAATATACTAAGACTCATAAATTAGATATTTTATTAATTAATACAACCCCCTTAGAATATACAATTTTTATAAATCTATTTATATTATTCTAAAAATAGTATTTTAATAAATAAATCAACACATAAGATATACTAATAATTTTATTATAAAAAATCTCAAATATCAAGCTCATCTTCATTCTCAAGGACTGCAAAATATTTGTCAACCTCGGATTATGGAATCGTCAATGCATCCTTGAATTACCAAGTCGGAACATGATTTTTGTCTACTAAGACCTACTTCACTCCCTCGAAGAAGTCAGTTCCTTACATAATTCTATTGATTCATAAATACATAATATACCTTCTAACAATTCTATAATCCATCTTCAAATTCTCTCTAAGATCAAGTTTTTAACCTCTTTTAATCTATTCAAATATGATCCTCAAAGATAGTGGACATTACTCCTTTAATAACTTTAAGTTATCTTGTCCAAACTTTTAATTTTGATGATTTTATAGATTTTTGAATAATTATTCCAAACTATCTCCTGAATATCCTGGTTCAATGTTCTATAATTGTTGTTTGATAGTGAATTCTGGTATCTAATAGAAAATACAAATTTGTTAGTACTTGGTTTGGTTAGAATTGTTTGACAATGTTCTTGACATCGTTGAGATTTTAGGTTTAGACAGTACCAATCTTGGAAATCAAATTTTGTAATTCGGATGATTATACGTAAAAGTCAGCCAATCCTGCATGCACTAAGTCAGCACCCTTCAATCTGAATCCACTCAAACCCAAATAATAGCCTAATCTGTGTGGTAATCTGGAGAGAAAGTATCCTCCTCCTACATCTGTGAATAATCCCAATTTGGCTTCTGGCATAGCAAACACGCTCTTTTCAGTAGCTATCCTAACAGGTGCATGGATTGACATTCCTACTCCTCCTCCCATTACTATTCCGTCCATCAAGGCCACTAGTACTGGTTTGAGTGTTGCCAATCTGTAATCCAATTTGTATTCATCAAAAAAGAACTATTTTAATGCACTTGGGGGATTTTATTCAGAAGGTTGAGTCTTTGCAAAATATAATGTCTTGATGTCGCCACCAGCACAGAAGGCCTTGCCTCCTTCTCCACTCAAAATGATGCAGGATGCTGAATTGGCTTGATCCAGGATCTAATTAAGTTCAGCAATCATTGGCAAATTGAGGGCATTCAATTGACTTGGTCTGTTGAGCTTAATGTTGAGTGCTGATCCCACTCTGCTCGTTAAGACCTAGGAGGGAGATGATGAAAACATAGCGCTTATTAGACGTAATCTCATTATAATTATTTATGAAATGTGATAATTACACTACATGATTTTAGCTTAGTTGATAAGAGTATATATCAAATAAAGTTAATTTGAACTTCTAGAATATAATTAAATTAAATCCCATAGTGAATGAACTCACCAAAAAAGAACGCTTTTCCAACTCTGAACAACTTGAAAATTATACAGTCCTCATATGGTCAAAGAATCAGTAAATGTGTAAATATTTAATTAATAATTGTTAGACTCATCTTGTCATCAAGAAGGACACCAAAAAGATCATCGATACCAGATTACTCTCCCAAACATCCATTGAATAAGCCAAGCAGCGATTCATTGCTAATCAAGAGAGGTAGAGGCAAATGTAGAAAAGCCTACCTCCCATCATGAAAAGAAAGGAATTTCATCAAAGAAGTGTTTCAGTTTCAGCCCAAAAAACGCCCTATTCAAAATACTTTTATTTTGTCGGAGAAGGCAACAATCATCAACTAATTAAGAAATTATTGGATGACAGGTAGAATTGGGTCTAGGTCAAGGATCCAAAATCTAAGAAAATTAATTTTAAATGGCAAGAGACCGAGAAAGGCTATGAATATTAGACCATTAATTAAAAAGAACAACCCATTTAGATGCTCAACCATTTTGAGTTTCATTCAGAAATTTCTGATAAGTTTAAGTTAGCTGTGAATTTCAAGGCGTATTGCGATGTATCTAAAATATTGTAATAAAGAAAAACAGACTAAACATATATGATTACACTCCCACAACCTTTGCCATCGAGTGTACCAATGAAAACCTCAAATCCGAATTGTTTTAGTTTATTTCCTTTTACCGATAAAATTGCCCTTAACACAAATTGCCTGAATTGGACAAAACAATTAAATAGTAATTCTTCTCATATACGACTCTGTATGATACCAAAGTGAATCAATACCCAACTTTATTCGGCAACGAAAATTTGTGGATCTTCAAACCTTCCAATATGAATCAAGGAAGAGGGATCCATGTTGTACGCAGCTTATAAGAAGTATTGGATATTTAGAGTAAATACCAAGGGGGATACAAGGAGAAATTGTTGGAAGTGAAAAGAAATGAATAAAATGAAATAATCAATAAGGTGGTGTATTTAAATACATTGGTAACAGAACAATTTGTAATATAAAAATATATTGAGAAACCAATGTTAATAGATGGAAGAAAATTCGATATTAGAGCTTATGTTCTATTGACATCTAATTTATAAATATATTTTTACAGGGAAGGTCAATTGAGATTGGCTACTGAAAAGTTTGATACGAAAGTGCATTCTAATTATGTTCATCTCACCAATAATGCCATCTAATATACTCATCCTGAATATGGCAAAACTGAAGAAGGGAATCAATACAACTTTGATTAAGCACAACATTTGTTTAAGAAGGATTTTCGATAAGAAGTAAGAATTATTTAATTTTAGATCTTAGGAAGAATTAAAAATATATCTTATACAGCATTCTAAACAGTTAAGCATAAAATAAACAAGCAAAAACGAAAAAATTGCTTTGAAATTTTTGGAATGGACTTTATTATTGATGAACAATCTACTCCTTGGTTGATAGAGGTTAATACCAATCCAAGTTTGGAAGTGACAAGCAAGTTATTGGATCAACTATTCCCAAGGATGGTCAATGATGCATTTCGAATCACAGTTGATTTAGTTTTTCCATAAAATGAACCAAATTGCAATTATCCTTTTATGCACTATAAAGATGACGAAAATCTATGGGACAATATGGGATATTTGCAATCATGAATAACATATTATTTATTATTCAATATTGATTGATTTATAACATTTTCCATTGTTTTTTTATCTACATAGAATATATCACTAAAAATTTTGGAGATGCTCTCTTAATTCATCACAATCACAAAGGTTTCTAATTATTATAGTTGCCCATTCCCTTTATTGATGCATGTTATGGACATTAGTAAAATGGATAATTGGTTTTAAATCATTTACTAAGGAATATGAGTAGTAAAAGATACCATTATTTTTAAGGTCTTCCCAAACAGTTTTATTGATATGAACCATGTTGGCAATAAATCTTAGGAAAACGGAGATGAGCTCATCGTCCTACTGTATACTCATTTGGTGTATGGCTTCTTTGTATTCCTTAGGATAAAATAAGGCTTGGATTTCTGAATTGTAACCACCCATAAAAGTGATGAGGGAGTAGAACTTAAACTTTTGTAAGGGAGGAAGTTCTAAATTCATCAAGAATTGCAGATCTTTGATACTGAGTTGTATGCCTATTCTATTGAATCAAATTGGGATGTTACTTATTTTGATTGGAATATAGTTCCTTAATATCATAGCTTTTGGGGATGCAATTGTGTATGAGAGATGGGTAGACTTTGTCATCTATAGTTTTTTGTAGTAATTGAAAGATGAAATCCAGGAGTTCTATATTGTTATCATAGAGCAATTGCAAATAGGATTGTTCATAGGAGTCATGGAAAATATTAGTAAAGGAATAGGTTACCCATTCTAGACAGTCTTGGGTTTAATTGGTGAGGGATTTTCTGATGATTTCAATGGTGAGATCTCTAAAAAAGGATTGAAATAGGAAATATTCTTTATTAATTTGGTTTTTGAGCATGTTGTGCACGAAGATTAGGTAGGCTTTGTGGATTTTGAGGTCTTGAGAGTTTGAAAGGGTTAAGCGATAGGGTTGGATTTGGAAGTGGAGGAGGATGAATTGGGCATTGACTTGATTGGCAGTGATGAAATTGGTAAGCCATTGTTGGAAGTAGAGGAAATTGATTTGGTCGAATTGGATGTTGAGAAGCCAATTGGGGTTGGATTGAATGAATTGATACATGTGATTTTATTTGGAGGGATATTGCATAAGGAGTCTGAGTTGATGGAAATTATAATCATATATATGTTTGTCGATTTCTTCCATAGTTAATAATATTTATATTAAATACATGAGTAAATATTTGGATAAATATGTTGAGTATGAGACAATAGGGAGAGGCAGCTATGGTAAGGTAATCATCATATCCAGGGTCTGCACATTTGGTACGTTAAAAATCGGACTAGTAAGTATATGTGGCTAAGAAAATTCAATTATTCAATCTAAAACCAAAAGAACAAGATGATTCAAAACGAGAAGTTCATGAGTTCATTTAATTATTAGGTGATGCTTTTGTAGAAATTGAAACATCCTCACATCGTACAATATATCGAGAGCTTCAATGAGAATGATACGCTCATCATAATCATGGAATACTGTGAAGGTAAGTGCTTTTGAGTAATCTATTAGAGGGAGACCTATCATTTCACATCAACAGAATGAGTCAAAGGAAGGAGTACTTCCCAGAACAAATAATATTGAACTGGTTTCTTTAATGCGCCTTGGCTTTGAAATATATCCATGAATAGAAGATCCTACACAGAGACATCAAAAGCCAGAATATTTTCTTATCCTCCAATGGATTTGTCAAAATAGGTGATTTCGGTATCTCCAGGGTCTTGGAACACACCCAAGATCAAGCCAATACAGTAGTTGGAACTCCCTATTACATGAGGTGATCACTTGTATTTATCCCTAGTCCTGAAGTCTGTGAGAATAAGCCCTACACTTACAAGAGTGATGTTTGGTCTCTTGGTTGCGTTCTCTATGAATTGTGCAATTTGTCTCATGCCTTCAAATCAAACAACCTTTTGGGTTTAGTGAATAGGATTGTCAAAGAATAAGCCTCTGCTATTCCCTCACATTACTCCAAAGAATTAGCAGATCTCATCAACAAGCTCTTAATCAAAAATGCTGATCAACGTCCGCACACTTCTGAAATCTTCAACTTCCCTCTAATCAGAAATACTATGCAATAATTTGTTGCAATGTAAGGCAAAGTACAATATCAAGCCCCAATCAAACGAACCAACACACATAATTAAATTGGGAAGATGATCAAGTAAGAAGAAACTACTTAATAAAACACAACAAATCAATATGACAACACCATTGACACTGTCTAATCTATCGATTTTAGTTAATTAACACCATAGCAAAGGATGCAAATGAAGAAAGAGGAAAAAATACAAAGAGAATAAAGAGAATTAGCATAAGCAAGCAAACAAAGCTTTTTATAACAATAAGCAAGTCAACAAAGAAAGATTCAAGATCTCCAGGGTGGCCAATCACTAGACTACAATCAAAAGAGAAAATAATAATAGCAATATCATGAAGAACTACAAAGACAATAACAATGTAAGTAATAAGACTCTTAAGTAAATACTAAAAAGGCTCCATAACAAGTGCAACCAAGTAATAAATCAAACATGTACAACTATGATGAAACCTTAGTTAGTCAATATGAGAAAACCTCATAAATGGTATGATTTCGACATATTCCTTTAGTTATAAAATGAATCTAAAAAATACAATGAAACAATTTAAAACGAGTCCAAAAAATAAAATGAAACCTTCAAAAAAGAATTAGAATAATTCGATAAAACAGTAGATTCTGAAATGTGTCAATCTACTTTTGATGATACTACTAGATAATAAGAAAAAACAGTCACTAAATCTCAATTAGATAGATTTACTACCAACTATCAAAAATAGGAACTTTCAGTCACTTAATAGTATTAAGATGAAGAATTTGAGGAATATAACAGTGATGAAGATGATGAAGTCATCAATCATAGACTCACCGTTAAATAAGGTGACAGTGAGATTGAAGAAGTCGTCAAATTATACCAAATATAAATGGATTAAACAGTGAAAAAGTCTTCAAGCAACAAACTTGAAGGTATTAATACTACGATTTTTAGATATTTAAGAAACCAGTTAAGAGAGTTGGAACTCATCTTCAGCTTCTCCATAAAAGGTTCCCATCAATAATGATGATCGAATCCAAATCTTAAGGAAAAAGGCAATATCTACCATGGGCTCAGACCTCTTTAATAAAGCTTATCAATTTATGAGTCATCATTTATCAAAAGGAACTCAAAGTTCAGAGGTAAACATTGAGTTTAATTTAGATTCGAAAAAATCTAGAAGACATAGTTGGTAAAAGCAGGATGGGAGATTGCATGTTGATAGATGAAATATTATATTATGAGAATTATTCTAAATGACAATAATTAAAAATTTACATTATAAATTCAAATTGTGTTTTTGTGTATTATTATGTTATTAATCTATTGATAAATGGGTTTATTTGCATAATTCATTTTTGATGGAATAGTTCAGTAATACTGTAAATGAGAGAGGTTTGATGGTATGATCATCTCAACCACTTGTATTGCATTTTTAACTGATGGAAGAATGTCCTGATTTAAGTGAATTGATTAGATACTAATCAGCTTAGGTCGTATGGTGTAGTGGTTAGCACCTTGGACTTTGAATCCAGTGACCCAGGTTCGAGTCCTGGTATGACCTAAACTTTTTTAATTTATATTTTTTAAAAACTTGAAATTTAATGTGTTATAAAATATTGATAAAATATCAATAAAATATTTATAGAAATCAAGGTTCTGGAGCCACTTATCCTAACTTCTTGATTGGCTTAAGTAAGACGGATTATTTTTTTTTTAATTTAAGACTATTTTTTAAGGTATTTAAACGACTATTCAATCGTTTCGAAGGATCCCTCTTAATTTTTTCTGTATTCTTTGAATTCCTCTTTTTGCTCATATATTTTGAAATAAAGAGAAATGGATAAAGCATGTACTTTTATAATTTATTAATGTATTGCGATTACCATACAAATGTATTTTTTTAAGCCAATTTGATAATCTCATTATAATTGAAATTCTTAAAGAAATAATCGTAAGTTGTCATCATTTCAAATTCAGACACATTTTGTTGATGAAATGACCAATAGATTGGTTCTATTTAAAGATAAGCTTTTTAAATAGTTTAATCATTTTCATTCAATTCTAATTCTCTTTATAATTGGTGATATAAATTAATGACATTCTCCATCATATTTTCATTGAATTCAGAAGCACTGAGCTAATTTTTTACCTCATGATTTTCATTACTACTACTCCTACTATCATCACTAGAATTGCTTTCCTCATTTTCTTCATTTTCTTTAATAATGTCTACTTTAGGTATTATAAAATTCTTTGGACTTTTCCCTAAATTCGAAGGAATATTTAAATTAAAAACGGATTGCTTTCTGTTTTGCATTGCCTAATGAAGACTTTATTTAGTATCCTACAACTTAGAGTTAGAAGATGTCTGGTTTGGAGGATCACTGATAAGTCTTTTTGATTTCTGAACCGCAGCTTGAAATCCACCCTCATACTGAATCTTATTAGAGGGACTAGGATCTCCAGCCGAGCTAATAGAATCTTATTCATAAATCAATTAAACCTTTTATTATTATGAGATTAATTAGTGATTCTCAGATTAGAACACCTAAGCGAATTGTTAGATTAAATCTTTCTCTTATCTTGATCTACTGATGATTTGATCACTGTTGAATCGTTTTGTGAGATCTCTCTAATAGTATTTCCTATCTTGAACTTGTGGTAGTAAATATTTCTTTAATATTGCCTCTCTGTCTGGAATATATTGTATTTGAGGACATTTTGTCATAGAGTGTTTGAAACATAAGCAAGCAGGACAAAATACACCATTTTCTAATTATGGAGGATTAAGACTTAAGGTCATAAGTTCTCGCATCTCACAAAACTTTTGGAAGTCTTCAGGATAATTTTTAATGGTTGTCATAAAATCCAATTTGGATAAGATCAACAAACTGACATAACCATTCGATTTAAAGTAATCTTTATTAGTACTTTGAATGATAAAGTCTTAAACACAAAAAAACTGACCTTATTTTATAGGAGCATTCATCTTGTATCTTTATTTTCTATCTAGATGTTGATAGAGTAGTACTCCTTGTTCTACATAACATAAATGTTGATAATCATCAAAGTCAATTGAGAAGGTGTTCTAAGGAAGAATGATTTTCCTTTTGATTGACTTGGATAAGGCATCCTTCAATTCATCACTGAAATGTTAAAGAAGTGCTGACTTTTATATAAAGATCTTATGAGCTTCTTTATCCAATTCTTCTTTCAATTCATCAGATAATTATTCAAGCAAAGTTTGTTCTATTTCCAAATCTACCTCATCATCTTCTTTCCATCTAAACGTTAAGTATTCTTTTACTCTATGATGTTATTATTTCAATTTCTTACTTGTGTTTCAAATTGAATGGAATCTTTCTTTGGTCCATGTACTTGTTTATAACTCTCATCTTTCTGTTTCTTTCCACCTGATTTTAAGTGATATCATTGATAATGCCTCCTATAAAATTTACACTATAAGAGAACCATAAACCTAAGAATCACATCATTATGATACATGCTCCCAATATAAAAACCATCGTTATTATCTTCTCTATTGAATTCTTGGGTACATTATCACCATAACCTATTGTAAGCATTGTCACAACAGCGAAATACAATGCTTCTAAATATTGCAATTCCCAAGATTTCAGATCCAATCCGTTAAATTTAATCCAGGAATCCTCAAGACTTAACTTACTAAACCAAAACCAAATGCAACTGAATAAATGAAGTATAAACAAGAGTGTAAGTATAAACTTAATCAAACCTATAATTCCTCTTAAGGGTCTTGTTAAATAGGATATCTAATCACTTTTTGCAAATGTTTCATGAATATACTTATACTATGCCAAAGTCAATAATAAAAATAAATTTAAATTGTTATCCATCTCTGGTATTATTATGAAGATTATTAATAGAAATGATGTCGAAAAATCTGTTAAGAATTCCTTTTTAAATTGATATACCAATAACTCCCATCTATTTTATATTGCTGCTCCATTTCTATAGGAAAGTGTATTTATTCTAATCAAGAAATCAATCTACAATACCAATAAAATCATTGCAGTAAGAACAATGAAGTCAGTAAATAAAATGCATGGTTAAAATGCTATTTCCAGAGGTATGAGGATGACTAAGAGAATTCTAAAAAATGAAGCAAAGAAGTCCCAGATCATTTTTAAACGAGACTCAGGTTGAATGATTGGAATTTTATTAACCATTACAGTAATAAAGTTCAGAAATGACTTCTTGATCTTTCTGATCTACTCTTTGATTTCCTCCTAAGTACTCAAATCTGTGATGACTGTTTCTTTTCTCAATAATGTTTTCATCTTACCCAAAGTAAACCCTTGTCTTTTGCATTCACTTTGATGATTGAATAGGTTTTGCCTACCTATAGAATATAAAATACATGTCTGCTGCCTTATCTTCTATAAGATTGAAATGAATCTCGTTCATGCTAAGTAGTTTTTTCCTGCTCTGAGAAATCTTCTCTATAAATCTCCTAATGTAAAAACTGCACATAAGACTTGTTCCAGCATTAGGTATACTACCTCTTCTTTCGTGTTGGTTGAGATATTTAAGACCGAATATATCAGAGCTTTGTGCTTAGGTCAGAATAAAGTTTTCATCGTACGGAGTCTCTGATATTTTATGCAGACATTCAGCTTCAATTGTTTTCTGACTTAAGGTTCTACTAATCTGCGGTATTGTTAGAGCTGGCTCTTTTCTGTATTCTCTCAAGCAATGCTCGAGGTATTATTATTCGAAATCTTCATTTTGCATAGCTCTTAATTCAACATCTTAATCAAATTCGATGTTAAACATATTTTAAATATATTATATTCACCCAATATAATTAATAATTTAATGAATTTAGTCTTTGTTATAATCAAATCTTATGCAAGATTGTTAATAAATAATGATCTCTCCAGATATTCATTATCATGAGAATAGATAAACTTATATACATAAAAAATATACACATAATATAATATAATTTTATCAAAAATAATAATAATTAAAAATAGATTTCTTATTTACAAGTTACAATTCCTTTTCATTCTAATAAACTAATCCTTAATCTTTGCTATTACTAGTTAAATTTAAATTTATTTAAATTAATTTATCAAAGAAGAATAAATTTAATAATGCAATTGTAGATACTTTAGTTACATTTAATGATGTATTTAGTCCAGTTCTTCTTTTCAATATAATTATACTATAGTTATATGATAAGAATGGAAAATATTGAGGGTTAATATTAGATTTCCATATTCTTCCATAATGGAACTCTAAATCTATAGCTTTAGCTGTGATGAAAATTTAATTGATTGTAATGATAATTAAAATATTATAAATAAAACTCTTATCATAAAATTGAATTAACAAAATTGAATTAACAAAGATGACATATCTGCACTTATTAGGAGACAACATTTTAATGAAATAAGAGACTCTCTTTGATCTTCTTAAATCAAAAGTGATGTCTTGAATTATATATTAATAATTAAGAAATTAATATATTAAAATATTATGAAACTCTCATTGTCAACTGAGTGGTTATTCTTTCATCTTTGGAAAAAGAACCCTGATACTAATTCTAGCTGTCCAGGGGTATTTGTGGCAGATACGATTATCTACAGATGGGCACAACCTTACTTCTGGTACTTTACAGCTAAAGATGGTTAAATATTAAGAAAAACAAAAGAACGCATATTTGTGGAGCAGATTGAGGAAATATTCCAAAAAAGTGGCGACATTTCAGCTTTATATTTATAAAGCTAACAAAATAAAATAATATTTGAATACTTTGAGAAAAGTGAGTTTGTGCAATTTCTCCATTAAAGGGAGAAAGCCTTAAATGCATTACTTCAAAAGTTCGTTGAACCAAAATCTTCTAGAAACTCAATGATAAAGGTGTCCTGGAGTCCTCAATTTTGTTTATTATCCAGGAAAACAAATAATAATGATCTTAAAAATAATAAAATTCCTATTGAAGATAGATTAGTTACATTCGAAGGTCCAGAACATTTATCCACTACTGACTCTATAGCTTCACCAATATTATCATCCGATATCGAACAAATTTGTCTAAATATAGTCAAACATATTTAAGATGTATCTGGAGGCAATATTCAGATATCCAGAATGGTTCTATTTTTTAAAATAGATGAAAAAAATAGATTATGGCTACTCTTTAGTAGTGGAGTCAAAGTTAGATAAAAAGTATAGATACTAGTTAATATAATAGTTTATCAATGAAGAAACCATATCAGATTTTCCTAAATAAAAGGAGAGAATCTAATCTCCAATTATGCTATTATAAACTTAATTGAAAATTGGATAGACTTCAAAATTCTCAGTTGATACTCAAGGATTTGTAAAACAAACTGGTAGCAGTTGCAATAATTGCTCACTGCAAGGAGAAATGTATGAACTAACAGTCTAATAATACATAGCATCTTATGATTAGGGAATATTTGATGAAGAAACACTAATAATAAGATAAAAAGTATCAAAAAATCCAGTAAAGAAATCAGATAATGAGGAAGATTATTATGTTGAAGGTTCATTAAATATTCCAGGTCTTCTGTTAAAAATATGGGGTAAGATGGATATAGAAAAGTATAAGCATTTAAGGAACAATATGAGTTTCATGAATCTAAAATTATAACTATGCTTAGATTGCTACTTAAAATTTACCAGAATGTAATTCATTATTTCATAATTAGTCATGTTGAATCAAAAAGTGAAAGAGAAGCTAAATAAACAGTTGTATCCATACCTCCATTATGGTAGCCTTCCAAAACGAAAATCTAAAACAATTAAGAGACTTTAACATTGGTTTCATCCACAAAGTAAAATAAAATATATCAGACTCCTGCAAAATAAGTGCAATTACCTTCACATTCACAACAAAAATAGTAATCTTAGTAATAATCACAATAATAATAATCATAATTGACTCAATAACAGTAACCTCAATCACCGATTGTGATTCCAAAATTGAGTCTGCCCTCAAAAGACATAAGTGAACGAGTGATAGCCACAACCCATCACACAGACAGACAAAGTAATTTCCCATCAAAAAGGGTTGCAAAGATATACAATAATCTATAAGGTGTTAGTCTGCCACATTCTTAATCATCTTTAAACACAACAAGATCTACCATGTACATTTATTATTTTAATCTTTTTTTAGTACTCATTCATAACGCCTTGTCAGTATTTAATAATTGAAAGAAATTTTGCAAACAGAATAACTTTGATTATCATTATGTTAATGATATTTTAAGTGTAAAACTTATTAATAAAATTAAACATCATATCTCTGAAAATAAAATGTTAAATGTTTTCTTATCCCAGGTATTCTATTTTTATTCAAAATATTCTCCAGGTCCAGGAAGATTATTTTTCTTTTGTTTGTATTGGAATCTTTTTTCCTATTAAATTAATTAAATCTATACTTACTTAACAATTGAAAGGTGGATGTTCTTTCTTCTTTTTTTGAAATAATTCAGAAGCATTATGTTTCAATTAGGTCTCCTCTTCTTCATTTTCCTCATCTATATCTTTTTTCGGTTTCTCCTAAAATCTTTGTAAGGAAGAACCAAAACCTGGCTTATTGATGATAAGATCCTTATCTTCTTCTTTTTCTATCTTAGTTGAATTTTCTATTGTATAATTCTTCACATCATATGATCCAGGAGCAGGTAAATTAGCTTTACCACCAATAATACTTCGTTTGGTTTAAGATTTGAAAACGCAAGCAGCACTCTTTGCAGGATCTTTAAAATTAGGTTCATAAGTTCCAGGTCCAGGTTATTCATTTTCAGGATTATCAAATCTTGGTTGATTTGATCCAAACTTTCCAACAGGTGCTCGTTCTAATTTCTTGATTAATTTATCTTCTAGCTTCTATAGAATGCATTTATTACAGTAATTTTAGGATTATAACTCTGAGGTCCTGGCTTTTTCTCAATTGGTCTACTTTCAAATCTTGTATTGGAGGATAAAAATGGAGTATTTTTCATAGCCATATTATTCTTTATCAGATTTGTTTCTATTCTATAATCACCCGGCCCCATCTAAATCTATCTTTACTATTCATTAAATCTCTTCTATTTTGAACCAAAGCCACTTTAAGTCTTTGCCATTGATTAGGAGAATGTAGAAGCAGTGGAAAATGTTGTTTAATTTCCTAAATAAAATCCTGGTCCTGGAGTAGCATTCTAAATTTAAGTAATAGTTTTTACATCATAAAATTCAACATCTTCATTTTCAATGTCAGCAAACACAGGATTCTGCATTAGTTTTTTCTTCTAATTTTCAAATTAAGCTCTCATAAATTCTCTTGTTTTTTGACCTTTTTATTGGTCGAACATTCTTTAAGATTTTGACAGAAAATTGCCTGAAGGGTTCAATTTATAAAGTGGAATAATAGAATTTTCATGATCATATGCTCCAGGTCCAACAACTTACTCCTTAGGAGGAGGAGCTAATTTTGGAACCTTGGATTTATACCAAGAAGGCCCTTTATTCTTATTGTTATTGAAAGTGTCTTTTAATTGATATTATCCTGGCCCTACAGTATCTGATTTAAGCCCTGTATAAGTGGGAACAGGACTTTTGTTGAGTTCTAGATCATGAGCTACAACTCATATTTCATAGATTACGTCCTTTGTCGGTATAACCATACACTTAACTTGCAGCCGGGATTGAGGGTATGGATTAATATTTATTAAGTTTCATTAGATTCTCGATATAATTTTAGGATGTGTATTCTTATTATACAGTTTTCTTCTATGATGCGGTTTCATAAGCACCAGGACTGATATAAATGGAAATATTACCCTGGAGTTTCCATTACTTTTCGTTCCTAAAATCTTTTGGTCTGTGACATAAAAACTGATTGCTGCTTCTATTGTTCTACAATTTTCACTTCAGACTATGCAGATTATAAAACAACTCGTTAACTTAAAATTACTTATAATCATTACCCTTCTGTTACAAATTCAACGTTATAGCTGCCAGGACCAGGAGAATTACTTTTTTTTAATGGTTTGCTTCTTGAAACTTGGGTATTGAATGGAGCAGCGTGAGGTCGAGGTTCATATTTTCTATGTTCAATATAACTTCCAGGACCTATGTTGGATGGCAGAGATCCAGATGCATTATTGATATCTCTTTCAGCTTAAAATACAAATGCCATTTAGAATTTATTAATAATAAAGTAAACTATAATTCATTATTTAATCCTCTTACTTTTTGATTTATTATCTTCTTGTAATTATTATGACTTCATATTCAATCAAATTGAAATTATCATATTGTTAATATATTCCCCTATGAGTTTTAATAGTAAAAATGAAATCAAAAATTATTTACTTCAAAAATCATAAAAAAAAGAATTATCTCTATTGAACTTTATTTTATTCAAAGTATCTGCGTTATAATCAAATAGTTATTTTACTTCAATTTTTATAATCTTAATTTAAATTATAAATACATTTAATTCTAGTTATTGTAAAATGGTAAATGGTTAATCTAATAGAAACGATCTAGTTCTTCCTAAAAATAAATACATTTGATATTATTGATTGAAATAATTAATATTAAATTATAGAATTCATGCAAATTTCTATATTCTATTTTATTTTTTTCAAGGGATTCTAATTTTAGGAAATTTTGGATTAAAGCTCATATTAAAATATCATAAAATCACTTCTCTATCTGATTCTTTATCATAGGACATTTAATTTTGAACTTGGGAAATTCAGATGATTCGATTTTTTGTTTTGCCTTTTTCCAATACAAGCATATCTTAAAGTAAATAATATTTAATTGAAATAGGAAATGAGATTCATTCTATAGTTTCTAAATTTGCAAATAAAACAAGAGTATGAAAAATAATAACAAAAAGTTAATTAAAATACTTTACATTTTAAAGAGCATCCAAATTATAGAGAGTGACGTAAAGATTTTAAGGTTCTGGGAATAATGCAGTAGTTCTAAATTCGCAAGCATTTAATCAGAGGGCTATGAGAATGAAGTGACAACTGTTTGAAAATTTAAATGAAAAATAAATTAAAAATATTAATAGGATTAGCAAATTATATTTCCATCGAAAACATGTGGTGTTGAAATAGAAGTTAATAAATGGGTAAGGATTGTTAAATTTATATATATAATTTATTGTCATAATTAAAATTAAAATAAAACATTAAAAAGAAATGAAACTCAGTCAACTCTTAAGATGGTCAACAACAGACGGTAAACATCTTATAATGAGATTATTTTATTTCACATACATCCCAATTATTTTGATTTTAGGTATGCTATATATATCATATAATTAGGTTATAAATCAATGAACATTTAGGCATTATTCCCTCAATTAGCATCTAAATAATGATAGGTTATTTGATATTTATGATCTATATGCAAATTAAATATGTCTACATCATCATTATTCAAATCATTTAAAACATCGTAAAATAATTATAATCTGAAAAATATTGTTAGTATAAATTCTTTTTTTTAGATAATTAATACAATATTAATTTCAACAAATTTTAATCAAAATGGGTGAAGAATATGGATTTGACAAAGACAGATTCTTAAATTACAACCAAGATATATTTGATTGTCCAATATGTTCATGTGTTGCGCGGCTTCCAAAAGATTGTAGTTGTTGCGGCACAGTGTATTGTGGCCCTTGTGTGGACTCATGGCTAAAAAAATAATCGTAATTTGTCATACTAATTTAAATAGTGAATGCATCAATAGATGTCCTAAGACCTCTTAAATATAAAATATTTAAAAATCACTCAAAAAAATATATGATGATCTTGAAATTAAATGTACTTTATTAACCAGAATTTAGGCACTTATTGTCCGAAGGCATTCAAGATTGGAGACATTGATAAGCATGAGATTAGTTGTAAATTACCAAAATGCGTTAATCATGAAATCTGTGGGAATACAATTGCAACAGCAGGTGAGTTGGAAAATTTTAAAGTAAAAACTTTATTTAAAATAAGGTTTGTGATCACACATGTCTGGTTTTGAGTAAAGTCAAACAAATGAAGAATAAACACGATCTCTATTAATACCTGAAGTAATACTTAAATGACAAATAATCAATTTAAAGTAAAATCATAATTTAACTTAGATCTTAATACCTCTATGGGTATCTCTAGTTCCTTGAATATCTAAGCCTCTATTAACTAAGACCAGGGAGGTTCAAATAGTCTCCTCTTTAAATGGGATAAATAGAGAATGGGAACTGGCATCACAATTTCTGATGGAGATACAAGAATATTTTTAAAAGAATAAGCCTACATGTTCAGAACTGCAATCGCAACCTTTGGCTTTGAAAAGGGTATTGGCTATTGGGAAATCGAAGCAGATGACAGAACAGAAAATGAATTGAAGATTGGAGTGTCAACTTGCAGAGACTTCAATTACAATACTGCATTTTGTGACTTTGAATTTGGTTGGGCTTATTATGGATTAGCATAGGTATTCAATAACATTTATAAATCTATAGTTACGTCATAACAGCAATGCTACTGGACCATCTTTTGGAAAGAGATTTAAGAAAGAGGGAGTATTAGGAGTTTGCTTAAATATGAATACTGGAACCTTAAAATTTAGTTTAAATGGAGAACTCATGGGAACTGCCTACACTGATGAAAAATTGAAATAAGGCCCCATATATCCAGCTGTTTCATTACTTCACTGTGCGGGATGTAAATTAATATCTGGTAAGCCCCTTCCAGCCATATTCTAGAATTGATTTATAAAAATTATGTTAAACTTTATGTTTTTTCGATTTGAATTAAAAGAGTTTATTAGCTAATTCAATCAAGCATTCCTATATTTTAGATAGATTAGTCTCTATAATTGAATAACCAAATATGAATTGTCCTTTAAATAAATTGATTTCATTATAAAATTTCCTAAACAATCAAATTTACTATTTCTATTTCTCACTCATTTTTGCTAATTAATTGAATTACTGTATCCTAAGTTAGTATTTGATTTATATATAATTTAAATAAAAAGATCAATCATTTACTTAACATCTCATCTGGTATATGCTAAGTATTTCTACAAAACATATCATTATTCGAATTTGCTCGAAGTCTCCTTAATCCATCAAAATCAAGCAGTTTTGATAATTTGAAAATAGCTTGTATTTCGTCTCCAAGCTTTTTGATTAATTTTTTATTGACATCATGTTATGGGTTTGATTCTGAACTTTATTAAAGGATGGTATCATATGCCTAAAATTATAATCATAATACTCTATAGATTCTATTATAAATCCTCAAATCCTTATCCAAATTTCCAGTTCGGTTGAATTGCTTATATATCGGTTTACGTTTTTAATAACTTTTTTTTTTCTTTTCATCACAAATCGTTTCATTCCTAATTATTACTCGAATTTACATAGTATTTCTTGCTCTTTCTTCTAGAATGGTTCTGTTGAATGGCATTTCTTTATCTTCTTCCAAAGAGATTATGGGTTTAGATGTGAAGTTGAATAAAAGCTGCTATGAATTAGTTAGTAATATTTCTTTCATTTTATCTATTTCATTTAACTTGGTAATAATGTTTAATACATCTAATTGCTCATTTATTTTGTCACTTAAATTATATTACAATAGAATTACAGTGCAGAATTAAAAAACTAAACAGATTGAGAATTTTAAAAGACTTTTCGAAAGCAAATCTAATTGAGAAATATTTATATGTTAAACCGTAATGTTTAAGATCTATTTAATATTAGATTGATCTATTTTTTAAAATAATCTAGTCCACTTACACACTTCAACTATTATGCCAATAACCCATGGTCTTTTATCGCCTACTATGTAAATTGGTTACTCTTTTCATCATTGTCTTAAGAGTTTTAGTTGTTGCATTCATTATTCTCAGTGGTTGGTCTGTCAGTCAAAATAATATGCTATTCAGCTTATTGACCCTTGCCAAAAAGCCTAAATATTTTACTCTTATGCTTGATTTAAGTATTTGGAATAATTTATTATTGTCCTTCTTTGTTAATATAATATTCATGTCGAAATTGTCTATCCTCATACACATTATTAATTAAATCAAGATTTAACTAGTGCTACCTATTTTATTCGTCAGCATCAGTACTAAATTCATATATTTTATTTGACAACTCCACCATCACTAATTTTGTACCAAATCATTACTTGTTTATTTATTGTATGCTGCTATTATAAACCCCATTACTATAAGCGATATCTACAGTAATCCTCCCAATTTTGATAATAAATCAGTAACGCTCTAATTGTTTCTTTCAACTGATATTATAATGGGACTCTTCCTAAAATAAAATGATGCAAATGATAAATCTGAGTCCCTTCCTAAATCAATCACTTCTTTCGTTTCGGTGTTGTCTATAGAAATAAAATTTAAGTTTTAATTATCCCTAAGAGTATTAATCAAATTTACTTAAATGGAAAGAAATCTAAATTGTTGCTAAACCTATATTCTCGGAAATAAATATTTGCATACTTATTTAATTTTTTAGGAACAAATGATAAATAACTTTAATCATCCAAAAATACTGAAATATAGCTTGATCCAATTTTGTTTGGATTGATTACCTAGATAATTGTGAGATATGTCATACTTTGTTAATCAAATACACTTGTACTTTAAATGCTCCTATTTAATTTAAATGATCTTATAATGAATCATCAGAAGCACATGTGCTGTTTTCTAAAATTTAAGATGGATTGCAAGGAGAGACTTCAACTTTAAGAAAATTAAAATAGTTGGCTAATTTAAGAAAATTTATTTACATGCAAATGTACCACCAATATTCATGCTGATGTTATTTCTATAATATATTTCACTATAAAATACTTTGGACACAACAAATTCTCTAAATTCAAATGATTGAAATCTTCTGAAAAGTTTTTGCCATATTTTTAAAATACAGTTTAGAATCTCTCCAGTGTGCATGGTTCAAGGGGAAGTTAAGTGACATTTTTTGAAAACGATCCATTTTCCAATCTTTCGTATTCTCTGATTTAGAATGATGAATAAAATTACCTTTGTTGCAGAGTGACTGAAAAGAAGGGGTTTTGTATAAAGTTCTATTATTCTATACCAAGTGCTATAATGAAATCTTGATCATCAAGTTTAAGGTTCGAAAGATCATTATCATAGACTTAGGTTTACTTTGTTATAATGTTCTTCCCCGATATATAGTCCAGGAAATTGCTAGAGAAAAAGAGAAACACCAGAAAAATTGTAGTTATTGATGTAAATCCACCAAATGTTGATTGATAAGTTGATTATTGATTCATTCCTAAAGAAGGGGATTGAGCAAAAATATCGCATGCTTTCAGATCTAATCTATTATTGTAGTGAAATTACATGAGAATATTTTTTCCATCCGAAATGTTTATTTTTTAATAATATTTTAATATGATCATAAAAATAAGATTAATTAATTTAATAGATTTGAAATTTGTGTTATCGGTTATCAGTTGTGTTCATTGGCATCTAAAGCTTAATTCTTAAACTTAAATATTAAGCCTTAATGGATAGATTCACTATTATTGATTTTTAGTATTAATGATTGAAATGAAATATTTGATTCATAAATTTAATTAGCTTCGATCTAAAATAATATCATAGCCTTCTCATAATTCCAAAATAACTCTTCAAATAGTATAATCTCAAACAACCTCATATGGTTCTACATTAATGAAGATTTCAGTAATCTTCATTAAGATAATAACTTTGGACTAGAAAAACCAATAAATATATATTTCTTCTTAACTATACATTCCATTGGTAAATTATCCATTTAAACGATAGTTATAATATTATTTTGTTAAAATCTAGAATAGAATAGCATATAAATATTGTTAGAAATTAATTATAGTCTTTAGAATGGATGACTCTATTAATTGCCGTGCTCAATATGAAAAGAAGAAATGCTTTATTAATTCCCTTTCCTCTCATGATTCTAATTAAACAAAGACTAAAATTATTTCAAAAAGAGCAATGTTAAGATGTTTTTAATATTAAATCTTGGCAGGGATCTTTAAAAATAGTCAAGTTATTCTTTTTAAGGAATCATTTATAATTTCACTGCTTGATTTTCATCATTTACATTTAAGTTGGAGTATGATTTTTAAGATATTTAATTTTATAACTAAATAAATTAATCTAATAATTATCATCAATGCAGATTAGGATGATAGTGAAATGAAATAGAGTTCTTAGGACTTTAATAATTTTAGTTCAGATATGTGAATTTGATTTAATAATTTATTTTAATTAATTGATTAATTGACCAATGCAATAAAAAGGAAATAAAGTGTTTAAAAATTTGGAATAATTGCAGTATTATGTAAGTAATGACAATTTTTTGGAAGTGATTAAGTCATTTCTAAAATTCAAAGCTACAACATTATAGTTTTTAGATGAGATTGAATAATCGATTGTGAATGCAACAGTGAACTGTACACCAAAAGAAATGATTGGGTTGTATGACGATTATGGTACGTTGGATATTATCGATTGGATATAGACTATAACCATAAATGAGGAGAATTAAATTTTAAAGGAAATAAATTAAGGGAAATAAGGGAAATAGGACATTTAAAAGTTAAGAAATTCTTATGAGACAACATTTAAGAAAAGCTTGTCAGATTTATAGAGCTTAATGAAAAGCACTTGGGAGTCTATTAACAATCAAAAGGAATACCAAACTGATCTAACGATAAAGAGGCTGTTAAAGAGAGATGAAAGCATAGTTCTGGAGAATAATGGAGTTCTATTTGATGCAGGATTAATAGCTGTTTGTGTGTTTGAACCAAAGTCAAATGGATTGTTTTTAAAAGGATTGCATTAGCCAATATTTTTTGATGGGATATATTTTGAGCAGCCAATAAATTCCAAGGAGACTCCACACAAAATACGTTTTAGTTTACACAAAGGGTTCAATTTGAGGGAAAGTTTGTATGAGGAAGAGTTTTCTATATACGATCCTGAATTTTAAAAGGTAGATGGGAATAATTATTTAATTGAGTTTAAGCAGAAGATAAAGTTAGAGAAGGGCAGCAAATATTGTTTGTGTGCATGTGCTGGTCAAGATGACTTCTTTGGAACAACTTAATACATGGAAATTGAATAGGATAACGCTTACATTAAATTTCAAGAGAAGTCTTATGATCAAGGTGAGTTTATTGCACCAGATCATGTCTTTTAGATAATTTCTGAACATGATAAGGGGATATTTTCAGCATTAATCGTAATTGAAGAATGATCATGTGAATGAATTACATTATAGTTTGATATATATTTTAATTAAAAAAAATAAAATGAAGAAATAAGATTGGAAATTCATGTAAGTATTTGGTGACAAAGCCTCATCTGATAATGTCAGTGATGAAGACATTATTTCAGCAGTTCAATTTGAAAGGACAGGGAGATTTTTAGGATTGGGAGACAGAGCAGGACGTTTAATAGTTTTTGAAGTTCCTCAAACAAAGAAGAAAGATAAAGCAGAATATCAGTATAAATATTGAGCGAATATTTAGATATCTGACTGAACTTCAATCTCATACTAGAGAGTTTGATTTCTTAAAGAGTACTGATATAGAGGAAAAGATCAATCAAATTCAGTGGTTGAGAGGACAAGGCAAAAACATGTACGTTCTAACTACTAATGATAAAACAGTCAAGTTATGGAAGATCAGCGAAAAGAATGTCACTAAAGTTATTAAACCAAGTGGAAAAGATTTAGCTATGCCAAAACTATAGGTTGTTGAAAGTGGACTCATTCCTAGGTAATTCTAAATATTCTATTACGTCTAGTGTGAGGAAAGTATTCCCAAATCTACATAATTACCACATTAATTCATTGACTGCCTCAAACAACGAAGAATTTGTTTTGACTTCAGATGATTTGAAGGTTTATTTGTGGAGTGTTGAACAACCATCCAAGGCTTTTGTAGCTGTAGACTTAAAACCAGAGAATTTAGATGAATTGAGTGAAGTGATAACATCCTCTACTTTCCATCCAACATTGGATAATTAATTCTTGTATACTACCAGCAAAGGAATCATCAAACTATGTGATATGAGGAAGTCAGGCATTTGTGATAATACTGCTATTACCATGGCTGAACCTGAAGATCCAGCCAAGAAGAATTTCTTTACAGAAATTGTCACATCCATATCTGATGCTTGTTTCAGTCGAAATGGAAAATACATTTTTTCAAGGGATTTCCTTACTGTCAAAGTTTGGGACATTGCCATGACCAATAAACCAGTTGCTACTGTATAAGTCTTTGAACCACTTAAATCTAAATTATGTGATCTGTATGAAAATGAATGCATTTTCGACAAATTTTCAATTGCATCCACTCTTGACTCTAATAGCTTTATTACTGGTAATTTTAATAGTACCTTTCATGTTGTAGATAGAATGGGTAACACTTATTAGTATTTTCAGGTGAATGCAATTAATAATACGAACTAAATTTCAATAAGAAAACTATTGTGAGATAAATCCCACCTAAGTACTTCGAGAATTTGGGATCATCCTATGATTTCAATCGTAAAGTTTAGAAATTGAGTATGTGCCAAACCTAGAATCTTGTTGCTATCGCTTGCCTCAATTGTCTCTATTTCTACACAGCATGACAATTACATATTTATCCAATTATAAATATATTATATATAAATGCTATTCATGCAATATGTGGAGCCTGTTTGACAACTCCATTTTCATCGTGAAACACTCTCACTCTATCGGTTCTATAATCCATTGTCACCATAGAATTTTCAGGAAGTAATTACACATGTAATTCAGCATTGTCAGCAAGTATTATTTGCTTTGCTTCTTCAGCTGTCTTTCCAACACATTCTGGCCAGGATTGCTTACCTTGAGGAAGATGAAAGTTCATTTAATACTTTAATTTTATTTTTATCAGATAAATGGTTATCATTATGAATATTTGATCAGTAAATCCTCTACATATGCTCTCGTTTGAATCAAAGACTCTGGTCACTCAATCATAAGAACTGAATGAGACTTCGTTTTCAACATAATTTTGTTAAGATTGATATACATAAATCTATTAATTCACAATAGATTGTTATGTGGATGTAGATGAAAAGAAGGCAGTTCCATATTAACTGCTTTAATTTATTGAACATGTGGCTATGTATGTTTATTTATTATACTATCATATACTATCATTTTTTTGTTTTGTATTTTGCACCAAGAACGAGTTACAACTTTCCTCCTGTAGATCTTCCCAATTGACTTGAGCATTTACTAACACTATAAAGGGCAATCATTACATGCAAGTGATAATGCCTCTGGCGTGGGAGAATACGGTGTTATTAGCTTGGCACTATGGGCATTTGACATCCATGAAGTATGAGTTTGGAGCTTAAATCAATCTCTTTAATTTATGCTTTCTCTTTTCACTTTCATATTAAGGTCTCAATAAATCTTGGTCCATTATTTAAATTTATTTTTAAATTAATTTATTTATTTCAAATACTCTTATCAAGCCACAAGAGATGCTCCTGGCTATATAAAATAATTGCCAAACTCAAAGAATAACAAATTAGTAAATCCTTTCATTATATTGACCTTAAAAATATAGAATACTCATTTATAATCAACCCAAAGATAATTCTTGCTTTAAGTTTTCCAATGCCTAATTGTTCTTCCCTACCATAGATAAATATATTTATAAAGAAATGATGGCATCTAAGGCAGCATAATGAGCTTAAGCCTTTCGTAATGGTCTGTATTCCCAATTGCTACAAGTGTCAAATTTACTTAATTTCTTTTTAAAATAGAACTCAGATATATAGGCCAAAGATCTAAGTTTTTAATCTCCCTCTAACACTTTGAAACACGATTGCAATTCCACAATTGACCCAATTTTTATGTTCTTTAATTTCAAGTAGTTCACAGTATGCTTAAGATCATCCTTTAAACTCAAACCGATTTTCAAGATTCCAACGTTCTCCAACAGTTATCTCACATCATTTTTAAATTCCTCAGAGTCTTTGAGTTTTTAATAGTCAAACAAAAATGCATGACTTGATGTGGCAATTTACACAAAACAAACTTTGAATCCATCAAGATCCAACTTGGTCCAAGGTGTTACATGTTCACAATCATAACCTTTTAAATTAATATATTTATAAAACCAACAGCATTGCTTGAATGAATGCATTTCCAAGCATCAAAATAGTTCTCATCAATTTTGTCAATAAATATTATTTGATTTTCAGGATAACCAAAATCCTTGCAATTCAAATAAGCATCGATTTCATTATTTATAAACTCCTCGACAGGTTTAAATTCATCCTTAACAAACAGAGGATTTGGGATTTCCTCGAATCCATTCTATAAATCTGATTGCATTTATTATTTTTAAACTGGGTTCTTTATTATGTTTATTAGGTTATTTCTTTTAATGATTGAAAGAGCTTCTTTTTACATATGATTTTAATATGCATATTCGCAAAAATTAACTAACAATTATTGTTAATATAAGAGCATTTCCTCATTTTTATACCAAGGGTGTTCTTTGGACATGTATTTTATACAATTTCTTTACAGTCTCTCCACTAACTTGGGATAATTTGCTGGATCTATATGTTATTTTTTGATAAAATCTGCTGCTTTGCTGGCATCATTATTAGCTAACATTTGCTCTATTAATTTATTAAAACATTCCTGAGGTAATTTTATACACGTATAAAACAAGTAGGCATCATCAAATTTCTATTTATAAAGTAAATCCTTAAAGTGTTGATGCAATCTAAAATTATTAATTCTAAATAGTACTATTTTTCAGTGATCAAATTTTTTAAATCGAAAAGCTCAATGAAATCAAGCAATTCTTAAACTTATAATTCCTTCCAAATTTTGGCTATTCCTGAATTTTAAAACTGCCTTAAATTCATTTACTCTTGGTTTGTTTTTAGGTATTAAAAAAACACTCTGATAAAAAGTCTTTGTACATTATTTCTGAGTAACTCCTCAAGAATCTTCTAAACATTCTATTCAAGGTTTGCTCTATTATTACCTTGGTCCACAATATTTGAAAATGAGGTTTGAATAAACTATTTGTGATCAAATTGCTTACATTGAATGATGGTTTTTTGGCTCCGATGTACTCCTTTAACTCGAAAAAACCATTAACTTCAACTATAACCTTTTGTAGGATCTAATTGAATGCTTCGTCTTAGACAACTTCTTCTTACTACATTTATATTAATTCTTTTTTAAATAAATAATAAATTCTTTTTTTTTTTACTATATTCATTTTTATATAGAGAATGTTGTATTAATTGTAGAAAATAATAATCTACTAAGACTCGATATATTATTTTAGATTGTACCGACAATATTGTACATCAATTCAACAGTTGTAATCAAGCTGTGATAGATATTGGTTATTACAGCTATTACAATCGCTATTGCATACATATACAATTGCAGCAGTAGAATTATTCGGTAACACTTGTTTTCATATGACCATGCGTATTTTACATATAGACAATTGTATGTGTAGATTCTTAAGAACAAATCTGAGATTAAAATGAAGGGCAATAACATAAAACTGATTAAAATGGCTAAGAATACTCCAAACATCAATTTTAATATGGAGATGCAAATCTTGTTTCCCTTGTTCTACGATTAATTATGTTGTGAATGAGCATTTTCTTAACTCTGGGTTTGAACTTAATGTTTGGCTAGGTACTTTTGGTTTACGTTCTTCTAGAGTCTAATGATAAAGAGAATGATATTGAGATTGAAATTCCATTTTTTCATCGTGGCTGATTTCCAATTGAAAATCTTCTTTTATCTCACTTTAAATTCATAAGTGTGATTCCTGAATTTGATCCTTCTTTTTTGATATTAAACAGTCTCCAAACCCAACATGCCCTTCAAGGTCTTCACGGGTTCTACTTTGTCGAAGGGATCAGTAGTAGTTATTTCAATTAGTTTGTCAGAGTCTATGATATTCTAAATAATAAGTTTAGGAGCTTTAGTTTCCTTCTAAGTTTCCATTTTCAACTCTTTTCTCTCACTATTACAATTAGAAGGTGAAAAAATCATTGGTTCCTAGTATTAGTTGTAATCAATTATCGTATGTTTTATGGAATTATGAATAGGTTAATTACTGTTGTCGTCGTTGATTTGGATCAATTTAGTGTTGTTCGGATCTCCATCATCTCCTTTTAGGTTTGAATACTCACGATAGATGGGCTTATTCATTTTTAATATTTTTTGAAATAATTAGAATACAGTAAAACCAATAACTCATTATTTTTTAGGATTGCTTTATTTTCTTTAAGTTTTAGATTTGCTTCCAATTTTCCTGTGATCCTTGTTCACTTATGTGATTTAATCATCTTTTTATTTTATAACATTTTAAAGTTCCTAAATTTTAGTGTCTTTTTCTGCAACTTTATTTTACAACTCTTAAACCCTGTAATTTAACTCCTAATTAATCACCTATAGAGTCTAAAGAGCTTTATCTTTTTGTTAACATTGCGTCTTCTCCTACTCCAACAGATCATTTATGGCTTCGACTTCATCCTGCAATTCAGCATTTTTCGCTTCAAGTTCAGACACCCTTTATCTCAACTATAATATTGATAAATAACACCTGATCATTCTCTTGGTATGAGATTTCTTAGATGTATTTGCATTGCTGATGAGGATCCATACCTGAAAAATTAAATTAATTAAAAAAATTGTCTCTGTTGAATTGAATAATTTGTTATTTTTATTGATTGTAATAAAAAGTATTTAAATGTTTATCACGAATAAATAATGTCTTTAAAAAAAGTTCATAAATACAACTAAATAATTCTTTAGAGATCTTGTAATTGAATAGGTTTAGTGATGTAATCCTTCATTCCTGCATTGAGACATTCTAGTTTTTACTCAGAACTTTCATATGCAGAACATCCAATTATATTCACATCAATACCATACTTTTGAGATAATTCTAAGATCTTTCTAGTTGTCTAAAGTCCATTGATAGTTGGCATCTCTAAATCCATAAATATCAATGTGTAGTAATCCTAATTTGCTTACCATTTCTTCTGACATTTTTCAATTGCCAAATACCCATTTGTAACTGAATCAATTTGATCTTAGCCACTTTTCATAATAATCATATAATTACAGTTATGCTAGTCTCCTTTTCAACATATCAATGTTCATACAAACATCGTCCACTATCATAATCTAAGTAATCATTATTGCTTTTGTAGATCTTTTAAAGATTGAAGCTTAATTATTCACATATACTTTGTGAATGGACTCCTCCTGCTATTATTACATAATGATGGACTCCTCACTATCTTGATTTCGCTCCTCCAAACTATTCAATGACTTAATCTCATTTATATCTTGATATTGAATCTGAAAATAGAATGTAGACCCTAATTACATTATCAATTCTACCTTTTTTAAATTAAGATTTGAATTTTAATCCATTTTATAAGTCCTGATTCAAATTTTGTAAAATTTAATTACTAATCAACAATCCTAATCCAACTCCTGATTTATTCATTTTTTTATGTTCTTCACTATTCCCCTTCCCAAATGCTTAGAATATTCTTAGTTGATCTTCCTCAGTCATTCCAATCCCAGTATCAACTACTGACACTTCCAATCTCATATTAATCTGAGCCACCTTTATTGTCACTGAACCTTCATCAGTAAATTTAAATGCATTCCCCAGCAAATTGATCATTATTTGTTTTAATCGACTAGAATCAGAATATACCATTCTCGGAGCTTTGCTTTCGTAATTGATATACAATTTGATCTGTTTCTTTTCTGCTATCACTTGAAATAAATCTACACAGGTTTCTAACAATTGATTAAAATTGAATTTGGCTTTATTGATCTTAAATTTGCCGACTTTCATCTATGCCAAATCCAAGAGATCATCACTTAGATTCTATAGGTATTTTGCATGATCCAAGGCAATCTTAATTTTTTTGGCCATTTTAATGGGAAGATTAGTCTTCGGAGATCTGCGTACTTCTTTTTCCATAATCATAGTGTAGGATGAATATTTCTGATCATCATCAACTCCTTATTCCAACATGTCAATAATGCAATTCAATGGGGTTCTATATTCATGGCTGACAAAAGATAAAGTCTTCGATTTCTGTTTACTATAGTCACGCAATTGCTATATGTAATCTCTATGAGTAATATCTCTAATGAGCATCAAAATGTAAGGAACATCAATGATTAAAGCATTGTACAATTTGACTTCAATAGTTCTACTCTTCTTTCCATCTAAACCTTTTTAATATCCCAAAATTACTACATGTTCTTGGATCAATTCATTTTAGTTTTTCATTTAATTTTAGAAATCCACTCTTCTCATTTAAGAGGATATTAGATTTAGTTCCTATTCCAAAATCTAACATTAAAATGTATATTACCGATTCCTCTAAAGTATCGCATTTCTTCAAGATTACTCCCTTGTATTCAACATTACTGAGAACTGAATTTTGTCTACTTAACTCCAATTTTTGAGAACTCTACAACTTATTAGTTTGAGATCTCTTTTCATTTCGAAACGTTTAGTTTATTAAATTACAAGGGATCGGAGTTTGTTGAAAAGTGGAAAATGAGCTTATGGAATTCTTGTAGTCAATTTGCTATTTCTCCTAATCTGCTTAGATAGATTATTGTTCTAGACAAAACAAGGAGGGTAGAATCTAATCTGATTGTCGGGCCATTGATAATTTTAATAAATTTTCATTATGATACTCTAACTCTATCTTTTTGTCTGATATTTTTATTAATCCTATTCCTAAGGGAAATATGCTTAAGATTTCCAATTTGTTGTCTCTCTCATGTCTCGGACTCTCCTGATTACTAGGTCTTTCTTGAAGTTTTAAACGTGAATGATTCTAAGTGTTGCCTGCACTGTCAATCATAATCTTATCGTGCATTTCTTACTAAGTAGAACTGTCTATGTTTCTTCTAATTATTTTAGATTTTGAATAATGATATAAAAGTAACCAATGTATAATAATTGCTATGATTGACAAGTAAAATGAATTGTAATCTTCCAATAAGATTATCGTAAATACAATGAGATCAGATACTATTTTTTGAGTTATTTATAGTTTGTTAAGGGAAGGCAAGCAAGCATTTATTTTGCTAAAAAAGAACTCTTTCAAGCTGCATAAAGCCAATATTGTCATGCCATTGAATTGTGAGCTTGAATATAAAGCAAAAAGTAATGTCCATTGTTGTAGCATTTCAAAATGAATTGAGTATTACTTTATTTAGGAAATTAAGCCCAATATTATTCTCAATATCTAAACAGCCACAATAGTTAAGGTTATAATTAAGGATCCATTTCCAAATATACTTTAAAACATTATTAAAAGTGTAATCATTATCATTACCCAAGAATCTTTTATTACTCTTTCGTATTGATTCATACAAAATAATAAATAATATATATTCAATTAATATTCACTGTAGTTCTCAATCATCGTCCAAATTCACTTCAATAGAAAGTCCCTGTCCTTTACTGTACCCAATCTAAACCCCCTCAACTCATTCCCATATTTTAATAGTCTAAATATCTCCCTTACAGGTGGTCTTCCAAAATTGGAACCAGAAATCGTTCTTACAGACCCTCGAGAATCGATAAAAACTCATCGCAATCTTGAATTGTCAATAAAAATCAACTCGATCAAAAGTAGTCGGACCAACTTATCTCCATTAATTATCAATAAGATGTCAAATAAATATTAAATTACTAAATTAATTGAATTAAATATTGTTTGACCCCTTAAATATTAACTATAATTATTTATCCCTTATTATAAATTCAGTATACCGAAATTTAATTGATCATATCAATTTATTAATATCGCATTTCTCCAATACTTTGTAGAAATTCATATTCCTTGCACTTTGAGCTTTTTAAAGAATTAAGAATTATCTAAAATTTACAAATTATATTATTAGAATAACAAAATTAATCGATTAAATTTGCGATGGATAAGAGATTCAAACATACACTTGTGGCATTTAAAATATGTCCTTATTGCATGAAAGTGCTTACAATAATGTGTCATAAAAATATAAAATTTGAAATCAAGTTTATTGAAATGTCCAATAAACCTGATTGGTTTCTTAAATTGAGTCCTCTAGAAAGAGTACCTATTTTAATCATTGGTGAAGAAGGTAATGTTGTGTTTTATTTTTTAGTTGTTTTATTTGAGTCAGCAGCAATTATGGAATACATTGATGAGATCACACCACCTAAATTAATGTCAGAGGACCCTATGCAAAAAGCATTAGACAGAGCTAAGTTTGAGTATTCAAATGAGATTATCAAAAATCTCTACCAATTCATCTTTTGTTTAGAACAAGAAGTAAGTTCTTGTTAAAAAATAATAGAAATTTATCAAGCTCAAAGAATGGCTAATAAAACATTTCAAGCAAATGGATGACTGGCTAAAAGATAAAAAATACATGAATGGAACTGAACTCTCTTTAGTCGATTTTAATTTTGTACCAGTTTTTGTAGTATTAAATATGCTGAAACCCATCTTACCATGTGATATGTTGAAGGATTACAAAAGAGTATGAATGAGGAATAGAAATAGTTATAAAATTATGGTGACTCTTTAACATCCATGTCATGCTCAAAAACCGGTCGAGTGCCAGATTATGAATTTTTGATGATGGATGGAATCAAAAATAAAAATACTGTACTATTTAGATCTAACCCATGCTATTTTAATGGTCCTAAGCCCTCACGCTGTTGTTTCTTTGGCAAATGATCAATATATTTTGTATTTTTTTTTCTTTTTTATTTGTTGAATTTCATAGATTAATTAATTGTAAATTAGTGGTTTAATTATACATTAAATAAATTTAATTGTTAGCAAACTTAAAATGAAATGAAACTTGAATCTTCAATATGTAATGTAAATACTATAAATTATAAGATATTTATGCCTAAATATAACCTAACCAAGATACCTATCTTCAACTTAACAGGAGCTTATTCTGAATCGTAAAGAGGGATAACTGAATATATATCTTTTAGAATTATCTTCTTTTGTTATAAATCAAATAAATATTAGAAAGTCATTGATTAGGGCAAATACATTAGAAAATTTCAATATTGGTGGATTATCAATAGAAGAGAATGGTTCTAAATTTAGAAAAATAATCAAGTGATAAGATTAAATTGAGTTATCTCAATATATTTTAATAAATAATTGAACAAAATTCTGAATTATTCTAGTCATAGTATAATCATTATAAATTATTAAAATATTGGATTTTTGAGTTAGTCAATTATCTAGTACAAATAATCAATAAATATGTTATTTTTGAGAAACATTCTTCATAACCAAAAATAAAAGGGTACTTGCATTTAATTTAAAGAAATTCATATTTATTGTTTTATAAACTAAAATAATAAAGTTAGAATTAGTAACTATCAATATACATAAACCCTATTTGTTAAAAAGTATACCATAAACCCTTAAAGGTAAGTACTATCTAATGTTTTATATTTATAAGCTATATTATTGATGTAAATAGCCTTATAATCTGAATGATCATTAAATGTTATAACGTTATAAAAAGACCTATTGAATCTAAAAGTTACATTTGTTTTTAAACTTAAAAATAGATCATAAAAAAAGATGTTAATACATAAAATACTTTTACGAAAAAAAGATAGTTTAAGTCAAATAAAGTTTTGAATCAAACAAGATTAAGGTTTGATGAATAAGGAGCCTTTATATTCCTAATTTGAATCCATCTTTTTATTAAATTATTTTCATAACCGCCTGAAATGCAATTTCAATATAACAATTTTTAAGATAAAAATAATTATTATTAGCAAATTGTATATTCATTATTCAACATTAAAATTAAAAAATCTTCTTGAAGAGTAACTTTTTGGATTGGCAGACTATTATTCATAATAATTATCTTAAATTTAACCTTCCTTTATAATATTTAGAATATCCAAACAATTATAAACACCTTTTCGAGGATACTTAAATTACTAAATTATTTGGCATTAAGGATTAATAGTCATTCTTTACTCAAGTACTCTGTCAAATAAGGTGTTAAATTTAAATTTAAATTACATCAATGCGTTATCTATTAAATAATTGCTTATTTATACTGCTCTCTTGTTAATTTTAATTAGGTCGGATTTTGTTAATGATTATATTCTAAAATTCATTTATTTTTTATAATAGATTTTAAGGTTGCTACTAATTGGATTTTTATTATTTTTTTAGAAAGTAAAGTGATTAACTTATAACCTTGTACATAGGCAAAAAGATTATATAGATTATAATGACTTGCAATGAAATTATTCCTACTGAGGCTAAAATAGTTACTAATATAAGTTAGTTCAAATTTTAATGTATTATATGTAGAAGATGATTGATATTAAATTAAATTTCTTCTTCAATTTAAATATCGTAAAACAGTATGAGGAAATAATCAATATTCTATAATTTGATGATTTAAATTACAACATCTTTATTGTAGATGCTGTTGAATCTACACAGTATCTGAAATTACTCGTAATTACAAGTAGAGTTGATTTATTTAGTGTAATAATAATTGAGAATAGAATTCCAATCATCAGTTGTAAATCCAGTGATTTCTTCATCATAGAAGCTAATCAAGAGTGATGAATTAGACACAATATCATTTTTATAATTCGACAAAATTAAAGTTCCCTCTGTATTTACTATCATTATATTGATATTTAATTGAGGAATGAGATTATTTGTAAAGACGAGATCTGCGCAGAATAAACCTTCTACTTCCTTTTTCAAATTTAACATAGATTGAGTCATTGTTATTGAATATATTGGTTGAGCATCAAAATATTTATAGATATTAGTTATTTGGGTATTATTGTTTTTATCCTTTTGTAAATTTTCAAAATGTGATTTATACCATTACCTTTCTTTTGGATTATAATTTGGATAAATTGTCAATTGAGGATATAAAAATCCATATTAGTTTGAATTAACGGAAGAGATAAAATAAATTTAGTTTGGCAAATATCCATCATTTAATCTCATGGAACTTAATATTAATGAACCCACTAAATTAGTGACACTTTACAATTATTAACTTACATTGGTATTTTACTAAGAAGTTTATGGACTGGATTCCTATCCAAATGTTGAAAAGCACAGAATGGAATAGTTATGTTCTGGAGGCAAGGTAGGTTGAAAATAGTCACACATTCTGGAAATCTAAGAAGTTGCAATTATTTCATTTTGTTATTATAACCAATAAAGCTAATTAAGGTTTGTCAATGAAATCTAAGCTAAAAATTAGATAGGAATCTATACTTCTTATAAAGGCTGAATTAAGCTAATGATTCAACAGAATTGAAGCAGTGTCAAGGTGTTTTGACATTTCCAAAATAGTACTTCCCTATAAGGAATGGTAAAGAATCTGTTCAATGGAATACATATTTATAGCATATGCTATTAAGATGGAAGGAATTAAGAGGGTTAAGATTATGCCATTTATAATTAAGATCTGCGTTCTCATTTTAAATCTTCCTAAATTTGCTCTTAAGCATCTATTAAAGAAATGATCTATAGATTATTTGTTCATTTTTAATGTATACAAATAATTTTAATTTTCTATGTTTTTCAATCCTTTAAATTTGATAAAATTGTAATTAAAATTAGGAGGACACATTTGTAAATAAAAGTGACATAAATCACTGATTTCATCTTAGTTTGATTATAATTTATTCATGCGAATTATTAAATATTTATACTCAGAGTTTTATGATTATTTAAAGTATCTAAAATATTAGAAATAATATATGATCTATCTAATAGTCGTATTTTTAATATAGTTTAATTGTTAAAGGATAGAATCAAGGGATCAAACATGTAATCATGATTATAAGTTAAAGTGTTTTATAAGAAATTGAATGAAAATGTAAACTTTTATTGCGAGACTGGTTACATAGAAGTTGAGGATGTTACTCACTCAGAAAATAAATTATTTTATCATCTTTTTTTAAAGTAAGGAGTAGAGTCCTTAGAACAAGTAAAAAAAGATGATACCTTTTTATTATGGATCCCTGGAGGCCCTGGTTCTGCAGCTACGAAATATGCATTTAAATACACAGGACCTTTCAAAGTGACTGAGGGGAAGTTGATTTTATGGGTAAGACCACTTTTTATAAATTTTACAGGATTACCTAATTAATGAACACTCTCATGTATTGTACATAGATATGCCCTTTGGATCAGGATTCAGTTATTCTACAAAGAAATATGTAGTAAATACTACGGAAGAAGCTGCAGATTATATTTTATAGTTCATTGAAATATTCTTGGATTCCCACAAGATTTTCAAACAGATTAATTTCCATGTAGTTGGAATCAGCTATGCAGGTCATTTTGTTCCAAGAATTGCCACAAAGATAGCGAATTCTAATTTGGAATTGAATTTTAGAGGAGTGTTTATTGGAGGTTCTTGGACTGAAGCATTATCACAATACAGAAATTAAGCAACAACTTTGATTTCCTATGGTCTGATTGATTAATATCGCTTTGAGTTTATTAGAAAAATAGAAGCGATCTAATAGAATCTCATGATGGAAGAGAAATATTATGAGGCAGCTACTAGCACAATTGATATAACATTTGATTTGGATTTCTTGGAATACTTTGATCCTGATAATGTGTATAAGCATACTAATGACCCGAATGACAACTCTTATATCCAATTTGTAATTGGAAATAAGCAACAATATGGTATTCCTTCTAATATTGCATTTAATCCATCCAATTTTACAATTTTGCAAGCATTCTATGCGGATACTTATATGAGTTACTTAAGCGACATTGAATAATTATTGCAGAAAGGGAAAGTGATGCTATATAATGGATAATTTGATTATAATATAAGTCCAGCTGGAGTATAGGTCATGATAAATAATATTAGAAGTGAGGTTGTGTAGTAATGGAAAAAAGAGCACAAGAACCCATTTTTCTATAAACAAAAATAAACTCAAGAGTTATTGATAGGGGGGACAGTTAAATACTACAAAAATTTCGCATTTGCTATTGTATATTAAGCTGGCCATTTAACGCAACTTGATTAACCTGGATCGGCCTATTAATTGTTAAAATATTATTTAGATTTCTGAAGTGATTATTAATATGAAATTTAATCTAAATTATTACAAGTTTAATTCAGAGAGTCATTAGAGTAAGAATGATCTCCAACTATTATAAATATTTTTATTTTCATATAACTTAAAATTTGCATAAAGATAATAATTATTATTAGTATTCATAATGAATCAATAATTCTTTGGCAATTCCAGATTGGCCATTCAAAGAGCTCAATAACTTCACTAATTCTTCACTTAATCAGTCATTTATGATCAATTCAAATATACAGCCAAAATGCCCTAATATCCAAAAATTGTATTTTTGCAATCAAATCAATTTATCAGAAATCTGGTTGAAAAGTAATTTTATCTTTGAAACATAGATAATTCCTTTAGTATTCAATTATTGATGCATAGAAATCTAGTGGAGGAGTAAAATTATAATGTATATCAATAGGATGGTGTAGCTAGATTAGCAGAATAAGTTTAATTGCAATCTACTTAAACTAATGGTGCTTTATTATTTGGATTCCCAAATACAGCAGTCGAAGCAGAGAGGTACTTGAAACAATTAAAAATATTAAAGTCTTGATAGATTATTGGATGGAATCAATTTAGCAGTTAGATTCAAGTTGTCTGACTCATTAGCATAGAAAATTGCAGGATCATTTCTATCATGTTAATCATGCGGTAAGGTCTTCAATACTAGTTTACCATTCATTACGCCAACACACCCAGGATACTAAAATAATGTATAAATTTACAACAATATTTAGTGTTAATCACCAAGCAAATGCGCTTTAGAATCAAGTTCAGCTCCAACTGATTAGGTCAATGCTGAAGTTGTTAATTACTATCAATAGAGAGTATAAATTGGATTAATAATAGGGTGCTTATCTTGAATATGAAATCAACGAAGAGCATTTATTGTATGACTCATAAGAGTTCTTTGAAAAGTTAGATAATGCAGTAGCAACGCATATCAAAGTGTGATATTTTTAAGAAATTAAAATATTAAAATATGATCACATATATCCTTATTCCAAATGTTCAATGCTTATATTTAAAGTTTGATTGTGCTATGGTGGATTGGATTTATTGATATCCAATTTGTTTTGTTTAGCAAATCCTTATAAGGTTAAATCTCCTTGTTTAGTTTTTAACTCTGACTTTTTCGGATTTGAATCTTTTCGTTTGAGAATCTTAGAATCTCCCTTAATTACCTTTTCATATTGTTCCACTTGAATTTTAAATTGCTTCTATTTCATCTCCTCATTCATCATCTTTCTTCTCTATTCTATGATAAATGGAGAATCATTCAAATTCTATCCCTAATAAATGACATTCTATCTCCTTAGTTCAGTCTAGTCTTCCTCCGATTTATGAGTGTAATATCTTTGCATCTTTTTACTATCATTTTATTCAATAGAATCATAAATTTATTTGAGTTCTGCATATGATGTAGGATTATCACTAATTTTAACAGATGTAGATGCAGATTTCCTTATCTTGGGTTTTTCAGAATAATCATCATCCGATGCAATAGACCAAAAAACTATAGAAATTCCACCTATTGCTAATAGTCCATAGATCTGATTGGTATTATTTTATGACTGAGTGTATTTATAAGTTCTTTGTTGGTATGTATTCTTCTGAGCATTATTTTCATGCCATTATCTCTATTAATCTCCGTTATATTGCCATCCAGGATTATTATTATTATAGTATTGCTTCTCTTGATTACTTTCATGATGAGTATAGTTGCTAGAATGTTATGAGACATCTATTGATTAATCATAAAGTTTTCTTTTAATAGGGTCCTTCAAAATATTGTATGCATTTGTAATCTCTTTGAACTCCTATTCTTTCTAAGCAAAATTCACATCGGGATGATATAGTTTAGCCAATTTGATGTAGGCTGATTTAATAGTATCAATAGAGTCATTAGATGATACTCCTAATTTTGAATAGAGAGTTGAGCAAAAGGAGAAAGTTTTATATTTACTTAGCATTTTAAATTGATAAAATTATAATAATTATTTTTTTTAATTTATTTAGTATAGAATGAGAGTATATATATATTAAGATTTATTTTATGAGTAAATATTCAGTTAATAATAGCAAGTCCTTTTTATTTATCTATAAAAAATATTTTAGATTTTTCTAAAACTTCAATCATAATTAATTCAGAATTAAGAACTAAATGGATTTAAGACCAAAATACAAATTAAAGAATACTTTCAATACTGATACCTTTTGACTTTTTGTAGCTTAATTACTTTAGAAATATCATCACATTTAGAATCATTACTGTTAGTTTGTTTCAATATGCAAAAAATCAAAATTGAAAGTGGAGTATAATTAATGAATGTTAGGAGATAGTAAAGTATCAGTGGTGCATTTATAATATAATCACAAGACTAATATAGCATCTTTCTCAAATGGATTCAACTTACAATATTGTCATAGTACAAATTAGATTATTTTAAAAGGCAACTTGGAACTTCAAGTGAGAATAAATAATATAAAATTTACATCTTAAATTCTTAATGACCTTTCTAGACTCATAAGATTCAAAAATAGTTTTTAAGAAGTTTTCTACTGGGTTGATGATCTAAGGACAAATGGACATAGTCGAGATAGTTAGTATTGTTGATCCATATATTTAGGAGAGGCTTATGTAGAAACTATCAATATTGCTAGATATAGAGTACTAATTTTTCGATGATTTTAGAAATACAAGATTGATGAGGTTAACCTATAGATTTGAGGTGGAACAGTGGATAAACATGTAAGTGTCTTAGTGGATTTCAAAGGTAAGATGGTAAATAGAAGGGAAAAGATTCATCATGTCAAATGTCGAAATTGTGATATATTTTTTATATAAATGCTAATTTACAAGAGTTCAATATATCTGTAATTTTCAATAAAAAATACAATTTTTCTGGTGGAGGTGGGAATGAGGTAACAAACTGAATTGTAATACATCATCATCAATTCATTTTCATTGGTAATAGCTGTTTTATTATTTGGAATGGAATTACTTAAAAAATAACCAAACTATATGAATCGAGTGGGTGCCTTGATATTGTGCTTATTGAATGTGGAGTTGGTGTATCACGAGATTTCATCGATAAATACAATTCAGTTGGTAATGTTCATCGTAATATTAATTACTCAATTTGATGATGAATTGAGATGGCATTAAATTGCAAAACATTCAATAATATTTTACTTATTTTTGAGGACACTCATACAATACCAAGAGTTGTTCAACCTGACTTAATTGCTGACGTGTGTGTTGTGGCAACCCATCAATCATTTGATGCTATACAAAAAGACATAATTGGTAATAAATCAATTAAAGAAATAATCGCTGGATTCGAGTAAAAGTTAATTTGAAATTACTCCACAACTATGTAAAGACTCTTCAGAATAGGATGAATAATGCAGTAGTCATTTCTAGGGTAGTTCTAGGATATCCTAAAACTTGAAGCAGTTGAAACAACTGTACTTGAATAATCCATTTTCTCATTTCGCAGACATGGATTAGAAAACCTTCTCTCAATTCCAGAAATAGGCATCAACTCTAGATGTTCCATAAATCTGGAATTTGTTGCCCTTTGGCATAGCACTCATCAACAGCAAATACGAAATCTTGAACTACAATTAAAAATTATTATACTTCTTAAAAGCATCAGATAGTGATGGGAGGAATATCATCCTAAATTTGGATTTGTTATTAGAGAGGTATATGAATTAACATAATAAGTCCTGAATCATGGGAGAGTAAATCCATAAATTAATTTAGCTCACATTGTAGCAATCGTTAAAGCAGGAGATTTCAAACCAAAAGATAGTTGTCACTCATATCCAAAAGCAATAATGAATAAAGTTCATTGAATCCAGACGGTGGCACTCATTCTCATCTCAATGGAGACTTTGCCTTCATAGCCAGCAATTCCAATTAAATCAGAGATGAGATCATGACCACCAAATCTAGGTATCGCAATCTAGACAAGTTGCTTAAGCAATTCGCTTTGAAATCCTATTCACTAAATAACAATGGGGATTGTTCATTCCAATCAATTGGTCAAAGTATTTAAATAATCAAGAAAGTCCAAGACATTGGTTCTAAAAAATATCACTTCAGAATCAAAGTCTATGAATTAGATGCTACTGAAAATAAAATCAATTATTTGTTTGTCATAGAGAACATCACCAATAAAGAGGAATTGCGCTAATTGAGTGTAAGATACAAATTTTAATAAGTTCTGTTAAATTCTTTATGTCATGAATTAAGAACACCCATGAATAACACTTTATCACAATTGAATGCATTAACATCCTTAATTTCCCCTTAAATTAGAGATAAGAATCTCATTCCTGCCATCATCTCTGCCAAAAAACTAATGTTTCTATTAAATGATATTTTGGAATATGCCCAAATAGATTGTAAGAATTTTCATTTAGTGAATTCCCAATTTGAACTCAATGAAATCATCGATATCATAAGAGAACTTTTTCAATAGGAATGCAATGAGAAGAATATTCAACTGAGTCTAAATTTTCAAAACATCAAAGAAACTTAAATTATATTCAGTGACAAAGAACGAATTATTAGGATTTTAGTTAATTTGATAGACAATTCCATTAAATTCACTAATGAAGGAGGAGCCATCTCTGTCACTATTTAATATGACAATCAACACATATACTTTTGTGTTTTGGATAATGGAGTTGGTATTTCTGATAAAATACTCGCCAAAATTAAAAACAACAAAGATTTCCAAATGTAGGACTAGTATCATAAAAATGAAACTAAACTTGGTTTGGGCTTGAAAATATGTTAATAGATTGCCAAATACCTCTGTGTTGATAAAGAGCTTAAAATTGAAAGTAAAGAAAAGCAATTTACTAAAATTTCATTCAGAATAGAATCTAATTATAAGTAATTGAATAATCTAAAATTTCCATCTTTTCAAGGGTGTAATTTCAACGTTAATTGTGATTGCATACAAATCTTAAATGTTGATGATGTGAGATTTAATCATAATGCAATTGAAGCTCTATTGAATTAACACAACATAAAAATGGAAAGTGCCTACAATGGAGAATAGGCTGTTTAAATGGTCAAGAAAAGATTTACTTAAAGTTGTTGTTGCAAAACATATAAATTAATATTCATGGACATTGAAATGCCAATCTCAAATGGATATTAAGCTTCAAAAGAAGTAATTACCATCTTACTAATTAGATAACAACCATTTTAAATAAAAACAAATTGACAGACTAAACTGTTATTGTGATGTGTTCCGCTTATAATGGAGATGAGAATAGTAATAAAGCAAAGGCTTGTGGTATCAAAGAGGTATTGCCCAAGCCTATTGAGTAAAAATAACTCAAACAATTACTTGACAAATATTTATTATGATTATATATTATAATTATTAATGGAAATACTCATTAAATTGTTGATATGCTAATTAATAATTTAAGACATCATTCAAATCAGTTTTATTTGGATAAATACAAATTGGTACTATGTGCTACTTAATGCCTTTTCACTTTCGATATGCTTATTGCTAATAATGATTGACTTTTACAAAATATCAACAAACTATATTAAGGTAGGACTCTATCTATTATGCGTGATCAATTACGAAGCTTTATTCTAAGAATCTCTTAATATTGCTAATACCGCTGAACTATTCTATATATTACTAATATTGTTTAAGGTTTACGATGGCTCTATTAGATCGAAGATAGTTATACATCTCGTTTTGATATACATGGTCATTAGAGCAATAATAACTGAGTCAGAATATCGAATACATTATTTGATGTTGATGATCTTCCTATAACCCTTGAACCATTATATGTTTTATACGTTGAAGAAATTAGAATGTACACAACAAACTCAGACCTATTTTAAACAAGAATCAGGAATCTAACAAACCTTATAAGAACAAGTGATATGCTTGTCTAATGATAGCAAGGCAGACAATTTGAAATAGGATCTGAATGAGAGTGTAATTGTTAATTAAATAAATGACGATTTAGAATCTCCAAAAATATAATAGGAACATAAATCTATTGGTGCAAATAGAGACACTATTCAATAAAGGATTATCATTAAAAAGCAACCCATAAACATGTAGAAAACAACAACAAATTCATCACATTCGTTGTATCATGAATAGTTAAAATTGGAAAGCCATATAGATTCTAAATATTCTGATTTAGTTGCAATAATGAGCAATCTTCCCTTTGGTATAATTTTTGTTGATTAACAATTAAAAATTTTGGACTACAATTAAAAAGTTACATAGTTACTAGGAATCACCAATCCCAACAATATAATTCCGTTTTTAGATGAAGCCATTTAAAAGTAAATAATTTAATTAATTATGACAGAAGTGGAGAAATCTAAGAAGTCCGTTCTGCTAAAAAAATTAAAAAATCTATGAATAAATCACCAAAAAAAACGTCATACTTCAAATAACCTTCCATTAATTTATAAAAAAGATAATTTGATGATTCAATACCAGATGTAATTTCTCAATATTACAATTGTGGGTCTCAACAAAGGATGGACAATGAGACCCAGTAGGAAGGAAATTTAACGTCAGTATTTTCAAAATTCTAGAAAATTCATCAAAGCTAACAAACATCCACTTCAAGAGAAAACTTTTAGTTTATTATTAGACTAGATTCCATGAATGCCTCGTAATGTAAATCTAAGTATAAGAGTCTGAAACTCAAAATATTTTAAATCGAAGAAAAAGGAAAGTGGGATTAAAATGTTTATTTAATTGTATTAGAAAACATCACAAAAAGAGAAGAGTACAAACTCCTTAATCATAAATATAAATTCTAACAAGCTCTATTAAATTCGTTATGTCATGAATTAAGAACTCCAATCAATAGTGTCATTTCCCAATTATATGCCTTAAAAGATGAGTTAACACATGATTTATTGGAATCCCATCTAAACCCTGCAATTGTTTCAACCAAGCGACTATAATACTAACTAAATGATATTTTGGATTACGCCTAAATTTAGTGCAAGGCTTTGACTCTCAATAAATCCTACTTTAAATTAGAGGAAATATTTTAACAATTACAAGAGTTATTTTATTTCGAATGCATGCAGAAGCAGATCCAATTGACAATAGAAGATGATAACTAAATTAGATTGTACACTGATAAAGAGCGATTACTAAGAGTCTTTATTAATTTACTAGATAATTCGGTTAAATTCACAAATAAGGGAGGAACAATTAAGGTTTCCTCAGAACTTTTGAAAGATCAATTTAAATTCACTGTTTATGATAATGGGTAAGGTATTAAGGATGAAATCATCGAAAAAATAGAAGAAGAAGCAGAAATCCTGTTCTAAGACTCCATCCAATATAATTCAAATAAACTAGGTTTAGGATTGAGAATTTCACTGCTTCTTACAAAATACTTATACAAAGAGCAGAAGTTCTAGATTGATTCGAAATTCAATTAATACACAAGGATTAGTTTTCGATTGTCAAACCTAATTGAAAACTGTTCCTTGGAATTTTAAATGGGTCGATAATTGTCGAGGCTTGAAAAAAATTGCGATTGCAGTAAAATTCTCATTGTAGATGACATTATTTGTAATCACTTTGCACTTTAAGTTTTACTTAAAAAATTTAAAGTGAAAACTGACAGTGCATACAATGGCAACTCAGCTATAGAGTTAGTTGAATAGAGATTGAAGTAGTAATGCTGTTAAACTTATCGAATAATTTTTATGGATATTGAAATGCCATAGAAGAATGGGTTTCAAGCATCTTCGGAAGTATTTTAAAATATCATCCATTTAGATATCTTAAAAACTAAAATAAAAATTTCTTCATGATGAATGTATAATCACCATGTATTCCGCTTATTCTGGGGACGATGATGTTCTAATAGCAACTTAATGTGGAATGAAAGAACGAATTTCAAAACCCACCGATATATAAAAATTGGAACACATTATTAATAAATATTTACTTTGATAATTATGAAATCTCAAATATTTCTAAATATACAACCCTTTTTTATTTTATTGTTTAAATATTGAGACAACAAACAATTTAAAAATTAAGCAATTATTAGTTAACGATTTTAGTTATCGAATTGAAAAATAAATAAATCTCTACTTGAATTGCTGATTTTAACTCATAAAGTTCTCTCAATGAAACAAGAACCCCTTTAGAGAGAATTTAAATTGAAATTGAAATTGTTAAAACTAGAAACAATTATATATTTCGCTTAAATTAATGAACATTTTTTGGATCCATTAAACATACAAGCTCTTAGATAATACAATGCAAATCTGTTACTTATTTTATTCCTTAAAAAATGAGGATTATTAAATAATGTTGTGAAAAAGTACAGTCTTTTTTATATAAAATAGATTGAATTCTATTATTAGTACATTTTTGTAAATTTTTGATAAAATTATTTCCTTTGCTTAATTTGATAAGAAGCATTTGTCATAAATAGATGATTCAAATTCCTTGAAATATGAATTGATCATATCCACTAAATTAATTTTTAAAAGATTTGAAAATTTACTCTGCTCCTTGCATTCTTAATTTGTTGTTCATTAAGAATTTCAGATGATAATTCATAGTCTCAAAAACATCTTTACTTTTAATTTTGGATTTTACAACATAAATTTTCATATAAAAATTTTTATCAAAATGTAAATATAAAAATACTATAATAGTATTATTAAACATGATCATTTCTTTGATCTAATCTAACCTTCATACATTTATTTCATCACTGATTTTGTAGAAAAAAGAATTTACGAAAATTTAACGATCTAAAATTCTTTATTTTTATTTTCTCAAAATTTACTTTCAATTGTAACTTAAAATAATTTTTATTTAATTGTTATGTCTAACAATAAATAAATCGAAATTTATAATCTATGTGCTAAATTGTTCAAAATCAAGGGAAAACCTTTTCTACATTTAGGTTTTATTTTAAAGATTTCTTGTTTATTATTTAAATACAAAGACAATGAAATTGTAGATAGTGATTTCTAACTTTATCATTGAATCCAACTTTTAAATAAAAAATGAAAATAATTTTCGAATTATTTATGGTTATTTTATCTTTTTTAAAACAAAAATGATCCTAATAATTCATATCGCTCCAAGAATCTTAAATTGTGTGAGGTTAGGTATTTTATTCTTCAATTAGCAAGATTAATTACCATAATGTAAGTTGTTAATAATGAGAATATGTACTAATTAATTATGTTATTATTTATAATATTTGCAGCATTCATTGACGCAAGCAAGTGCGTGATATATTCTAAAGATTAAACAAGTATTATTTCAATAAATCTAGATTTCTTTAAAAGCCTTCTGCCTTCAGTTAATTATTATATTGAAACAGGATATGTAAGTGTTGGAGATTTAGCAATATCAGAAAATAGATTATTTTATTCTCTTCACTTGAAAGAGACAATTATGAAAAAGTCAGATATCAAACCAGATGATGAATTTATCCTGTGGATTTATGGTGGTCCGGGATGTTCTTCTTAGGATAGTAATTTTAATGAAAATGGACCTATCAGAGTAGATGATGATCAGAAGTTGCACGCAAGAGTATAAATTGTTTAATTGACAAAAGGAAACCTCTTGGAACAAATAGGCACATTTAATGTACATTGATCAACCTTTTTTTGCAGGAATGAGTTATTCGACTAAAGAAGGATTAATAAATAATAGTTGGGATGCAGCAGATTATGTAATTGAATTGTTGACTTAATATTTTGAATAAAATAAAGAATTATCTAAAGCAAGATTACATATTTGGGGCGAAAGCTATGGTGGGCATTACATACCTGTATTGGCAGAGAAAATAAAGAAAGAAACTAATTTTAATTTAATTGGAATAGGAATTGGAGGAGCATGGTCTCATCCAAGAGTGTAAGTGATACCCACAGTTCAATAATTAATTAATTATGGAGTCATTGATCAGTACAGATATGATTTAATGATGAAATCTGGAATTGAATCATTAGAAGCAATAGACGATTAAGATTATGAGAAATTCTTAATTGAAAGCGATGAAGAAATATTCTTTAATGATGTTATTGGACCCAATTTTAGATATAATATTCAAATATATAACTATGATGATGGAGACTAGTATGAAGATTTTATCAATGATCATAAGAAATAATTTGATCTTCCTGCCAACATTACCTTTGAGGGATGCAATCAGGATATTTACATGGCTTTTGCAGAAGATCAAACTATTTCAGTTCTTCCTTCAATTGATTATTTGCTTTCATAAGAAATTAAAGTCTTTGTTTATCATGGTTAATTGGATACTGTCGTTTCTCATACAGGAGTGGAATATTGGGTGAATTTATTAAAATGGAAGGAATTACCAATCTGGAAAAAATAAAAGAAATCCATCTGGAAATTTATTAATCCCAAGACAAAAATGGAAGAAACTGCTGGCACAATTAAATCTCATAAGCATTTGCATTTTTGCATGGTTTACAACGCTGGACATATGACACCCACAGATTAGCCAGAAGCATCTTTTTAAATGTTGAAGAACTATTTTGAGATTTGAGTATTCAAGGATATAAATATAGTTGATTTCATTTTTAGGAAATGAGAATCCAAAAAAATATAAATTAATATATATAAGTTCATCGTCATATTCTTTCGAAAGAATCTACTCTTAATTTATTTAATAAAATTGTATGATTAATCAGTGCAGTAAGAAATCTTTCTTCTCTTACTTTTAATTGAAATGGGAAACTATAACTCAAAGATCCTTTGATCTTTAGAATGTATTCTAGATTATTTTGAATTCAAAAGGCAAATGTCAAAAAGCACAACTTAAATTGTCTAAATAATTTCTATGTTTAAATGATGTAAATATATGGCTTATTAGAAATTAGAAAGAACAACTTAATGTTTCAAATTACATGATTACAAAAGTAGAACACAAAATTTTGGGTTCAGGTATCAGGATATATTCCTTTGAATTTTCATTGGAATTTTATGGTTCCATTGAAAAGTGGTTTGATCAATTGAGTCTCTATTGTATTTAAACTAATTTTACTCAAAAATACTAAGTTTAAAAGTTAGTCGGAGCTGGAACTTATGGCAAAGTATATTTGACTGAATTAATTGTAGGTCTATCGTGTAAAAAACAAAATTAATCAAAATATATATGCAGTGAAGACCTTTGAAAAACAACTTCTAAGTTCTCTTGATGATTAGGAAGGCTTGGTCAAGGAAATCGGAATTCTGAGGACCTTAGATCATAGAGGTGTCATAAAACTTCATGAAGTATATGAGAGCGAATAGTTCATTTTTTTGGTTTTTGAATTTCTATAGAATAAGACACTAAATGACACATTGGAAAGAGGAGTTACAATAGCAGAATCTTAGGCCTTCAATATAATTAAGGATCTACTTGAAACAGTGTTATATATTCATGAGTAAGGGATTTTACATAGAGATTTAAAACCTGATAATATATTATTGAGAAATGAAACATAAAAATATGTTATAATAGATTTTGGATTAGCTGACATATACAGGGAGGATGGTCAGTATTTATTTATTAAGTGTGGAACTCCAGGATATTGTGCACCAGAAGTCTTGTGCAATTAAAATTATGATCAAAAGGTAGATGTCTTCAGTCTTGGGATTATTCTATATTAGATGTTGACAGGCTTTAATCCCTTCTATTCAAAGAATTATGATGATAGGTATAAGCTAAATAAAGAGTCAAAACTGGATTACAGCAAAGTTAAAGTGTCTTATGATGCTCTTGATTTGCTCTAAGGCATGTTGAATCGAAACCCATAGAAGCGACTTAGTGCTAAGGAAGCCTTGAATCATCGTTATTTTCAATAACAAAAGCAACATCATCATGTTCCTTCACTTTCCCATCTCTCTGATACACTTTTGAATACTGGAAGCTAGATTTCATCGCCTCGATATGAGGGAAATTTCAATTTTTTTGAAATAGGTGAGTCTTCCAGTCGTTTCACAAGTCCTTTACTCTCTCCAAAATTAAGTCCAAGATTTGAGGAATTAGATAAGGAAATTGTGAATCATTAGAATATTTACAGTTTGCATGTAAATAATATGAAAGCGGGGGGATAAAAAATAAATTATGATGAAACTTTAGAGAAGCTGATTTAGAAATATTAAAGGACTTGAATTTTATTTAATTTACATCCATTTGGATATAAAAAGTCTTTAGTTGACTTTTTTAATTGAATTATTAATAATATCAATTTTAATGTAATATGAAAATGATCCTATTGATAGAGACACCTTAAGAAGAGATCAGTAACTAAATAGTTTTTTGTCTAAAATCCGTGAGCAAGTCATGAAAGGTTATGTGGTAGAAGTTAAAACAAGAGCCAACACTTAACATTAAGTAAAAATATTGATCAAATTAGTTAGAAAATAACTCAAAGTAAAGTTCTGGGCTTTCATCTAGGAGCAATTCTTTGATTAAAGAGTACAGATTAAATTAAAATGAGATTATAAAGGATCTAGACGAAATTATAATATAATCTGAACGTGATAACTAATAAACTATTCGATTAACCAACTCATATTGTTAATCTCCTCCGAAGGTTAAGTGGGAAATTATGAAACCCATTGTTTTGGATGATCATTTGTAATCTGAGCAAACATTTCAATCCGTCCCAAGTAAATTAGATATAAACAGTCCTCTTTATTAAATTAATAAATAATTAGAAGAGATTGAGACTAATTAGGAAACTGGAAATTGCGTTGAGTTTATTAAAATACTAAAGCAAATATCTCTTGACTTAAGAGAACATATGAAAACAAGCGGAGATTCTAAAAATTAATAAATTGTTAACGGAATCCAAATGGTCAGAACGTTATGCTTACTAACAAAATTTTATAAGTAAATAGCTGATTTCCAGCATGCAATCAGGTCACTTAAAAAAATAAAGAAGTTTTTTTTAATTACTGATCCCAATTTAGTAGGAAAAATATAGATTGAATTGGGAAAATTATACTTTCTCAATCAATCATACGATATTTCTTAGAAAACTTTTTATGAGGCTCTCTTGCATTATGAAAAGTTGTAATGGAAATCAGAAATATCATCCATTTTATTATGGATGGCTAAAATAAATTCCATAACAAGTATATAAATGAACTTATGGTAGAAAACTTTGAATCTGCTAAAAAATTGGTTTATGGAGCCATCTCAATTTTAAAAGAGTATCTTCAAGATGATGATGAATAAATTGCTGAAGCGTACATTATTTTAGGGGAATGCAGTTACTTAGCCAAAAATTAAGAACAAGCATTGGAATTTCTAAAGAAAGCAATTTAGATGAAGTTTAAAAAGTATAACACCTACAATCACATACGATTTGTAGAGGCTTACAATTTGGTTGGTTTGACATATGGGTTGGTTCCTGACATTTAATAATCTCTTAAATACTTCATATAGGCTTTATAATGTTTTTAGTACTACATTTTTTAAACCTAGATATAACTGTGTTTAGAGAGCTTAAATTCTTAATAACATAGCTGTGATTTATCAATCTTAAGGTGATATAGAAAAAGCTTAAAAATGCCATATCAAAGCAAAAGAAATCTATACTACTTATTTACCAAACAAAAAACATCATTAAATGGAGAGATTACTCTTAAATCAAACAAGTCTATCTCGTTTTTAGGGTAATAGTTAATAATGAATTTAATATATCTTTTATTTTATGTGAATTTCAAAACCTTTAATAAGCATTCTAAACTATCTTAAATGAAATAATAAAATCAGAAACATTTTCTGTGCACATAACCAGTACCATAATCTTGATACTCATTTTTAGTAATAAACATGGGTTGGAATTAACTTAAAGAAGCCAAAATACTTCCACCCATCCAAACTGAGTATTTTCTTTCGGGAGGCTCCTACACATAAATTTTCATAGTCGAAGGGGCTAATGCAATGACTTCTTTTTATAATCTATCCTTCATTCCTTTAAACATAGTGCTACCTCCAGCTAAGACAATATTGCCATAAAGATCCTTATTATAAAATAATCATTTACTTTTTTAATATCAACATCACATTTCATGATGGATTAGAAGGTAAGTTCATGAATTCCTTAAAATTCTTTGCTTAATTTGATTGGCTAAAATAATGCTTCAGGGCATTTGAAAAGTTGACTTCCTAAAGTAATATCATTTCCATCTGGCATTCTGTGGACTATCTCCTTTCCAGAATCTTAGTATATTTTCATTTCAGCCTCGAAATCTCCTACAATATAGCACTTCAAATAGATGCATTATTATACTTTTTTTTCCTTAGTATCTTTGGCATTTTCTCTTTCAGTTTCCTTTTGATTTGAGAATTCCTTGCCTTGTTCTGCCATCAACTTTATTAAGTAATCAGTTAAATCTCTACCAGCCAGATGAATCTTCATCACTGCATGTGATAATGCAAAGCCTTCGTAAATTGGAACTGTCTCTGTAACAGCATCTCCAGAATCCACTACTAATCCAGTTGTTTTGCCAGATGCACATAATGCTAAAACTTATTGAATTGCCAAATAAAAGGATGGAACATTGAACTTTTCAAACATAATTTCCATCATTTTTTCTCTGTTCGCGGCTGGATTGAGAGGCGGTTCTGACATTAAAACAGGGTGATCTTGAGGTGAAACTCTTAATTCTAATTTAAATGAATTTGAAAACCATTGTAATAAGCATGATGCCATATCTTTTCCATGTCATCCCAACGAGTAATAATTCCATGATCAATGGGGTAAGTTACATTCAATACTCTAAGCTATAGGAATTTGAAAATACTCTAATTTAGAATTGACCTCATCTCCAATGTAGGTGTCCTTCTGATCCATGCCAACCATTTAACCAGGTTGCTTGGGTCTGTTAAAATAAATTAGGATTCAAAGTATACTTTCCCAATACAGTTTGTATAGTAGCTCTTGGAGCATCATCTCCTGAGATACCTGCCTTAATGTATCCAGATCCGTTGTCTATAACCACAACTGGAATTACATCGTCCATTTTAATTAATAATATTTATAGATGTGGGTAATGGGGATTTGTTTATATAATTAAATTTAAATATGAAGCTGAAGAGGTTTCTCTTGAGATACTACCCTCCTGGCATCATTCTAGAGTACATTCGCAGTAATGGAGAATAGGAGACAAAGTCTATTGATTTGTTAAATCTAAGCAATGAGTAATGTTTGCATTTTATCAATAGTACGGATGTGGATCAGTTGGTCGATGAAATTGTGATGGAGGAACCAATCATTTCAGAAAACAGAAAGCCTCAACTAGCAGCATTGATTCGCAGTATCAACCTATTTTATTTAGAACTTATCGAAAAGATCGAATCAAAAAAGGAACAATCATTCGAGTTATTCAAGACCCTCAAGGGTCATATGTTGCCTCTAACAAATTGTGCATTCAATAAGAACGGGGACAAGTATTGATTCCACTATGTAGATTCATCACAGGTAGTTATGATAGAACTTGTAAAGTATGGGACACTTTCACAGGAGAATAATTAGTCTCCTTGGAAGGTCACAAGAATGTTGTTTATTGCATTGCATTCAACAATCCGTTTGGGTATTCTTAAATCAATATTCCCAAAGAGATCGCGTTGTCACAGGCTCTTTTGATAAAACTGCGAAAATATGGGATGCCAATTCAGGAAAGTGCCTTCAAACACTTGTGGGTCATCAATATGAAATAGTTTGCATATCCTTTGATCCTCATTCCTTACTTGTGGCAACAGGATCAATGGATAAAACTGCGAGATTATGGGATGTTGAGACAGGAAAATAAATTGCCAGATTGGATGGACACGAGGGTGAAATTGTCAGTTTACATTTCAATTCTGATGGTGATAAATTACTCACAGGTTCATTTGATAAAACTGCAATGGTAAACTTGTTCTTTACAACATAGATATGGGATGTGAGATCTGGGGAATGTATCCACATTTTAGACGAACATACAGGAGAGATTTCTAGCACTTAGTTTGAATTCACAGGGGATTATTGTGGTACTGGCTCCATAGATAAGTAATTAAACTATTAGACTTATAGAACTTGCAAAATTTGGGATATTAAAACTGGAAAATGCATAGAAACTCTCAGGGGACATTAAGATGAAGTTCAAGATATCTGCTTCAATTCTACAGGTTTCTTTTTTCATCTATTATCTCCAAGGAACTAGATTAGTCACAGTCTCAGCTGATGCAACAGGAAGACTTTATAATGTCCATACTGGAGAGTGCATAGCCCAACTCTTAGGACACAAAGGAGAAATCTCTAAAGTTGCTTTTAATCCATCAGGAAATAAAATTATTACAGCTAGTGCTGACAATACAGCAAGAATATTGTAAATATCGCTCCTATCTATTTAAGTTCAGAAACGGGTGAATGTCTGTAAGTATTGGAAGGTCATACTGATGAAATATTTAGTTGTGCATTCAATTATGAAGGAGATATAATTATCACAGGATCTAAAGATAATACATGCAAAATTTGGAAAGAAGCTAATCTTTAGGTTAAAAAATGACTGTTTCCATTTATATCTATATATATATTCATTAAACCCTCTATGAATGCGATGGAATTATTTATCTATCGCATTTATCCTTATTTCGTTTATTCAACAACAATTGATTCCTTTTTTCAAAGATTCTGCTATTTTATAATAGAAGATCAGATATTAAATAGTTGTTATTTCAAACGTATTTATAAATAGTATCATCATATTGAAATATTTGATGATGAAACAACTATTATCTAGAAAAATACTCTTTGCCTTAATGATTTTTCATTTATAAAATATTGAAATAAAAAAAAACAGAATTTCATAAAAGACAAAAATATCGTACAGATTTTTATTTTCACAAAATTTAGTTAATTTATGTAAACGCAACATATATTCTTCAGAAAAGAATGTATATCTAATTCTACAGGTTTTCAACATAATTTAAATATAAAAATTGAAGTTTATAATTAATTAAATTACAAATGGACGACACTATAAAAGAGTCAGCTTATTTACTCAGCATTGCATATTTACTATTGGGTTTAATATTTATTTTGTTGGCCCTTTATAGTATACCTTGTCTTTGGAAGGCTTGGAAATGTAAGCAATTCTTTCCAAAAATTTTTTATCTGTTCATATTAGCTATTTGTTGTGACTAAGCAACGTACTAGGTGCTCTATTTATATGAAGTATTTAGAACTTATTTCAAAGGTCATTACAGCCATAAAGCAAGAAAAAGATGAGAACTCATAAACAGAATCATTCCGTATAATTTTCTTTCAAACAATCTATGTTCCAGATGCCATCTTCTTTGTTATCTATTTTTCACTATTTTGGCAGTTCTTGATAATGATGCACCATGGTAGAATTAAAACTGGAAGCATTTTAGTTGGTATAACACATGTCAAATAAATCAGGTAAAAGGAACTGGAATCCGTAGTAGGCCAATTCAAAAGTTCGTATAATATTATACCTGTATATAATTGGTTAAGCTACTGTAATTTGGTTATTCATGGCCTAAGGACTATCACCTAAAGCAATAATGATATGTGATATAGCTGTTAATGCTTCTGTGCCAATTATTGTAATAATTATGGTTCTGTACCTAAATATTAAATTTTCTGGCTCGCCTTTTGTGTCAAACAGATATGAGAAAAGTAACAACAAAATACAATAACTATTATGGATTTGGATTTTATTAAGAATTCCTTAATTGGCTGTTAATGTAGTAATAGTTGTTTATAATGATGAGTTGATAGCTTTAATGGGTGGGAAATTGAAGGTAACTTTTATTGAATAGTTATTTTTGATTTTGTTTATAGTTGGGGATATTATAATTGTGTAAATCATACCAGTGATGATGGCAATGTCTAATAGTTTTGTGAGTGCATTATTACTAGATCACAATAGAATGAATTAGCTTTTTAGTGTGGAAACCTTTTCAGGTGAAATGAATGTATAGGAATAAACACAGCGTTAAGCTCCTCTTAAAAACAACCTTCGAGATGATTCTTTATTTAAAGACTTAAAATTAAAAGATTTAGAAATTAATGATAGACAGTTCTTTAGGAAATACAACGGATTTGGGGAAATTAAAGTTGCTACTATAAAAAGAGACGCTAAGAAATATGCAGTCAGAATTATTTAATTTAAAGAATTAAGTTCTTTTTTAATAGATGAGACTAAATAGGAAATTGAATAGATCAATAATATTAAAAAGGGATATAAGATTCTTTGGTTTGATTTTAATGAATCAAGCATGTATCTATTGTCAAAATTTTACCCTAATTCAAATTTAAATAACTTTATTCATAAGAACACTGGTACCGATAATTAGCAAATCAAAGATATAACAAGTAGTTATACAAACAAATAATTGCTGATTCGAGTCAATATTGCTTCTGATCTCATTAAAGCTATATAGAATTTGCATGATTAAAATGTTGTTCATGGACATCTAAACTCAAGTAATGTGTTGTTTAACGATAAATTCAAACTTAAAATTGTGGATTATGGGCTAAGAGCAATAAAAAAATATGCTAGTTTAGTTAATGGATATGCTAATAAGAATGGATTTATAGCACCTGAATGTTTGAGCGATAAGGGTAGTGTAGTTTCTCACTCAGCCATTAAAGAATCCGATATTTATTCATTCGGAATGATTCTCTATCAATTATTTACTGAAACTATACCTTTCTATGTATATATTTCATCTAAATTAGAATATGCCATAAAAAGAAATAATTCAACTTGTTTAAGAATAATAATCAAGACCCAAAATTCCAGCATCCCTTAACTCAAATATTGCAACTTTAATTAGATGTTGCTGGTAATAAGACCCTGTTAAAAGACCTAATTACAATTAGATTCTATCAACTTTGAAACAAATATCAGATAGTTTAGAATGATAAGCTTGTTTTTTATTATTATTTTAATTATAAATTTTGTGATACATTAATTAAAATATCAATTAAATAAGAATACAGAAAATTCTGCAAAATCATATATTCACTCCTTTCTATAAGATATTTATCATTTTAAATTAAATATCAAACCTAAACATTAACATAATTAAAATGAAATTTCTTTCTGAGTTTGCGTTATTAAATTTGGGAAACTTAATCTGTACTCTTGGATTGTCATTGATCGCTCCATTTTATCCTACTTATGCTCTGAAGTTCGATGTCAAAGGATCTTTATTGGGACTTATTTTTGGAATTAATCCAATCGGAGGAATGTTGTCTTCATTAATAGTTGGAAAAATCTTAAATAATGTAACCAATTTATACTTATATAAAGAAAAACCAAACCACTCTTTTATCATTAGGAATGCTTATTTAATCGATTGGATTATTTTGCTTCCCACTTTTAACACTCACTAACGATAGAACAATGTTTATTACAATCTCATTATTAGGAAGATTTATTAGTGGATTTGTAAATTATCATCATTATATCGTAGGGAGCTTCAGCATTTTTGACTCCACTTTATGCAGCCATTCCATAGAAATATCCAGAATCAGTTGATTAAAAAATGGCGATTGCAGAATTCTTTTCCTCTTTTGGATATCTATGTGGACCAGTAATAGGGTCTCTTTTATACACTCTTGGAGGTTTCTCATTTCCATTTATACTTTTTGCATCTTGCTCTGTGATCATAGCCATAATTTTAAAATTAAACATCAATAATAATGCATAAAAAACAATTGTTGAAAATTCTGAACCTATAATAAACCCTGAATACGATATAAATTATTAATCAGAATCAATACTTCAAAATGAATAATTGGAATCTTCAATTGGCTATACATAGCTAATTAAATTATTTCCAGTTGTTTCCTCATTACTGGTAATGTTGGCGGTATGCATGACTTTTACATTTTTTTCACCAATATCATCACTTTACTTTGAAGAACAATTTGGTGTGCCACCAGAAAATGTAGGCTATTACATGGCAGCAGCACCATTGGCATATAGCATTGGAGCTATAATAATCTCAAAAATTACATTTAATAAATAGAGAGCTATACTATCTGGAATGGTTTTAGTAACAATTGCTTAGTTTTTTATGGGTCCCGATCCATTAATGAATATTGATCCATAAATTTACATCACTGTTAGTGCATAATTTATTTTTGGATTATTTTCAGCCGCTCCTTATATTTTGATTCTCCCTTATATTACCCAAAATTTGGAAAAAAAATTTAAGAAGTCAGATCATGAAAAATGTATATCATTAGCATCGGGCTTATTTAATGCAGTAATTTCAGCAGGAGAGTGCTTAGGCCCAATATTCTCAGGTACGCTTTCTGAATTCTTTTCCTATCAAAGAGCATGCAGTTTTTTGGGTTTATATTTAGTTGCCACAACTTTATTTTTCTTCCCAAATTTATTTTTGTCAAAGAAAAAATCTAAGAAAAGCTAAGTTAAAGCTTATGAAGAATATTTGTGATTCAAGTTCATTTGTTTATGACTTCTGTATTAATAATCAATTAGTTTTATTATAATTTATGAATATTTTTAATATTTTTTTTAATTCTAATAGAATTAATAGATGCAAATAGTTATTAATAGGATGGAATATAGAAATGTGTAATTAATTTAAAACGGATAAGAAGGAAATCTGTATTTGGCTAAATAAAAAAATCAAGAAGTTGTTATAAAACACTTATCTCTAAAGGAAAAAGAAATAAAAATTTTAGAAAAATTGATGTCTAATCCACCAAGCAATTTTGTAAAAATAATAGACTTTGATAGAGAATCCTACATTGTAATGGAAAAGGGCGATGGCACTTTAAAATAATATTTAGAGAGAGAATAATTTAAATAATTAAGCATTCTATAGAAAATTAAATTATTTGAATAAATTGCAAATGGAATTTTGGAACTTCATTCTAGATATCTAATTCATCGTGATTTAAAACCTGATAACATAATATTTTTATAACAACAAGATCAAACAATTTTAAAGCTTATTGATACTGGTTAGATGGATTAATTAAGTGATAAAGTTTTATTCTTATCAGAATTTGCTGGAACTGAAAATTATAGAGCTCCAGAATTTTTCTAAGAAAGAATACAATACAATAATAAAATCGATATTTGGGCTCTTGGTCTCATATTTTATGAAATGATTACAGGATAAAGTTTAATTTAAAAAAAGAAACAAATTAAAGATTCACAATATATTAAATCGAAAATTGAATCAATTAATATGTTTAAAGAAAATATTCAAGAATTGCTTTATAATATGCTTGAGTAATCTTATTTTTAGAGATGGTCTGCTCAATCACTTATGAAGGAGCTTTAGAGGGTTATTGAAATTATGGAATTGAAAGAAGGATTATAAAAATCAAGAGAACAATGTCAGATTCTTTAAACTAATTGCATGTCTTTATCCAATACTAATCTAACTTTGTAAAATTAAATATCAAGTTCAACTCAGAAAATAGAGTTTTTAGATTTAAAATTATAGTAATAAATTGAGTAATCTAATAATTAAGCTGCAACAATAGAAAAGTATCAAACTCAAATTTAAATTGCATAGGAAATGAATTCTAATTTTTAGCTTAAAATTAAGTAATTAGAAAAGTAAAATGCATAATTAATTATTGAATCAGAAAAACATAAATCTGATCTAATAAAACAATTAGAAGAAAAAAAGATGAATTTGCAATAATATATAGATAAAGAGAACATGAAAAATTAATAATAGATTGAGTAATCGGTCCAATGCAATCTAATCCCTTTTAAACATAAAAAATTGGTTCTGTTTGGATTTCCAGGAGCTGGTAAGACATGGGTTTTTAATAAAATATAAGGATAAAGCTAAAGGAATTAAAATGAAAGTACTACAAACTTTTTTGAATATTTTCTTAATGAATAAAATGTTACAATAGTTGATTCACCTGTTTTTTTAGATTAATCAAACTATGATGAAAGGGAAGAGACTTATAACAATTATGATTCTTATTTTTAAAAAAATTCAATTGATGACATTGTCTTGGTCGTTTAATATGAAAGAATTGATTTGATGAAACAATATCTAAATCGCTGTCTAAAAATTTTCAAAGAAATTTCAGCCATAATTGTCACCAGGTTCGTTGATACCTAGGTTATATCTTAGAACGAAGAAGAACAGGTTAGGGATAAATTTAAATTTTGTAATTCGTCCATCTATTTTACAAATAAAAATGCTAGCTAAACAGATTTATTAGATATCTTTTTTAAAATAAATTTTAACCAAATATCACCTTAAAAAAATTATTAAGACATTTTTTAGAAATATATCAAATGATAATAAAATACATAATAATATTATAAGTTAAATATAACAAACAAATATTACTAACCTTGAATTAAATTAATATATTACTCAGTTTTTAATTAATTTCAACTTCAAAATGATTATAGATGTAATAATGGGATTTCATTAACATTCATTTAATGAAGAAATAAGAAATTTAGATCTGAAACTGTTTTCAATCCTTTAATTTTATAATGAATTTTTATACGATTAAAAAACGAACTTTAATTTTATTTCATTAAATACAAAAACAATTGTCATGAAAACAGAATTAGAATTTGCGTTGTTGAATGCTGGTAATTTGTTTTGTTGTCTTGGCTTTTCAATTATCGCCCCATTTTACCCAGCATACGCAAAAGAATTCGAAGTCTCTAATTCAATTTTAGGACTGATATTTGGGATGAATCCTATCGGAGGTATGATGGCCTCATTGATAATTGGTAAACTATTAAATAATGTAAATTATTCAGTCATTGTTAGAGTAACCAAAAGACGTTTCTATACTTGGGTCTTATCATTCAAGCAGTAGGATAATTTCAATTTCCCCTTCTCTCTTTTGTACATTAGTATGAATACTTTTTAACACTCTCATTTATAGGAAGATTTTTGAGTGGCTTTGTAAATATTTAAAATATACTAGGGAGGTTGTACATTCTTAACTCCATTTTACGCCTGCATACCTTAAAAATTTCCAGAGACGGCAGCTCAGAAAATGGCTATAATTGAATTTTTCTCTTCATTTGGCTATTTAGCAGGAGCAGTCGCTGGCTCAATTCTGTATGAAATAGAAGGATTTTATTTTCCGTTTTTAATATTCGGTTCTGCCTCCATTTTGATTGCATTAATAATTAAATTCGGTTTTTAAGAAAATGATTAGATACTTACTGAAAAATAATAATAAATTTAAAAAGAAAATTAGATTGGATACTTTACAATTCTAAAAGATTTTTAAGTATTGGCATAATTTAATGTAATTTTTTCAATGTGCCTTGCATATTCATATTTTCAACCAATATTTGCAATATTCTTTGAAGATCAATTTGATGTACCACCAGTTGACTCAGGATACTATATGTCACTAGCTCCATTCTCTTATTGTCTTGGAGCTATCCTAATCTCAAGAATTAAGATTCATAAATAAATAACAATTTTAATTGGCATAGGTGTAGTTGCCATTTCAGAATTTTTGATGGGACCAGACCCTCTATTAGGAATTAGGCCATAATTACATTTGACCATGATAGCCTACTTAATATTTGGATTCTTCATTGCCTTACCATATGTGCTAACACTTCCATCCATAAATGAATCCTTGGAACTACGCTTTGAGAAAAAAGACCATGAGAAATGTATCTGCTTAGCATCTGGATTATTCAATTCAATTCTATCAATAGGCGAATTTTTGGGACCCTTTCTTTCTGGATTGATTTCAGAGCACTTGGAATTTCCAAGATCTTGCAGTATTCTAGGAATATATTTAATAATGAGCACTGTATTATACATTCCAAATGTATTCCAAAATAAATTTAAGGCTTAGAGAGTAAAAGTATAGAATTTTGATGAATAATTATGAAATATTTATATTATATTGGTTGTGTAAGGTAATTCAAATACTAAGCTAATAAACATCTCCATTTGTTCATAATAAATTAAAGATAAAGTAATTATTATTGTATACACAAATTAATAAATAATGAATAAGGGTTGGGAGGTTGATGAAGATTAATCTTTAGATCACTTTCTATCTCTTACTGAGTGTTTAGTTATTAAGAATTAGGTGGTTGAAAAACCTACTGTCTCAGCAAAGATTTCTCCCAAATAGAAAATGCGATTTAGAACAGCGTCGATGCCAAAAGTTGAAGAGTTCGTTGAACCAAAGAAGGAAATAGCGTAGCAAATATAGGATATCTAAATAAAACAATAGCCAATCAAAACACAGTCAAGACAGTAGATCAAATAACCAAGGCCTTTGGATTCTCGAATCACTATAAGATCTACATTGTTTTAGAATCCAATAGAAAAAGAGCCCCCAATCAAGTTGGGCAGAACTTTATAACCAAAATTTTTCAATCCCTTATTAAGAGAGTAATAACATAAGCTTGGCCTATCTCGAAAACTTAAAAGCATGAACAACATCTTTAATGATGAACGTATAACCTACAAGCGTGATTTCAGTTATCTTAAATAATAGAGATCCAATATAGTATATGTAGCTCTCTCGAAATGATTAATAAATATATAATGTACAAGGTTTGATAATATTGACTCTAAGCTTATTTATTATAATTAAACTCCGTTGAGTATTTTAAAAGTAATACATGAAAGAATATTATATAAGTAAATTCAATAACTCTATTTTCTACTCCTCAAGCAATATCACAATTGTAATCGCTGTTGATTTATAATTATAAAATAATATAATAAATTAAGTTCTATCGATTTTGCTTACATGAATTAAATTTAATCTTTTTCTATTTAAATAATAATTATTCAATTCAGAATAAAAAAGGAATAGAGAAATGGCAAAGGAACTAAGTCAATCTATTGTTTAGAGATACCCATTTTATTATATTTGCTTCTTAAGTGAATGGTTAATCTGAGCATATAATTAATATTAGAACTTATTCATAAAATTCATGAGCAGGGGGATTTGTGTAGTATCTTTGTATTTCTGCTATAAAATGATAAAAAATCATGTTTAAGATAGATTGTAATTTAGTATAAGATTGGTTCAAAAATATAGTGAAGGATATTTAATTTGAGGAAATAAGATAGTTCTTTATCACGTGTTATAGTAAAAGAGTGAAAGATGAATTATTGTATAAATATACAAAAAATAAAAATTTCGTCAGCTACAGGATTTGAACCTGTGCGGGTGAACCCAGCGGATTTCGAGTCCGCCTCCTTAACCACTCGGACAAACTGACAGCCACTAATCAAGAATCCATTGATTAATATATTTATATTAAGAATCAGATGAAAGGGGAGGATTCATGATGATACCTAAATAAATTAGAAATAGGGCAGAAACACATGAAATGATTTATGGGACTAAATTTATTGTTATATGTTAGGTCTAAAATACTATAGTAAGAGAAATTGAAATAGATTTTAATAATTATTATTATTTCAATTCTCTTCTACATAACAAAAGATTAATTAGAGTTAATGAAAAATAAATTATTAAGTAATTCCGATGAGTGGATAAGAGTTGATTTGATTATGACAATATGGAGATTTATTTAAATTTAATAAGTAAGTAAAGAGCAGGAGTAATAATTAAATGAATTGCTTAAATTATAAAGATAATTGCTCATTAAAAATATAAATAAAAATAAATATGCCTTAAAACATTTATGATTTACAATTAAAATAATAGGATAGGCTTTTAGCTAAATTCCAAGAGTTATTTAGTAAACCTACCCATGTGAATTATATGAGTAAGTGGGAAGCAATTTTAGTAGCAATATTTTTTCTGTTGGAAGGTTTTTGGTTTACTAATCTATTACCTCATATCACTTTAGTTACAATTTATGTGATTAGAATTTTGAGATGTTAGTCAAATCAATCATTACAAGTATTTGCCATCAGATGGATGATGATGTGTAAGATTTTGACAAGCAGATTTTTATGGGCATTTGGATAGGAGATTTCGTAGGAAAATTTGAGAATTGATTTTCTTTTATTTTGCTTTTAAGTAATTGCAACTGTCACAAAATTTAGGATATCCAACAATAAATTAATAGTAATAACAATGGTTTTGGTTTTGTAAGTGTGTTTATCAATATTTCACAATTAAAAAATTGATGAAGTTATTTTGGTTAGTTTAATTGGAGTTTTGACTAATATCTGGTTGATATATCATCGACAACAACAACATCAGTTGGAACATGAATAGAAATTAAAAGAATTTGATGGAGAAGCTATGAAATTGAAGAAGGAAACTGAAATGTCATACAAAACTATTTTTATAGCCGATTAACAGTAATCTCGCTAGGAGGAATTATTGAAAAAGTTGAGATTGCTTAAATATGAGAAATTGCTTAATAAATCGGAGCAAACCTATTATGAGGAACAAGTGCTATAAAAATAATTAAGTTCACCATCCCGTATCTTGACTTTACGTTAATTGCCAGAAGATGAGGACAAAAATTCGATTGAAGAGATAGGCGAAACTCCAAGTAGGAGATCGCCGATGAGAAAAATTTAAAGGATAAATTCAATTAATGATAATTCCTATTATGCTAGGACAGCAGGCCATAGTGTGAAGCAAGATGAAATTAAGGAGAATGAGAATTTCTTAACATTGGATGAAATCGATGATTTGTTGAAGATTGTGAGTGGGAGAAAAGAACATTTGTGGTTGCCTCAATTCTTAAGGAGTAACAAAAATATCAATTCTGGTTCATCAGAGTAATTTTCTCCAGAAGCTAAAAGGTAATTTATTCATATAATTTTAAATAGTTTTATTCTTAATCATTTTACAGAATGTGAATTCAATTTTCAAATGTCATCTAGTCAATAATATATTTAGGAGCAATATCATATTCCAAATATGAATGACAATTTGATGAAAGAATGTGATAAGAATTTCAATTTTGATTTCTTTGAATTGAATGATCAAAACAAATTCATCAATTATTGTTCCTTTATCTTTCAGAAATACAAGTAAAAACTAATTTAAATTTAAATAGTGTGAACTAAGTTTTAAAGGTTAAGGATAATTCAATTTAAATAGAATTTTGTCATAGAATTGAATAATTCTACATGTAGAATCCATATCACAATTCATTACATGCAATGGACGTGACTAATTCAGCCCTTTTCTTTTTGGAAAACGGATTGCAAGTAACCCAATTTGAATAGTGTTGTCTAATAATATCAGCCTTGTCTCATGATGTTGGTCACCCTGGTTTAAATAACGGCTTTTTAGTTGCATCTCAATCAAAATAGGCTCTAATATGTAAAATGATATTACTATGTAGACAATGATTAAAGTGTATTGGAGAGTTATCATGCATCATTATTGTTCCATGTTTTGAAAGATGACAAGACCAATATCATCAAAAACCTGAGTGATGTAGATTACAAAGGATTTCGAAAATATTGTTTGAATTTGATTTTAGATACAGATCTTCAGAAACATTTTCCATTACTTAACAAATTCAAGAACTTTTTAGCCTTGGGATCAGACAGTCAATAAGATGAATAAAACAAGTTATTAGTGTTGTCGATAGCAATAAAATGTGCAGGTATTGATATCAAGTTGATAAGATGTTGGACATGGAGCCAAACAGTTGAATTTGCATAAAATATGGAGTAGAAGAATAATCGAAGAGTTCTTCTTATAGGGAGATTTAGAGTAATAAGTGGGTATATCAGTGACACCAATGTGCGATAGAAGTTAGAGTGTAACAAAATCTTAGGAAGGATTCCTCAAGGCAATAGTTTGGCCATTATTTGATGCCTTCTCGGAATACTTGAAGAAGTAAATTACAGCAGCATTATTTTAGTGATAACTTCAAAACAACATGTTTAGATTAAATCAATGTGAATATTGCCTATTGGTAATAACAATAGTAAGAAGAAGAGTAGAAGAGTGAAGGATAAAAAAAATGTTCATTCTTTATCGATACAAATTATATTCATCTACCTCAATAAAATACCAATACAATGATAAATTTGAATTGGTGATTTATTTGTGTTTTTATCATATATATATATATATAGTTATTTGTAAATTTAAGAGACATTTAATTCATAGATTTAATTTATACTTAATCATTCTTCATCAAAATCATTATCAACATCGTCTGGTACATTTTCTGGGATTTTAGGTAAAGGATGTTCCTCATCATATTTAAGTTCCCATTCTTCTCTATTAGGTGGTTCTTGATCCTCTTATTGTTGGATAGAGTTCTTATATTCTTCAAATTTTAATTCTTTTTCCTAAAGATTTGATTAAATCAATTACCTCTTTGATTTTAGCCACTTATTCAGTGGTTTCTTGAATCAATTTTCTAAGATTAGCAATCTTTTCTCTTCTGATTTCAATGTCTTCAACTCTTAATTTGATGATGTATTGCATCCACTTCAATATTTTAGCATAACAAACATTATATTCTTCAACCTGTTCAACAGTGTATTTACTAATTCTCTTTTTAATTCTATTCAATTTAGCATATTTGGGGACTTCCTCAGTTTTGGCTCCTCTGTATTCATAATCAAGTATTTTTTGAATCATGTCTTCACATATGTAATGCTTAACTCCAGTCCAATCCAATTGATTAGTTCCCTTTTCAAGTAGATTCTCCTTATTATAATTAAGAAATAGCATCAGAGACAATAATAGGCCAGGATATTTAAGGACTCTGACTTGCTTTAAGGAAAACAATTCTTATTGCAATTATTGAATTTATTGAGCAACTGTAGAGACCCTAATTGAAAGCAAAGCAAATTAATATTCTTTTTCTCTATCCTTCAAATCATCATACTGAGATTATTAAGACTCCACTGCCTACTCTTCTTAAACTGTCAATGCCTCTGATCTCTCCTTCACTCCTTACTCCTAATAAGCAATCATGTGATCTATATCATCTGATAACAATTTGCATTCCATTTGATTCCAACTTAATGCAAATAGATTCACATAATCCTCAAAATATTGTCTATCTTTCTGACTGATTTCAACATCCTTACCCAAAGTATCAAAACACACAACGAATTATCTTTTTTATGATTGGTATGGTGCTTCACTTTCATCTTACCAATTGGCCAAATACTAATCCAACTCTTCTTGAATAGGAGTGGGATCTTGTTCGGTTTCTGTTGCTTCTTTGAGTCTCGCATTGAATTCATTAATCTTATTTTCCTTATCTAATTTCTTTTCAGCATCAGCCTTTTTGAATCTCAATCTCTCTTCAATGCCTGCATCTAAAGAGGCTGGAAACAAACATGATTAATAAACAAGTGGGATTGCTAAGAATGCTCCCAACTTTTTCCATTTGAAATAGACTAGTCTCTATTCCTTAGTCACATCTGGGATGTAAATTATAGGCGATTAAGGTTGTTACCCTTCTTCAGGAGGTGGTATTTCTCTAAACACCTCTCCAGTTATTCCGACTTCATTCAAAGGGAGTGTTTGACTGATCATAAAGTTGTGATCATCATTGGCTCCTATGTATTTTATCAATTTTGGTTATTCTGTATCAAGATGGGCATTCTCATCATCATCATTCTCATTTATTTATTTACTAGGGAAATCGACATATCCAACATATACTCCTGTAAGACCCTTCTTTTAAAGATGGTTGCAAAAATCTTTGACTAATAGTTTATAATGGAATTCATGTGTTTTGATAATATTTTGAAATTCCAACTCCCTCAGATTTTCCTCATCTTGTAACTGTTACTCTCTGCGATCTTTCTCCTCTTACACCTCTTACTCCTTCTTCTATTGCTCTCTGAATTATTTCGATTAATTACATCAAAGCTTCCTTGTGACTCACATGATCTTGCATCGAACCTCTATTTGCTTCAGTCCTATTATGATTCAACAACCATTTTGCCAAATATTCAATTGGGAATTGAGGTTTCACTTGATACAACTCAGCCAATCCCTTTGTAATGACCTTCCCGATGCGCTCAGACTTTAAGTAAGCCATATCTATTTTATCTGTTTCAGGTATCAAGTTCATTAAAATAATATAATAATTCAAACAAAACATCCATAAATCCATTTCCCTTGTAATATTACTTTTTCGTCTTTCGACAACGCTCCAACTCCATGAAATGCATCTTATGCAAATCCTCCCACGAACTTGAACTCCTCCCCCTCACAGTTGAAAGTCATCACTCCTTGACCATGAAACTACCCATCCCTGAATTCTCCTTCATAAGAAGTGAATTAATGCTAAACTAATTTGAACTACTTAAAGTTTAATAATCTAAATTCATCCTCCTAGTAATCTTGATTTACAAATCGTCCTCTCCCTGAAAATTGATCATTCAACCATTAACCCTAATATACAATATTCTGATTGAAGTCTTTCAAAGTTCCATTGCCCTGTCTCATTCCATTCACCCAATCACCCTCATAAACAAATCCATTCTCATACACTTTTCTACCTCTTCCATTCTAAACATCGTCTCTTATTGTGATATTGGATTTCTTGAATTTCCCCACTGATGGAGTTTTACTTGATGTTCTATGATGATAAACCATCTTATCTTGCAATCTTGAACTATTAATTGGAGAATGAGTAGTGTGAATAGTGTGTTTAACAGAATTCACATAGGATTGCAAAGTATGTTAACTAATACAATTTGACTACTTATTTGAGTTTGTTGGTCCACTCAAGTAATATGAAAATGATTCCACTGAATCTGGCTCTGTCTTTTTTAGTTGAGATCTCAATTAATCATTCTTCTCCATTATATGAGCAATCTTCTTTTCTAAAAAACTCAATTTACTTATAGTTTCATCAAGCATATCATCTTATTTGCTCTTCTTTCTCTTAAAATAAGTTATTTATGAAGTTGGGGATTTAGGCATTGTTGATGGAGGCAAATAATTCACAACTGCTATTTTATTATTGATGCTTCTAAATGGACTTTGAGATGTGCTTGGTGAATGAACTCTCAGCAGACGAGTAGTCTACAATCTACTAGGCGTTTTACTGCAGATGTCTAATTAATTTGGCCTTCTATTTTCTTTCTTATAATGATGCATCTATCAGTTAATTTTATATTATAAAATATTATTATATATCCAATATACATTAAGTAAAAAATGAAATTTGAGGAATCAGTTTAAATCATGTGTCTTTTTCATAGTTAAAAGATGCAAAAAACACAATTGATATATGATCTCTACATATTTCTTTTGTTTTTAAATCTGGTTCTTCTAATATCTTTGGATTATGTTCTAGTGAGATAATCCAAATAAATTAATATTCCCAATATTAAATAATATTTTGTATAGAAAGGCTGATTCCAAATTTCCATCTCGAACACTTTGCCAGAAACTTAATAAAGACTGAAAATTAAGTTACTAGACAAAAAGTCTTATTACTAGAATTTTAACAATGATATCTCCATTTATTCCCAAAATTATTTAATGAATGAATTTTAAACTATCAACATTTATACTTTTCTACACCTATTTCTAAAAATATGAGTAATATTTTTAATATATAAAATAATATTAATTATGAATCCTTATGAAATTCTTTCCGAAATTTCAACTCAAGAAAATGAAGAGAATTTTCGTTGTCCTGAAAATTTTAATACAATTATGAATAATTTAAATGATTCCTTTGAATACAGCCTCGATGCATACCAAAAGTTTTCAGAACATCGGGCTTTAGTGAAAGATGCTTGGATAGAAAAATGTCTTGGCAAGGAAGAGTTTATGGGATTCAATTACAGAAAGAAAGTGTTTCTTTTGTTTTTAGAATATCTTCATAAACATTTGGATTGTCAGAAAGATTTAAATTCGGAAGCTTATGCCTTTTATGCTTAACATTATCGGAATACAGCTTAGTATGTTAACTATGCTGTTGAGATTCCAAAAATCAGGCATAAGATTTTCGAATTAGAGGTGGATTGGTATATAGAAAACATTTCAGAAGATTAGGATATTGTTAAAAATAAACATTATCCTTCTATTTTTCAACCTATTTTAGAACAAGATCCAATAGAAGCCAATCATACCCGCGCTGTCATTAGCCATGCATTAGAACAATTAGAAGCTATTGCTGCAATGATCACAAAAAGCAATGTCAAACACTACGCAAAATATATAGAACGCTATGGGTGGTGCTTGGCTGGAATGGTTCCTCTATTGCCTGCATAAGAATAAGATCCTTTTTAAGATAACGGCATTCATCAAAGGTGGCAAAAGGCACGAAATAAAATACAAGAGAAAGAGCATTAATGAAAGATAACCCTCATGATCTTATGATGTTGTTCATTTTAATACAAAATATCATTCCTCTTTATATTTGATAAATTTAAATTATATCTCGCAATTGATTATTTTAGATTTTATTTTGCGTTTTTTTATGATAAAAAATAATATTGATTAATTTTATACATTTATTAATGAATACACATTCTAAATTGATATTTTATATGATGATGACAACAATCCAGTTATTTTTATTTATTTTAAGATACTTTTTTAATTACTATTAATAATATTTGATGTGGATCGAATTACGAGAATTTGAATCGACAAATAAAAAGTTGATTTTTCTCAATCTAAAATAAGTATTAATGATATAAATTGCGAATACTATTTAGAAACTGGCAATTATAACTACTCAAATACTTCTTACATTAAAATAAGTTATTTAAATTGTATCTTTTGATGATGATTTTATATTATACATCTTCTCCAGTTCATGGTGAATCATTATTTATTAAATTTATTTCTTCATCCATTACCAGAATTTAGAAATGGCTTTTACAATATAACAGATATTGCATTCTGAATCAAATCTTTAATTAAGCCCTCAAAATTTACATCCAATTTCCTTTCAAATGAATTGTATCTCATAGCAGAGGTTGGGATAGATATAGGAACTAATCAAATGTGTGCAGTATTTTATAATATTGGAAGGATGGGAGGATTAATTGGAGCAATTGCTACTATAATCCATCGGTGTGAGAATCCAAGGTAGTGTAATTGATTATTGCTTACTGGAGTGGTTATTTTGGGGGTGTAAAAAGGATTTGGAAAATAGAGGGAGAGCGATTTAAATCGTGCATGCTAATTAAATATTATTATAATAAAAATATGGGGAACTGTCAAACTTGTTTGAATAATGAACCAGAGCAGATTGAGATAGTTGCTAACAATCCGACTGTGGAAGATATGTCTTTGATGCAGGAACAATCTCCTTTGTTGGTGTTGGATGTGAGAACATGGCAAAAGGAGTCCTATAGTCTTTATGACTATGAAAATAGCTAGTTCATTCATTGCCAATAAATATCCGTTAACGGGAATAGCTATTTGACTTGCAAGGCAAATAAGGTTTTGTACAATGAGGGGTCTTATTCGAATAACAAGTATAGATGGGGATGATTATTATTATGATAGTGAGAATAATGATGAGGCGCTCTTGTTACCTCTGGAATTCGACAACGAACGGTTCTAATTACTGAATCTACGCTTCCCTAGACGAATATAGAGTAAGGAGTTGATTGACGAGTACTAAAAAGAGGTAAATCATCAATGATTATTATTCTACAGGATGGGGATAAACTCTTATCAGAAAATCAGACTGTCCACGCTGATTTCTAAATGAGTTTTAATATCTAGAAGTTACGCACCAATACGAATAGGTAGATGGAGGGTGATTTGAAGAAAGGTTCCAAAATCTGGTTGGTCACCAGATCTATATAAAATAATAGTTCGAATGAAGGAATAATCCTGAAAGTTGGAGATAGGATCAAATTAGGGAGAGTTAAACTAGTCATCAAGGCTATTCAACTCCAGAACAACGAGCTTTAAAATACTCCTGATGACATCTCTATGAGTTCAGTTGAGGATAAGAATGAGGATACAAAATAATGTCGGGTCTGTTTGTCCACAGGTGAGACATTCACCAACCCTTTGATTGATCCCTGTAAATGTTGCGGAGGCACTAAGTATATCCACATCAAGTGCTTGTTAAAATGGTATTCTATTCAGTCTATCTTTAAGGATATAGTAAAGTTCTCATTTCAATAGTAATGCCTATTGCACCAGACTCATCTGGAAGTCTCTGGAATGCGAAATATGCAAATATCAATTCCCTCCAGTTTTTGAGAGAGAAGGCAGAACTTACAATCTCGTTGAATTGAGCAAACCCAAATAGCCCTATGTAATGATGGAATTTCATCAGAAGAAACAACATGATAATGCTTCAAATAATGATAGAAATGGTGTATATATCATCAATTTTGGCACCAAGAAGGAATTGAGAATTGGCAGAAACCATGAAGTTGAAATCAGTATAGCTGACATCAGTGTTAGTCGTGAACATGCACAACTCAGATTAGTAGATGATAAGATTGTCTTATCCGATAAGAAATCTAAATTTGGCACTCTAGTTTTATTATAGAAGAACATCACTCTCTCGCCTCAATTATCAGGTCTGGAGATACAAATTAAAAGAACTTTAATAAAAATTAATAATAACTAAAATACTCATTCAAATTAATAATTAGCAGACTTTGAATAGCTTTTAGGAAGAATCGATTGACTAAATATTATTATTTCATTTTATTAGAAAATTCTTTTATTATCTTAAACGATTTCATTTTTTTTGTAATTTTATTAATTATTCAAATATAAATAGTTACAAATAATCAAACATCGATTGATTTTTTAAATTACTCTTTGTTCTTTAAAAAATATTCAATCCTACAATTTATAACATTATATATACGTTTAATTGCAAATAGGGCATCTCACTAATTTTGTGTTTATTCTTATCCAATCCTCAAAACACTCCAAATGAAATGTATGTCCACAGAATATCTGAACGATTTCCTACTTCGTTTCATATTTCTCAATACAAAAAGGACACTTATCCTCATCATATCTCAAAACCTGGCTTGAAAAGCATTACTTCATTAACACCTTCTCCTTAATCATATTGTCCATCACATTTGAGAGACTATCATTATCCAGACTTTGTTTGCTATCCTGAAGAGTAAGCGAGATCAAGTAATTCATCCTCTTATTAGCTATATAGATGATGATTCCAAAAAGAACCAGAGCTCCCAATAATAAACATGTTAGTTTCTTTATTTTGAAATCCTCTGTATCTGCTTGAGGATCCTACTATTTAAATGTGACTGTCAGATCATTCACTAAAATATCCTCCAACATCACAATTGTCATTCTAAAATAATAGCCTTTGAATATAAAATCGGACTTGTAATCACTAATCATTATTTAATCGCATAATTGTTAAGTGTCATTCCCTAAACATATGCTTTATTGGATAAACTTCTTCTTTGTTAATTTATCCACCTACAAACTAAAAAGCAAATTGAATTATTAATAAGCATTAGCATCATAAAACCACGTGAACACTGATCCTTTCGGAACATTTCCATAATAGGTAGAATTGAATTCGATCTCCGAACCGCAATTCATTATTTTATTAACAAACCATTTTGAACTCTCCCTATTTTAATTTAACCCAACACTCTATTAATTCTATTAGCCCTAGCATTATTCATCAATCCACTCACAACCTGTTTATTTCATACAAGCATAACAACTATTAAATCTATTGCAACCATGTACAAATTGGTTATACAAAGATTCAAAAATGCATTCAGACTTGTGTGGAACTAAAGAAATGTTCAAAGATCCATAGATTATGTCACAAGGCATTTGGCATTTCTATTTCTATTAGGATTAAACTTAATTTAATTATTATTATTAGGGTTGTGCTTCATACCTCTATTAATATTGGATCGATTATAAATTCATCTTAGGTAATTCCTCAATATTAAATTCACATTCTTGAAATTGATCCATTGTTAAATGATCAATCTTGGCACTCATCGTCTCGAATTGATCATATATCAACATCAGTTAGGTTTGATCTATGAGAAATGCTACATGGGAATATGGTAGATCGTATTATTAAATCAATCTAACAGATTTTGAATAAAATTAATAATTATTTTCTTCAATAATGAATAATTTAATTCCATTCATATTTTGTTACAATATGTAATTTGAATAAATTCCATCAAAATTTGTCAGCATTTATAGTGGTTGCGAATCAAATCTATATATTTCTTAAATTTCATATAAAACCTCACCAATGTTATAGAGTACTTAGAATTGCTCATATGTAATAATGATATAGCCTGATTTATACATTCTCCATTTTTAAGGCACATTATTTTCAGATAAGGAATATGTAGAGACATCTCTGAATTGTTTATCAAATAAGGAGTATTCAATCAATTTGAGCTGGTTTTATTTCAACACGATTAGCAAGAGAGAATTCCTTATTTTATTGTAATATTGTGAAAATCCAATAATACGAGCATTATCGTGTGAATTGAATTTGTAGGAAATGCTGTAAAACTAATTCACATTCCCAGGAAGCATCGGGAGCAATTCTATAATGTAATTTTGCTTGTCTACTCTTCTCAATATCGAAATCGTAGTATGGATTGAATCGATCTATGTGAGTTCGTAAAACATTATATTGTGTTCCTGTTAAATGAGATTCGAATGCTCAGGATTTGAAATCCTTCCTATTGATAAGGTTTTCTAACCTTCCTTAGTGATGAGGTCACAAATTAAGTAATTACTTAAATAGGTTTCTCCATTTTTCTCCTAAGAATAAATGCCTATCTATTATGTAAAACACTTATATCTACTTATTTTTGTGTGAGTTCTAATTTTGGAACAAATGCATTATGTTAAATACATTGAAATAGAACGTAATCAGAATTTGAACCAGAGTAAATGCATCCTCGAAAATTTTGATTCTCTACACTACCTTTTGATCTCGAGTATAACTGAGAACCATACACGATCTCAATGAATAGTATATAGAAATACATTTATATAAATAATTGTTCTGTGTTTAAAGTAATTTTAGAATTTAAAAATAACCCTAATTATTTAGTTTATAAATTCCATATATCATCCTCATAATCATGATGCATCATAGCAATTTATGGAATTTAATATAAATTAATAATGTGAATAAATTGATCATTAACGAACCGTCATCTACTACTTCCACTATTTAAACTACGCAATAGGTGATTGATCCTCTTCATCTGAGGATTCTCTGAACTTGATTCCCTTGTTAATCATATCCAAACATGAAATTGATCTATCTCTGTTTCCAAATGTATCGAGAGCATACATATCCTTATTCTGAGGATTGCTTTTCTTTACTTTCTATTAGAATTACGCCTTGTATGAAGTATTTTATTGAGATTGCTGTTTTAATTAATTTATGCATTAAGTTGATTTGAGATCTCTTTTTTCTTGATTTTCTTTATTTTATAGTATTGTATCTTTGCTTTTATTTAATTGTCTGCCTTATTTGCTTTGTCTTTCTCTGTCTTCGCACAAGGACTGATCAGTCATTGCACTTTAACAGGAAATGTTGAATTGAGGTAACATATATTCTTAGGAGTATCTAAGACCTTCTTACTGTTTAATTTCTGATGATAATTGTTTCACTTATTCTTGCAATTCTTAATTCTACTATTTCAAAGTTAGCTTCTCCTATTTGAATTTGGTAATTTGCTTGTGTATTTCAGTAAGATGGTTTTATAATTCTTCAATAAAATTCTAATTCTCATTCAATTGATTCATCAAATTTGAGATTTCCTTTTAATGTTATTATTCAAGTTCTTTCTCCTTGATATCATACTACTCCTCAAAGTACTTCTACATCTCTTCGATCACAACCTATTCATTGTTAGTCTATAATTATTGCTCCAACAAAGTAATCTACTGATTTTGTTAAACTAATTTCTTTTCCAATTCATTAAATTTAACCATTAAGTCCTAATTCTCCTTCTCCCTTTGCTAAATCAACTTCTCCTTTTCCTTAATCTGTTCCTCATAACCTTATTTAGTCATCTCCAATTAAATTTGATTCTCCTCCAATTGTAATTCCAATTATTCAATCGAATTCTTTTATTAATTCAATATGTTAGTCATTTAATTGTTCTAAGTATTCACAATATTCAATTGTTTCTAGAATTCGTTTCTAAACTTCAAACTTAATAAACATACTTCTATGCATTAAGACATTTCTCTATAGTACACTTCTCTCTGGATGACAGATTGTTAGCTTCTGCAATCAAGATCTCATACTTTTCAGCTATCTACACTTTATCTCTTTCCAATTGATCAACAGTATGTTTCATCTTCTCTATTTGAGTAATCCTTTCTTATAAAATCTATTGATGGTCATATAAATACTTAATTCAATTTTGAATTCTCTCCTAATACTAAATTTATTTTATGTTCATATTCAATAATCTTTTTTTCTAATTACTTTTCCTTTTCCACCCTTCTTGAAGATTCTAATTAATCATCCTTGTGTAAAAGTTTGTTCTATAAAATATATTACAATCAAATACTTCAATTTCTAATTGTCTTAATAATTTATTTAAATTCGTTATCTCATAGTCCTTTTTATTAAGAATTTATGCAAACTTGTCTTATTACTCTAAAAATTGAGATGATTTATCAATATCACCCATCCTTTTATTTTTCTCGATTTCATCCATTAACATTCTTTTGAGCTCAATATTTTCAGCCAACTATTCTTCGAGTTAAGTCCTGTAATCCTCGATCTCATACTTGTTCTCTCGATCACAAGCAAATGAAACGACTGAGGTTTTCAAAGAAGCCTCTGACCTGTTTGTGACATCTAATTGTTTCAAAACCTCCCGATTGGATTACTAAAATTGCTTTTCCCCACTATCTATGTAGTATTTGTTCATCTTGTTGTTTTAACGAATAAATATTTAATATTATAATATATAAAAATGTAAGGTTTTATTTATATAAAACAATAGTTTAGAATAAAATGAATTTATGATTCATTCAGATCTAACATTAATATTATAAAAATAGTTGTAAATTCCTGCTTTTGCCTTTCGTAATTTTGAATTTGATCTTTTAATATACAATAGTAAGTTGATAAATTTTAGAATGAGTCATGAATGCAGAATTCCTATAAATATACTTCAAAGTTTATTTTGAATTTTACTTTAATCAACATTCCTAATTAAGCTTTATAAATTATTTTATTATAAATTTTATTTTTGTTACCTTATGTATATAACTACAAGATTTTTAATATTAAAATAAACATAATATAGTGGCATCAAAATCATCTACATATTTTATTTATCAAAATTATTTACTATTCTAATATTTACCTTAATAAATTATACTAATTTTGTTATTCTTATCTGAGTTGTTATTCAAGTTCATCTTTATCCATTTAGGAATTGAATTATTCACTATACTTTTATTTTTAATTATTCTAAAGAAATAGTTATAATTGGTTATTCAGTTTCTATCTTGCTAATTGCATTTTGGAAATCTGCTCACATCTAATCCCCTTCTGAATTTAAACAATCTATCTTAGTAGATCAAGTTAACCATCGTAATCTATAATTTATTTGATAAATGAACCTTTATTAGACTCTTAAAGCACTCCATGTCTTCTAAATTTATTTAGTATGGCTTTCGCTGTTGAAAAGTTTATCTTACAAATTTAAGCAGAAGCCCTTATGGTTCTTTTATCACATAAAACAAGTCTAAGAAATGTTATTCTGGAGGCAAACTTCTCTTATTTCTTTTAAGAGTTTTGTTTTCTACTAAGATTCTCGATATTTTAGCTATTATGCATATCCATTTAAAAATATTAATTTAGAGTAAATCCACTAAGTTAGAAATATATATATAAATTGAAATCATTGCTATTGCCGGATAATAAATACTAACACGGAAGTGCTCTACGATACTCATGTCCAAAATCAGTTTTTAATAAGTCACCATTATAAAATCCAGAATTTTATATTAATGATTAAAATATATTTTAACTTAGAATTACTGGTGCAATTAATACTAAAGGTGTATTTGGGTCCTTTTGTGTGTAATTCTTTTTCAAATACATTATTAGAGATAGTTCATCATTGAAGATTGATATGATAGCTAATCTAAGATGCACCAATATTATGAGATTGTAATTATTTTTAGATAAAATATATAATGGTATGATAAATAAGAAGTTGGAGTCTTTACAATATTTTAAGTCTGCCATATTATAATATTTTAAATCTTTATAAATTGAATATCAAATTATGTCATCTATTTTTTTATAGTTAATCCTCCAAATTTTAAACGTAAAGTTCATTTTTCTTCAATTTTTATTATAAAATCTTGACTTCTCCCATCAAGTTTCTTATCTATTAATCAGCGGATTTGTCTCTCTAAAATATATATATAATTATCATACCATAGAGTCAAAGTCCTACATAATGAGCTATCTTATTTTTGCTTCTTATTCGTTCAATTAAAACTTCTATTACTGATTAGCAGTTTACAGTTCAGATATGAGAATTTAGTTTTTCGTGCTTCCTATTGTTAAATTCTAAATCTCGTTTTCCAATTATCTTATTTTGTCTCCTTTTTAATTAATCTCATATTTCAATTATTAGTTTTCTTAATTGATAGAATTGACTAATAAATTAAACTGAGCCTTCTATTCATTTGTTAACTGTTAGTATTGCTCTGTTAGTTGTTATTCAGTCCTTTTTCGTATGTCTTCCATTTATTAATTTACCTAATTTTTCAAAATTATATTTTATTATTCCATATTATAAGATTATATTTATTCTGATTTTAATTGATCCTGTAATGTTTAACATTCCTGTTATTTTTTCTAAAATTGTATATTCATCAAATTAATTTCCTTTTCAAATCGAACTTATAATTATAATAACTCCTCGCTTAATTATTTACACTTATTATCCAATTACAAGTAAGCTTATTGTTTATCATTATATTAATTTCTTGATTTTTGCAATTCTTCTTTCAATTTATCAGTGTCATTATTATATTATCCTTTTAAATCATTGTAATTTTATGTTAATTTGTCTAGTTGTTAATTTAATAGTTGTTTATCTTAATTTAAAAGAGTATTCTAAAGGACTTTTTAATCGATCTAATCTTGCAAGTTTTTGATCTAATCATCTTGTATAGCACTGTGTTGATTATTTAAATGAGCTTCTTGGTCATATCTTCTCTGAATAGCTATTAATTGGTCATTTGTTGCTTTGATTTTAGCTTCTAATTCTGCTAACAATTAATTTCTATCATTGAGTTATTATTAAAACCATTAAACTTCCTTACTTTATTAAGTTTCCAATTTATTCAACTCTTGTTAATATCTAAGCTTCTAAATTGAAATTTCTTCTTATAATTGTAAATAAGAATTTTATAATTGCTATTTCTCTTCAAGGAGTTAATTAAATTATTATGTCTTATCGTCTAATGACCTCTAGGTTCTACTAATTTAGTCCTATAAATCCTTTATCGTATTATTAAAATTGTATGTGTCTTGATCTAATTTTTATTATAATGAAAATATTTTGTTCTCTAATTCCCTTTTCTACTTATCCTATTCTAAAATTTTAAGCTCCTTCTCTGTGATTTGTTATTGAAGAGTTGTACTATCTCTTAAATACTTAGATTCCCCGTTTTTCAATTATTATTACAATTAAAATGACAAAGCATTCGTTTCCAATTGAAGTTTTTCGTACATCATAGATAATTAAGCTTTCTCATTTTGTACTTACTCTAATAGTTTTGATTAAAGATCCAATTAATCCTTAAATCTATTACTTTAGTCTTTTGTATCTTAAACTTCTGTTCTTAATTAAAGTGTGTCTTAATCATATTTTCTCTACAATTAATACAAATATTCTTGAGTTTACTTTAATTTCTACTCAGTAGTCATAAGAGCTGATTCTTTATTTGTTAAATTAAGGGAGAGAACCTGACTTTCTTTAGAATATCTCAATTCATTTTCCGATTGTTCTTGTTTATAAGTTAAGGATTGTGAATTAATCAGATTTCTAAGGGAATCGATTTCTTTTTATTAGGCCAATTTATTTTAGTTTAATTCATTAATATTAATCACTTGTTTATCACATTAGATCTATAATTTTGCTAATCTATCTTATAAATCTAATATATGTTAATTTGTTGTATCGATTTATAAACTGTTTTTTTGTTTTAATTAGTTTTACAAATCATCAATTTTATTTTATAATTGCTTGATAGTTTGATTTGCAGAACTGAAATCAGATTAAAGTGATTCTCTTTGAACTACAGATCTTGTAATTTCTCTATCAAAATCTAATGGTTTCTATTGCAGCTATTTTACTGCAGCTTGAAGATCCAATACTTATTATTTTAATTTTCTCTTTTCATCGTCTTCTTAAAACGATTAATTTAATCTATCCACATTTATTTCTTGTTGACTTTAAGTCAAAGATCGATCTAATTAGTATTGAATATCCTCTATCTTTTTCTATTTTAATGTGCTGTCTCTCTCAAAAATTCTTTAATCTATTATTGGGCTTAATTTAGTTAGCTTTGCAATTAATCTCTCTCCCTTTGTAAATTTGCTATTTGTATTTAAGGATCCTGGTCTTGTTAGCCATTCTGTTTGGGCTTCTATGAGGTTCTAACACTCATCTAGATATTCAATAATTAAATTTTATTTATATATAATTCAATAATTTGTATATCTTATGAACTAAGTTGCTGTAAATGTAATTTTTATATGCTATTGTTTCTAGAATTATAACTCAAAATATACAAATTCATTTTATGTAATCTTCAATTCTAATTATCTAGTCAGAGCTAATATGTTTAATTATCTCTATATTATTTTTACTTTTTTCAAAATCTTAGCTTTAAAGCTGTTTTATTTAAAACTCTTATAGAGGTAGCTCTAAAAGTTAAATTTATTCCGATTTTGTATCAATTTTCCCAACTAAATTGAATTTCTTCTGATTTACTTATTGAAAAATTATTAATCTCTAAGATGAAGTAAAAGTGATTCCAATAAGACTCAGTAATATTAATCAATTTTATTAGAACAACTAACAAATTATAATCACTTTTATTATAGATTATTGATTGTAGGAATTGTGAGATTGAAATCTCAAATTTTATCTCTTCCGAACATAGATTGTCTCTATAAATGAAAATTAAACTATTTATTGAATTTATTAATCCTTAAATTTTTATTCAATTCATAATTTAATCAAATTTTTTTTGATTAATCTTATCACTTTTTTGACTAAATACTCATTAATATTTTAGCTGTTCTTATCGTAAAATCTAAGATATATAAGTTAATTAGTTGTAGTTCATCAGACTTTTTTCTCTGTGTTTATTATACGTTTATTTATTTATAAGTTCTTTTAGCTTATAATAGGTAGTATATTAGAATGATTAATTGCAAAATTGTTTCTAATACTATCTCAAGATTAAAGAATGAATGTATTGATAATATTTAGATTTTTGTAGTTTATGCTAAATAAATTATTATTTAATCAATTTGAAGTTTCAAAGTTTAATTATTAAGTATTTTGTAATTAAATAAAAATTGTAATATTAACATTGTTTGAAATATAGATCAATATTTATCATATTTATCAATTTGGGACCGCCTAAATGACTTTTTCTTGGCCTTTGTTGCAAAACTATGATTTTATTATTGTTAATATTAATATACTATAATGATTTATTTGGTTTCACTAGATTCTTAAAAGGAATTAAATAGCTCTCTGGTTATACATTTCTGTTTGACTTCTAATATTTATTAATCAGCTCATCAAGATTAAGGAATTTGGTATGGTATTTAGTATGTGTTTATATGATGATGGACATAAGTTCTCTATACAATTTTTTTTTTGACATTTTAATATTTTTAAGTCGATATGTAAAGTATAATGAAGAGAAAATGGGTTAAAATTTATGTCTTCCATAACTACATTCAAATTAACCAGCATAATCTTTTGAGATCCCTAGCAACTTTTATGTCAGATCAATTACCACGTGCTTAAGAGTTGTCATTTATGGTAAGAAATTATAATTTTAAATTAGGAAATTAATAAAATCTTGATAAGATAACTAATAAATATTAATTTAAAACTCTGTTAATATTCTAAAATCTAACATTTACTTAAAAATGTGTTTATCTGAATAAGAAGGAATTAAGATTTTTCAGAAATTTTGTTTTCTGTATATGGTTTTATATATTGAAAGAATTTGTAATTATGTGATTTGATATAAGAATGCTAATTTTATTTTATTATGGTTTATATTTTTTTGCTACAATCTAAATTTATCATAATGTCTGATATGCTAAATATTCATTGATTTACCAATATTTCTAAAATCCATTAAGAGAATCATACGGATTTAGAAATACAAAAATAATAAAATAAATGTGATTATTAAGGTGATTATATTCCATATGAAATAAGCTCCATACATATGTAAATTAAATAATACTGAAATTAAAAGAGCCGACTGTATTACATTTTAAAATATGAAAATTCAATCTTTTCTGAGTTCTTAACAAATAAAGTAAATTTATAAAGTTTCCTAAATTTGAGAAAAAGCAATTGAAAATTCTTATGAAAATAAATGGTAATTTATTTCTCAAAAGATAAATAATTTTGTTTTAATTAATCCAGTTGCACAGATTTTCTTTTCAGTTCTGATTAATACATTTAAATTCTAGGACATTTTTTATTTTTTGTATAAGAAAAATACTCCTAAATAACTTCTTTTTTTAAATATATTTTGTCCTAATTAATATTAAAGATTTCATTTTCATTAACATTTTGGAATTTCTAATTTTAAACAAAACCTATTGTTCGCTAATATTTCTTTGATGAAATTGCGAGATTTTATATTAGAAAATAAAAAATGATTATTATATGACAAAAATATTTATATATTTTACATCATTATTATTCAGCAGCTCTTCTTTCAGCCAATCTTTCTAATTCATTGACTAAGACTAATTCTTATCTTCTTCCTGCAGTGACGGTTTCATATTCAACATCGAAGCTGTGGCACAAATCAGCAGCATCATCCCACAAAGTTTAGTTTCTGGATCTTTTATTAGTAGCGGCTTAAGCAACTGCAGTTTAAGTGGAAATAGTTCCTTGTAAGTTTTCAGCCTTGCTGCTTAAATGAGTCTTGGCCTCATCAAGTCTTGTTTATGAAGCAAGATAAAGATCTTTTTATTAACTGAAAAGGCCCAAAGCAGTAGTGTTTTCAGCAGTGTATGAGGCCCATGCTTCTTCAACGTTGCTTCTCAAGGTTTACAACAATTAAACGAGTCTTTCAGCTGCACTAGTTGAATCTTCTTCTTATGTAATTTAAGCTAAGGCACCAATAGCTTACATGAATGCCTTGTTCATTTTGGTAGCAATAGCTGATTTCATTAATTTAGTTGTCATTTCAGCGACTTGGACTAAAGATGCTTGTCCTTTAGCAAGAGCAGTTGCAAGATCAATGGAATCATCAATAGCATTAATGGCATCGTTGAAGGTAACAGCTCCTCTGTTATATGATTAGGTGTCTTCCTTTCTGGCATCATTAATCAAAGTGATGTGTAGGGAGACTGTGTTCAAAATGTTTTCAGTTTCTCCGAGGGTTGCTTGAGTTTTTTTCAATAAGATGGTTGAAGTCTTTAAAATTCCGTTGGCAATTTTGAGTGTGCCATTGGCGTCTTCAACTTCAGCTCTTCTGTAAGCAATTTCACTGTCACATTCAGTTTTTTAAGCATTGTAGACATCATCATGTCCACTTTGTTCTTCTGCAACTGCAGATTTGAATGAGTTAAGAACTCCCTTGATTGAATCTAATGGTGAGTGAGCCTTGATCTTGTTTTCAACTTCAACCATAATGTTCATGATGCTTCTCTTACCACCATATTAAAGTGGATGTTTTGACATCATTGTAGCATTGCTTATGGCTAAGACAACCAAGATTGTGAATGCGATTTTCATATTTTAATAATTGATTTATACTTTTTTATTTCAGTTCCCTTTATACCACAACATTTCCCCTATTAAAAACGGATTGTAGTGTAAAAAATAATAATTAATTTTTCAAAAACGTGTAATATTTTAATATATTTAATTTAAATATTTTTTTTATCCATTTATTTTTAATAACTTGGTTATGAACGATTATTTAATATTTATTTAACATATTAATAGTCGGATGCACATTTTAGAAAATATTAGAAAATTTTAGAATTTTTTACATGAACTCTGCCAACTCATAATCGGTACTCCTCTTAAGAGAAAACATTATAATAATCTAGATGTAATTAAGATGATCTTTTTGGGTATTGGTGATTTTGTTATTTTATTTTAATTTGTGAAATTTCTTGAAAATTACACATAGTTTTTGTTTATATATTTGATATAAAATATATTCAAGGTTATAGCAAAATATTAATATAAAAGCATGATTTTATTTTATGCAAATGAATGGGATTATAAAAATTGAAATATTATAGCAGTTAGTCTATGCCTATTGAGATGGTTAAGGAATACAATCAATTTTCATGATTTATTAAATGCATTATAAAACTCAATTCTCAGCCCTTAGATATTTTCTAGGCATTTCATCATGCATTCCTTCTCAAATGGAGTCAGTATCTTTTCCATGTATGATTTTACACATTAATTATAACATAAGTCGGCCATATATAATTTGACAGAAATTTTATCGTCTTGATTATTCATTTATATTATTTTTTTTTTTATCATGAAAAAAGCAACCGATGGGATCAATTGTATTTTTATTATTCGCATTCTTAGATGAAAATGAGTACATAGCCAACCAGGAAGATAAATTACTTGCAAAGATGAGAAAGAAACAGGTATGATAATCTCTAATAGAGGAACGAGAATTGGAGCAATTAAAATTGTATGAGCAATAACAAACAGAACAAGAAAGAAGAAAATATTCTATCTTAGAATCAACACGTTCAAAATAACAATAAGTGGAATTAGCCTTAAAGGAGAAGAAATAAATGGTGAGTCTATTTCATTAAAATTATCATCTAGATAGAAATAAAAAGAAAAGAAAAAGAGAAGGAAAAATTACTTCAAGTACAAAAGATGGAATAAGAAAAACTAAAAGAATTGACAGAAAGGGAAATAAGCCGAGACTTGATTATATAGGAATTACATAGCAATAAAAACAGTCAAAAAAGCCCGATCGCAGATAAGGTTAAACCATCTCTAGTAAAAAAGTAAATTTAGTGTTTACGCAAGAATAGCTTAAGGAATAATAAATACATAATAAGAAGAAATTTTGATGAAGAAATTCTAATTGGATAAATTATAGAAGGAGCAGGAAGAGCAGATCAAAGATTTGAGAGAGAGAAAAGAATAATTATTGAAAGAATTAAAGTAAGCAAAAAAAAAGCAATTAAAAAAAGTAAAGTAAAGAAACGAAGAAGAAAAACATGCTTATTAACAAGAGAAGCAATAGAAAATAGATCAGTATTAGAAAAAGTTAGATGAGATTGAAATAACTTAGTAGGCTAAAATTGAATAAATTGAATAAAAAAAAAAGGAGAAAATGGAAAAACTAAAGAGAGTGATGGTTAATATATTATCTTTATATTGTTAGGAGAATTACAAAAAAATAATGGCTGAAAAGAACGATAAAGCTTAATTAAAAGTGTCTCAATTAGAGGAGAAAATCAACTAGATTTCAGAAAAAATGAAATTTACAGAAGAAAATATAGAAAAGATAGAAAAGGAGAAGTCAAGACATAGATAGAACGTATAAATTATTATAATATTGAGATAAAATCAAGAAATGGCAGTATTTAAAATAATAAATCCCAAACCTTTTAAGATAAAATTCGATAAAAAGAAGAAGAGCATCTAAAATCTATTACAGAAACTCAATCAATTTCTAAAATCAAATTGTAACAAGAAAAACAAAAAAAAGAAGAGCTGATACGAGATCATAAAAAGAAAGCCGAAAGCATCCTAAAAGAAATGGTGGACATTAAGAATAAGAAGCTAAAAGAGAAATTAAATAAAGCATAACAATTTAAGGATGAAAAAGAAAAATTATTTATGCAATAATAAAAACTAGCTAGAGAACTCGATCGTCAGAAGTAGAAATTACTGTTGCACAGTCCCAGATATAAAGCAGAAGAGAAGTGATTTATTATATTAGTTATATATTTGAAGAGTTTATTATTTATTAATATAATCATGTAATAATAATAATAACCTAGATAAAGAACAAAGGAGAGATTTGTTAGCGAAGCAATGAATTTAGTTAAATTATGGAGGTATTTTCATTCATTCATATGTAGATAAGTTTATTAAACTGAAACCAAATTTGTGGATGGCAGATCTGTTCGAATCACATTAGATTAGGCTGCAGAGATTGTTGGCTGTCCACGAAAAACTTTAGAGGATTATTACTATTTATTAAGGAAGGCAGAAACCTTGGGTAGATTTTTTAATCTAAATTTAAGTTAATTTAGAGGAAAAGAAAAATGAAAAGATGGGTTACATTAGAAAATTATGTAGGGAGAATAAAAAATACAAATAATAGTTAAAATAGGAGGAAGAATGTTACCAACTTAATTAATTTTAATTTGATGATAACATCCATGATGATTGAATTAAAAATCAATTGCATTTTTCTAATATTTAATAGGAATATTATATAATCTCATTTCTGTTTTTTTTATTTACCAATAGACTAAATATCAACAAATGGAGATGCTGGTTTCACATCAACTCTACCCAAAGTTCTGTTTATTTCAGCTATTTGTGGCAAAGCTTGAACTTACTTAAACCTATTAATAAAGAATTATTATATAAAATTTATACCATCTAAAGAAATGAACATACTTTCCAGCTTTTTGTTCGTCATTCCATGTAGACACTACGTCATATGTATGAATGTATAGAAATAAATCTGCTAGGGTCACATGATTAGTAGCGAAAAATACTCTGCTTTCTAAATGTTTCAGGAAAGCCTAAATTTAACGCTATTAGTACTTCGACTAAATCTTCTCCTTATATCTTTCTTTGTGCTTCGAAGACTTATAACACCTATCATTTTATCATCAAATTGTACTTGCCCCAATGTTTAATTATCTGCGCCAATGAGAATTCTTTCTGTAAATGAAATATTAGTTAAGTATCTATATTGCTATTTTTTATAATTACTGTGCAATGGAGAATACATTTGTTAAAATTTAGGCATCCTCTGTTACCAATGATGGAATGGAAGGAATTTTGATTATGCCTTCTTCATTTAATTTTAATGCTTGATTTGATAGCGCCACAAGTTTTACTCTTGCTGTTGAAACCAATCTAGTGTAATGTGCCAAGAGAGTTAGGAATTATGAATTTAAATCTGTTGATAAGAACAACTCCATTAATTAATATAATTTATATCTTTATTTTAAACATAATTCAAAGTACTTCATCAAATATTCCTGCATTCAATATTATATTATTTATTTGATCAATTTGAATGATATAAATAACCTGCTATATATTGTAATAACTTATTAATTAGATGGCAATAATTCTATTAAATATTTAGTAAATGAAAAAGAAAATTAAATGTGAATGCTAAACATAATTTAAAAATGAAATTACCTATTTAATGGAATTACATGGCATTCACACTGCTTTCACTAATAATTCTAATAATGGATATTATTCTTATGGCGAATTAAACTTTAAAACCTGTGTGGGGCTCATTCGTCATGATTGTTGCAATTGGGATTATTCTTTATTTGCTCTATTTAGGTTATTAAGGGTATCGTATCGATTCAATACAAAAGTTAGTTTTAATAGGTCCAAGTGGAGTTGGTAAGACACTTACATATAATTATTTATAATGCACAAACATTTCTTCATATTAAGGGTTTACAATTGGAACCTCTGAAGAACTCTGTGTTGTTGACACTCCTGATTTTGATCTAGAATCCACCATAGAAATCAGAGAGAAAAGAATCACATAATTTTAAGAGTTCTTTATAAAAAATCAAAATTCTATTAGAGCATTTTTAGTGGTGGTTAATTTTGAAAGGACAGATTTAATGAAAGCAAAGATCTTAAAAACTATCAAGTATTTGAATAAGCTTAATTCTAATCTTTTTTTATTGGTTACAAACTTTGAATTGAGTGAAAACTAAATTGAAGATGAAGAGAGTCTAAAAAAAGCATTTGGTTTCTTTCATTTTGAAAAAATTTTATTTCATGATAAGGAAATAAATAATACAGGGTTGAAATAGAAATTATTGTAAATAATGAATACAACCCCTCAAAAAGAAATAAATTTGAAAGATACGATTTTTGAAAAATATGGGGATACGCAAGATTAGTAAATTCTTTAATAAATTACTAATTAAGTGAATTAAAAACAGTAATTAATTTGAATTATTTTAGAAATCTTAAAGACAACTTATTGAGAATTTGATTTATTATTAATATCCTAAACAGCATTGTTAATTATGATTAATTATATGCATAGAAAAATTTAAGCGAATAAAAACAATTAATACAAATCAACTTTACTATTCAGCAGCTCTTCTAGTGGCCAATCTTTCTAATTCATTTATTAAGACTAATTCTTATCTTCTTCCTGCAGTAACAGCTTCATATTCTACTTCAAAACTGTGGCATAAATCATTTGCATCCTCCAATAAGTTTTAATTTCTTGATCTTCTGTTTATGGCGGCTTAAGCAACAGCAGTTTATACTGAAATAACTCCTTCAGTTGATTCTAATTTAGCTACCAATCTTGATTTAGCTTTGTCTAATCTGTCTTAAGTTGTAGTGTACAACTCCTTTTGACCCATAAATTATTAAAGTGCTAATTAATTTTAAGTTGTATATTCAGTCCATGCAGTTTCAACAGCTCCTCTCAAAGTTTGGAGTAACTAAACAAGTCTTTCAGCAGCACTTGCATCATCCTCTTATGTGATAGCAGCCAAAGCAGCCATTGGTTATCTAAATTCTTAGATTAATTTGGTTGCCAAAGCTGATTTCAATAGTTTAGTTGAAAGTTCAGCTACTTAAGCTAAACTGACTTATCCCTTAGCTAAAGCGGTTGCCAAATCGATTGAATCATCAATAGCGTTGATTGCATCATTGAATGATACAGCAGCTCTATTGTAGGATTGAGTATCTTCTTTTCTGGCTGAATTAATCATTTCGATGTGTCTTGTTGCAGTGTTCAAAATCTCTTCAGTAGCATCAAGTGTTGCACTAGCCTTGCCTTTGATTATTTTGGCTGTTTTTAAAATGCCATTAGCACTTGTAAGTATGCTGTTGGCATCTTAAACTTCCTTTGATCTGTAATCGATTTCACTATCGCATTCTGTTTTTTAAGCATTATAAACTTCATCATGAATTCCTTATTCTGAAGCAACTTCTGACTTGAATGCATTCAAAATGCCTTTGATTGAGTCAAGTGGATTTCTGGCTTGGATTTTGCTTTCAACTTCTGTCATGATTGACATAATGTTTCTTTTATTTGAGTAGTTCAATGGATATTTTTAAACAAATCCTGCTTATGTTATCACTATAATAGCTAATATCCCAAATATTGCCTTCATTTAATATTAATTAATTGCATTGACCTATGATTAGAATTTGAAGCAACTTTCTTGAAAAACGGGGAAAACATCCCTTTGAATTAACGTAAAGCTTTGAATTAACGTAAGTGTTTATAATTAATTTAAATTCTATTGTACTAATAAAAATTTATCATTAAATGATTTAAAAACAATAACGAATTTTTAAATAATTTGTTAATTTCTATGGAGAATAATGAACTTATAAAAATTGATATCAAATATTTAAATTGCTTGAAATGGTTGTATATTAAACCTATTTATTTACTTTCTTGAGAAATATAAAGAATCTACTAATATAGGTCTTACAATATTTTCTGACTTTTATTAGATTGTTAAAATTAAACTATTTACCTTGTATTAGAATAGGAAAATCAGGAAAGATCATGTAAAACTGATTATTCAATAATCTAATAAAAATGATATCAATATTTAGAAATAAATATATAATTTATTTTTCAAATGAATTAATTATGTTAAGATTATTTTATAAGCTTCGGTAATTTCAATTTTCTACAACATAATTTGATCCTTACGTTGAATTAGGTCTCAATTCTTCAGCAACTATGTAAGAGATCAAGGATGCTTATATTAGATTGAGTAAACAATGTAAGAAATGTGATTATGCTTTAAGACCATCCTGATATTAATAAATAACATGATTCTCAAGAAAAGTTTAAAAGAATAGCTGAAGCTTACAATATTCTGAAGAAAACTAAATTTGAAGAGTAAATGAAAGAAGAGTTTAAATAATAATACTATTCTGCTTAATCGGAAGAATAATTATTTATGGATGTCTTTGGCTTCTATTTTCATGAAAAACCTCAAGAATACTATAAGCCTGAGAATGCACAAAAAAGACACTAGTATTAAGAAATGCTAAAAAAATTCAAGCGATAAAACAATTCATCCTAGGATAATCAATCAGAATCTCAATATCAAAAACGAGATTTCTCTGATATAAAGATCAATAGAAAATTTGAGGGTCATTAGGGGACTAAAACGAATCCATAGCAAATATACACATTGATTGCGATTTGTAGCATTGCAATGGGTGGCATTGCTTTTTATATAACAATGTTGAGAAAGGCCCCAGAGTTGTAAAAAGAAGTGATTAACAATTAATAAATTAGTATCTTAAGATAATAAACGTAATTAAGACATCAATAAGAAATAGATAATATTAAATAAATGTACTCAAATATAAATTAAACTATGTTACGATTCGATCCCAAGTGCAATTCTCTTGATATGCTATTCAATTATACAATATTTCCTGATCTAGAATTTTACTATGTAAGTCCAGAATTATTTTATTCTGATGAGAAATTCTTTTTAAAATCAAACCAATTTGAAAAAAATCCTATGAGAAAATCAAAATTAAATTACAGAATTACTCACGCAATAGAGGCAGAGAGAAGTTTATAGAGTATCTTTGTGCCTGTTAAAGAAGTCTTGAACTAAATAGAATTAAATGGAGAATATACACCTCCAGGTATCTTTATGCAATTTTATGGTTATCTGTATTTCAAAATCAGACGCAAACCTATTATTATAGAAAATTTAATAAAATCAAAAGAATATATATCTCTATTTGACCTTTATTTTCATTACTAAACTCCTTTACCCTACTACTATGATACCCTCAATGAATTTCAAATATTCAATGATGCAGGCAATACACTCAGTCATTGGGAAGGGAATGTTTATTTTAGTACTAAGTCATTAGACAGATTTTACTTAAAAGGGAATGTCAAGAATATATTTATGCAAAGACCTCTATAGGGTAGTGAAACAGAATAAATGTATATGTTGGCATGGGGAAATCATTTCGAACATTTTTAAACATGAATTCTTATTAAGATTGTTTTATTATAGCCAAATATCTATATGTTTTGTTTTAACTAAATTTTATTTTTGTTAAACGTGTTAAATTATAATCAATAACTTGTTGTATTCTTCAATAGTATCTTATATTCCTTTTATATTATTTTAATATAACTATTTTATTTGTTTTTTTAATAGATAAATTAGTTAATTAAAAAATCGAATAATAAAATCATTAATTAATTTAGTTGATTAAAGGAATATCTTAAAGAAATGAATTTTCGGAAAGTTATCCTGCTGATAAATAGTACCCACGTTTTGTATCCAAATGTGATCTACCTGTAAACAACTTTTAGCTGCTTACCTAAAGCAAACCTTAAAACTAATGGCTCATTATCGAATTATGATTATTAGTTTGATGGTTCGATTTAGATAAGATTAAAAGACTTGTCTTATTGGGAACACTGTCAATTAATTAAGTGGAGGGTTCTGATAAGACTTTCAACATACTAGAGTACTCTTATTGTAGTGTTGAGATCTGATTTTCCAATTGATCATATTCATTAATTGAAAATTGAAGATCTGATGAAAATGAGTTCTTATTTAGGAAATTCTCCCACAATCGATAGACCTTTTGCTTATAAATTAATTTGAGTGTTGGATCTCCTAATGACACCAATATACAGGTTGGAGATACATCAAAGTTAACAAGAATGAAGGAATCTTGCTTAGTAAATTTGATTCTCTTATTGCCCTTTTGTGTGTTTATAAATTTAAGAAGACAGTTAATAAACTGTTAATTTTTAGGTAAATTTAAGAGAGAAGCACAACTCCACATGCCAGTCACTAATTATTCTGAATTTAGTATAATTCTTTGTCTATCATCAAAACTTATAGTTCCAGATGTCATGTTGTATCGATTTTAAAATGCTTCATTCTGAATGTATTAAAATTAATGGTCTATAACTTAGAAATTGAGCTAAGGCCCATAAATACTAATTTGTCCATTTAAAACTAGCAATTATATGATGGAATTATTTAATTAAGCCTCATCATATACCACTGGAAATGTATTGCCTTTCACAATTTCATTACCATTAAAATTGACACTTCTAATCTTGGTTGCAGTCAATAATTCTTGAGCTAATTATTCTCCTATTGTTAATTAATCATAGCCTATCTTCCAATCCAGTTTTTAGAGATTTTGGATAAATTTGGCACCTTCCACATATTAATACATTCGTTAATTAATTAATTAAGAGATTTTTTAGCAATAGAATTCAAAAATAGTATATTATAACAATACAATTTAGAATTTACTAAATATGATTGATATCAATTCTTAATAGCTCTTGCATCTCTCCAGATCTTGCCTTGTGATTCAATGGCCTTAGGCAAAGTTACAAAAGTATTTCCAGTTCTATTAATGTAAAAATTTCCTTCTTAACTTATTTACTATAAACAAACACCCTAATTGTCACTATTCAATAAAAATAAACAATATTACAATATCTGAACAGTCTTCTAATTACTAGCCCCAATAATCCTATCTCCAGTTTCATTAAAAGATATTGTATAAACCTAACCTGGAAAATCTTATAACTCTGCAACAAAACTGCCATCAATCAAATTGTAGATTCTACCTGTATTATCGTTTGAGCCGGTGACAATTTATGTACCTAGAGCTTAGAATATAAAATCAATACCTTATTTATTAAAGGCCAAGTCTTTGATAAAATTTGTATGTCCCTACAGGTTAAAAAGAGGATTTCCTGGATTCCTTATATCCCAAACATTCGCATCACTAAAAATACTAAGATATTATTAAACTTGTCATGCGCCCCTGTTGCACACAAGTATCCAGACTAGGCAAATTTACATACTTCTATTCCTTTGGTGTGTTTTTATAATTTACAAATTATTTGGCCATCTTTTGGATCCCAAATCTTATCAATTTATAAATGAAGTATACAAGTGCATCATTTTCATAACTGGATGATAAAATTTTGTCTCCTTCTGCATTAAAGCTAAAACTTGTTGGTGTTTGCTGATGCTTTTCAAAGTCGAGGGTTAATTTTCCTGATAAAACATCCCAAATCTTGATCTTCATATTCTAACATCCCGTTGCGGCAATTGTTGATTATGGATTAAATCCTCCAATATATACAAAATGTAGATGGCCATTCAATTAATGCAGGCAATTTCCAGTCTCGAGGTCTATAATCTTTGCTTGATGATCTGCTGAACCTACTAATGCTTTATCACTTAAATTTTTAAATAAAATACTTAGTTCTATTCAAATCAAGGAGACCAATAAACTTCGTAAACAGATCGAAATTCCTTATAGTTCTTCCGGAGTCGGAATCTACATACACCAGCTTTTCATTATTCTCATACAATATCCTAGTTGAATAATTTAGTTGTTATACTTTTAACCATCGTCAGATATAACTAAAGATGTTGGGAATTCATAATGCAATTTAAAGACATTTCCAACTTAAAATGGTAAATTTCTAGGAAATTGAGTGGGCCTTTCTTCTTCCATGAATCTTTCTTATTAATAGATATTTTAATATATGTGTGATTTAATACTATTGTATTTTTATTTAATGAAGTATTTGATAGAAAATCATTATAGAAATAATTAATAAATATTGAGTATAGAATGTATAAATGATTAGATCAACCAGCAGTTCTTTCATTATTTAGACACCCTTGTTTGATCAAATGATTTTTCCATGTGTTTTTCTCCAATTTCAAATCTTAATGACACAAAGGACATCTCACTGTTGTATTATCATTTCTGCCTCTGCAATCCTCCAAATGTCTATGTTTTATAGAGTTTTTACTTGTCATAACCACTCAATAGAATAGCCTCTTTGCATTTGGGACATCTCTTAAACTTCCTCTTATGATCGCATTCACTCAACAAATGATTAGTTAATTCTGCTATCTCGATTACTTGTCCACATTATGAACATGTAACTAACATAGGACATTCTGACCAAAGATGCTTATCTATTTGATCTGAATCTCTGAAGGAGGGATCAACTCTATCGCAATAATCGCATTTGGCTGTATTATGTTAGTCATATTATTATTATTGTTATTATTATTATTATTATTTTTATTACTACTATGGTTTTTAATTCTATGTCTGATTCTGATTCCCCTTTTTGGCTCCTTAAGTTTCAATATTAGTTTGAATGATTGCTCTTTATTAATTGGCTTAAGGTTGATGATCATCAATATCCCCACCTCCATCGATTTTGTTAAAGAAATCTTCTAACACATCCAATTGGGCTTATCTTACATTTGTCAAAGATTGCTTAAGTCTATTCCCAGAAAACTTATACACCTCTACCAGCAGTAAGATGGCTTAAGTTCTAATGGGTTCATTCTAAAACAATGTAATAATAGAATACTTTATCATCCAACAATTTCACTGCAAAATCAACAATGGGTTAATATGGCATATTAGCATTATTGATTTCATATCTCTTCACTAGTTCTGTTAACATAGCCAATCTTCCGACGATATGCTTAGTAGAACTTTGCAGTTTTTATTTTCCAACAAAACCTTTAATTAAATGCTAGACACAAATAGCTGGACCAACAGATGGATGATCTGCCATCTATAAGAATGCATTCTCAGCTTATTCCTTTCTTTATTCTCCTAACTTTTCCATTAGTGATTATAAGATCCCATCAACATGTTCGTTGAATTCTGCACTTTTATTTATTTTTATTTTTGGATGTTTTGCAAGCAGAGATTGTAATACACTTTAAACTTCTAATTGAAACAGCTGCAACTTTATCACCCAAAGTATAATTTATAAGAAGCTATTGAACTCAAAAAGAAGATGGAAGGGATCCTATGAGTTGACTTAAGTTGGTCTACCAAATCTACTCTTCCAACCATTTTAATCCATCCTCTCTGGCTCCCCATTATTTACTGAATATTTTTTAACAGAATTCCTCTGTCAAAATTGGTATTAATGGTTCAGCTTTTTATAGACTCTCTCCTGTCAACGGCTCAGTTGTATCTTTAATTACAAATTCATCATACATTATTATTATTGCTATTTGTCATCATCAGGATATTGGTTATTATTTTGCTTTTTTAAGGCAGCAGGTACAATCATGTCTTCATGATGTTAATTCAATTCTTTTGCTACTCTTTTTTGCCTCATTTGTGATGGATCAGCTCTTTGTTCTTCAAATTACGATTATGAAATCATTTCTTCTCCTTATATTGGCATCTATGGTGGAGGAGCTTAATAAGGAGGAACAAAAGCCATTTAAGACTAAACAGGGGGTGGCTAATATTATTATTATTATTAATAGTATTATTATTGTTATTACTATTACTATTAGAATTATTATTATGGCTAATAAACAGGCTATTGATATTACTAAATTATTTTGTAATATTACTGCACTATCTGGTCTTCGTATCATTGAATCTGGAGCTACGGCATTCCTTAACTTCTCAATTTCCTACTTGATAATGCTAGCTGAATCATAGTCTTCATTCTATATTGCCACTGCCTTTCTCTCTTCCAATGTTCTTAATTGAACTCCTATCTATTTTAACCTTTCTATAGCCTCTTTAATCCTTTTGGCTTCCATGAAATCTTCTCTTGAGACAGCTATTCATTTTATTTTGGAAATATACCTTTGTCCTTGGCCTCCTCAAGCATTCGTAGTCTTTCAAGAGTATTTTGATCGAATTATGTTTCAAATTAAATTTCATTATAAAATTCTTTCTATTTCATCTATCCATATCCAGGAGGGGAATCAAGGGGTTCACCAAAGACTGACAAAGCAATAACACCAATTTGGTTGAAAAGATTAAATTTGTTCACGAAGCATTTTTGAAATACAAATTTCATGAATAAACATGGTGTGTCTATATATACACTTTTTAATTCTCTTGCCTGGTATCCTCCTCTCTCATTGGAATCCAGGGATAAATACCCCAATTTCTTATATTTGATTTGATTATATTGTGGAGGTATATTCTTATCTGGCATGTGAACATAAAGTTCAATCTAAACCAATTTGAATATATTATACCTTTGTAGAGATCTTGCAATGATGAGACAAGAATTGAACCTGTCTAACTCTTGCTGCACTAACAAATTAAATTGCTATTTCTTGGGGATATTCACAATATTTGGGTGCTTGCCAACCTCTGCTTTATGGTGATTGCGTGAGTAATTCAGTCACAGGATAGTCTTAATCTTCACCTGAACAATACACAATCCTATATTTCAATTTAGAAACTCCTTTCATAAAATAATATATTTATTGAAAATAAATTAAGTTCAACTATCAAAAATACTTTTCATGTATTCTTCAGAAGACATCTATTATGATGATTGTATATTTTTTCGAATATCTAAATTGAAATGTTAGATTTTTAATTCATCTATAGTTTCTTTGCTTTAATTTCTTAAATATGCTTATAATATTTCTTTTATAAATTTTATTATTATTATTATTGTTAATTTTAAACTTCTACATCCTTACTTGTTTATACACGCATATTTAAAAGTTTGTTATCACATAAAGATATATTTTCTTATAAGATTCATCCAATTTAGTTAATGCATAATATGTGTGATTATTTATAATTAAAGAATTAAATTTAACTCTTTCTTCAAATCTCTGATCTCCGTGGGTGTTTTTTGGATAGAGAAATTATTCAATATGTTTTGATATTGGTGTGTAATTAATTTTATCAATCTAGTAGAGAGATTCAAATTCATTCATTTGAGTGATTGGGAAGTTCAACAAATATGAAAGGATTCCTTTGATGATACCAAAATGACATCAAAATCTGTCACTATAAATTTTAACAATAATAATAATAATATTTTTACATATATATCAGATATCAAGTTATTTTATTTTATTTCTTATTTCAATATAATGGCCATAGGTTAATCGGACAGGTTTGCCATCAGCAATTTATTCAATTTTTGAATCCACAGCAAATTCATAAGGATCCTCGAAACATTCTTAAATGAGAGAAGCCAACTAAAAGTAAGTGATCAAATAGTCAAGTAGAATTACACCACCTTCAATATCCATGGGCAACAATAGTTAAGTGTCCTGAATCACTATTTTGGATTCTATCGAATATTCGATTTCCTTAATAGCACATCTTAAGATAGAGTTTAAAATGATATAGAATGATTCATATTCAGTGAAGTTGTCGTCAAAAACAGCATCAAATTTCTTATCAACCACCAATAATTATTTTTGATCTGGATTTTACAATGACAACCAAACAGTATTGAATTATAGAGTGTATTTCTGATTATATTGATGGATAGCTGCACATAACTTGGTATATTAAGGATTCTGCATATATTATTAGAACTTTTCCAATCCAAGTGTATTTTGTCCGACCATCAATTCATTTAAACAATTCATCTTAATCATGATGTTCTTGTTCACTAAGAACATAAGCTTCTCCCTTAAATAAGGAGTTTAAACGAAACGATGCTTATCCATTAGAGCAGAAACCCTATACAAGTATCTACAGAAATTTAACTAAGCCAGAATAATGTAATCATTCTTCTTAGATTCGCTCCAACAGTCTTCCTCCCTCTAACTTGAATACTCTTGCTGCATCTATTGGCTTATTTAGGATTCCTTCCTTGACTCTTAGACTCTTTTGATTGATTTCAGTGGTTACTACATTATTGATTATTGTGATTGTTTAACAATGACAGCATTCTCTTTGCCATAATTTGATTCTCTAGGTTGAAGTGATATGGATTGTTTGTTCTGAGTATCTCCCAAGGGAGTTGCAGCATTATTATTCTAAAGGAGATGAGGATGATTGTGTTGTTGATTACTCCTAAACATACTAGAGAACCCATTGCCTTTAATAGGCTAGAGTTCTTGTTTAGACAACCAAATATGGTTTTCCAATTCCTCCACAGTGGCTCTTCTGCTTTCATCTACTATCAAACATCTGTAAATAAAATCCTTGCATTCATCTGATATGTGACCTGGGAATTGCACTGGAACAGTGGCCATCCTTTAAGCTAATTCTCTCTCACTCCCTGCTTACCAGGGCACTTACCCAAATAATAATTCGTAAAGACTTACACCCAAGGCCCAGATGTCCGATTTTTCAGAATATCTGTTTTTGAATGCTTGGGGACTCATATACAGGGGGGATCCAACATTGACATTGGGCATTGTGGCCGCAGTTTGAGGAGTGGTAGCGAATCCAAAGTCTGCTATTTTAGGAACAGACCCCTTGAGTAGGATGTTGGCGGGTTTGAGATCTCTATGAACAATGCCTAATTAAATAGATTAATTGAGATACCCCGTTGTTTCATCTACTTGTAACCTTGGATGATGCCGTAGAATAGTTTTTGCATGTTCTGCTCTTTTTAGACTCCTGTTTTGGTTACCAGTTATCCCAAGTCTCCGGAGTCACAAAACTCGGTGATTAGATATGTATTGTTTTCAGTGTAGTACACCTTATATAATCTCATGATATTTGGAGAATTGAGTTGGGATAAGGCTTCGACTTCGGATCTCAGGAGTTGATAGTGCAAAGGAGTCTTGAGTCCTTTTTTATCAATCACCTTGATGGCGACAACCTCATGGGTTTCATCATTTCTGCCTTTGTAGACTATGGAACTAAAGCCCTTTCCGATGGCATCTGATAGGGCGTAACTGAAATTCTCTATAACTTTACGCGCGTTGCCTGGGATGGGTGTGGCAGGCATCTATCTTTATTGCTGTTAGACAAGCATAATAATTGTATATTTTTAATTTTTAATTTCAACGGTAAGTGAATAAATTAATTATTATCATGAAGGAAAAAATTCATTTCCTTTTATTGGTCAAATTGCCTTTTTTTTATTTTTCTCGTTTAATCTCATCGTAATCCAACAAGTCATCATCCTCCTTGATCAACTTCAAATACATTTTCACTTTGGTGCCATTGACTTCCACATATTGTTTATTCTGGAGTGGCTAAGATTGGGATGTTGATAATTTGCTTTGAGTTTACTGAGGTTGAAGCAGAAATTAGGATGGAATCATAGACACATTCAAAGGGGAGACCGGAGACATCATTTATTATTAGGACAACATGGGAGACATCTACATCTAAGGCATTTGCTGGAACTGTTGTTGCATCATCCAATAATTCCAAGGTTGGGGTGTCCTTTGAAAGTCCTATAAATAATTACATCATTGGATAGCAGAACTATTGTTGAAACGGTTACTATTGTTGCTGTTGTTATTTGCTTTTGAGCATGGCTAAATAATCTTAATTTGGGAAACTCATTAAAAAATATATATATAAAATATTTAATTTCAAATTTATTTTTACTTATATCTCATTCTAATCGCTTTTCTTAAGTAAGGTCATTTAAGATTGCAGTCCTATCCACATTTCAATCAATAAACAAAAGATAATCATCAAAATAATAACACACATTTTTAATAATATATTAATATTCCAATATATATATTTACAACATCACCTAATTATACATTCATCCACCAACTTTTGATTGGGTTCAACAGATGCTAGATTGCCCAAATTGCATTTATTCAATTCTGTCGCATGCCCAACTGCAGATTCATTCGACAAAATACAATGTTGGATTATGCAACTATTAAGATCGAATAAATAAATACTTAGAATTTATTACTACATTTTTCATAATAATGGAATTGCTGATTTTAACATGATCACCAATTGTACAATTTTTCCCAATGATTGATCTTTATATGGTTACCTTATTGCCAATCCTAGTACCCTCCCCAATGACTGAGTCAGGACTAATACGAGCATCTTGAGGGTATTGCAATTGGAAGTCTTGGACTCCTTGATAAAGGGGAATCCCTTTGTTTCCCTTAATCATACTTTCGAAATTGGCTTATTGATAATCTTTGATATTGTTGAGTCTTCTTGCATAATCTTAGGTAATGAAGACTTTAATTGAAAATTGCTATTATTTTCTTTCATGGAAAAGATTTTATTGCTTTTTGGCTATTAAATTTAGTAAATTCACATTCTTTTGATGTTTAACGATGTAGGGTAGGAATTCTTCTTTCCAATTTTAAATTTCTAATTTTTACTTATTGAGATTTAAGAACAATTCCAACACTTCATATTGACAAACGTAGATGTGAGTATCAAATAAATTGGTCATTATTTACACACTCTCACAACTCAGTAGCACATTTCGACTGACTGAAAGACTAGCTTAATCATCATCTTCTTGATTGATGATGTGTAATAAACTATGATCTGAGCCAATAAACATAATATCGAAGGATTCATTTAAATTGCAAGAGATGGGAGCCCTTCCTTATTTTTTATCTAGGTCTTCCTCTTTCATCATGCATGTAATGGTGGCTTTGGTTGAGTAATGAAAATCCAACAAATTTAAGATGTTGGCTCCTATCATGGTGTCACATGATAGAAGTATGAAATCCTTCTTTATTTTTTCACATGATTCCAACAAAGCAGATCCTGAATCAGAATCATCACTAACATAAACTACTTCTGCTCTTCTCTAAACTAAATCACCCACAGCTTGATGATTTCTAGTTATCAATAATAGAATGTCCTGTGGTCCAAATCCAACAGACTCTAAGACATCCAATTAGTAGAGAATCATTGGTTTATTGCAAATTGGCAAGAGACCTTTTGAGTAATCTTAACAGAGTGGGAAGAGCATGCTTCCTGCTTGTTGTCCCCCTCCGAGAATGATTGCTTGATATTTGACTTGCATTAATTATTATTATTAAAGAAATATATATAATTAATCTATTTTATATCAAATGATTAATAACTTATTTGGACAATTTCTCTACTTGCATTTTGCTAAATTTTAAACTTTCGCATAAGAATTAGTACTCAAACATAAATCATACTATTTAATTAATTAAGAGTGTTACAGCTGCTTTGCTTCTCTGGATCCCAGCAGGTGACAGATCATCCATGGCTGTTTGATAGCAATTAGAGATTTACTTCTTGCTAGAATAAATGATTCGATTCATTACCAAGTCTGATCTTTGCGACAAGCCTCTACTTCTGCACTGCAATATTGATTTAAACAGTCATTATGAGTTGTGGTATCTTGGATCGAAAGGACCAACGAAATGAGAGTCAGGAACAATACAAATCTGATCATTGTTATTTAAAAATAATAATATCTGAATAAAAACGCCTAGTGTTATCCTGATCATGCAATAATTTTCTCTAAGTTCTCAATTTCGATGTCGATGCCAATCAAATTGGTTTTGAGACAATGCCTTGCTGAACAGTCGTTAATGGCTCTGGCACCTTAGTGAGTTCGCATGCAATAATTGAACTAGCATAATGATTGAAATGGCTATACATCATCCAATGCGTGTTCAGTTCCCTTGTAGGCTTTGGAATCTTAGGCCTTTTTAACATTCTTTCTGAAGTCATTTGTGCACTTGGCTATATGTTATTGACAAGTCGAATCCTCCCTACATTATTTGATTTCATTATAGCAGAACGCCTGAACGCAATTGCCGCCTGCGTAGACTGTACAGATGAATGTGACAACAAAGATAATGACCAAAAGTCTCATATTTAAAATTAATTAAATAATATTCTAGAGAATTAGAATGATCATTAATAATTATTTGTTTTAACTTCTCTCCCGACTCTGATTATTACTTATTAAAATGATACGTATGTCATTGATATCATTAATAATAAATGCTTCCAAAGTTTATTAAGCTAAGAGCAAGCTTCTCCCTCTTGAACTTCAATTTCATATCCAACCTCCCACCTGAAGTAGAAGAATTGCGATCTCATGTCACTAAATTTGCTGCAGAGGAAGTAGCACCGTTAGCCGACAAGGCAGATCAAGAAGGCAAGTTTCCACCACACCTATGGAGAAAGATGGGAGATCTGGGATTATTGGGAGCCACAGTTGATCGTAATACTTAATTGAGATTATTTAGCTGCTTACGGTGGATCAGGATTATCCTATTCTGCTCATTGTATGATATTGGAAGAAATCAGCAGAGCCTCTGGTGGTATTGGATTGAGCTACTCTGCTCATAGTGCCTTGAATGTTGCTCAACTCCAAAGACATGGAAATGAAGCTTAGAAAAAGAAATACCTACCCAAATTGTGTTCAGGAGAGTGGGTTGGAGCTTTGGCTATGAGTGAACCCAATGCTGGATCAGATGTTGTATCTATGAAGACAACAGCCAAAAAAGTTGGTGATAAATATATTCTCAATGGAAGTAAGATGTGGATCACTAATGGACCTGTTGCAGATGTCATTGTGGTTTATGCCAAAACAGAACCTGAAAAGAAACAACATGGAATTACTGCTTTTATTGTAGAAGCAGGAATGAAAGGATTTTCAAGAGGCAAGAAATTAGATAAAATTGGAATGAAATGTTCTGATACAGCACCCATCTATTTTGACAACGTAGAAGTCCCTGCAGAAAATGTACTTGGAGAAGTCAATAAAGGAGTTTATGTTTTGATGAGTGGATTAGATTATGAGAGATTAGTTTTGGCTGCTGGACCTGTTGGGTTGATGCAAGCTGCTTTTGATATCTCAAGAGAATACTGCAACACTAGATAGTAGTTTGGAAAACCAATTGGACAATTCTAATTGATGTAAGGCAAATTGGCTGAGATGTACACTACTTTATAAGCCAGCAGAGCCATGCTTTATTCAGTTTCTCGTGCTGTCGATTCAGGAAACATAACTAATACAGTAATATACATTTATCTATTCCTAGGATTGTGCAGCATTGATTTATTATACTTCTGTGAATGCCACTTAAGTTGGATTGGAAGCTATCCAATGTCTAGGTGGAAATGGATATACCTAAGAATATCCAGTTGGAAGAATTATGAATGATGCCAAACTCTATGAAATAGGAGCAGGAACAACTGAAATTAGAAAGTGGTTGATTGGTAGACAATTGACTTAATGATCTTTAAATATAACATTGTTAAGAATTTATATATTATAAAATTTATTAATTTAATCTACTAGGTGCATATTAATATTAAGATATATCCTAAATAATAGTCCTCATTTAGATTCAAATTCTATTTAAATAGAGATTTCCATGTTAACTGTGTCACGATATATTTATTAATATACTAAAAAGGTAATAGTTAAAGATATAATGATTTATACATATTTAAAAGACCTTATAGGAATCGATTTCATAATTAGTAAAAAGAAATATTAATTTATAATTAAATTAATATTTATTACCAATGGTTTTAATTAATTTTTAGTGTATCTAATCCGAATAAAATAATAAAATCTTAAGGAAAATACTAGTTGTATGTAAATGAAATTTCAAAAAGGAATATTCTTAATTAACACCTTTATGTAATTTTTAAGGAATGAAATTTAAAAAAGTCGCAAAAACAAAGGTATTTTTAATAAATTATTTAAATAATACTCAGATAACCAAGAAAATCATTTAATAGTAATAAATTATAGACATATTTTAATCATACAGCCTTTATTCTGTCTTCCTCTAATTGTTAGTTACTTCCATTGCTCTAATTTGTATCTACTTATAAAGATATTTTGAGTACCATCTTTACTGGAACCACCATTTTATTCATTGTTGTTATCGGAACTTCTTGTTCCGTTGCTCATTGTATTTTGATTGGTCTTGTTGAACTTTTGAATGGAGTCTAAAATAATATTTGAGGTCTTAAACTTTGTGATTAATCATTAGGGGAAGTGCTGGTTAATCGAAATAACAGTTGGCACAATAAATCACTATAGGTTTGACGTTTGCTCTTTATCATACTAAATTCCAGAAATAAAGAGTGGTAGGACTCAAGTAGGGTGGATTGAGTGTTTTGGAACTAATAGCCATACAAAATGATACCTATTCGATTTGTTTACTAATGAAATTGGATTCTGTGTTGATGTTGTGTATTTCCTATTTCAAGGTTGTGTACTTTTCGAACAGTTCCTCTTAGATTTGCTTTACTATTTGGTTTTTCAGTTTGATGGACTTTTCCTTTTTGGGCTTGACTCCTCCGTTTCTCCTGGGGATATTGACTAACAGGTTCCTGAGATTAATGTGATTTGATTACTCCATATTCTTCCTAAAATAATAATGACTGAATTCATTTTGGTTGTTAACATTGCGAATTTTCTTGAATCCATACATATTTAATTATCTTATAAATGAACTGAAATTGTGATGTTTAAAATGGGTTGGGAGTACATCATTACTCAATTTGGTTTGGTCTTTAACAACAAATGCATTGCCTTTATCAGTGAATCCAATAATATCTTCATTCTCGGGATTCTAAAAGTTATTAAAAATCAATTGAATATATTTAATAATTCGAGAATTTAATTCCTAAAATCATCAAAAATTTAGATGATCAATTTAGGAATATTCGTAGATGTATAAATTGTTGTAATACCATTACGATATTGTAGGTTTTGAGTAAAAAGTTTGGCACCCCTTTTTTCATACTTTTTGCTTTCTTCTAAGACATTCCAAAGAGTTCCTAATATATATTTTGCAAATTAAAAAAATTATTAAAATATCTGATTATCTATGCGCCTTTTGCTCATATTAATATACAATAATAAAACAATAAGTTAAATTTGTCAAAAAGAGAACATAATATTCATGTTTTATCACTATTCTGACTAAAGTGAATATCTGTTAATAAATGATTTCTAGATATTCAAATTTCCCCAGAAATGAATCAAGAAGTAAGAAAAACGCACCGGAAATCTATTTAAACGATCAAAAATACCAATAAATGACCATAAGTCCTAATTTTTATATAATCTAACCAATTGCATAAACAAAATATTACGATTTATTATATTGATCAATTGGAACGGTTCTAATTTCATAGAATGATACAAAAATATAAAAAATAACAATTATCATAATACCACTCTTTCTAATAAAATTCATTCATTCTATTTTCAGTTGTATCAAAGAATGAATAGTAGTTAAGTAAATTTAATCAGAGCTTGCTTTTTTGTAAATGTGTTTTCAACCTAGATTCATTTAGAAATTGGTGTTATTAAAAATGCTATTATGGGATTCGAATTTGATTTATCTATAATTATATATAGCAATTAGATTTTGTTCCATTAATAAAGACACTCTCTTCATGATTTTATTTTACTCAATCTCTAAGTATTCTATGATAACAATTGAAAAATTGATATTCTATAAACCATAGCATTGTGTGGTTATACAATACTTACAATACTTGGCTGTCTAACACTATTAATTAAGCTATCATAAAATAAATTGTTTATTATGTTATTGATGAGAACTGTTTCTAGTGTAATATCGATATGGATAATGGAACGATATCAAAATATATTGATTATAATATTGCCTTTGCCAATATTTTAGTAGGGATTTCATGAACAGAGAGATATAAAATATTATCAAATTAAATTTGCACTTTATTAAAATCTCTCTAATTCATAACTTTTTTTAGAAAGTGGTAAATATAATTAGAAAATTCTAAACCTTAGCTTCTTATTGTTGTTAGGATTGTTTCTTTTCTAAATATTTAATTCTAAAATTTAAGCGGATTAAAGTCATCTCTTGAATATTTTATAAAAGATTGATCTTTAAATAGATTGATTTCTAGTTTGAAAGTGCTTTCAAGGTAATGTCTAAATATTTTCCAAAAATAATATCGAATAATCAATATTTTCTTGGTAGGAATTATATGCCATGAGTATAGAATGAGAAATTGAAGCTTCTATTATGCTCACAATATTACTATACTTTTTTATTCACTCTACATTCTGAGTATTAAGTGATATCATTCAAGAATAATGATAAGGCCAATATACTTTGATTAAATTTTAGCATTGAGTATTGCTTCTTATTGATGATATTATTAAAGAAGGCTGTTTATAGTTTTCAATTTTCAATAAACTACTAATTCAACATTCTTTTTTGATTTTTTTAGCATTTTAAATCAACTTCCTAAATGATCCACCTTTCTCTGTTGAAGTTTCCTAATTATTATTCAAATGAATGAATCAACCAAAGAAACTATTATCTTTTGATAACAACCAATTTAATCTTCTGTTACTATAGATTCATGAAGCGATTTTCAATTTCTATTTTTATAGAATAAGGAGATTCCTTAGAATTAGGAGCAGAGTTCTAAGAATAGAAGTATATTGATCTCTTGTTTAATAGAAAAGTTAGGAATAAAGTATTCAGATGATTTTTAGGAATGATGGTATTCTTAATTTTATATGTATACTTTTTATTATGGTATATGTATTGGTTAATCTATCTTGATTACATTATTAGTGATCATTGTCTAATCGTCTCTTATTTGGATTCAATAATTATATTCACTTTTTTTATTCATTATTGTATCATTTGTTCATGGACCAATTATTCGTATATTCAATATATTTGATATTGGAATCATTGAAACTCTCTTTATGCTTCTTATTTGTCTTTCAATGAGGAATGATTATTATTACAATATTCAACAATAAATTGTAAAACCATTCAATTTAAATTACTTTAATTTTCAATTTAACAAGGGCAAATAGTGAGTTCATATATCACAGTTTTCACTCTAAAAAGTCTTGAGTGCATTTTTTATTCTAGATTATATTTTTAATGAATTTAATGAAATTATCAATTTAAGTCTCAAAAGAGATAGTTATTGTGATTAGCATCCAATTGTAATCCTCTAGAAATAATTGACACAAATCAAATGCGTAATAATCTTGAATGTATTCTATCTCTAAATCTATGTTTCTTAGGGAATAATCATAATTTTTATATTATACAAAATACATATTATTGTAAATATTTACTCACAAATAAAAAAATTTGAGAATGATTAATACTTAGGATTTATAATAAAGTCATATAACTAATATTTGTATTTAATCACCTTAAAATTACACCATTTGCATTATTATTAATTATTATCCTATCATTATAACTTTCTGTGCATCTTAAGTTAAATTCTTGATAACGATAATATTTGATTATTTTACTTTAAAAGAGTATAAGCATTTTCGATTTTCTCAAAAGCATTCAAATCTTCTCCATTTAAATTATTATTCAATTAAGACTCACAGCAATTTTAGTACATATAAATTATCATCAAATCAAATGGATAAATGTATAACGCTTAATAATTAACAAAAGAACAATTAAGTATGTTCTATTTGGAGTTCAATAATGTATCATCACTTTCAGATTTATGAATTTAAGGATATTCTTGAAAAGTAGCATGGATGAATTTACATATAAAAATAATTAATATATTTTTAACTATTATTATATCATCTATTAACAAGAATGGGCTAATCTTCTAATAAACCACGAGCAGATTGACATTAGATTCGATATGTAAATATTTAATCTAATTCAATTTAAATTGATTACCAGGTTCTGTATTCATTTATGATGCCTTTAATTTAGAAACTATTTTCATATTCTGTTTCTTTAGGCTCAGTTGAATTTTCTATTGAATTTCAGTTAGCATTAATTGTTTGTTTAAATTGGCTGCTGATTTCTTATTTGTAAGTGTATTCGCATTGCCCATTTTCAGTTATTTAATTAAAATCTAATGTGCTTAATAAATTAATCTATAATTATTATTGTTTCAATTCTAAAATTACAACAAATAAACCAACTTAATTAAGAAAAGATTAAAAAATCATCCCATTTTATTAATTATTCTATTTTATATGAGATGGTAATATTATACAGATTTATTTAGAACTATAAGGCAAATAATATTTATAATTAATTAGTTGTAATAATTATTATAATATGACAATCACTTCAACTCAGGTTAAACTGATTTTAAGAAGGCTTCCAAATGTTACCCTTAATATTTGAGAAATTCGATTTCTTATTTTCTCTTTTATTCTTCAATCTAATTTCTTTCTTTAATTTTCTTATCCAAGGAATCCTTTTTATTAAGCAAATCAATCCTCTGAATACTAATACACATTGATACCTTTTCTTCCAGCTTCTATTTCCTCTGCTCTAATTAAACTATCTTTTCTTCTAATTCACTCTTGCCCATTTCTGCTTACAATTATTTTCTCATTCCAAATGTAACAGAGGAATTGTATAAAGTTTAATACGCTGCAATAGTCATTTTTAGCTCATCCCTCACTCTCATTAATAATAGTCCTATGTTAATCGGGATTATATATACCTCTCTCTGGACAATCAATTGTAACTTGTCTTATAATCTCATCGAAACATTAACTTAACAATTCTTCCCTTATGGGACAGATTCCAGTCTCTCTAAAATTATTCAATAAAACCCATAACTACCTAGCCTATCTTGCCAACAATCTCTCATCCAATAGTTTTTGCAAATTTCCAACATCTTCCCTTGTAGCTGGGACATGTGAAACATATTGAATATAATGTTTTCCATCATGATCCCATTCAATTGGAGGCAGGATCGCATTTAAGATATCCTAAAATTTCTGATCGCACTCCTTACTTCTGTATTAGGCTTAGATTCCAAAGGTGAGAGTTGTGCTTTCTTTTTGCCTTGCAAGGTCCTGGAGGCATCATTGGCATTGCTGACTTCAATGGGATTTTCGTATTTGACCAAAGACTCTCGAGGAGGTTTAACTTCTGTCATTTAATGATTAATATTTAAAATTATTATAACAATTTTATAAGTTTAAAAAAAACAAAGTGGGTATACAATGAATTGTAAGTGGAAAATTTTTTAAATTATTCTCATTACTTGATTTTCTTCTTATAAATTAGGAATCTATTCTAAATATTATTTTGAATTTGTGTAGCTATGGAATCCATTTAGATTAGCTTTTGGTTAGAGCTAAGTTCAGTTGCCTTCTTAGTATTTGAGGTAGATTTTTAGTGTTTCCCATCTTTTATGCTTTCGTTTGGTTGAGTCTGCAAAGGTTTTTGTTCTATTTTGAATGACAATCTCCCTTATCTCGAGGGTATTTTGGATATGGATGTATTGTTTTGGATACTGACACGTTCTGTGATAATAAATTTATTATATCCTTGAGGGATGACACTTTGTCTTTGATTAAACTCGTTGTCAGTTTTCTTGAAGAATTCTCCGATGTGAACTTGTCTTATTTACTTTGAAAGTGGCTATTGGTTGTTGAGTGACGGCTCTCGTTTTTGAATGGGTTCTTGCGATCTGGTCTTGCTTCGTCTAAGGAATAGACATGAAATGAATACATTTTTTTGGTGATAGAAATATTGTGTTGATTTTCCAAATGAGTTTTTCTTGGAGATTAGGGAATGTGCTCTAAAGTAACATCATTTTGTTGTTATTGAAAAGGTGATTTGCTTTTGAGTTTGATTTTAAATACATAAGGCGGATTGTCATTGTGTGATGGTGCCTATTAAATGAGTTGGGATGTTATTTTATTGTAGGTTTGCGATGAGAATTAGGATTGGGATTGAGGGTTTTTATTTTATAGCAGGTAATATGTGGTTGTTATTTGATTATGCTTGTTGCCTTGAATCATTTCAATGATTTCAGATTGAGTGGATAATCCAAATTGAACCATTTATTGAACAATGTCATTGTCGATCTTGAGGGGTTGAGGAATGGAATATTTGCCAGCAAATTTGATAAAGTCGTGGTTCTTGATTTCTTGTAAGGTAATTCTTTGTGCTGGATCCTTCATCAATAGCTTTTTGAGCAAATCAGCAGCCTACAAACTCACATACTTAGGCAAATGGAAATCAGAAGTCTTGATCTTTTCATATAATCTCTTGGTGTTTTGATCTTCGAAAGGGACGCATCTGAAAATTAATGAAAATGGGATTACCCACATATCATTGCATATAAAATGATCCCACTGGACCAAATATCAGTAAATAGTCCATCATAAGAAAGCCCTTGCAACATTTCAGGAGCAGCATAACATGGACTACCACAAGGGGTTTTCAATTTCTACCCAGTCTGATAAGTTGAGGATAATCCAAAATCAACTACTTTTAAGGTGCCTTCGTTGAGTAGTACATTTTCTGGTTTCAAATCCCGATGAACGATTTAATGCTCGTGAATATAAGTAACTGCATGTATTAATTGGATGAACAGTCTAGCAGCTTCACGTTCCTCAAGACGCTTGTTGCTTACGATATGGTCGAAGAGCTCTCCTCCACTAGCATACTCAGTAACAATGTATAACTTAGAGTCACTTTCGACAATCTACTATGCAAATGGCTTACTTCAAACAATTACACCACATTAGGGTGTCTCAATTTCCTCAGGATTGAAATTTCACGATGAATCCTAACATAATCTGACTCCTATTATTTGGTCTTGTCTATGATTTTTATAGCCACCTAAATCCCATTAAGGATAATGTTATTACCTTTTCACCTGTTAGTTTGTGAATCCCCAATTTAACCTTGCTGAATGTTCCTTGTCCCAAGTCTTTATCGATCGTGTATGATTTCATTAATTTAATGATTGATGTGAAAAGTGATAAGATTTTTTAGTTTCCTTGCATTCCTCTTGTACTTCAACGTCTTCAGAACACTAACAGCGAGTTCTGACTCAAGTGTGTCAATGTTATCTAATAGAATGAGTCCATATTCAAAGAGATAATCCATTAAAGAATGCTTAAACTATACAATTCATCCAAAGATGTCTCTCGATAGTATGCTGAATAAGTACAAAACGGATGAATTATGGATGGTTAAATTTAGTTGTAATCCATTGTTTTGGAATTAATTAATGTCCAATAACGTAGAAGGAATTAGAATTTAATTACTAGATATTGATTTGTCTCACAATCTTAAGAAATAGATAATTGTGCAGAATCTAGAATGACAAATACAAAAATTGTTATTATATGTCTACGATAACACACAAAATTTTATAAAATTATGAGTATTAATTATATTATAAATATATGGGTAATAATTGTACTGGTTAGTGTGCAGGATGTTATAAAAGAGACATAGAAATATTGGTAATTATCTTTAATTATATAATAGAAAAGCGAGCAACATTAAATTCAATCTGAAAAACCTCAGGAATCATAAAGCAGAAAAAGTTCAAAAAATTTTGTAGAAGATGCTATCCCATTAAGCAGTAAAAGTGAAATCAATACGAAACCCATTACAAAAAGTGTTGTAGATATTGTTGGAGACAAATCAAAGAAAACAAGGGCTGTTATTAAAATTTAATCTTGTTGGAAGGGTTATTCGGTGAGAAAAAAGCTTCCGATTATGAACCATATCAAAACCAGCTTTGAAACTGAAGGAAGCAAATCAGTTGGCAGTTACTTTGGAAGATTGAACAACGAATCAAAATTAAAAAAGTATAACAACACCAAATAATTTAAGATTAGCAAAGACCTACAATGGCTAATGGTTGGGAAAAGAAAGGCATGGCAAAGGAGTTCAAGTGTGGCCAGACGGAGCCCAATATGATGGTGAATGGGAACATAACAAAGCTCATGGCAAAGGATTATTTCGTCATGCTGACAAAATTGAATATGAAGGAGAGTGGAAGTGGAGCAAAGCATGTGGTTTCGGAGTGATGAGGTCTCCAAGCGGAGCCTATTACGAAGGCGAATGGGAAAATGATCTCCAACATGGATATGGAAAAGAGAAGTGGGCTGATGGTTCCTACTATGAAGGCCAATATTATAAAGGCTTGAAGCATGGAAAAGGGAAATATATCTGGAAGGATAATAGTTATTATGAAGGGGAGTGGCAAAATAATAAAATTCATGGAATGGGAGCTTATCATTGGATTGATGGGAGAGGCTACATAGGACAATGGAAAGATGGAATGATGAATGGACATGGAGAATATAGTTGGAGTGACGGTAGAAAGTATAATGGCGAATATCTAAATGATTAGAAGGATGGATATGGGGTGTATAAATGGGTTGATGGCAAAGAATTTAGAGGATAATGGTAGAAGGGAGTTTAGCATGGAGAAGGGGTTTATGTGACAGTGGATGGTAGAACTAAAAGAGGATTGTGGCATGAAGGTAAGTTAGTTTAATGGTTGAAATGATTGATTACTAAAAAATTAATTTTATAATTTAACGATTATGAGTTTATTAAGTGAGGACTGTGCACTCTAAAATATGAGTCAAGATTTTATTAAAAGGAAATATAGAGGCAAAGAAAATATGTCATTGAATCGCAACTCATCCAAGTTGAATTCTATCACCTAAGTAATTGAAAAATCACAAAAATTCCAGAGTCTCAAATTAGCAATCGGAGAATATTGGGGATAAGTCAAATTGAATAAAGCCAATGGAATAGGGTCATGTCATTTCAATGCTGGTGGATTCTATTATGGAGAATGGAAAAACAATACAATACATGGAGTTGGAATATATTTCTTTAATGTTGGTGGATATATTAAGGGAGAATTTTAAGATGGAAAGGCAGATGGAAATTGTGAATTGTGTTATCAAAATGGATAATTGTATCAGGGAAACTTCAAAGAGGGCAAGCAACAAGGAGTAGGACTCAAGACTAGTAAAAGAGGAAAAGAAGTGGTCTAACATAAAGATGGAGTTCGTATAAATGTGACTGAAGAACATCCATAGAAGGAAACTATTAATCAGTTATTAAAAATCTAATTGCCATAAATTTATACACATCATGATAGAACTGTTTATGGATTGCAATGCGATTTAACAGGTTTAGGCGTCATTTAGTATAAAAATGGCAGAGTAGATATGGGATGGTTCTAGAATGGTTTCTTAAATGGAAAGGGAAGGATAATTTTCAAAAGTGGAGATATCTATGATGGACAATTGAAAAATGGATATTTTTAAGGATAAGGTAATCAATTAAATAATTTTAAGGGTTTTACGTAAATTACAATTCTAAATAAATGACATAGGGTATTTTTGAGAAGAATTAAATTGTTTCCATTGAAAATCAGGTCAGTTAGTATCCTCCAAAAGGAGATGACGAATAAAGTGTTGTTGACCAAAGAATCAATATTAAAAATGTCCATCTCAAGAGCAGAGGATATATAAGTAATTAATATAGTTCTGAGAAAAAACCTACCAAAGTTAATAAGATCTAAAATTTAATTCAACATATGCTTAATCCAGTGAAACATACTCTTAAAAGTGAAAGTGTTTAGCATGAAGATGTCTTAGATAACCTGTTGTCTAGAGTCTAATCGCCTTTATAAAGAAAGAATTTAGAGTAGATCATTAATTAAGTTACATCACCATAACGAATTAGATGATTATTTCATTAATTTATTTTATTATAACTAACTAGTTAACAAATCAAAATTAGAAAATAAAAAATGTTTATTCATATTTTATCAAAAACTATCATTTATTTATCATACTTATGAGTCTTCCGTTAATTACTCTTATTATCTAAAATAACATATATAAATTTTTTAGCATTGATCTAGTATTAAACATAACTAAAGAATTAAGTGATTCTTGGAGTTTATCAAATAACATAAACCCCGATATTTCAAAACCATAAATAGAGGAATATTTCAATCTTAACTTGTTTGAAAATTGATTACATATTTATAACTTCTGCCATCTATGAATAAGATAAATATCTTCAAAAGAATGAGATTTAAGTTAAATAGATGATCTTTTGCAAATTAGAGAGATGAGTCAATTAATATCTCTTACTTGTAATAATTTCTCTTAATTTAATTAATATTTTACGATAAATTTATATTGTTGATTAATGTATTCATATCACCAAGTATACTCTGTTCTAAAATCGACCATTTTGCTGCGGTCACTACTAGGATATGACACTTATGAAACTGTGATTAATCTCTTTATTGCTTAAATATATTTTCTCTGAGTTTCATCATTTAAGATGTGAGCTATTTGTGAGCTTGAGATCTTTGATCTTCCAGTCCTTTCATGAATACCAACCATTGTCACACCCATAGCTAATAGATTTTAAGATATTTTTACGCCATGGAGCATTTCCAATTGCCAATTCCAGGTATTTATCATATGCTCTTACATATTCTTTGTAGACACAAAATCGAATAATAAGATATAGTGCATTCAAGATCTCTTCATTAATTGACTGAACCATTTTTGCCTTGTGCAATTAATCAGTTAGTGGTTTGATGTAATCAAGAGTTTATTTGTATGAATTAAATGCTTGAGATCCTTCTAAGCTCCTCTTAAGGGTTTCTGTATTAAATTTATCCAACAACTTTATGTTCCATTCTCTCAACATTTTCTTACACCACATATAGACATCTTCACATCTCGTCAAAAGTGATACTCCATCCCATAATTGTGATTCAATTTCTTCCTTTCCCTTGCATTGGAATACAGGAACAAGTGCGGTGCTTGGGTCTAGGTTTCTCTCCTTTATCTTATTAAGAAATGCCTTTATTTCCTCTTTATCTTCTCCTTCTAAAATTTTGATTTCTAATTCCTTTTGTTTATTTTCTTTCTTTTCTTAAACAAATTCCATTAATCTCTTGTATCTCTACCAGTCACTCTCTCCAAAATAAGTAATTGGCTCTCCCAAATCTCTAAGTCTTTTTTGTACTTCCTTTTTCTCAATGGGAGGGAGATCTTAAGACATTTAGATTTCATCTTATTAAATTTTATCTTTTTCTAAGTTAATGCATTATTGGTCTAGTCTTTTTATTGTGATCTTTTCAATTTCTTTTGTTTTATAATATTCATCTTATAATTTGAGTTTCTTAACTAACTTTTCATGCTATTATTGAATATAATTTAATGAAATACCTTTTCTCTTTCCCTTTCTCTTTAATCCTATAATAATTTTTGTCTTTCTTATTCGACTTTTGCCCTTTAATCTTAAATAGTTGTGAAATTGCCTTCTTTCGATTTTTTTTGTTCAATGAGTTTTTTTAATGATTAAAATTCTTGCATTATAAAATACCTGATGTGAGTTAAGTATATTTTTAATATTTTTTTTAAGATTTTTATATACATATGAACACTCATACAATTAGTCAACCAAAACCATTAATTCGACTTATTTAACAAATAAAAACCGATTCTGTGAGTGTCTCATCCACCCAATCCTACGAATCGCATTTCTCTGAGATTGAGAGACCAGAAAACCCTATGATCAAGAACTTTATAGACAACTATGAAGATGATCTCGACACCTTCTTTGATCAATTGGAATGAAAGCTCTTAACCTTTGATTTGTGTTATTTTGTGTTATACATTAACTGAATAAATGTTGTTAATTATATATATTTATACTCATAGTAACAGTGCTTATTTGAGAGGTATTAGTTACTACACCAACTTGTGCCTACTATCCCGTTTTTAGCTATAGTCCCTCAGTTTCTCTATTATCTACTGACCTAATTAGTCAATTTTTAAACACAATTTATTAGCCTACGGAATCTCTAACAATTCTAACAACGACTATTCTTCATCCAATAGTTAGGACTCTAATTTTATATGACAATCCAAGGACTCCATGCTTTGCTTTTTACTATAATACACAATATTCTGAGATGAAACACTCTTTAAAGTTCTTTCTTTCAATTTGTTTTAATGTACTACTATTTCTTCATACTATTTGCAGGTTCTTTCTAGTAATGCCAATTGTTATTTGTAATCTTAAATTTTATGATTAAGATCCAAAAACAACAAATCAATATTAGTCTGATTGGTTCCACATATTTTGTTTAGTTCATGCAAGATAGTTCCATGATTCTTATTGTTTTATAAGATTTCCTTATTTTATTCTTATAATTCACTCAATTATTTTAATAAAGTGGTTATTAATTGATTTTATTCTTGTTTCAATACCCTGTTCTCCTCTTCAAGCTCCTTTAACCTTATTTGTAGCTTATCCATCCGATTATCCTTTTTACAAGACATATCTGTTATATAATTAACAAGAAAATATTAATAAATTTATGTGATACTATCATGTTATTCTATATTAATTAAGAGTTTTAATAAACTTCAGTAACATTAAATAATTTTGTTTTCAATTACTTCATTAATGGTTAGTCTCATCTCATGGCTTATTATATAGTGTTATTTTCTTAAATGAATATAATTAATTCTTTTTCAATTATCCAACATTTTTATTTCCGGTAATTTGGTATTCATATTTAAAAGAATTACAAATTTGTACTAGATTAATGAACATATAATCTGAATTAGAAATGGAATCATCATTTTGTTATAATAATTTCCTTAAAATATTTCTTACTCATTAATAATTGTAAATGGTTTTAAACTTTTGAGCATTTGTAGCAACTTTGAATCAATGTATTTGATTATTTAGTATCATCTATGAAAACTCTTTATTTCCACTTAATATATAATTAGATATATTTTAATTAATTTTCACAATAATATTTTATATTTCTCAGTTGTTGGAACTGTATTTATTATCATATGACCACTATAACCTATTGATGCCAAAACCCACGCAGTTCCTCTTGACCAACTTAATCCATAAATTGAGTCTTCATGTTCATCATACTGTTTAACCAAATAATCATCTTCCTTGTTTAGTTAAGGGACAGATGAAACTGACGTAATATTATACAATGAAATTGTGCCATCATCAACTACATCTATAGATATTTAAGTTTACATGATAATGAAACTAATTGATCATGAAATTTATTAAATTTTGCCTACAGAACTGAATTCTACAGATCTTCAAATGATTTAATTGCATATTATGTTTTACGAATATCCCAAACTTTTGCCAAACAATCCTCCCCCCCAGTTATTAGATAATATTATTTATTGGGATTGAAATCTATATCCAATATTTATAGACTATGTGCTTTGAATTTGTTTACTCTAAAGGTGATAATTTTAATTACTTTTTTTCTCTTGTATCTTAAATACATAGATAGTTGTTTTAGGATCTAACAAATAAATTCTTATGATGTGGGTCTTATTCACATAAATTATAGAGATCATTGTCATCAATAATGTTGTCAAATGATTATTTATTCAAATCAAACTGAATAATGGATTTATTGGAACTCAAATAGATAATCGGATCATCTTCTGGACAAATAACACTAGAATTTAAAGTCTAATATTACTTCGTCAATCCTTCATACAACAAATCGAAATTTACTTGATGCCTTCCGTTCTCAGCCAATTCAATACAACAAAGTTTTGTCTTTCTTTATTATGCTAAAATTTAACTTTAGTTATTACGATCAATGTAAATAACATACAGTTATTCTTTTTTTGCTATGATCTTCTCCACCATTCCATTTATTGGTATTTTATACAATTATACAATCTTTTATTCCAATTCCAAATATTCATTCACATAGATCTGTATAAATAATTCAAATTCATTATTACTTCGTTATTTTTCTTAGCATTCCAAGTTCCTACAGCAAACACGTGTCTTTTGTTGAACACAATGTTTGAAACACACCTGCAATTTTATTCACCAAAAGAAATTTACACAGGCTATGTTTATTAATCCATAAAATTATAATCATTTATGAATAAATTTTGAACTATTTTTTATTATCAATAAATATTTCATACAATGCCTACCTCCTTAGGTTGCTTAATACAAAGACTTACCAAATGTAATAAATATATATATTGGATAATAAATCAAGTTAGTTTTGAACCCTATTCCCTTTTTTCCTAGATTTTTTTAGTCACATTTTTTAAAGGCTTATTATTATGCATTCTTGTTTAATGTCTTTTTAGACCTGCAACATTTTTTACTTGCTTTCGGCATTCTGGGCATTATAACATTTTAGAAGCATCCACACTTAGTTTATTTTTTTTAATTTTTTTGGTCTCACTTTATATTGGCTTGGTTCCTTGCTCCATTGGAACATCGTCGTCACTTCCCAAACTAAAAAGATAAACCAATATCTTACTCGATCTCCATAGGAGTCTTCTAGCTTGGGGTTGGAGAATTTTGTTTCTATGAACTATAATCTTAGTTTTAAGGAGCCTCTGTGTTTTATTCCTGTAAGACTCGTTCTTAATCGATCAAAGTAGGAATGGTTAATTGATGAACTTCTGTATTGAATATGTCTATTCCTTTGGCCAATCTATCATGCTTTTCAGATAGAGCAGCACACTATTGGTAGAGTTAGGCGAGAGCATTCAAATGAACTGTTAAGGGGACGTATTACATAATTAATTATTAAGAGAATTATTGAAGGAGCTGTTTTATATATTGATATCCTGATAATATTTTTATCATATTATAAAATAGAGTATTTTAATTGTAAACTGTTTAATTTAAAGTTTAGTATGCTAATTATTTATTCATTAATTATTCAAAGTTTATTCATTTATGATTCATCGCTTCTTGATAGACCTCATAAAATAAAGAAGATTTGTCCTTCAATAATTCACTTGGTGATCCAGACTCCTTTAATTCTCCTTTGCTCATAACAAAAATCCTATTCAAATATCACTTAAAATTGTACTTATCACAATGCAAAATAGTATTAATTCTATGAGCTATGGTAATCACTGTATGATCCTTGAATAATCTCTAGATGGCCTATTATATTTTTTGTTCAGTCTCTATATCAATATTGGCTGTGGCTTCATCAACCAAGACTATTTTGCTTTTCTTCAATATGGCTCTTGCAATGCATATCAATTGTTTCTCTCCTGCACTCAAATTATCTCCTCCCTCATTTATAGAAGTATTTAATCCATTCCTATCATTGATCAATTATAATAGACAACATTCTTCGATTACCTTCATTATTTCTTCATCACTGCAAGTTTCCAAGGGATCTAAGTTTTACCTAATAGTTCCAGTAAAAATCACAGGATCTTAAAGTATGGTGGTGATTGATGACCTCAATCTTTAAATTTATACTTTTGAGATGTCTACATCATCTATTTCTATACGCCCTTATAAAGCTTCTACTATTCTCAAGATACTAAGTGTTATTGATGATTTCCCAGCTCCAGTTCTTCCTACAATACCTATCTTCTCTTAAGAATCAATAGAAAAACTTAAGTTTCTAAGAACTAACGGCAGATTGCTTCTGTAATTTACTGAATAATTAATGAATTTAATTCTTCCCTGATTGGGCCATGATTATTCTACGGTTTTAACCTCTGCCAGATTCTCTGATTCGATCTTTGTATACTCTAAGCATCTCTCAAAGGATATCATATTATTTTCTAATAAGCTTAAAGAATCAACAGTTTATTGCACATTTCTATCCAAACTAGCAGCAAATGTTAATATCAGTCCTGCAAACGAAGGATTACTGGTGTATAAAATGCAATAACCAATTGCAAAAGTATTTACTATTAGACTGGCAAACCCGAGAACTTATAGAAACCATGAACTAGCTGCAATTGAATAATTGACTATCTATTTATTATAATCTAATTTCTAGGCAAATTCCTTGATCACAAAATCGGATTGAGAGTAAGCTCTTATAGTTGTCAACCCCATTAAAGATTAAGTAAAATAACTCAGAATTGGGCTTCGACTTATAAGTTCTAATCGTTGAAGTTCTCTACTGGCTTTCATGTATAATCGTTGGATTTTCAAGCATATATAAAAGAAAATTATTAAGGGGAAAATGAGCAAGTATGTGCTAACATAGATACTTAATAAATTGTTGCTCAGAATTTAGCTAATCTTAGTTGAAAATTAAGCAATATTAATGTGGATTTCAACGTCAAGAGAATTAATATCTTTAGTTAATCTATTCATGATTCTGCCTAGTGGAACTCTTTCAAAGAATTTACATTGAGGTGCAAACATTAAACAATTGATCATATCATTGTGTATTTGGGAAGAGGACTTTATACTTTGTGATACAATCATTGCTGCTCTTATGTAGGCAAACATAGACTGTATAAATCCTAGGAATAGAAATACCCAAAAGTAAGTGATTTCGCTATAATGATCTGACAATGAAGCATATCGACTAGTCCATTCTGTTACCCATAAATTAGCCATAATCTAACTGAGTATCCAAATTATCAGAACAATAAATAGGATAGTTTAAAAGATTAAATTCTTTTTGTATTGCAGATACTTAATATATACTTCTTGATCGATTTCTCCCTTCTTCCTTTCTTCGATAGTCATCAAATCTGATTTAGTTTTATCCATATCTTTAATTTACTCTTAATTCTAATCAATTTCCTTCTCGTCACCCAACTATACATCCTTACCTTGCGTGATATTTTAGTTCTCTTACTATTGGATATCAAATTCAAATTTCTTTTCGATTTCTTGGAATATTAAGTTATTCTGCATCTTCTAATAATCACCTTATTCTATGATTTCTCCCTTCTACATCAAATAAATGTAGTCTGTGTATTTACAGTAGTTTAATGCATGAGTAATCAGAATTCTAGTTTTTCCCTTCAAGAAATTGATGAAACACTCCTTCAATATGAAATTGCCAACTTGAGCATCTACAGCACTCAAAGGATCATCCAATAAGAAGATTTCTGCTTTACTATAAATGGCTCTTGCTAAACTTATTCTAGCCTTTTGTCCTCCAGATAAGTTGATTCCTTTCTCTCCAATCATAGTTTGATCTCCATGAATTAAGATCTCTAAATCCAGACTGAGACATGAATATTTAATGGCTTGTTCGTATAATTGCTCATCATAAGCCTTACCAAACAATATGTTCTCTTGAACAGTGGCATTTTAAATCCATGGCTTCTATCCTACATAAGCAATAGGACTAGATCTATAGACCTTTGGTTTCTCACCATTGATCTTGTAGATCATCTCTCCTAAAATGCTTTAAATCAATGAGGACTTCCCAGATCCGACATCTCCTATAATCGATACAAACTTCCCCTTCTCCACTTTGATATTTATATTCTTCAAGATTTGTTAATCTTCAATACACTCCTTTCTCCAGAAAAAGTTGCCCTGAGTTATTTCTAAAGCAGAGGATGCAGCTGCAGCCTTGTTCTTACAATATAAGTCATTCATTAACTCATGACTATCTAAAAAGTTTTCTATTCTTTTTAAAGATACTTTGGTTTCTAAAAGGTCATTCAATGAAATTGGCAATAATTAAAGACTGGCAGCTAAAATAGAGAGCAATCCAATTATGGGAAAGGTCTTACTTGGGATTAATTGATTCCCCAAGAGTACATACAATCCAAAAGTAAAACTTAAAATCATTTAAGGGGATAGCCAACCCATGAACACATTTATCGAAAAATACTTCAATCTATCCTTTATACATTTCAGTTCAATTTATCTTAATTTGAAGATCTTTTCTTGAAAAAATTGTTCCAAAGCATTGATCTTAATAAATTTGATCATCTAAAACACTTCAGTTGTTTCCTTTACTCTATTATCCTTAGACTTTAAAACCAACTTTTATGCCTTAACTATTTGTTTTCCAACATAATTGTTTTGAAGTATGCTCAAAAAGATGATTACTATACCTACTATCACAGAGCTGCCTATTTCTTTGTAAATGTAGGTTAGTGTAATACCTAACTTAAAAAGATTGATTACATAATTAAATTGGGATAATAATCATATTGACTACGTTATTGGGAGCTTGTATGAGTCTCTGAACATCTACTTAAATCAAATTAGTAATTTCTCCTATAGACCTTTCAGTGTTGCTTAACAATGAAATCTTGAGACATTTACTCATGATTTCTAAACTAATGACTGACATTATATCATATCCATAAACTTTCTTGATTAAATTTGTATTATTTTTACCATCATGAATCTTGAGTGGGACATCGACAATAAATTGAGTATTCTTATTAGCATTACTAGGAAGATAAGTAATAAAGCTTAATGATAATCTTTATCTGATTCATAAATGTATTCAATTATGTATTTTGTTAATAACGGCATAGCCAATTGACTAAAAAGTACCACCAATTAAATTAGAAATCCTTTCAAAAAATACTCTAGTTCATTAGCAAATAACATACATAAATAATATTTCAATATCAAATCAACTAAATTTTACTTTTTTTTTAGTTTTAAATGTTAAGAAAACTTGAGATGCCTAAAATATGATTATTGCGAAGATTCCAACTCATTAATTAGACTTTCATCCAATCCTTGTCTATAAGCTTTCTAAACATTTAAATTAAATACTTACATTCATTATGGGATATACATAAACGAAGAATAATTTTTTAAACCAAGAAGGCTTTCTTAAGACTATTCCTTCTTCAAACATTATAGTTTATTAATTCTCCCAGATTATAGAGGCAGAATCCATTATTAATTAATTTAATTTCTATTTTTACCTATTACAATATTCAAAATAACAATTATTTTTTTGTAACCTTTTTGTTTCCATTATTTCAATTGCCATTAGCATTCAGTTAAAACCTTATCTAGAAGTGTTTTTTATTCTTTAAGTTTTCATTATAATCATTATAGCTATCTATATACATAACTTAAAAAAACAAAACATAAAATAGGTTTATAAATTTATATATTTATTATAATTTAATAAATTTCTCAAGTGCACTTTGCATCCTAATAAAACGAAATAGTGTTTAATTACATTACTCTGTGAAATCTTAGCTTACACCTCTAAGTTTTCTAATTTTGGATTATTGAACTTGTTAGCTCTCTATAAATCTCAAATGATAGGAACATTAACACATTACATTGACTAACGAGTGATTTAATCTAATAATTCATTAAAATAATTGTAGTATTTAGAAATGTTGAAATGAATGTGTAATTTTATTTTACAAATCACCCTTTATTATCCTACAACAATTCTTAAAAATAAACTAATAGTACAAGATTCTACCCAAAAGATGGGAATCTTTTATAAAAATGAAGAAAGCAGAGATATACTTCAAATAATTATAATAAGCCTCTCATATGTTTTCTAAAATATTATATATTAAGATACTGTTATTTAGATTTTTGCTACTATTTATCAATATGAACATATTTTCTTACATATTTGTTTATATAAAATACATATATTAATTTTTCATAAAGAGAGTTTCCATATTTTAATAGATTAAGTAGATGTAGCAATAACATACTAATTTTCCTTTAATATTAATTCAGATCCAGGAGCACCATTATTCTCATTTGAAAATGTTAAAACCGGTTTTGTTTCCTTGATATCCCAGATTTTCAGAGTGTAATCATTACAAATTGACCCGAAATATTCTTAATTCTAAGCAATAGAAATGCTCCAGATCCAATTTTTACTATGACCTATGAATTCTCGAAGCAATTCATAATTATTGCCATTCCACAATTTTATCAACCCATCATAACCACTAGATATCATCAACTACCCATTCTGCAAATAATTAATAGATGATCCTCCATATTCACATTAATGTCCCTTCCATTAATGGAGTATATTTGCTGATTGCTAATCATAAACAATAATGAACTCATCCCTTCCTATGGTTGCAACTCTATTAGATTTGATAGATATTGCACAACCATAGACATTTTGAGTATGTCCTTTGTAAACTTATTATGGCAATTTCTTATCAATATTCCATTAGATTGCTGTTTTGTCTGCACTGCTTGACAACAGAAACAGGGAATCTTCACTGAATGTGAGTCTATAAATGTAATTAGTGTGACCTCTGAATATAATTGGAGGTGCATTCCAATTGTTGCAAATCCATCCATATATTTCAAAGGGTTTTGATCCTCCAGCCACTAAATATTAATCATCTGGAGAAAACTTAACACTATAAACTTATTAGGTAGATATCAATAATTCCTACTGGCAATTAGCTGATTTGAAATCAACAACTAAAACATATTTATCACTGCCTCCTATTGCTAATAAATCTAACTTATTTGAGATATCAACAGATGATATTTTTTATAATTATTTTTTATAGAATTATTCTATAGGTTGAGTCTTACAAATATCTTATTTCTGTAAATTTTCATATGAATTCAAGATTTCTAGGTATTTGCTATTTTGTTATTTGAAATATTCTTTGAATTTTTAAATTTACGCATTGTGCAACTCAACACCATATTGCTCAAATAGATTTATATCTTCAGCGAATAATATTGTTTATTTCAACAAATTATCTGAATATTATTAGAAAGACTTAAAATTGTTTGTGTAGATCTCCTATTTCCAGAAGTATTTACCAAAAAACTAATCTATATTACCAATCACCAAATCTCTAACTGAATTGTATTCTTCTAAATTTAGTTTTTCATTCTTTACATATGTTTCAACTAAAAGTTCTAATAGTGACTCTTCTCTCTGCATCTTACAAATATCCTTAAGTTCTTGCATTATTTATAACAGCTTTTTTTGAAGAAACTCAATTGATAATTTAATCCTTTTGTGACTAGTTTTGTAAATATTGTTATTAAATTCTTTCTCTTGTTCATATGCTTTTAATACTAGTTCATCCAATTTTTGCACTTCTATACAAGCGTGTTACAAATGATTCCCATATTTACAAACTTCACACATTCCTTTCTCTTTTTATGTACAACCTGGCTCAATGCAAATGTACTACACATGTTGATGATCGTGATCAATTTGAGTGCATTCGATTGAATGTCTTAACTATTTCATAGTATATATTTTAATTAAAATGACTGAAATCAATTTTTTGAAAAGGAAATTTGAAAGTCTGCGGATAGTTGATGATGAAGCCCCAAAAACTACTAAAAAACCCTTTATTCAAGATGCAGATCTCTATCTATTGGGTAAAAAGATTTAATCCATTCATTTGGTTTAGCCTTTGTAATCAATGATCAAGAAACCTGATATCTACTAAACTTGTTTTCTAAAGAAGGAAAACTACAATCCTTTTTTATATATAGATCGACCTATCACAAAGGAAGAGGATGAGTTGTGATATATATATGATTATAAATTATATGTATGCTTTATTAGGACAGCTAATTTGATGACACCCATTTTATACTAATAACATCATTTTTGAAGTTTGCTAATTAGGTTTAATGCAGAGAATGTGCGACCAATTATCGTAGATCTGAGAAGCAATTAAACATATATATATCTAGGATTTCTTCATATATATAAGTAAATTAATAAAGGGTTTTTGAATTTAAGTGCACTTAAAATGGGAGAATAGTTCTGATCCCGCCCAAAATATTAATAATACTGGATTGAGTTTCATATTTATGTTGGAATACATTTTGATGTAATTTTAATAATTATTATAATATAAAAATAATGGAGCAATTTGAACAGCAAAAGGAGAGTTAGAATACTGGAAGAGACGGCAGAGCGATAAATAAGAGAATAAAGAAATAGAAGACAAAGAAGTAGCAGCCTAGTGAGTAGCCAGTTGAGGATTGCAGCATTTGTTATGGTTAGATCGTAGACAAAGTAAATTTGACACTAATTAATGACAGGGTATCATTTAGGGATGTTAGCATACGTATTGTTTTAAGTGCATTGAGATCTGGGCCTAACAGAATCTAACTTGTCCATAATGTAGAGTCCAATTTAGTCAGATTTTGAGGGTGTGGAAATAAGGTAAGGGGAAACGATAAAAAATGTATGATTTTCATGCAAATGAGGTGAATTCGGATGAGGATGAACTGATTTCTCTGGATTTTTTGTATTAGCCAATAAGATTAATGCCATACTTTACAAGGATTTGGAGCCTTCCCTTTGTAAATTTGATATTGATAAGTTCGGATTCAGAATGAATAAAAATTTACATAAATGTAATTTTTACTAATTGAATATTCTAATAGTGAATGGTTAATTCATTATTATGATTATTTTTTTATTTTTTCTTTAAACATATTAATTAAGATTCAATATAACTACTCCTGAGGGGAATCCATCTGAATTTATAACCCTTTAGACCTATTAGACGGTGAAATTGAAGGTGGAGTTGGGAAATTATTAATTGAATTCGGAAAAGATATTGCTTTATATAACTGATTAGATTTCACATGAGATAACTTAGTCATGCACTCTAAAACTCATGAATAGATAGGCAAACGAATTGAAAATATACGTCAATGCCACAAATACTGAAGAAGATTCAATATTGACATCGATAACAATAGTATTTTTAATTTTAATTTCATAGTCAGCAATAATAATATCTCCAGCAAGAGGCATATTAACATAGCCCAATCTCTTTCCCATAATATTGAGTTAGAAGCTGATTGAATCCTACATGATGCCATTCAATTTGCCGACTAATAAAATATACAACTTGGATGTGTTGAATGAGGATTTGGAGATGCCTCCCCAGAATTAGACTCCATTTGGATAGGAGTTCTGGTAAGAATATCAAGAGAAGGACATATCTATAATAGCATTGACCTGGATTCCATTCATGGGCAATTGTAGAGATCAAGGCTATTACTTATATTTGTATAACCTATTGGAAAATGCAACCTTCTGTGATTTGGTAGCCGAGGAAGATACCAAGGTAGTTTCCATGGTGCCAACAAACGGATTCAACGCAAAAGGGGATTCCTGCAATATCAATTTGGAGTGTTACTTCTTAGAGAATTTGATGGTTGAGTATGAAGGGAACAAATGGTGGCAATCTGAATAAGACTCCCTATTCTACTTAAGTAAATACGCTTTGAATTACAAAATCTTGGCTGAAAATTCAGACGATTCCCAAACCAACTATTTCTACAATATAATACAAGCCTAAGACGAATCCTTAATATCTGTCCAGTTCATCACAGCTGGTGTTATCAAAAATAGTTATCCGACTGAATTTACCTTTCAGATTCTCTATAACCAAATATCTCAAACAGAAAAGTAGATTGTTTCAGCAATAATAACAGCATCTAATTATCAAAAAGTAACATCAATTATAAACAAATATACATTGAATATTGTCTATCGGCCTATGGATTATTTGGAATTAATAAACTCATTTTAATTTGATATCACTTTGTATTTGGTCTTATATCTAGTAATCGGAATTTTGATTAATTTTGGTATATTTGTGATTTGGGTAATCAATAAGTCAATTTCAATAATCCCAGATCCACCCAAATTGAGAATCTATTAAACATTTATTGTTGCTTTCCTACCTCCAATTACTGGAGTCATTAGAGCAACCATCCCTATTGTTGTGTATGTGCTAATATTGGATAACCTGTTTGCTCATGATTTGTTCTCCGGAATCACATATAATTATGATGGATTACCAACTAATTTTGATAATTCATAACAATATCAATATGGGAGAGTTGGACTTATGTTGGTTGTGTCTGGAATCATTATAATGAAGATAGCATGTAAATTATGTATTCCAAAACCTATCGATGAAGATTGGGGAATTATCAGATCCAATTTTGAGAAGAAAAACGAAGAGAAATATTTTGATTTTAGTATCAGCGAAGAGGAATCTAAGGAAAGTCCTATGAAATAAGATGAAATCAGAGAAGCTCAGGTTACCTCCAAAAATGTTGACAATAATCTTCAATCCAACAGTATTAGTAGACAAGGCTCCTTGTTTTCTAAATAATAGCCTGTCATTCCAGGATCTGCTCCTCCCATTACCAAAGAGAAAGAACCAACCATGCCAAAGAATTCACTCTTCAAAAAAGCCACCATTCTCAAACAAAGCAGTTCTATCAAAGATAATTAGTCATTGAAGGATTCCATAAGTCCAGTCCAACTCTTACAAAGATAGTAATCATTTATGTTATCATACCCATAGAAATTCCTCATCTGGAAATCCCCTTGATAAAAAGTAATCCATCTTCAATTAAGCCCAATAGAGTCAACAACCTTAAATCAATCAAAATTAACAAGCAGAGGAAGAGGATATCATAGATATATTAAAGGATAGCTTAATAAGTAAAGATTATCATTATTAATTAATTTGTATTATGATAGCTGCAATTTTATTATTCTTTTTGGGATTTTCATATGAACAATTATTCTATAAGAATATCTATTACTTTTTGATTGTCCTGCAATTTATTGAATCCTTTGTGTATTGGCTTCTCAGTGAATATCTATTAGAAGAATAAACACTCATCCAACCGTTGATGGCCTGTTTGGAAGTGGTCCAATTCATCATGTTTATGGCTGCTGAATCTTTCTAGGAATTTGTTATCTCCTTCGTAATCAGACTCTCCCTAATCATTGTGTTCAGAACCTACATCAATCCGATCATAAGGAATTTCAAACATTTTAAAAAGAAGCTGATGAACTTCATGAATAAATGGCAACCTTTCTTTAGTTTGGAATAAGAATAAGAGAAACAACCAGAAGACAATATCTCATTTTATTTAGGATAACACACTGATTCCAAATTCACAGAAGACCAATCAGTTGAATACGTTATCCAAATGACTCTGGGTTTCAGTAGTAAGGTTCATGCAATCTTCATCAAACCTATTGTTTTGGTATTCATCAAATTATTTGAGAAAGAGTCTTAGATTACTAATAATTACTACATTGGTTTCAGAGAGTTTAATTATTATATCTACTTTGCGTTTTTTGTCATCATCCCTTAAATCTTTATAGACATCTATGTTTTGAATAGTTTAGAGATGATCTATGGATTTAAGTTATTCGATTACTTTGATTATTGTAAATATCGAAATGATTTCAGAATCCAAAAGTTCTTTGAACACTCCCTAACTTATGATCGTAGTATTGATGCCTAGTATCGATCTATTGATAATATGAAATTCACAGATCAGTTCTATTATAACGGCAGTCTCGTCATATATAGCATACTCCTTTGCATTCTCGGAACCACTATTATGATCAGAAACAACTATGTTCTGTATTAAGACCCAGCCATTTTCCTAATCATCCTCTTTATCTATATCTTTATTACCTTGCTCTAAAACATGATGTTGTACATCTGGAATAAAATAGATGTCTGGAAGATTAAAGATACAAAGTAAAAGTTAAATTTGGATTCCCTCGAAGAATTCTTAAATCCTGCAAAGGAAAATATTGAATAAATAATAGAGGTTGATGCTTTCAAAAAGCATTTCATTAAATTAAACAAAGATTGGCTAGTCTCTAATATGGAATTGTTTATAAATGTAGATCAATTCACATAGCATGATGAATTTCTATTGTAGACATACTAATTATTATTGAATGATGAGAGGAAAGCTTAAAAAGAAATTATTAGGAATGAGCAAATGATTAAGAAACAAAAGGAATTAGAATTGAAATCCAAGAAAAAGAGGAGGAAGACATCACAATCATAATCCATGATTAAATCTCAAAGAGATATTGAAGAAATAGATGGATATTAACATACGATTAGAATCAAAAGATCTTAGGCTGAAAATTTAAGAAAGATTGTATCGATTTGGTATTACAAGGCAAAACAGACACTCTTCTTAAAATACTTGGTGTCAGATGTTTTAGCCCAAAATCAGGCTGAACATTGTAAAAGGTGTGGTTTAGACATCGAATTAAGAGTAGTTGAATTGATACCATTTGAAAAAATGTCAAATCAATTTAAATACAGAATTATGGGAACTCCCTTTAATAAATTTGAATGGATTAAATACTATGAAACCCATTAAAAGTTTGTTACTCTATGTATTGATTGTGAGAATGCTTATAAAAGTAGATTTCTATAAAGATAAAATTAAAGTGCAAACGATGTGGCCAAATTGGCATCATAGAACTTTGTAGCTAAAGCATTTGTATTTAAATGGCTTTATGCTGCTAGAGCTAGAATGCTACACAAAAAGTCATTAACAGTAGAAAAATTAACCTATTGATTTATATTAACAATTTTAGTCAGAAAAATAGATTATTTCAAACTTATTCAAAATTCTTTAAGTTGTTCATAACTTTATTTGCCATTCTTGGTTATGCATGATTTTCAATTACTTGAGTAATCAGAATTGGAGTTCTTAACTCAAGCCCTTTTGTATTACTCTCAGGTGTTCTCTATGATCACAAGAAATAAAATACTTTGATGATAGGAGAAGCATAATAAGATGAGTTATTTGAATCCACAACTTATTTCAATTTTCCTATCAATTAATATTGAGGTAATTTATGTGACTGAGGTGATTCATCTTCAAACATCATATCACTAAATTCATCTTCTATTTTTTTAATTGAAATCTATTATTCACTATCTTTAAACTATTCTTGAATAGATTGCATCATCGCATACTAAGGAGTATAAAGAACAGCATTCTATTTATTGTTTGTATGTGTAATCTGTGGAGTAGAGAACTCGGACTTCTCACAAGTGTAAGGACCAACAAAGTTCTTCATGAATCCACAACTGCCAACATCAGTTAAACTCGACTTAGTTGTTTCTTTAGTGTATTGAATTTATTCTTCATTATTATTCAATTCTTTATATCTTTTTTCATCCAAATTGAGCATAAACCATTCATGTCTTAATGCTTCCTTAGGAGCAGGTCTTTAGGATGGTCGATGATGCAGTAGCAATTTTATTAGTTACAAGCCTATCATATTGTTAATAGAGTACATTAAATTGATACAACTGATTCGATAGACTGGTAATCGATTTTGCAATGATAATTACGCATTACCACTTCATCATAGGTGGATCCTTTGAAAGGAGATTTACCAGCCAATAATAAATACATCAGACAGCCAATACTGAAGATGTCCACTTTGGAATCATAGAGTTTGTCTTGTAATACTTCTGGTGCAACAAAACCAGGAGTTCCACATCTTTAGAATATATAATTTCCTAATGGATCATAAAAATCAGCCAATCCAAAATCAGCAATCACAATATCGTCCAACACTCCTTTTTTCCTAAGTATCAAATTCTCTGGTTTAAGATCTCTGTGGAGTATGCTATTTTTATGAAGGTACTCTAGAGATTCTAATAGAGTGGCTATGATTCTGGCCACTGTTTGTTCAGGCTATTTTTAATTTTTTTTAATATGTTAATATAATTCTCCACCCTATAAATAATCTTGAACCAAATAGATGTGTGTCTCATCCTCGTAAACCTCATACATTTTGATTAGTCCTTTGTAATTCAATTTGCGTAAAATCGATATTTCTTTCAATAAGGCTAATCGATCTGTTTCAGTGTTTATCATCTTACTTTTTTCGAAAGCCTTTACAGCAAATTGCTACTTCTCGGATTTTTTGTTACAAAGATACACCTAAAAGATGGAAGAAAATTCATTACTTTAGCAAAGTTCCCTTTCCCAATAATTTTCTCAATGACATAATCTTGTTTAAATGATATCTACAAGGACTATTTTTTTAATTCTTCCCAAATTTTTTGATTCATTTCTTTTGATCTTGAATAGAATTCTCTACATCTTTGATTTCTAATGATTCTGAACCCATACTTCTTCTAAAATTTAAGTATAACATATATTTACTTTATTACAGCTCTCCTTCTCTTGATCATTTTAATACTTAATTTTCTCTACTCTACTCTTATTCAAATTGATTTAATGAATTGTGTTTTTATTTGGCTTAAAACATTAGAATAATATATTTACTCTTAACTTGACTAATTTAGAATCAAAAATTATATAGTTTCTGCTTACCCAGAATCCAGTTTTTCTGCTTTTCTAAAACAAAATATACTGGTGTTCGATTTTATCAACATTTATTTTCTATGTTGACTTTTCCCAGAAAGAACAATCGAAAGTCTGTTCATCAAAAAATGACCTTTCAAACTTACTTTACATTTAATAATTAAATATATTTTAGTAATTATAAGTCACTATTTCCTACTTCCGATTCGAGAGTTTATCATTTCATTCAGAATCTCTAATTTCTAAGTCATCATCCTATTGAATTGTTCATTCTCCCCTTTCACACTCCCTCTGCTCAACGGTTCCTTTATCTGAGATGGGGTCTCCACCTTTTTTAATTGGTTCCGAAACTAACTCAATGGAGTTGATTACTCTTCTTCAACCGTGGCTTCAATTAAAGGTTCAGCTGATAAATACTTCTTATTCTTTGGGGAAGGAGATTTCACCTACGCCTTATCCAAATTGTGAATAATTGAATAGAGGGTTCTCCCTACTTGTCTACTGATCTCATATTGGAAATTATCATATTGGAATTGAATATTATCATCAATATGCTATGATTATTGAATTTGTTCGTATTCATTTGAAATTGATTTCTTGGCTTCGGCCAAATTTTATTTGTTCAAAATACAATCCCTGAACTTTTGAATGCTTTCATTGAAAATGAGTTGCATCTCTTCACAAATTGAATTGATCATGGTTTGAATGGAGTAACACTCTTCATTTAAATTCGGAATAGATTCAGACTTCTCTCTTCTGTAAGAGTTGTTGGAGAACTTCGTCTAAGTCGATTTCATTGAGTTGACATTCTATTATTGTTTTGGTTTGAATTTATCTGGCTACTTCACTCTCACTTCCTCTATTTGCAATGTCTGTATCATAAATTATAGAGTATCATAGTCCTTGCAAACATCGAATACTGTATCTTGATTCTATAAAGATGTGTTATAATACAATTATACTTTATTTAACAGTTAGATGTTCGCCTTAGCATTCAATAATAAAGCCACAGTCTCTAAATTTCCTCTCTACGCTGCAATCATCAAAGGAGAGAATCCTTTCTTGTATACTCAAATTAAATACTTTGTCCTGCTAGTTTACATCAGCCCCATGGTTCAACAGAAAATCTGCAGTCCTACGATAATTGTAAAATGAGCAAATCCATAATGGCGATTGATTTAACTACATCAACCTATATATCTTACTCTATTTGTCTTATTGATATCAGCACCTTAGACAATCAATCTCTCGATCATAGCCCCATCATTTTTACGACAAGCTATTGTCAAACAAGTTTGTCCTGACTTTGCATTCTCCACATCTATTAAATTAGGATGTTGCTGGAGTATTTCAATAACTTTATTAACATTCCCTTATTCAACCTTCAGAAATAAGACTTGCGCAGTGCTATTCATTAATATTTTATTGATATTATATATAAATTCAATCAGTAATAACAGATTCCCCTTTATGAATCCATCTAACTCTCTTCCCTTGTTCCCAAATTCCTTGTTTCTCCACATTCGATTCCCCTATGTAAACTCCTATTCCATGTTGTTTCCCATTCTACCATTATCCACGATAAATCTAATAATAAACGTAAATTGTACTCTCCCATCAGGCCATTTGAATTCTCCATAGCCATCCTTTTTGTCATTTTTATACTCTCCTTTGTATCTTCTGCCATCTAACCATGTGAAAATCTATTACTCAAATATATTCATATACTCCTTGGCCATCCATTTTATTATTCTTCCATGCCCCTATGTACTTTCTCCCATCAAACCAGGTGTACTCTCCATAGCCTTGAATCAGATTGCTATCGAAATCCCCTATATACTTAGAGCCATCCTTCCATTGAAACTCCCCATGACCATGCTTCTTGCCCATAGAATATTGTCCTTTAAAAATGGAGTTATCTGGCCAAGTTTCAATGCCATCTCCATGTTATTTGTCATCAACCCATTAACCTACGTATTTTGCACCATCCGCATGTATATAGGTTCCCCTATTATCCATAATAATTTACATATCCATTAGCTTTATCATTCTGCCACTCTCCAACATAAACATCTCCACCACAGTGGATTAATCTGCCTATGCCTTAGGCAGAGTTCTTTTGCCATTAACCTTCGTATATTGATCCATCTATCCATATTTAAGTACCTTAACCATGTTTCAATCCATTTTTGTATTGGCCATAATAGACTGTTTAATCATTGTATTCATATGGTCCTAATTTAGGTAAATCTGGCTCTAAGATTTCTGGAAATGGTCCTTATTCCTCATGTACTTTTTTTGTTTTTTCATTAAGATAATTGGGCATTCTGGATAGTTTGGCAACCATGGTCAAAGGGGCGTGTTCATTAGTACAATGGTATTGATTTTTCATAGATTTCATGTCCTTTCTAACCTTGATTCCTCTGAAATAAGATTGAATTTTGATTGCAGCCCTTTCAACTTATAGGGAGTTGTTCTACAAGTCTGTAACTAAAATGATTTGCGGGTTCTGTCGATCTAGCATTTAATTCCCATTACAACAATTTCCCATAATATTTTTAATATAATCATAAATAACAGTCAATATCATTATAAAAGTAATGAAAATAAATTTTCAACAAAGTTGTGCTAAACACAGTAATTGGTGACTTCCTTAGCGAAACCATCAAACTTGAAGGTTCTTCTCTCCTCCATGATTAACAAAACTGGAGTAACAATTTGCAACATCTCATAACTCATCTATGATAAGTCAACCTATTCTGTGTTCAGTTCGCCCTTCTACTCCTTGTCGAGCATGTTGAATAGCTTTCTCAAGGAGGCTCTCCAAACCTATTGCACAACACTTTGATCAGCACATGGTAAATTCAATACATAAGAATTATTACTACTAGATCAGTTAGACTAATAACAATACTCTGGGGTTTTATTGTAAATATCTTTGTAGGTTTTGCTTACATTCTTTTCGTTTAAGATTTCATGAGATCTCTAAGTAGTCTTGGGATGATATGTGTATGACTTATTTGATAAGTCTTAAGATTGTTATTTCTACGTCCTCAGGTCTTGTAACCTTTTTTCTTTCTTCTACCCATAATCGATCAATCTCTATTCGACACTATTATCTTGTCGTTTCTATTTCTATTAATATTGTATCTAGTCTCTTACAACTATCTATTCAGAATTCTTGTTGATTTGGGGAGTGAAGGTCAACTCGTTCTCGTCTCTAGGCTTCAATTGTTTGATTTCCTTCGCACTTCTGTCTCTCAATATCTTGCTAACTATCAATAGATTTCCCTATCTTACCGTCTTATGAGAAATCTCTACAATGTGATCTACTGCTTATCAATGGACTCTTCTTTTAACAACTTTGAGTTGAAATCTAACTATTCTATTTATAAGGAGTTGAATTTGTAGAATTTCTGAAATAATTTGATTTCTGGTCGTTTGTCACCTTCTATTCATTATTTAAAGTGTGTTATGCTTATTATTTATGTTACGATATGCTATCAATCAACTTCAATAGATAGCGGCCAGGGAGGTCATGTTTTGATACAAATGCAATACCCAAATCTCTGGGATCATCACCTTCATAAATGTAAATCTAATCTCTCTCATCTTGTGAGATCTCCACTGTCTATAATCAATCACTCATAGTTTACCATGATTGCCAACAAAGTTCCATTATTATTTTGCATATTAATATATTATTGATCTAACTTAGATTTTATATTCATTTCTATAATAATTCAATCAAGATCAACCGCTACTTTTCACAAACTTCAAAACTATTGGAGTAGTTATCACTCCGATCGCAATTAATCCAATTAAAATAATGCAACACATTTTCTAATTTATAATACCCATCTCTTACCTTTCTACTCTTCTTATGGATCTCTTGTTCCTTAGCCAATCTTTTCTCCCCTCTTTCAATGTAATTCTTTGCTTTATTCAAATTTTGTTCTACTCTCTATCATAAATCAATACCTATGCTCTCTATTTACTCTCCTTATTAGTTCACCAAAAAGGCAATCTCCGATAACATTTGAAAACAATACTGAGTACTCTAAAATTCAGCAAATAGAATACCTTCTCTAACTTCTAAATATCTTAATATTTATCTTAAATATCCTGAACTCTGTAGACTAATTGCAAAGATGGTTAACCTAGAGTCTCCTTCATCACCATCTTCTCTAATCCTTAGGGATCTTGAATAATGTCTGTTTTCTATTTTTCTGTCAAATTAGGTTCTAGTATTTCTAACTATTCAATATGAATAGCAATACTTATCTTTTCATCTTCTTTTGAATAGTCTTGTTATAATTAAAGATAGTGTTCTGACCAGATTACAATATAGTTGCCACTTCCTGTTGTATTGCCTTCTAATTGTAATTCATAGCTCTAGTTTCTGGTTCATCAGGATCACTTTCTTTAACTAATTTATCTATTTCATCAAATAACTTTTTTATTTCAGCCGTATTCTTATTAATTTATGATTGCAATTAATCAACTTTCTTCATTGATTCTATATATATAGCTGTTCATAAAGTACAACCTTTCTCTTTGCTAGTGGATGCTGCTGTCTAAATAACTTCAGTCAATCTGCTGATTTCTTCATTGCTATTTCTTATCAATTACAATTTCATTCTAATCAATGAACTTTTCTTTTAAAAATCAGGCATCATTTCAGCTATCGATTATCTGTTGGAAGGTATCAATTCTATCGTTATGCCATTCTACTGAGCAGTCTAAATTAGTCGATACAGTTATTACTTCTTTTAACTAATAGTATAGATCATTCATTATATTAAATAATATATATATATGTTAGATTAGCGTCAAACATTAAGTGATATAAATAGGCTCAGAAACACTCCCTACATCTATTATAAGCAATACTAATCTATCGACAATAATCAATAATATGATACAAAATAAGTTAAAATGATCGCCAGACCTAATGTAAGGTATTAGATGATGTAATTTCTGAATGTAGATCCTCTCATTTATTAACAGACACGAAAACCTGTCCAAATTGCAATAAGATCAAAAAAAATTGAGACAATCAAGTCAACAACGGGAAAGAACCAAAACTCAATCAAATTACAGGGCCTTCAGTCTGAATTAAAAAGCACCTTCTAATTCCAGAAGTCAACCTGATTTGACTGATGACAATCAAAGTGTTTTTGTACCATATCGACAAAGAAACATTTCATAAAATAGTATCTCGATTTCATATGATAATTCTGAAAAAAAAAAGAGCTTTTTACCAACTATGAATAATAAGGATCCAATGTTGCAAACATTTGGCAAATAAGTTATCATCCTCAAACCCAAGAGATTCCCTACTGAGATATTTTAAGGAAACGTGAGCAAGATGAAGAAGCAATTCTAATAAAATTATTGAAATATTTATTTATAACTAAATATAATGGAAATCTCTTTTGATTTCGACCTCAAACTAATTCATTAAATAGGTCATGGAGCATTTAGTTAAGTATTTCTAGGAGAATACGATTCCAAAAAAGTAGCTATTAAAGTACTCATTTTTTTTAATTATACAGGTAATGGATCCCTGTTACATTGAATAATTTAAAAAAGAAGTTGAAATTTTAGAATCCATCCATCATCAAAATTTTGCTTAATACTATTTTGTATTTCTAATATTCTATTAAAGAGTAAAGAAGGTGAAAGTTCTTTATATATTGTCTAAGAATTCTTGGAAGGCAAAACACTGACATAGTTGATTAAAACTGTTGAAATGGAAGAAGCACATGTAAAACAAATCATCACCGAATTACTTAATGCAGTATCTTATCTGCATTCCCAAGATATTATCCATCGAGATATCAAACCAGGTATTGCATCTATTCCTACTAGATAATATAATTATTACGACTGAAGGATAACTCAAACTCATCGATTTCGGTCTTAGTTCCCATTCAGAATCTAAATTATCTTATGATAAATGCGGAACTCTGCTGTTTATGGCCCCTGAAATGATTTTTAAACAACCTTATCTTAAATCTGTTGATATCTGGAGCTGTGGAATTATTGCTTACTAGTTGATCAACAAGAAACACCCCTTTTGGGATCCATTAGAATCTACTTCAACTTTCATTTAAAGAGTTCAATAATTCAACCCTAATTTCTCTGGGATGAATGAATACCAAAGATCTTTCTTTTTAAAATGTGCTGCTTATTCGCCTGAAGCTAGAATGAATGCCACTCAGGCTTTACAACATCCATGGCTATCAGGCAAAGGAGAATTATGGTAACCAATCACAATGGCTGATATGAAAACACTTTTTGATAATAAAATGAAGACCATTTATTATATTAAAACTCTGATGATGATGAAATTTTTATGCCAAGAAGTTTGGAACTATAATGTTACCAAGTGAATTTAGTAATTGTGAATTTAATGACTCCACTGCAGATACCAATACTCACTTTAAATTAAAACTCTTAAGAAGTAGTTCTCGAAACCCCTCATTCATTAAATAAGTTCGTAGCACAAGTACTATCTTCTTTGAAGGCAACAACTTGCCATCACCTATTAGATTTACTCATCACAATAAAAGAGCTTCTATTTCTCCAAATAAAACAATGTTGCATTCTGAGTCAATCCAATTCGGCTAATTTGCCAAAAGAAATACATAAGTCATAAAGTTGCCGTAATATATATTTAATTAATTATAGTCCATTGTCAAATTCTCCTGTTATGAAAAAGCAAAGAAAAAGCAATTTAAATTTTAGATTAAAATAGTATTGAAATTGTTTATTTAACTTTGTTTGAATAGAAAGAATATCTTATCATCAATATTAATTTTTGATTGCAGTCAAAACATTTCTTAAATTAATTAATTATTAATATTAGAATACAAAATTTATAATTTATAAAATTTATACTCATCTATTGGTTGTGATAAATGTTTTCGCAAAATAGAAGTCTTGAAGAGTCTTAAGTCGTTTTCCAAATTCATTCGATGCTTAGGGCAAAGAAGTGTCATGTTGAGAGGATCCCAGTTGAGTAGTCACAAATGATCCCATTGAAGACTTGATCTGTAGACAAACTTCTCTATTTGCTTAAAATTACTTAAATCTCATTCTTCTATAAGACTTTAAGACTTAGCATTCAAGGGCTAAATTACTTTAGGAATTAGATTTATATAGATTAATAGGAGGAATTGTACTATGACTTTTTGTTTGAGATTATTTCTTTTACTTCAGCAATTCAATTTGTTTCTTATGAAAGATAAACATATTTTCAGTCTATGGAGTAATCTTCTGTACTAATTAAATTATTGGAATTGACAATATCAGTAGTTGTGAACATTCCTTTCTATTGAGATCTCAGAATCTTAGAGTTAAGTGTGCTAGTGTCTCTATACAATTCGTCTATTGTGACTCTTTCAGTATTGGTAGAATCAGGATACTGTAATTTTTCCAATTCGTCAGCTAGTCGTTTTTGGAATGTTTTCGAATAGGTACTTCTCCCTTCTTTATAAGTAAGACTTTATTACAAAAGACTTCTCTTTTAAAATTTTAAGAAAATCAGGATGATTTTTCCTTACAATATTAAAAGCATCACTTTCCATATAATAAGCAAGAGTATTATCAGAAGTCATACAAGAATAGAGTCTCACAGGGTTGTTGTCTATGAGTTCTGCTTCTCCGACAAAAGAGTTATCGGAAAGTTAAGAAAGAGTAACTTTTTTTTTAGGTTTTATTTTTGATTAGAATATAGAGGGTTCTTTAATCTTGCCATGCAAAGTATCTTCATCGTAAGATCTATAAATTTCGACTCTTCCTCTAACAATCAATAAAAAGAATTTAGGTTCATCTCCCTCCTTCCATAAAAATGGTTTATGGGGCAAATTCAATTTTTTAAAAATATTAAATAAACTTGGTAACAATAAATTTACTGACACCCACAAAAATACTTAAAAAGTATTCAAAAGTTTGATTCTTTTCCTTGATAGATCTTTCTCCAACGCTTTTAAAATCTTGTCTATTCATAGTTAAAACATGAAGTTCATCAGATAAAACTAAAATGCTTGCAGTACGTGGTTTATCAGAAGATAATGCCATATCACCGAAGGCTTAACCTGAGTAAAATTAAAAGACTTTTTTATAAAGACAAATTCCATCTTTGAAATACATATTATTGATTTCGAATGGATTCCTTTAAGAAGCTAATAGTAATTCCATTTAAAGGTCTTGAGGCCTTTTTTTCTTTTTAAATAAAGCTTCATAATCTAATACTTCTTCTTCAAATGGGTTCATGTTACTTTTATAGGTTTCAATTACATCTCGATCATTTGCAATTTCTTCCTATGACTTTGATATGAAGACTCCAACCTCTCCAAGTAATATTAAATAAACTTTGTCTCCATATTCCCCATAATTAAAAACAATTTGTCCTTTGCTAAATTATTCATATTTGAAATATGAACAAGCCTGAGCAGCAAATTCTTCTATTTTCGTTCCTTCAGGGCAGTTCTTTTTTAGAAATTCAATTTAAGACATCATGGGAGCAATCTCCTCTAAAAGTGATTGTTATGTAATTCTTGTATAGGAGCGATATAAATTGAGAGGAATCTTCAAGTTCTCTTAATTTTTCTTTCTTTATTGATTGTCATCTACTTTTTGATCTTAAATTACAGATTTCTTCAAGTTTTTGGTTGATTAATTCATTATAACAATAATAAAAATTATCAATAATTATGCAAACTATATAGATTCTCTTAGACTCCAGGTAACCCAACTTCTTTTTGATTCATGTAAAAAATAGATCCATCAAAAATCCATACTCCTCAAATTACTGCAACCGGTTGTATCTAAAATCTTTCCTAAATATTTATCTGCATTAATACTTGAAACTTATTGCTTTATATTCATTATTACTAATAAAAGAAAAAGGAAAACCAATGGATCAAAACTATAATGATAATAACATCCTCTTCTCGTTTTTTTAAAATTTACTTGCCATTATTGTTGCTAATAATTAATCTTTCATTTAGTCTAGATTCTCATCTTAATTCAAAATATAAAGCAATTTATATTTGTAATAATAAAGATTTAATATCTTTATATCATATCTTGTTATTCTAACAGCAATATTATTGATTTTTACAACTTTTTCAAACAATTTAATGATTTTTATTTATAGAGAGTATCCTTATAGGATTAAGATTTGTCATTAATAAATTTCTAAAGTTTTTAAGTAAATTATTTGTGAATTAAAAATAGATACTATAAAAGTATGCATATGGATTAGTTTTAAGCTATAAAGTGAAGTTATAAAATAGTAACAAATAATTGCGTTTATCTTATTTTATAGTCTCATTGACATAGATAATGTATAAATATGCATGGACAATAAATGTAAATATAAAACATCATATAAATTTATCAATTTAGTTTGAATTAATGATCTCCATATTTTTCTTTATTAACCCTATATTCTGAATTGAATTTGATAGGCTTAGACATATTTTTATATGGAAATATCAAATCCAATATAAAAATGGCAATATAATCAATTATGAGTAATATCAATAAATATAATCCAAATATTGGACCATTGCTTTAACAAGCCTTGATTCTAGCCAATAAAGATGGATAAGGAGATGATAAAATTTTATTGTACACAGTTTCAGCTCTTTCAGCCACCATATGCCAACTGTACATTTTAGCTACCTACTCATGGTATTAATGTGATGGCACATTCTTAGCAATTGGAATGGCTACTGCCAATTTTTCACAGATGTCATCTGGATCAGGCTTAGCAAAATTTACCATGTTTTTAGGTAAAACCTCAACTACCCCTCCTACATTAGTGGAAACAACAAATAAGCCACAAGAGGCAGCCTCAACAATAGCAATACAAAAGGCTTCTGTTAATGAAGTGTTCAAAAAGATGTGACCTCTTACTAGTACTTCTCTGACTTTATGACCAGGCACTGATCCTAACTTAATTGTTAATATCCTTATTACCATCTCAACTCTGTCTGTCAAACCATGTTTTTTGATGCTTTCTTCTATAATCTTCTTCTTTGGTCCATCTCCTCCAATGATGAAATAGACCTAAGGAAACCTCTTGCATATGGTTGGTACAACATCTACTAATAGATCCACTCCTTTTCGAAAAGTCAATCTGCTAATGACAACAATGTTGACTGTATTGAGTGGATACCTCTTAGATGGATCTGGTTTGAATCTACTGCAATCAACGGCATTAGGAATTACACTTATGTTTCTAGGATCTAATGATGCTCTCATACTTAAATTTTCCTTGCTTATATGAGACACAGAAACTGCATGATCCACTTCACTCAAAATGAATTTCAATATTTTGTTAACATGAAATGAAGCAGCATCATTAAATGCAAATAACGAATGATCTGTAAATACAGTTTTGTACCCCATAGATTTAGCATGCAATAATAATTCACCTCCAAAAAATGATGTAGCTGCATGTGAATGCACAACATGAATTTCTTCCCTTAATAATATTTGTCTTAATAATGGCAAGCTCCCCATGTATGTAAATAGCACAACTTATTCATGTGCTGGCACAAAAGGACAGTAATACACCTTCAAGCCATTTGTCATGTAGCGTACACCAGTCCTATTGTCGTATTTATGGGTAATTATGATCACTTTGTGACCTCTCTCCATCAAACACAGTCCCAATTGAAATATGTGCATTTCAACTCCTCCTAGTCTTGGGTAGAAGAAATCACAGATGAGACAAATGTTAACCATTTTATTATATATTTTTTAATTTTATATTACAAACTTAGAATATTTTAATTAATTAGATGTGGAACTTAGTTGTGCGTGTTGCTTTTATTCAAATAATTCCCTCTCTTTGGGTATTTTAAAAATTTTCCGTATATTTTTATATATCATGAATGAAATGAAGCATAAATAAATACATTAATTTAATGGCTTTAAAATCATATAGAACATTCTAATTGATTCTAGTTAATTCTCATTCTGAATTTAATTGCCATAAAAATTGCCCTATGACTTTAATATATGAATTATTACAATATACTTGGTATCTAAAATACCTCATCTCAAGAACAAATCAAAATAGCGTTCAGAAACCTTGCAAAAATGCATCATCCAGTAAATTATGATTGATTATACAAGGACAAGAACCCATAATCAGTGTAATTTAGAATAATCTCTGAAGCTTACCGAATCCTTTCAAACCCTCAATTAAGAGCACGATATGATCAGTCTTAGTAATAATATGAAAAACAACTATAAATATACAAGTTAATAAGAAATTTTATTAATGGGAATGGAGAGATCCCTCTAATTCATTCAAAGGATCTTGAATCTAATCAAAATGAATCTAAGACCCTCGATATATAACAAATCTAGAAAAAAAAAATTCGAAAGACTCAAAATTGAAATTCTCATTTTATATTACTTTTTTTGTTCAATATTATATCTGTGATATATATATTATACATTATGTAAAATAAAACATCACTAGTTTTTGATTAAGCTTAGAGATATGCGAAAATTAAAAAAGAAAACGAAGAATTGCTTTACTCAACATTGAAGTTATATTAACAATATGGAAAAATTGATGATCCCAATCTGATTGCAACAATTCTCGATTCTCTCTAAACAATCGAATTCTTTAAATAAAATTGTCCAGAAGGCATGAAACTAGCTGAATTCGTTTCCAATGCCATTAAATATTTCAAATATGAATAATATGATTATGGATCCCCCATATTTCATTATGGAGAATACGGTGATAAGATGTTCATCATTTTGAAGGGAGAAGTTTATGTCTTCGGACCAAAACCCCAGGATGAAATTAACAAAGAAATGGAATAACTTAAATAATAGGAAGAAGGTGAATTGGTTATTAAAGGATAAAAAAGGTAGTTAACTACAAATGTAGATAACTTACTCAAAATTTAAGACTCCAGATATTATAAAGATGGAGTTCTTCTCTATTAAAAAGTAAACTTACTCTCTCTAACTAGATTTTTCAATACTACTCAGGACAATGTTTTGGTGACGTAGCCTTAACATCAGACAAACCCAGATCTGCTACTATTATCGTATCATCAGAAAAGGTTTATTGTTTATCTATGCGAAGAAATGATTTTAAAATCATCTTCTAAAAATCAATCTAATAGGCTAGAAACACTATTGAATTCTTTATGAGAATCTTCCCAGGAGCTCTTCAATTTAATCTCTCCAAATTTATTTAATATTTGCGACCTGTTGTCTTCCAAAGCAAAACCATTCTTTGGCAAATTGGAGATGAACCATAGTTCTTCTTCATTATTGTTACTGGAAGAGTAGAACTCTACAAATACATGGATCTTGATACTTTAACAGGTAAATCCAAAATTAATGATGAAATCAAATAAGGATTATTTGTAGGCAAATAATAGTATAAAGCTAAAATAGTTGTATGATTAATCTTTATATAAAAAGCTTAGTTAATTAGCAGAAGGTAATATAGTTGGTTAGGAAGAGCTTCTGGAAGATTTTCAAAAAAGATAATACTATTGTGAAGTAGTCGATATCACCAATGCCTATTACATGGAAGCAAGTGATTTTAGAGCAATCAAAGGAAATCATCAAGATATCATTGACTGTTTGAGAGAGAGAGCCACTGTTAATAAAGATTATATAAATAAAAGAAAACAACTAATACTTCACAATTTTAAGAATTATGATTCGTATTTGAATACATTGACTTAAAACTAGACAAGCAAAGAATAAAAATTAAAGGAGATTTTCTCAGTACCTAATAAAGATAACAAATCCAATTCTTTATGTGTGAGATCCTAAAAATAAATTAAAGGATCTCAAAATGAGATTCTCCAACAACACATTGCTTTTGATTAAAAAAGGAAGTTAGTTGAACCTTAAGAAAAAACAGAATTAAGATTTATCATAAATAATAATAATTTATCCTACATAAGAGAAAGATTATAAAGATAATAATAGCCGGAAAGAAATAGTCAATCACCTTAAAAGCATGTGAAAAATAAGGTCTTGATTTCTCAAATATTAAAGAAATACTAGAATAAAAAGGTACTTCATGAAAAGAAAGATAAAAAGAGAAAATCAATATTTGTAACTTCATCTTAGTCATCAATTGGGTAGACTGTGGAAACTGAAAACTCAGTAGATTTGTTAAGATAAAGATAAAGGACTTCGATCTTAAGACCAAGTTATGTGCAATTAAGAGGGAGAAAGCAGTCAGGAGAAAAGAGTAATAATAATAATACTACAACAATTATAAATTTAACAGAAGTGGAAACAAGAACACATTAATAAACAATGCATTTAATAACTAATGTGACACGCATGACTCCAAATAGCACTAAATTTTTTAAAACAATAAGATCGATTTCAGGGAAATGATAAAATCACTTTATAAAATTCTCAATGACTTAATATGCTGCCTTAGGGTTATCAGTGGGTATCATATGACCTGCCTTGTAGATTGTAGCATATGAAAAGTTCTCAAAAGTCTTGATGTAGCCATGAGTTTCAACCTTGTTTTCTTCTCCTTAAATTGGGGAAGTAATAAATTGTTTTTTAGCATTTTTCCATTAATACTTGTATTTCCAATCAATCTAGTAAATCCAATTCCATGCTCCTGGTGTATTAATTATGTAATCTAGCTATCCATTTAACAATAACACCTTATATTATCTCTCTAATAACAGTTAAATGTCCTTTAGTCTACTTTCACCAATATCTTTTTGGAAGGCGTTATAAATCTTCTCATTAGACCTCTAAAATTTTGTTATTTCTGATGAGAATTGTTTGATATAGTTATTTAAGAAATCCGCCCAAGAATAATCATACTCATCAGATCCTTTGTATTTTCGAATATTGTAAACATTAATGTTACCAATCTATTCTATAAATTTATCATCTGTCATAAGATCTAATTGTTCTGCTCCTTTGGCATATTCTCCATTCCTAATATATGATTATCCAACTGCCCCAATCTTCTACAATCTATTCAAATCCAATTAAGAAATGGCTCCAATGCTGTATAAGTAACTATGATAATAATTCAATTGATTTTCAGTATCAGTTATTCCATCGATAATTGCAATTCCTTTGAAATTGACCTTATCTAAGGTTTCCTTATCCTATAGTAATCTTGTAGCAAATGCTGGTATGTAATGACCTGCATAACTCTCCCCAAAAATATAAGTATTCACCAAATCTAAGCCATTCAATCTCGTATAGATCGACTTAAGTGTTTCCACAAAGTAATTAGCAGCCTAATCACTATTGGTGACAACATTTTCTTTATCAGCTTTACTCATACCAGCACCAAATGGCTAATCAATGAAGAGTAAGTGCATCACCTTATTCCAAGAATATTCCTGTTATATGATAATTATTTCTTACTCTCTTTTTCACTATGTAGGGCTTGTCTTTTGCTGCTGTATCTGGGTTTTTCGTTATGACCCATGGACCAATTTCCATATAGTTACCAAGTTAACTGGATGATCCTGGACCTCCATTCAACCAAACAGCCAAAACATCTCCTTTCTGTATTGCTTCAAGATTTGCTGTTCCTTCTTTTAATATCAAATGATAATATATCGATCCAACATCCTTAAATTTTACATAATCAGTTTCTGTGTAATAAGGTAGATCTTCTCCCATCAACTCAGCAAAAAAGCCTAAAATTTTATTAATTTTGTTACTAGTTTAATCTGTGCACCTGACAAACACTAATGATGTAATTATGAGTACTAATATAATTTTCATTAATTAAATTTTTATATATTATATATAGAATATGTTGATCAAAAAAGGGTCTCTTGCGAATTAATTAATAAATAAGCAAATTCAATACTATTTTCTTATCTTTTTACTATTGGTATAGCATCTTGTTCTTAATACACATTTTTAAGTCTCAACAAAGACAAGGTCGATATTTTTAACTTCTCGTGATATCCACTTCCAATAGAAATTGTTAGTATTGCAGGTATTCTTTTGGGGTAAAATTTAACCCTCTCAGGAGATATTATAATTATCAATTTCTAAATGATGTTCTATCAATAGTCAGTTATGATCATAAACAAAAAATCTAAAATAATGTATATAGTTTAAGTATATCAAATAAATCAAAATATGAAGAGAAATTCTAGATTAATGTTAAAATTAATAAAATCATATGGCTATGGAGGGTTATTTTAATCTTCGTTCTCTTGTATTTTATTTCGTGCCTTTTGCCACCTTTGATAAATACTATTTTCTTGAAAAGGGTCTTATTCTTTTGCAGGCAATAGATGAACCATCCCAGCCAAGCATTACCCATATTGTTCTATATCATTGACATAGTTTTTGGCATTGCCTTTGATTCACTTTTCAACAATAACTTCTAGTTGTTCTCATGCATAGCTAATGAATGCGCGGGTATGATAAGATTCTTTTGGATCTTGTTCTAAAATAGGTCAAAAAAAGAAGGACAATGTTATTTTTTCTAAATTCCAGATCTTTTGTATTATTTTCTATTTGCCAATCACTTCTGATTCGAACATCTGATGCCTGATTTTTGGAATCTCAACAGCATAATCAACATAATTAGAAGTATGCCGATAATTTTAAACATACAAGGCATAAGCTTACGAATTTAAATATTTTTGAAGATCCAAATGGTCATAAAGTCTCTTCATTTTCTTTGGGTTGAGTTGAACAATAAGAAACAAAATAAGAAGGATTCATAATAAATATTATTTTAAATATATTAACAATATTATTTTTATTGTGAGAAATAAGCTTAGAAAAGGATAATGAACTTCTTATTTAAATCTAAAAAGAGCATTCTGTTGGTAATTAAAATTGGATACAAGCTGAAGAAAATCAAAGAATATTTAAGAAGGTTTAAAAGACAATACTGAAATAAGTTTGGATTCAGAATCGCTAAAGTGCTTGGCAATTTAGAAAAGAGTACCTCACAACAGAAATATCTTCAGTCAGGTAACTTCTGGAATAAACATGTATTTACAAATAGAAATTATACAACAGAAACTTTCAAAGATTAAAATTGTTATTAAAGATAGGAATGACTTATAATCAATAGAAATTTTTTTGAAAAATTGATTTACTTTGTTAAAATTAATAGAGATGCAGATTGTCTTAAGTAGTATTTAAGGTTCTATTGTAGGTTATTATTAAATTTGTTGAAATCTAAAACAACTGATGTAAGGATTGTGAATCATATCTCAATGTTAAGCGCTAAAATTCAAAACAGCTATTCACTTAGTTGAAGAATCAAACTTAATAAATAAAAAAAATGTTTAAAAAATTATTAATTCCTAAACTTTCTTCTTCTATGTTAATAAGTGATTCTATTGATTGAAATGAATAGAGTAATAAAACATAAAATTTCTGTTGAGATACCAAATATTTAAACTGTTTTTCTATGACTACTTTTACAGAATTTTCAAATAAAAAAATTCTGTAGTGCAAATCGTAACTCGAAAAAATGGAAAATCTTATATAGTGATTTTATTAATTTATCAAATATTTTATTATGATAATATTAAATTTTTCGGATAACAGGTGTTTTCATTAAGTAGTTAAAAATTGAATATAAAATGTTGTTGTTTATTGAAAGAATATAAATTAGAATGAAAATAAGTCTATTATAAGACTATGAGACATTTTACTTTATTTTTATAATTGAAATAATTACTAAATTACTTAATTTAATTTAGCTTAATTTCAGTCAATCAATTTTGCTCGCTATCTTTTCATCCGCTTTCTACATTCTGGATTCAAAAATGTATTTTTTAATTTCATCTAACATAACTATTTCAATAGCTTGTAATAATTTGTTTGAAAACAGTTTTTTGGATGTAGATTTGAAATTATCAATTTCTTTCGGGATGCTTTACATAGCCAATAATAGAATTTATTTCAAGATATCATTAAAATTTTGATTTTTCAAATATTAATTGAACACATTTAAGTATTGTGGTTTGAATGTTAAGCTATCATCCATGATCATTCCTTCCCTTTTCAGATAGTCAATAATATTTTTCACTAACTCATGTTATTCAAGTTTTTCGGCTTCTTTAAGTTGATGTTGTTATTAGTTAAATAAGTCTCTTTTCTAATTAAAGTCAACAATCATCTAATACTATAATTATATTATACCTAATTCATATGATCGATTTCCTATTATGATTTATTTCCTAATTTACATTAGTCTGATCGAGACTTTACTTATTGTTAATAATTAGTTAGATTTTGAAGCTCATTTTACAATTATTCAAGTTTTGCATTATAATGTTGTTTGTATTCATTTTTTAATATCATTTCTAATGGATCTTTGTATTTTGATTAAGCTCCTAATTCATTACATAGATTGTAAATAACAGGCCTCATGATACCTTGATAAAATTTATTCATAGATTAGGAATTTGAAATTTATAGTTAATTGCATGCATTTTGCACATTCATATTTTAAACATTAAAACTCTAACTTAGTAAAGCTTATATCATTTTATTTGTGATTGTTTTAAACACCTACTCTTAATCACACAATTTTTGGTAAAAATAATCAAGAAAGAAGGCAATTCTTTGGATTTCCTAATCTTTTTAATAATAATCTAACATCTTAGTGGAGAAATAATTTAATTCATTGTTCATTGCCTCCTTATATTGGTTATAATCTTCAATATCATTTTTCACTTGCTTATACTTTTTATTTCCTTCTCTTAAACCGATTTCAATCACTTTTTTTTTAATTGAACCATTTTCAGAACCTTATTTACATTTAGCCATTGATAATTTTATATATTTTTATGCAAGTTAGCAAAAACACTTTTTAAAACCATCAACACTACCTTTACTCTCTTAAAAGGATTGACTTATGATTTCTAAAACACCAGAATCTAATTCGTTATAATTTTAAAATAAATTCTCAAGTTCAGCATAGTTAGTAGCATTCTATACAAGTTTTATTACGTCTTATAAAGATTGATATTTCTATTCTACAGCTTATTATTCTAAATCAGTCAACCAAAAACCAGATTTTTTTAATCCTTCAATAGTAACTTCAGGGATTTTTTTCAAAAATTCAGTGATTCCAATTTTTTTTAATGTTTTCATAGAAGTTCCACCAAGTTGAAGAGCTTCCTTGATTCCTACAGGTCCTGCCAAAGCTAATGAAGCTGCAATATTAATAACTTTTTATTATCCCCAAGTTCCCCAATCAATTTTTATTCCTTTCCATGCTGATTGAACGGCAAGCAACATGTCAGCGATACCTTCACTTATTAAGGCTTACCCTATAGGCAAAGCAGCCCCAGCTGTGAATGCACATATTGCACATCCAACTACAAACTAACACAACCCAATGGCAAACATTGCTATATATTCAAAAAAACTTTTTTCTTTTTTCTTTTTATTCAGACTACCAAGTTTAGGTAACGGTCCGTCGTCAATCACTTCTTACTAATCTTTTATAGATTGTTCTAAATCACCATTTTCTTTTTCATCCTTCATAATCACTGGTATCCAACTTAAATCAAGTACTTCATCATTAGGATTGAAGGTTTTCAAAGTGTTTAGAATAGAGTCGATGTTTTGAATTACTTTATTATACACTTTTAAATGATTATTAATCTTACTCTCAATAGTATCTTTTTATACATTATTTTACTTGATAAATTCAATAGCTGATACATTAGTTATTTCTGAATCTTTTGTTAAGTCTAAGTCGGGTAATTCTAGATTTTATTTAGGAACCTTAATTTCGGACTATTAAAAATCAGGCAAATTTTAATTATCTTAAAACTATTCTACTTAAATCCTGTTCAACTTAGAAGCAGTTGCAAATCCTTTTTCATCATTAATCTTAGTGAGAAATAAAGATTTTGCTTTTTCCAATGTTTAAATAGCTTCTTTACTGCTCCCATGTTATATTTCACTTAAACCTTTGTAATATTATACCTAAGGATCGTTTTCAGATATTTCAGCTGCCTTTTAAAATGTCTTTAAATCGTCCTTTTACAGTCCTTGATATACCAAATATTTTGGATTTTATCCTTCATCAGAATTCAACCAATTTTCAATTTCATCTTCATTTAATCCAGTCTCTTGAAATTGTTCCAAATAAAGACCCCATTTCTCTTCTAAAATTTAAAAGGCGGCCCTATTTTCGTTTATTTTTACTTTGCTCTTTGCTAATTAACAAAACTTTTTAAAACATTTGTCCTCATTTAATAATTTTTTCATTTCTAATTCTATTTCGTTTGAATAGTATTATTCACTTAGATCTCTAAAGAATGTAAGGACTTCTAAATAATTTTTGCTTTATTTTTTCTAACTTGTTGAATAATAATCCAAGGCATCCTAAATCGTTTTGAGTTAAGTGAGACCTCCAACAAATAAATTTTCAGGGAAACTTACAATTAGTTCTGCAGTACCCAATTTACCTTACCTTGCTGTTCTACCAAATCCTTGAAGTTAAATTCTTATATTTCGAGGTAGAAAAGACATTATGACATGAAGACCACCATTCTTTTCTAATTCTTCATTAGTTGTTAAATCGGTCCCCCTTCCGGCCAAGTTTGTGGCAATGATAACAGATTTAGGTCCAATTACCTTCTTTAATTCCTATTGATCATCTGTATAAGTGATAGATTATATTTTATATTTTTTTAGATAAACATCTATTTTTTAAACATCCTAAATTGTTTGATTAATTATAAGCACAGCCCTCCCTGAATTCAATTGTTATTATACCGATTTTTAAATTTCTTAATACCACTCATCTTTACTAAGAGTTGCAATACCTGGTTAGATTTTCAAAAGTCTTTTCTTAAATGGTGGCATGAAAACAAAATCGAGTGTGTACGATTTGGCTAAAAGATTCTAAGTAACTTATGATCCTAAGGTGCCAGTAAGGCCTAGAAGTTGATTCTGATACCTTTTAAAGAAGCCAACATTAGATAAGTAGTTAGTACTGATTCTTAAAGGAGTGATTGGAAGATTGTGTTTTAATTAAATAAATTAATGAAGTCCTTTCTGCCATTACATATTATCCTTATGCACTACTCCAGTATTTTGAAAATCAATAATTCTAACATTATTATTGTCGATTAAATAATGCTTGCTCTCTTGAAAATGAAATTTAGCTAAAATTGCGTTTTCAATCCAGGTTTTTTTCATAAATTTGATATAGTTTATTCGAAATTTTGGTATAAAATTGTACACGACTTGTTTAAGTTAAAGATCTAAGGTTTTTTCAACGTATTCATCTAAATCAGTAGTATAATATTCGTTTTCATTCATAATCATAACTTTTTTATCAGTTGAGAGATTGGGCAGTGATTTACAAATTTCATCCCAAATCAATCGAAGAACTTTTGTTAGATCCAGCATTCCAGGAATGGGTGTGCTTAATAGTGTCTTATTACTATTGCCATCTATAAGCATAGAGTCTACTTCATCAACTATTATATATCCCTATTATCTACTTCCCATAGTTCCTAATTCTGAATATTCATGTCTTAGTATGTCAGCTTAGAAACTATGAGGATCTCCATAGATAACTTGAGATTCATAACATGGAAACATCTTTAGTTTCTAATTTTAGGATCCATTAATATTATGAGCAACCGATATAGAAAATAATTTATAAAACGAGGCTAATTCTTGTGCATCCCTAATAGCCAAAACTGGAGAACTAGTTACAATGTCCACATTAACTTTTTTCTTTTTACACAACAGAATTGCAAGCATAGCTACTATTAAGGTTTTACCTTCTCCAGTAAATATTTAGGCTAAGCGACCTTGGTTATTCTCATGACTATATAGTTCTACAACAGATAATAATTAAACTGGTCTTGGATAGTAGGAGAAATGCTTTTTAACTTTTGTACATAACAAGTATAGATCTTGGTATTCCAATTATGGAGATTTATTAAAATCAAGATTTGCTGTATCAATTTATTGATTCTAAAAAGAGCTGTATATTTTAATGAATAAATTTTAAATTTCTAAATTATTTCTCCTGTTTAGCTATTGAAATTCGGCAAAGAGTTGCTCAATTTGTTATTTTTCATACAGCATATTATCTGATTATTATTTAGTAATGTTTTCTTAAGTGCGCTTTTAAGCTAAAATCTTACTTTCTCCTTCAAAAATTTTTAGTAGCTAAACAAACTCTTCAAATGATTCAAATTCACAATTTAAGACATTTTCTATAATATCAATGTTATAAACAGATTATTAAATATATTAAATAATACTATTTATTTCCTTATTACTATTAATTCTTTACTTCAAGTAGTTTCTTATCTTCATCAATTATTATTGGTTTGTTTGTTATTGTTATTGATTGAAATTTTATAGGTTTAATTGTTATTGATTTAATTATTATTGATTTTATTGTTATTGATTCAATTATTATTGTTATTTAATCTAATCTTTTTATCCTTCTTGGACTTTAAGCTAGTTTTCCCTTTGAACCCATTTTAATAATTTTTCCCAATCTGGATTCTCAATCAAAATAAAATTAATAATTGCCTCAGAACTCTAAAATTACTAGATTTATTGATATAAAAAGGATTATTATTCTTCAGAGAAATTTAATGAACACAAAATGGAATAGAAGCTTTCATTTTCTAGATCTGACCAATTTTTATTTTCTTTCTCACCTTACATAAAAAAAATAATATATGTCAAACTAATGATATTCTAACTTTCAATTAATTCTGGAATCCAAATTCTATTAGAATTTATTTTGTTAATCTTTATTAAGATTTGATTAACGCAAGTAAGAAAATCTCAGATATTCTGAGGTCTTTGAGATATCTTTAGTAGCTAACAAACAGAATGACTGATTCTTCTAGAAATTTAAGAATATTCTTATTTCTATACTATATATCTATAATTCTATTACTAATTAATGAGAATTTATGAAAGTAATTTCAATTACAAATAAATTATCAGATAAATGGCAAAAATCATTTTTATTCCTATTGCTCGTAAGTTAAAAATTTAAGAATATTGAAATTAGGAATACTGTTGAAGTATTTTCCAATATTAAATTTCTAAAGTAATTTGAGAGAAAAAAAGAAACTGATTTGTCATTATTTTACTTTATGTTCTTAAAATTAAAAGATGCTCACATCCTGACAAGAGGAATGAAAATCTTTCAGAAAATGATTCAACCATTTTAAATGTTTCTTAGATCTTATAAGTAATAAATTTTAGAATTGCATTCTGAATTTGATTTAATTATTCGTTTACATGTATCTAATGGAAATACTTTTATGAGTTTAAAAGGAACTACAAATTATTATACATATGAAAATATTCTAGAATTTTATATATTGATCAACAGAGTGGTTAAAATCTTTAGATTGCTAAACATTTAATCTAGCAAAATTCACATTTATAAACTCTTAATTTATTAAAGTCTGATTTAAATTCAATAGAGATGGATACATTAAAATCATTCTCTCATCTTTTATATAAACATAGACTGGTATTAATTCATTAATGTCACTTCTTAAGAATTTAATATAATTAAAAAATTTATAATAAATTTAACAGATTAATTAATCTTAAAAATATTATTTAAACATCAATATTCATTATAATTTAAAAATGTTCTGGTTTTCTTAAATTACCAAATAAATATCTTCTTAAAACATTTGATTCCACATTCTTCTTTATATTAAGTATAGAAACAATCAGGAATCTGGAGGAAGCAATCAATAATAAATTTGGATAGTAGTCATTTCATATCCCTTAATTATCTTTTTTGTGACACAAATATAAAAAAAATACTGCTTGTTAAATTGACATATTCATTTTTATATACCAATGAACAATTCAAATTTGATGTTCTCTTTCAGATTTGTTTCCTCTGGATACACCTCAAAATCATAATCATGTGATCTAGCTCCACCAAAATCTTAAGGGGTTAAATTTTGGTAATGATTACCAAGCGTCAATCACAACTTTGGGAATAGGACCTGGTCCACAATCCAAACGGCAGAAATGATGAGCAGGTACTGTTACAGCTACTAATCCTTCTGGTAAATCAGTGACTTCACTCACCACTTCTCCTAAGACCATTTTGTATCTGATTTCCTCTTGGTTTTCAGGGTTTTAGTAATCATAATACATACAATAAGTTCTTTTAGGATGTATACGATGTGGAATTAATTCATGGACCTATTTATCAAAATATTCCTCATATGCCTTTCCAATTTATCCTGTTTTTGGATCTTATTCTTCTTTTTAGATGATATTCCGCATCAAGCCAACTAGAGTGAATGTTTATAATTCAACAACTGTTCTATTTGGTATTTATGCTTATGGATCCATTATTCAATGATATATTATTTAAATTATAATTTACTTTCAACCTTCATGCATAATTATATACTACGTTTTACACTATAATCAATATTCTATATTTAAAAATATAGAATATATATAAATTTAATTTTAACAATAACATTATATTTTTATCATCTTATTAAGAATTTGAAGTAAATGTCAAAATAACAAATATAAATGTATTTAATCACAATTTTATAAATATTATCCATCAATCGTTTAATTACCTTATTGATACCTTTTTCTCTAAAACCTCATTCCAAGTTATCAAATATTTTCCATCATTACATTCCGATATATTGGCTTGAATTCTTAAAGAGGTTTAATATAAAGTTATAATCATTAGAAATAACTTATTTTACCTTTGTTAAGGTAACATGCACTCGGGAGCGAGTAGCG